AGGATACATCCAGCGGGGAGGATCAATGACTGTTCAGCAAGGGCAGGAGTCTATTCAGAACGAGGTAGTTGCGGAGCAATTGCAGAATAATGCTGAGAATATTGATTCAGCATTACTAATTGAGCAGCCAAAACGTGCTCGTACAAAAGCACCAAGCAGGTGTAGTAGATGTGGTTCATTTGAGCATAACTGTAGAACCTGTACTTTGTAATACTGGTGTCGTTATTAGTATAGCTATAATATTGTAATTGCAATAAGTCGTCAAAGGCACATTGGACGGAAACTTGACCGGCTCGGTAGTGTGACCGGCTCGGTAGTAGGGTACGTTACCCGAAGTACAGACGCGACATAACACGGACGCCCCGGAATATATGAGAATGAACATGGTAATTACCAGAACAATCATCGGAGAATAGATTCATCATCTTTCCAACAACCATCACCTAATCCCAACTCATAGCATATGTTACGGGACATTCGCATCTGATGGCGAAAAGCGAACCATCTGCCTCTTTGCGGGACAAGTTAACTTCTCTGTAAAGCTTGCTGCTCCACTGCTACCATCACAATCTCATCGCCTTGGTCATGGGATGGCTCAAATACAAATTTCGAAGGGTGCAATATTGGCACGAACGCATAGATATGGCATGAAGTGTATGCATCCGTGTGATATCTCATGTTTTGCATGAAACTCTTCTTACAAAGCCCGTACCTACGCCACGACATTCTTCATTCTATCCCAAATCCACCCCACCCTTCGAAGTCGTCCGCCAACTTCATTGCAGCCTTCAGGTAGAATTGGTTTGGGTCGCCCCATGTCTTGCTCAACTCCTGGATACAGCGCAAAGCTTTGACGAAATGCTCATCCGTTCGATGATCACCCTTCAGGGCGCTATGAGAAACGTACCTCCAATCTCGGTCTTCCAGCTCCACGAGCTTGATTTGATCGATGTTGGTACGCGGCCGCGATTGGGCGACGTAGGCGAGCAACAGGAACAGCCACCATTGTCTCACTAACGGCACATGCCACTTCGCAGGTAGAAGCGGTAGTAGTGTTCGTACTGCGTGGGAGCTCGTTAAGATGTGTACCAAGAAGAAGTCGTGGATATTCTTGCTCGCATGACTGTGCTGTGCCGCGGCGACCAGCACGACGGCGAGCTTCTGGGATTCTGCAAATTGCTCGGTTGGCTTCTCAACGATCCACGAATTCCAGTGCTCGAGAAGTGCTGCAGCTGTCAAATCGTTGTGCAATATCTCATCGATGCCGTCACTTCCAGCCTTTCCAGACAAACTCTCGAACCGTTTGTCCGATGCCACCCGGTCAAGGATGGTAAAGAGTGAGTCGGATGGTTGTGGAGCTGGTTTGTTGTACTGAGGATCATCCAAGTATTTGTGCCAATCATTATGGGAGCAAGCGGCCAACGCTAAAGCTTCCACGGCTACAGTTCGGGAGGCCAGCTCGTGAGCGTAACCTAGGTGGATCAGTGGATGAGCCAGACCCGATATGAGATTATTGATCAAAGGCTCCTTCCCTGATAAAAGAAACTCGTCCAGGAGCGCACGCCAGTCGTACCCAAGTTCGACTAGTTGATCCTCGAAGAAGTCCACGAATGCACGCTGATACCTATAGACGGGGAGTCAGCGGACAGCTGTCGTAAACAGGAGTCACATGCTCCTACACACTCTCTTTTGCCTAAATATTCTGTCCAGTCATGTTTCGAAATTTCGCCTGGGCTGTCGTGCCATGGTTCCAGGTCTTTGCTTGCGTGCTCGTAGAGGTCATTCAGCTGTTCCGACTCGGCGCCTAGGATATATGCAGACCCTAGGAGATGAGGAACATGATTGTGGAACCGTAGCTCGTTGTAGATGATGCTGTGGCTGATGTGATTATGCTTGACCAGATGTTTCAGAGTTCTAGCCCGTTTCTCAGGTCGTTCTTCAATATCGTGTACTTCTACCTTGGGAAGACGTATCCCACCACCAAATGAGAAGGAGAGTGTTGGCAGTTGTGGCAGCCTAAATTGAAACATGATTTCAAACGGCTTATGGGATGCAACGGAAAGATGGCATAAGAATCGTCTCAGGGTGAAGCATTAGATCCTAGTTGAAGATCTGTGTTGATGGGATTGGGAGAATGCAATCATTATTTCAACACCTGCATCAAGCCCTTGATCTCTCAATACAGTTCAATCAATGGCGAGCTCCAATTGCTCAAGCCGGTGCGCTCGGCTGTGGGATGGGTCATCAGGCGGGCACCTTTCCCCGCAGAATGAGCACCTGACGCCGCCCTGTCTCTACACACACGCGCACGAGCTGTGACGATTGTCGTCATCCACAGATCCTCTCTTTCCCACCCACAACAACGCCCGTACTCTATGAGAATCTTCACACGATCAACATGTTCACATCTTAAGTGCATGGCGCCAGCAGTGTAAATTTACGATCATAAGAATGAATTCTGGCCGTCTTTACCTGCAGATCGTCGCATAGGCGGGTGCTACGGTAGATACAGTCCATGTAGAATACCACGCTTGGTTAAACATTTAGGGCTGCTGCTGGCGGCTCAATGTCGCTTACGCACCTCGGACGAGTCAGTAATGACAGAGCAGACAAACTTACCATTAGTTTCTGTTCACCGTAAGCAGCCCTGCAGATAGATCTATCGACAGTATAAAGTAAGTACCATCTGCAGCAAATCCTGGAGCGGAATGCACAGAACTCAAGAATGATCAGGCATTAGACGGGAGAATCAGTCGACGGCAACGACGATCACACGAATTACGCATTCGGTCACTGAGGTGACGCAAGTATTGAGAATGACAACGGCGCATTTCGGCGTCCAAGAGCATGTTCTACCAACCTCGTACATCCGAGAATATGCCCGATCGACTGCCGACGACCAGGAACACGAGCTCAAATTGGCTGTTAAGCAATATACGCCATTGAAGGCTGCCCAGCCTGGACTGCGGAGCGTGACCATCGTCGGCGCACACGCAAACGGGTTTCCCAAGGCATGCATCGCGCGGCTTTCTCAAAGCCATGCCTCGCTAACGTTGAGTCAGGAATTATATGAGCCCCTGTGGGATGAGCTGTACGTACGACTTGAAGCCCGGGGCCTACATGTTTGCAATGTTTGGATTGCCGATGCGGCGCATCAAGGCGCATCTGGAGTTCTAAACGAAGAACAGCTGGGCGATGATCGTATGTTTTTCGAAGGCGAGTTGTGAACATTGGAGCGCCGCTAACATACCCGAAAGCCTCGTGGATGGATCACTCGAGGGATCTGTTTCTCATGATAAACCATTTTCGGAAGCAAATGCTACGACCTTTGATCGGTGTTGGCCACAGCATGGGAGGATGCCATCTTGCAAACTTATCATTGATGCATTCCCGACTCTTCACCACCCTGATCCTGATCGATCCGGTCCTGATGAGACACAACCCCTCTGAGAAAGGCCCTCCTCTCGCCGTGATATCTACACGGCGCCGCGATCTATGGCCCAGTAGACGCGCCGCGGAATCCGGGTTCCTCAAGTCCAAATTCTATCAAAACTGGGATCCCAGAGTCCTAGCCAATTGGGTCCGCTATGGCTTGCGAGACCTGCCGACACAGATATATCCTGACACAGACACAACCCAGCAACATGACGTCGGAGTCACTCTCACAACAACCAAGCATCAGGAAGTCCTAAGCTTCATGAGGCGGAACTTTCCGACAAAGGACTTCCCGAACCCTTCCATCGAGCCGAATCCACGAACACATCCCGATGTGGATCCAAATATACAGCCGTCCTCGCCTTTTTACCGCTTTGAAATACACTCGACTTTCCACAAACTTCAGTTCCTCCGACCCAGCGTACTCTATCTATTTGCAGACCAATCGGGAATCTCGATGCCGATCTTGATCGCGGACAAGATGACAGTTACAGGGACAGGTGCTGGCGGTTCAGGGGGCGTGAAGAAGGGCAGGGTCAAGCAGATTACTTTCAAGGGAATTGGTCACCTCATCCCCATGGAAATTCCAAATGAAAGTGCAGAGGCTTGTGCGGGATGGATCGTGCCTGAGATACAAAGGTGGGCGGAGAACGAAGCGCAGGATCGTGCGGAACAAGCTCAAGTGCCGAGACACTTGAGGAGTCAGATGAACGAAAATTATGTCAAGACCATGCTCAGCGGATGGTACCAGCAGCAGGGAGGGCAATCAGCGAAGCCAACAAAGTTATGAGAATACTAACGCTGCATCGTTCGTTGTTGCATCGTTCGCGTAGTCCCTCGCGTTTTGATGAAGTCATGTATCAGCCATATCTGTGTCGCCATTTTCGCCGGCCGTCTCTGCTTCATTCCCTTCACCAGTCCACCACAAAGTTGGACCGAGACCACTGTGCATCATACTTCCTCTGATTCGATATGGAGGGAGTCGTGATTCGTTCTCTTCGTCTTCATCTTTCATCGCATCAGGCGAGAGATCGTGCCATTGTTCTTCTTCGACCCGGAGCAGACAGCTTTCAGAATTGTCGAAGAAGAACTCATTTGTACCACCCGCGCCATCATCGGCACGCCATACAAAGGTCCAGACCCCGGAATCATCCTTTTGCCATTCTGTGTTGTCGAAAAGTGTTTCTGGTGGCACCACTATGTCCTCGAAGAAATCCGCAGAGAGCTCTATTCCTGTGGGGTTCGATTGAGAGATAGTCGCGCGAAGGATCTCGCCCTTGAAAGGCCGAAAAACAATAATCTTGAAGTCAACGTTGACATTCACTGTACCCGTACCATGTCCGATGAGACCCTCGGATGCGGATATAAGCGAGTGAAAGCCGACACACAAACCGATCTTGTGAATCACTTTGTCTGCATATTTCGTGTTGATGAAGTCTTCAATACAGCGCATACTGGACTTGTGGAATTCCTTGGGTGGTATCTGCACCACATCGGCGAGTGTGACCTGGTATGTGTTAGCTTTTGATGACCTGTCGTACAAAAAGATATTTCCATGTACCAGAGTGTACATTATGCCCGGCGCGTTTGGCTACTTCTTTCTTAAATGACGGGGTCGTGTGTATGTGGGCTTGTTTTCCGCCAGATGATGTTATGTGCCTTCATGATAAAACTATGACCATCGCGTCAAGAATCGAGTCACTTTGTTTTGCATGCAGCATCAAAAGTTTCTCAGGTCACATATTGGTGGTAAAACGTGAAGAACGCCGAAATTTGATGGACCCCAGTCCTGCCCAAGCGCATCGGCCTGCCCCGAGACAGACTTTGCGCAGGTAAATCGTGCAGTACATTGTTCTTCCCTACAGCGATACCTATGTATTATTGCCGGACAAGTCTAAATGCTCGTGGCCATTAATATCATCGCATTCATTGAGTTCAGACAACTTTAATTGAAATACACCACATCGGGCTTAATCATCTGACACGAAATCGAGAAGATTTGCTGTTGTAATGAGTGGATTCAGTTTTCCACCACCTCCGCCGCCACCTCCGAAAATCAATAGTGCACACAATGAGAATTCCGTCCAGATTCGAGGAAATGGACGAGGGCGAGGCAACAATTTCGCGCATGGACGCGGTACAGGAAATGCTCATCGCGGACGACATGATACATTAAACCACTCCGAGCGACAACAGAGCTGGCATCGCGGCCCTCCAACCCAAGCATCTCGAAACGGCCAATATGAATCACACTTTCCTACACCAGACAGCTCAAACTCCAGAAGTTGGCCGGGACCCAACAATTTCGATCAGCATCGCTTCGGTGCGCAAGCAGTTGGAAAAATTCCTCAGAAGATCGATACTCCTCCACGAACAGTCGCCGGTCACAAGCGAAAACTAGAAGCGCTTCGGGGCCCGCAGATTGCAGGTTCATCGGGACCACCAACGGCGCCATCAGTCCCCACGTTTGGTGCTCCAATCTTGAACCAGCCGTCCCCGTCAGTACATTCTCGACCGAGTCCTAGCTCGTCGAGTATTCTTCCCCCAAACATCAAGGATGATGCATCCAAATCCGCTCCTCGAAAATCTAATGCACTTGGATTGACTCCGGGGGAGGAGCCACACTATTCATCATCGGAGCATGAGGCAGATGATCAGGATGCAGATGAAGACGTCGATGAGGAGGCCATGTTTGCTGAGCTCGGCACTAAACTCACATTTGAGCACAATGGCAGTATCATCTCACTATCGTCTCCAGCAGATCTGGCGCGTTGGAAAAGCGAACGATTAAAGAATTTCCCTACTCGCACTCGGATGGCCGCGAAAATCGACGAGAAGCGCGCTATGGGTGATATGCGTAAACGACTTCTCTTCGAAGCTGCGGGTGCCTTGCGCACTGGGAACCGCACCGCTCCTCAGATTTCGGCACACACGTCGAACCCTCACTCAAGTCATGATCTGGTACCGGCAAAGGATATAGTAGGATCAAAAGGTACAGATAGTATCACAAAAGTGGAAGCCTCGAGTAATTATTCCCACGAGTCGACAGCGCTTCAGGCACGAGACGCTGGGTCAGTTTTGGTTGATCAGCCATCTCTGAGCAAGGACTTAAGTGAGACTGCAGTCGATGGGAATGCCGCTCCACACGTGAAAGCTGCAGTCGAAGAAGCAGGGAATGCAAGTGATGAAAAGGATGCCCAGTCAGAATCAGACGGCGGCGCGCCCGAATCAGTCAGCTCCAAGCAGCCTGTGAAGTCCTCAGGCGAGCACCTGCCGGCGCACAAGCCCAGAGATGAGCGGAGCATTTCTCGACCAAAGAAGCCGATACGGTCTGTAGCATCACATGGTGAGAAACGAGGGATCTACCAGGCACTCATCGAGCAGGAGCAGCATGGTCAGCATGTGCTAGCATTGGCAGTGATCAAGAGTCTGGGCAAAGCAGGTTTTTTCACATGCTCGGAATAAAGATCTTGTGTGTCAATGTTGCTAAGTGATAGCTCTTTCGAAACGATGGAAATTATTTCACGTGTCAAACCATACGAATTGTGTTTCAAGGCTTCACTCCGTCGTCATTCACTAGCGCTGATGCATTGCACGACGACCGTCTAAATGGTCGACGCCATTGTACAAATTTTGAAGCTGAAATCCATTCGGTCTTTTGAGTAATTTCCATTCTTGATCGAACTTCCAGTCTGCAAGAATACTATCCATTCACATCACAATCGTTCTCTTCCATCGAGCATCATGGCTGAGAAACGTATCAAGAGCGAGCAAACCTTCGACTATGACACGGTGACGGCAATCATCTACTGCATGTTAAAGGACGGTGTGGTCCTGGGCGCCCGACACTATGAGACCATGTCTGCTTTGAGTGGCACTCGCACAGCTTCTGCATTCCAACACGACTTTCGCGATGTGAAGCGACGAGCGAAAGACTTGCTCGACAAAGGCGATGTTCTCGGCCCGAAGAACAAAGACGATGACAATTCCACCGAGCTCAAGAACGGAAAGAAGGCTACAGCCAAGTCCACGGGAAAACGAGGTAATATGTTCACATTGTGCTTGAAGCCCCAGAGTTGACAAATCATCCAGGTCGCAAGCCTAAAGATGCGCAGCAGCCCGCCAAAACTGGAGGCTTCGATGAGAACGAGACCATGGATGAAAACGCGAATAAGAAAATCAAACTGGAGACTTAGGATACGTTCGAGACATAGGATTCAATCAATTTTCTCCAAGAGAGAGGCGTGACTGGCGGAAAAAGGCACATCTACCCTCGGGGCCGTCATGCAGCCTGTCACACTCAGTAACTGGCACAGTCTTCCCGGCGGAGCGATGGTACTCGCTGACTTGAAAATGCAGCAGAATAATTGAATAAAGCATTACTTTCCCTCGTTTGTCACGCCTCGAAATTATCATGAAAAGCCTCTTTCGAGCTCGTATTGTGTAGTAACAGAACCTTGGAAGTCAAGTGAGGTGCGCGCAGGTGATGTTCGCGACACAGCACTTGGGCGACCGTTTGCCCTACATGCGTTCCATTGTGCACGGTCCATCACCAAAGCCAACATCGCTCCAAGCTGCGATTCACTGTGCACCATTGTCAACCTCTGACGGCGCACATCATTCACCATGCAGCCTCTACAAAGAGCAGTCGCTCGCTCGGCGAGCTCGACGAGAGCCCAATTACAGCACCACGCACGCCGTCACGCTTCCGGAAGCCATGGCCATGGATCCCAGCACAGTGGCCCAACAACTGAGTCTTTTGGTGTATGTCATGCCTTTGGCCACGATAGCAGCGAGATCGCCTCAACCTCCTGGTAATGTGCAATTCAAATCGCTGACGTCCTTTCAGCCAGGTTTCTATGTGTGCCTGGCCGCCATTCCAACTGGTTTGGTCCTTTACAAGATCACGCGCCCCGGCCCCGATGGCCAACCCTACTTCAGTCGATTGATCGCCGACAAATACGCCAGCTATAAGACTCTATTCCTTGAGCGAGCCGATGTTCATACCCAGGCGATGGAGCGCGCGGCAGCAGACAGGACGTTGTTCATGAATGAGAGTTCACATGACACACCGAGATATATTGATCTGAGATACCCCGAGTGAGCTCAACAATGCACAACAGGAGACAAATGTACATACTAACACTATCTCGCTTAGATCGGTCAATGCGAGTTCGCCATGGAACGTCCCAGCCGGACACGGCAGCGCCAATATGGATCAATTGATCGCCAAATATCAAAAGCAGGCATTTGAGGAGAATGAGAAGAAACTGCAGCAGCTCAAGGACAACAAAGTCCCGGCGGAGCAACCATATGAGTCGTTCCGGAAAATCACACCCGCTGCGCCAGACAGCTGAACAATATAGACGACGCCTTCACTTGTGTACATAGCCATGTTACAAAACCGCACCTTCATATGCAGCTCAATTTCTATCCCCTGATGCCCATATGTGACGGGACATGCAGTCCCCAAGTCCGTGCTTTCCAACCTTGGGATCATGATACTAAACGAACGCTTGCCATGCTCTTTTGAACGTCCACTGTTCTGTTCTGTTCTGTTCTGTTCTGTTATGTTCTGTTCTTAGCCGAACAGCCCACCTCACTGAAGTCTATGATCAAGCTCCTTTCACGGTGCTCATGTGCGGTGCTTGCGCCGGCTTCACTGGTGCATCTGGAACCGTGACGTCGGAGAAGTCATCCTGGCCAACGGCTCGAATAGTAAACGTGTCTATATTGTCGTCAGCATATCGAAGTAAGTGATTGTCTAGTCCAACGTACAAACTCCCGCCACGAAGGCGAAAATGCAAAGACCTGTTATGGCATTCTTCACCAGATAGGGCTGCCGAGCGCGATATAGAGACGCTGAAGGGCGGTTTTTCTGGTCGTAATACGACGATTGCGGTAATCTGTGATATCGTCAGATGCGATCCCAGGCTCTGATGGCAATCGTTAGGTATCACCTTCGTCCAAGCACCATTGTCGCGGACACCAATATAAGAGTTGTAATGGTGCTGGGTAGGCAATGCACATTAAGTCATCATTTCGAGCATGACGCCCGACATTGCATCACGTGATGCGCTTGAGCCGCGTCGCGCAGATTTGTGAAATGGTACTGGAGAACCAGCTTTCCCTACGCTGGATCTGCGAACAAAACGACAACACCCAGAGGCCTTCATCTCTCCAAACTTATCATTGAAACACTCTCCTGCTATCTGGAATAGCAGCATAGAATCGAATCGACATCGGAATCGCTTCCATCTACATCCTATCGCCCATCGGTCACGCATGTCAGAGCAGAATTCCGAACGTCACTCTCCACAACACCTCTGCACGTGCTTGCCAATAAAGTCACCACACACGGCAATGCACAAACAGAGAGAAGACCACATCTTCTGGCCTACGTAGTTTTCCTTGATAGCTCGCAATTGCGTGTCTTGTGAACCTGTGAAGCGCAATTGTGCGGTGCTTCATTCAGCCCTGCGGGACATTCGCAATAACTCGCCGTTCACCATGGGGTCAATTGCAGATACGTTGAGTCAATTGCGTGCGGCTCGAGACATTGTGCTCCACGATCCCACGCCATATCCGCAGGTCGTTGCCGGGATTCTTCAGGTCGTCTCGCCTGCAGCCCAGATAGAAGCGCGAAGATGGGGCGCAGATTTCCTTGCCGAATCATTCGCGTCTCCAGTGGTTGCTGCAGAGGTGAAACAACAAATGGCAGTGCTTGTCCTGGACACACTAGGAGGCTGGCTAGACAGGCAGAAGACGATGGGCCAGGAGGAGGATGTATGCGTGGTGAAAAGCGCGATTCAGTGCGCTGCGAGCATATATCCTTTCGTGTTTAGGCACACAGTCACAGCGAGTGACGCGAATGTGTGGAAGAAAATGAGCGACATCAAAAGTACTATCTTGGGGAGGATGGACACTGGCAACCCGGGCGTGAGAATATGTTGCATCAAATTCGCAACCTGTGTGGTCCAGACGCAAACTCCGGGCACGATTGCAGATCCACGGCGGCCGGAGCGAAACGAAATCAGTCTTGCTCTGCTCCCGCGCGAACATGCTGTAGTCTCATCTTCCATCCTCGAGGCGCAGGCTTCAGGCCTGCTTGACAGAGTGCTTTCAGTGTTGCAAGACAGTTCTGATGACGCTTTGATCGTGACTGCAGCTCTCAATGCCTTGGCTCCCTTGGTTCAGAAACGAGCAAGTATAACGGCCAAGATCATAACTGCAGTTCTCAACTTCGATCCCTTCAAGCTCACGCGTAAGACGATGACTGGAAGGGACAAAATAATAGTCCGAAGTTTGACCCGAACGACAATGTCGTTTTTGCTGAACAACTTCAAACTCGCCAAGAACAATATTTTTGCAGGTCGGATTCAGCAGCATCTGGAACGCATGAAGGTTACTTTAAACGAAGCATTTTCCGAAGCACATCAGCTGAAGCGACGGGCCCTGGACATGCCCGTAGATGGACTCGATGACACAAAACGTCAGCGACTCAGTGCTGAGCCGGCTCATAGTGTAGCGCAGCTTCAGCAGCCGGACGCCTTTGCGCCGTTGCCTGATGGCCCTATCTCGCTTGCACAACTATTCACGCTCACAAGAGATACAGCCGTGAGCACATTCCCGGTACAAGGCCTGAATGCGGATATCATCACTCAGCTCATACCTGCCGTAATTCAGACTTTGAGTCAAGAGCGGATCGAGCAGGTTGTCAATGCTGTTCGCAGTAGGATGGATTATCTAAGCAAGAGTGTGCCAGCTCCGGCATCTGCTGTCGAAGCGGTCAAAGCAGTAATTGGCGAAGATGATGATGATGATTATGATCCAACTATGAACTTTGAGGGCGATCTAGAACAAGTTACGAACGAGCTTGATCAACTGCCCCCGGAAAAGGTTGCCACTGACGTGGCCGTCGGTCCCTTCAACCTACCCTCACCCACTCCCCTCACGGTCGCAGCTCGAGACGACTACAGCAAGACGGCATTGACTAGAGTGTTTGAAACTCTCGCCGAGATAGACAAGGAAATACGGTCACGAGGTGAGAATCTTTCCCCATGGGTGTCTACGTGGTTCAAAGTATTACACCTACTGACATAACATACAGACCTCGAAAAAGACCAAAAGGCAAAGAACAAACCAGGAGAATCTGAAAAAGGATTCAACCGTTTAGCTGCATCACTTCTGAGCGGTCATGATAGAGAAGGCTGGCTCACACTGCTGACGCGGTTAGCGACGCGCAGCTCGTTGCATGCCACCGACGGCAATCAAAAGGCCGAAAACCAGAATAGAATCGCTCGCAAGGATGGCAGGAAATTTGACCTGTCGAATGGCATCCGCCAAGCATTGATGAACTACATCATGGAGAATTTCCGTGCTAGGATTGACGTGGCCATCATGTGGCTTAGTGAAGAATGGTACTCTGAACGAGTGGTCAAGAACGACAGCAATGGCTTGCCAACGTACTGGCATTGGACACTCCGGCTTTTCGATGCTATGACAACCTACTTTGACATACGAGATGGCAAAATCTTGATACGATTTTTGTCCGAAGTCCCAGCCATTAACCGCGATATGCTGAGACTTGCGAAGAAAATCGCCCAGGACCCTGATCGAGTACAATTGACGGTCAACGCATTATTGTACCTGATCATGTTTCGACCACCAGTGCGGGAAGCGGCCATCGACTGTGTAGCTGAACTATGGCAAGAAAATCAAGATGCGAAGCCTGCAGCTGCAAAAATACTTGCCAAATATCGACCGGCGGTAATCGAGAAGGCCAATAAAACTCCTGTGAAGGAAGAGGCGTAAGGTCGGAAAAGTGCTGGGATCAAAATGGCGCAAGGACTGATGTTTACGGCCAAAATGAACCGAGTTGATCCAGCTCGCATATCAATGTTGTCAATGGTGTTGGGAGTGCGGTGAACGGGCATGATTTCGTTGAAGATGTTGATTGGCAGCACCTGTATTCTACGGGGTATTGGGTTCAACAGGTATTTGAATGGGTACTTGTCAATGTATGATTAGCATCCGTGTCTGTATACCACCTTTTGTTGCTCGAAGACAACTTGACCGAAAAATTAAGTATTCTGATGTCTGGGCTCCATGTTGAACTTTCAGAGGTGAGCGAAATACGAAGATACTCATGCCGATAAGTCTCAGCACAGTCTGCTGGTCTGCTATCATGATGTAATAAATGATATTTGGTATAACGTAATCTATCACCGAGCGGGCCAAATCACCGAACGGGCCATTTTGTCTTGGCATTGTAAACAACATCTTTCCTGTTTATTGTATCAACAACGAGACATGTCATCAGATAATCAAGAAGGTAGAATCGATCTTGCTATCAATGCGTATAGATCTGGTCATTTTCGGAGCCAACGGAGCGCAGCTGCTGCTTTCAATATCAATTATTAGATACTCTCTAAGAGACTCAGAGGAACCAGATCTCGCGAGACTATGGCACCAAACTGTCAGAATCTGACGTTAACAGAAGAACAGACGCTTGAGCAATATATCCTTGACCTTGATTCGCGAGGATTTGCACCTGTACTCTCTGAGGTAGCAGATATGGCTAATAAACTTCTAGCTGTACGAGGGAAAGGGCCAGTCGGTAAATGCTGGCCTAACAGATTCGTTACGCGTTCGGAGAAGCTGAAGATAGCGTTCAGTCGAGCAAAGGATCGTTAGAGAGTCCTCCAAGAAGACCCGGACGTTATCAACGCGTGGTTGACGTTAGTAATAGACACTAAAGCCAAACATGGTGTCCACGACGATGATGTTCACAACTTCGACGAAACGGGCTTCCAGATGGGTATTATTGGATTAATGAAAGTTGTTACAGGTTCAGAGAGACGAAAAAGACCGACACTTATTCAACCAGGCAACCGCGAATAGGTGACAGTAATACAGAGCATTTGCGCTGCAGGCTATACAATCCCTCCCTTCATTATCTACAAAGGGCGCGTCCACATCTCTACGTGGTATGAAGAGGCTGATATCCCTTCAGATTGGAGAATCTCGGTCTCTGAGAACGGCTGGACTAATAACGACCTTGGTCTGGAGTGGTTGAAGCATTTTGATACGCATACACGGACGCGTCAAGTAGCAGGGTATAGGCTACTCATTCTCGACGGCCATGAGAGCCATTTGAATCAAGCATTCAAGGACTATTGCCTCGAGAACAAGATCCTCACTCTGTGTATGCCTTCACATTCGTCTCACATCCTTCAGCCTCTCGACGTAGTGTGTTTCTCACCGCTAAAGAGCAAGTACTCTGAGCGTGTCAGAGGCTTGGCACGAAATCGCGTCTTTTATATCAACAAAGGGAACTTCCTTCCAGCCTTTAAGGACGCGTTTTTCGACGTGTTTACGAAAGAGAACTGTCGAAAGGCCTTTGAGGCAACAGCGATAGTCCGTACGGACGCGTAAACAGTTATTGATCGTCTTGATCTACGTTTGCACACCCCTCCTCAACAGCTATTACCGGAAGCAGCATAGGAGTCCCAAACACCGAGCAATTCGTATGAGTTTGGATCTCAATCCAAGCTTATTAGCCGCTCTTTCCTTAGGTCTCCGCCCGAAGCTAAAGAAGGGTTCTCACAATTAGTTAAAGGTGCTGAATTGATGCTTCATTAGAACGTGCTGCAATCTGCACGGATTACAGAGCTTGAAGAGCAATTAGCAGTCTTGACTAAGAGAAGATCGCGTAAACGGAAGCAGATCCAGCAAGGTGGATCTATAGAGTATGGTATTGGAGCATCACAGGCAATTGTACAGGCGGGTATAGGTGCTCAACGATCAAAAAGGACTTGTAATGAAGCTGAGTCTGAACGAGGACCTCCAACTCAACGACGATGTAGAAACTGCGGAATAGCTGGACACAACTCACGAACTTGCCAGACAGATAGAGATGCTCCTTCTGAACCATATCCTAGCATAGCAGATGTATAACTAAGTGTGTGGTTGAATAAACAACGGTTGTAGTCACCTCAGTTGTAATGCCAAGACAAAATGGCCCGTTCGGTGATTTGGCCCGCTCGGTGATAGATTACGTTACATGTTTTACAGCTCTTTGTACTGTTGATCAATTGCCCTGAATTCGGCATTGGTGGGTATGATAGGGAGTTCGGAAACCCTGCCGTGCTTGCGCAGACAATAATTTCATGGAACCTTTAACGCGCTGACCCAGGATCGGACCGCTCTCCTCAACGCGCGTGCAATCCACGAGTATCGAACCGCGTTGTCATGGGAAATAGGGTCCGGAGGATCGAAATGAATGCCCGCTCATCCCTCGGAAGTCGTTCTCTACACCATGGCATGCCTACATTGTTTCGCAAATCGGTGCTAGAATATCCTCAGCAGAACCGCTTCACCGTGGTGCGACTCCGGCTCTCAGATTTCCCGAAGCTGGTAAACATCAGCGATGAAAACTTATCCGTCGCTAGATCAGGATTCACCGCACTTCGTCAGTTTCAAGGTTGAGACTAAAATCATGCCCGGCGGCACGACAACACGAGGTATGTGCATTTACTTTCATCATCTGGCATAAGCCTCTATCGCGAGCAATGCTCCACAGCGCGTTTAGAGAACCCTGTAAAACGCTTCAAATTTCGACACATGCGACTTGCCGGAGTAATACGCTTGAGGAGAATCGGCAAAGGATACAGTCTTCCGCTCACCATAAGCCTCGAAAGCTCATTGGGATTTTGTGGATGCCGTGATTCGTCGAATCATTCGTTTACTTACCACCTGCGACCATAGCGCTATCCCTTTCGCCAGTTGTACAGAAGCACGGTGTAACAGTAGAGCCTACCAGCCCTTCTGCCATGAGCAGCAACCATGCGACAACGAATATAGGTCTATTGACACCACTCGGAAACGGAATGCGGAGGACTTCGGGCGAGGCACTTGGCTCGCAAAAGATGAGGGAACAATCGCCAACGCCATCACTCAACGGCAATGCGACTTTCGCCGCCATGAATGCATCACCGAGCGCGGAAAATAACCAGTGGAGCTCTGCTGTGGGCCACGCGACGACTGGCGGTAAATCTGGGCGGGTTATCGAGAAGCTCATGACGGAGAATGATAGGCTAAAGAGAGAGCTGAATGAGCAGGTCATCAAGGCGGAGGAATTGCAAAGAAGCATGCAAATGTACAAGCCGAAGATCGATGCGTTGCAAGCAGAGAATGACAACCTGAGCCATGCTAGGGGCGTGGACTCGGCCCTGATTTCGCGGCGAGACCGAAAAATCGATGAGCTAAAGGCAGATTTGACGCAAGAGAGGCAGCGCCGCGCAGCAATTGAACAACGGTCACGGAATCTCGAGCGGGAACGCGACGAAGCAGTCGAGGAGAAGAACCGAAACATTCAGACGTTGACAGAGAGTACAAAGCACGCTATCGTCCACGCACAGATCCTTGAGACAAGTCATAAGCAGCTTTCCGCAGAATACCGGGCCCGGTTCGAAGCCTCAAAAAAGGATCTTACAGCTCTACGAGAAGAGCGAGAAGACCATCGAAGTCGTCTCGCTAGGCTAGATGTTGTCAACGATCAAATGAGACAAGAGCTCGAGCGAACAAAGAAATCACATAACGAGATGGTGGCCGTGTGGGAGGAATATCAGGAGACCTCCCAGGAAACACTGCAATCTATGGATCGGCGATCGGCGATCGAGACCGATCGTGTGCGAAAGTTGAACGAGGAAATGACGGAAGTTGTTCATGAAATGCGATGGGTCATGGGTCTGAAGAAGAATCTTCGGGTGGACAGCAAAAGTGGTCCTGCGCCATGAGCTTGAACACGACAACCAAAACCATTATTTGATCTGGGTTTTAGCGAGGCGCTTGATGGTGTGGTCGACCTTTTGATCTTTATTCATCTGACCAAGAGCGGCCAGAATGTGCACATGGGCATGAAATGATTACTTGCATCACAGCGACACGGCGTTCAGGAATCTGGCTCAAGGAAGAGCTATGTTTTGTACAAATCTGATGCCTCCATCTGTGGATACTTGCCGTACAAAATTTGCATGCAGCCTTGGAACTTACGGGGACGACTTGAACACCTTCATCGGCCGAAAGGTGACCATTCATGACCGGAGAACGGTAGGCTCGTCGGAAAGCACGAGGGAAGTCACTCAGCACAGCAGCAAAGTACCTAGGTAAGTACGCCAAACGCACAATGCCAATATAACAAGGGTCTATTCCGGAGCGTTTCGTCGTCCGCAGCCAAGTGCAGCTCAGTCGCCTTTGAGATCCGCAACTACGATTGATAAAAGATCTGAATATCGTACCCATATGCCTTCAAAAGCCCGCGTGTATAGGTTTCGTGAGGATGCTGTGCCTCTTGATACTGGCACGACTGGCAACCTGCCCGGGTGCTCGTAGATGCGAGACTACCTACCTAGGTAGGTGATAATCTATATGGAGGACGGAAGCCCTGGAGTGATGAGTCTCTTTCACATGCCGGGTGGGCCACATTTCACTTGGAAGGCGCATCACGGGTACTTGCAGGAATTTGCATCCTCCACAACACTTCTTCCGAAAAAGCACTGCCGTGTCACATAGACCAAGACAGTTGACGATCGTTTTTCCAATTTTCGACTCTCTACCGTCATTTACTCATCCAAAGATATCTCTAGAATCAATCACCTTTGACGAACTCTCGCCCGATCAGCACGTATCCACGAGATGGATGGAGTGGGCAAAGCGCACTACTTCCATGCGTCTCTTCATCGATTCGACAAGATCGCGTGTGCGACGATCTTTGAAGATCTACATAACGAACTCAAAGATGCAAGAGTACATTGTGAATATGACGATAGCCTTGACATATTCTATGTCAACAGTCCCAGCGATCTGGGTCTGCAAGCCGACGAGGCGTTTTGTACCATCCTGCAAAGGCACATCAAGCAGGCGACAGATAACGACCGAAATAGTGCGCATGATGTAAGCTGTCAAGAGAAGACCCGACGCGTCGATGCAAAGCTGATAGCAACAGCAGCTTGGAAGTTCGATCAATCAATTTCCCGAAAGCCTATGTACCCCTCTGGCAGCAGTCGGTGACCTTGACGCGCTGAGTCAAGCTTCGGACTCTCAAGATTCGCCTCACAAATTCGTGACCAAACATGTCATTGTTACCAACGCTAAAGCTGTCCAATTCTTTAGACGCTCTTCCCTTGACACGAGCTTCGTCCAGCGCGTACTGATGCCGGACGCAGTCCTCGAATTCGCTGCGGAGGCTCACTCTTGCTTTGCAGTTCTGTTCAATCAGAAGGAGCAGCGCTATGTCTTCAATGGCAAGAAGGCAGATTCAGCAAAGGAGTCTACTGCTGGCTTGAGAGGCATCTTTGCTAGGTGCGATTTTCCTCTGTTGGTGCTGTCGACTAAAGGTGAGGTGCATGCAGATGGCGAAACAGTCGAACGGACCGGTCCTTCAGGACCCGGAGCCATTTCAAATTGGCTGGACAATGTCAACATTTTCCACATAGTCGAGCCAAGCGTCAACGAAGGGGCTTTTACATCCGTTGTAAGCCACGAGTCTGAGCGAACGACTTTCGAAGCTCTGCTGGATCCCCATCCTGACATCAATTCGAACAATCCAAGCCCCAATGTCAATCTTAAGTCCTCTGTCACATCACCAGATCCCATTCCATTGAGCTTGACTTTCGAGAGTCTACTTCAGGATGATGGAGCTGTATCTAATAAGCCCCACACCGGCCCTACCGCAGGTGCTCTGACCGTGTGCGCCAAGCAAGGGCGCCGCCAGGATGGGATGTCGGAGCTCGACTTGCACCGCACAGAATCTGGATTCAGTAGGGCAAGTGAAATGGACACAGAAAACCTGTTGCCCTCTTATGGCAAACAGTTCGCAACTGTCGACAGGATTGGCCTGACGGCCGATCCGGCGAGCACAGCCCGATGGGAACTTGTCAATGTCAGGTCTCTAGGCCGCAAGATTGCAACGACGTGCTCAAGCACACTTAGGATTCAGCCACAACAAAGGGCCATTGGCAAGACGGATGGCACCCCAGGAAGAGGCGACTCCGCCCTCGAGCATTCTAGGTCCTCCAAGGCTACCATGAAAGTTCAAACGTCGCTGAACTTCAATGACCTTATGTCATTCGACGCTGCAGAAGAACCCGCAACCACCGTGCAACAATTTCCAGACAACTTCGCCGCCACCAGAACTACGATGAATCAGCGGGCGAAAAACAAAGGCAGGGGAGCTAAGGGGGACAGGGGTAAATGCAAAACGGGCACAGAGAAAACCGTCGTCAGATTACCACTCCCTGACCCCCTACCCGCGAGGAAGAAATTTGCAGACCCAGCGAATAAGGCGTCGGAGACGAACAAGGCTCAAAACGCCAGTCCAGAGGGCCAGCAACGTGGGCGTGACGTTACGTTCATTTCCATGTCGGAGGCGCGTTCACTGCAGTCCGGGTTCCGGGATTTCGTCGATACGTTGCAACAGTGCGTCCAACGCAAGTCTGGTATGCTGCCGGTTAACGATGCCGATGACGAAGACGATGCAAATGATGATCTTGCGCACACGGGGACGAGAGTCAAAGCGACTATCGAAGTTGGAACACTTGCCATGCTTCCGCTAGACAACACCAATCACCTATCGCAAGCTGGTACTCCGAATCGGATTCAGTCGGCGTTGAATTCCGAAAAGAAAAGTTATGAGACCTATCTATTCCCAAGGATCACGACATTGATTGGCGATGCGGAAATTCTCGTGGACGCGCTTCCTCCATACTTTAAGATGGCCGAGAAGGAAGTATCATATGATATGGGAATTCAAACAGCAACGGAATACAACACCATCAGATACAGGCCACCGGGTGCTATGGAAAGCCCAAGTTATGATCTACAGCAGCAAATCCTCCGTCAAGGAGTTCAATACATGCATTGCGCAGATCATGTTTGGGATGCACAGGTCAAAGTTACCTCAACGAAAGCGAAGGATCGTTTGGAACCGGAGCTTGACCACGCCGTCACTGAATTTCTGAAGTCCATGCGAACAGATGGTTCGCCCCCTTCATTCATTGGCGCGTTTGATCTAGGGGTATTTGAGCCTCAAGAGATCCTCGCCAAACGCATTGTGACGTACACAGGCGGTGGCATTTCATTCGTCGTGACGGAGGTGCAAGACCTCTCGCTCACAGAGCGAGACAATCAATCGCTCAACTTCCGAGCTAGGGTTCTGTCCCGGGAGGATATGCTCAAAGAGCAAAGAATCTGGTATGAGGCTCGATTTGAGACCAATGAACTTGCTCGTCTGTCAGCAATGCAAGGCCTGGCGATCAATTTCCTGTCATTGATTGACAATGTGGGCTCTGAAAATCGCGGTCCGTCAAGTTTTCAAGCATTTCGACGTCCCGATCAAGACGTGATGCGAAACAAAGACCGTGTGGTCATGGAAGGTCATGTTTATTGGTGACCACCGTTTGAACTCTTGCAGCCTTATAATCGTCCGACGCTCAAGGCCAACGAAGATGATTGGGTGTTCGCCGAGCAGACAAATATAACTGCCCTGACACTCTGCCAAGTTACCTGTTGGCTGCTGCATGTTCCTATGGCTTGCACACTGCTGAGCATGTTTGAAGAGCATCACATACTGTTTGTCAGTATAATTACAAACTTGCTTTTTGAAGCGGACTGTCTCCGATGGTCACGCGGCCTGCGTGCACCGAACTATTGCTTTTTATGCTTAGAGTAGAGAAAATTAGCACCGACGACAACAAGCCCATTATCCTGAGCCCAGTCTCTAATGCCAGCTCCTGCCTGGCCGTAGCCCCAGTTGTACTTGTCACTAGGCTCGCTCAGATTCAGCTTGTCAGTGGTGCCGTTCTTGGGCGAGAGTGCAACAAAAATGTAGCGGTGCCGGCCCGTCTTCTTTGGTGGTCCTGGAGGAGTGTATGACATGATTTCCGTCAACTCAGACGTGTCTGGTGAACTATCGTTGCTCTTGCCCGAGGAGAGCTGCACATCCGTGACGAGCCAATGGCAGACCTGGCCCCAGCGTGGGTCATCTCGACTTGGTGCATCAGGATCGGACATTGCCAAAGTGAGTTGCGGGTGCTCTCCTGTGAAACTCGACGATGCTTCTGGCAGCAGGTCGATGAGCTGTATGGTCGGCTTGTGCTTCATCTTCTTGGGCTTTACTGTATTGCCGATGTTGGCTTGCGCCTTGGGCCAGCTGATGTTGATGCTTAGTAGTGGCACAAATTCGTCAATTATGGCTGGGATTATCTGCGCTTCTTTGAGTCTGCCGCAGACATATCAGTCACGTTCTGAACGCTACTCAGCAGAGCTACAGTTGCTCACGCTTCGACAAGATCATATTGGCTAAGCGGAAGTCGAAGCGGCTGTTGTGCAGATCCGGTGATTTCGCCATTACAATGAATCGAATACGCGAGCGCTGTCAACGCGATGCTGATCTTCATAGCTACCTAAGTAATTAAGTCCAAAACTGTAGCCCTTTTTGCTGTTGTTGAAGGCCCGGGGTTCTTCAATTCATAACGGAGAGAGCAGGTGTGCGGTTGTTGATCGATGAGGAAAGTGATCGCGTGCTTCCCCACACTTCCAAGGTCCCCAGGTCACAAGGTTGGGGTTGTTCTAAGGGTTCGCAGCTGCATCAATTGAGCATGACGCTGCATCGACATGCAGGAACCATACAGCTCCGAATGGTTTATGAGACGGCGCCATATCCTAGACTGCAGTAGCGGTGGGTGATACACAGTCTCATGATTTTGAATCGCGAGTGTTGCGATGGGCATCTATACAAGATCCCTGGTAGGTATTGATGGGAACCTAGGAAGATTGGAAGATTGGAAGTGGGAACTCAAGTCTGCACCTCCCGGGCTGGGGATGCTCTGGTCCTATTGATGCGGTGATCATCTCGTATGTTGACGATACGCAATGCGGTGGCCGCTGTGCAAAACACGCGCCGAAGTCAACCTGCACGTGGTTTCAGTGGTACCATACGCCACGCGATCGTAGCTCTTGTGCCTTTACGTATCATCATCATCCGTGACTCGAGGAAAGGTGTATCACCTGGCACTCTCAAGTTCAACTGGCGGTCCTGCTCTGCACCTCTGCAGCAAAATCCAGCCTTGACCCATACCTCGGGGCCAATGCAGTCCATTCAAGACTACGCAATCGAGGTCTGTACTATGTTGAGGACACATGCAATGTCTTCTGCTGGGCAGAACGATTGGACGTTGCCAGTCGCGTTGTTGGCTTATCGTTTCATCACCCAATATGCTATATGCGTCCGGGCCGTCCACATATGAGCGAGCAAGCGATTTCCGGACACCTGGACACTCGATAACAAATAATTCTGGACGGCATCTCATGGTGATCGCCTTCGCTGCTCACGCAAGGCATATAGATACAGGTGAGCCAACTTGGTCGTTGCCATCGTCGAATTTCTAAATACTCGGGAAGCTTGGACGCAATCACAAGCCGAATTTCACCCTCTCCAGCCATATGCGCGAAGTGGGTTGGTGACGCTCATCACGTGACTTGACTATCTCGAACTTGGCATAAACAAACCGGCTGTACTGTCCGGAGGTTTCGGCCAGGTCCAAGGAGTGGTGGTTGAGTCTACCATCTCCAAATCGTTTTGCCCAGCGGACGAGACGGTTGTCTTCATCCTCATCTCTCAACAGCATCAATCCGACGGTCTCTAGAATATTGCGCCGCCTGGCGTTCGTCCACAAGGAGTGTTCCGACTTCGATCGCGTACCGAGCTATCCCGAATTGGAACGGAGCAAAGAGCAAGCCATCTTTGAGATTTATCTGCTGAACAGCAGCAACACTTCGCATCAGCATCCCGCGGATCACCTATCAACATGGCTGCTCTCGGCGAAGACCTGCTCGGCGTTGTCAACAAGCTACAGGACCTTGTCTTCAACACAATCGGCAACGACTCCCTAGACCTGCCGCAAATTGTGCGTTCTAGACTTGAGTTTACTTTCACTGTCATGCAGCCTCACTGACTCCAGCGAACAGGTCGTTGTAGGCTCGCAATCTTCAGGCAAATCTTCCGTGCTCGAGAACATCGTTGGACGAGACTTCCTTCCGCGCGGCAGTGGCATCGTCACTCGAAGACCTCTCATCCTACAATTGATCAACATCCCTTCTGAGCAACCCGAAAATCCGAGACATGAGATCCAAATACCGCAAACGTCTGCATTGATTGCCGGACAGGATGAATGGGGGGAATTCAATCACATGCAAGGGCGCAAATTCTACGATTTCACCGAAGTCAAGAGGGAGATTGAGAACGAGACGGCACGCATCGCTGGCAGCAACAAGGGAATCAATCGATCACCGATAAACTTGAAGATTTACTCTCCCCATGTCCTCAGTCTCACACTTGTCGACCTACCAGGTCTGACCAAGGTTCCGATTGGCGATCAACCGACCGACATCGAGAAACAGACCCGCAACCTCATCTCAGAGTACATCGCCAAACCGAACAGCATAGTTCTAGCAGTCTCGCCCGCAAACGTAGATCTCGTCAACTCAGAGGCTCTCAAACTTGCTCGTCAAGTTGACCCGACTGGAAAGAGAACGATCGGAGTCCTCACGAAAATTGATCTCATGGATCATGGCACCAACGCACTCGACATCCTTTCTGGTCGTGTCTATCCGCTCAAGCTGGGTTTCATCGGTGTCGTCAACAGGTCGCAGCAGGACATTCAGGGCAATAAATCGATGAGTGACGCTCTGGCTTCTGAACGCGAATTTTTCAGAATGCACCCGGCATACCGAAATATCGCCTCTCGCTGCGGCACGCATTTTCTCGCGAAGACTCTCAATCAAACCTTGATGACACACATCCGTGAGCGGCTACCTGATATCAAGGCTCGCTTAAACACACTTATGGGTCAAACACAACAAGAACTTGCCTCGTACGGAACGGATGCTTTCACTGGAAAGGAGCACCGGGGGTCGCTTGTACTGCAACTCATGACTCGTTTTGCAACATCATTTATCTCATCCATAGATGGTACATCATCAGAGATCAGCACAAAGGAACTATGTGGTGGTGCGCGCATCTACTATATCTTCAATTCTGTGTTTGGCAACAGTTTGGAGTCCATAAACCCGACGCATAACTTATCGGTTCTCGACATTCGTACAGCTATTCGCAATTCCACCGGACCCCGACCTTCTCTCTTCGTCCCGGAGCTCGCCTTTGATCTGCTTGTCAAACCACAGATCAAGCTCCTCGAAATTCCGAGTCAAAGATGTGTTGAGCTGGTCTACGAAGAACTTATCAAAATCTGCCACACTTGCGGATCCAACGAGCTATCGCGGTACCCACGTCTCCAAGGAAAGTTGATCGAAGTGGTTTCGGAGCTTCTTCGCGAACGCCTAGGCCCTGCTTCATCCTATGTGGAAAGTCTGATCTCAATTCAACGCGCATACATCAACACCAACCATCCCAACTTTCTCGGGGCTGCTGGCGCGATGAGCAGTGTGATGCAGGACAAGCACGATCGGGAGAGAAAGGCGGCTTTGGACGACGAGAAGAGAAAGCGCGATGCGAGAAGAAAGAAAGAGCTGAATGGTGCAAACGGCGAGATAGAAGAGGAGGAAGAGAGCAATACCGCCCCGTTACGTGCTCATGCGAAATCGAAGGACAGCCGGAGTATGAGCCCAGCGATCGGGCGTGACGGCACGCGGTTGTCCCATAGCAGCAGTGCGCCGCAGGGATCGGTGCCAGGCGGAGGCCGGGATTCGTTCCTGAACTACTTCTTTGGAAAAGAGAACGAAATGCGCAATGGGAGCTTACCCGGCCAGTCGGCAGCTGGTCCACTGATGTCTGGTTCAGGAGGAAGACACGTCAGCCAAAACAATGAGCCCAGCATCAGTGGCAGCTTCAGGAGAGGCGACACACGGCCCGTGAGCCAGCCCGAGCCCTTCCAATCCGAGGAGGGCGATCGCGACGAAGGCGCTGCTGTATTGGTAAGTGACTATGAGGTGGCGGCGCGGAGAACTCTGTACTAACTGAACGGCACTAGGATGACCCAGCAGGACCTGCTTTCACTGAGCGTGAAAACCTCGAAACCGAGTTGATCCGACGTTTGATCAGCTCATACTTCGCCATCGTCCGAGAAAGCATCGCGGATCAAGTTCCCAAGGCCGTGATGCATCTGCTCGTCAACCACTCCAAGGACGTAGTCCAGAACCGCCTCGTCTCAAGTCTGTACAAGGAGCATCTTTTTGAAGAGCTACTCTACGAGGACGATGGAGTCCGAGAAGAACGTGAGAAGTGCGAGAAGCTTCTGGCTACGTACAAGGAAGCCAGCCAGATCATTGGCGAGGTTCTATGAGGTGTCAATCCGATCTCTTTTGCCGACCGCCCGCATCGGCGTGTTGTAAAGAATGTACAATGAATGCTGCTTGTCGACGATGCTTCTGTGGTAATGAAGCCACGCTCGCCCCTCCATCAATCCTCCGCAAAACACCATGTTTGAGAGAATATGCAACGTGGAACATGTATTTCGGAGGTCAATTTTTGTATATTAGCCACGACATTAAAGCACGTCTCGCGCCGCCACGGTTATCTGCACCATTTGTGAAACCAATGGATACTAGAGGACGTTGGTGTTCGTGTGATTATGAACCTCAGCAACCTGGCAATATATGAAAGGACTTGATAATGAGGGAAAATTAGGCTTTTCATTTGTCTTGTCGTCGTACACAGTCGAGTTATGCTCAACAATGTACATGCAGACCATTAAATATTAAATTCGTTTTCATGCATGGTCATATATCGTTCGTGTGCGGAGAAGGCCGTCCGAGTCAGCCTCTAGCAGAGGGTGAGGCGGAGGTTGACGTTGTTGTCGGCGCAGCCCTTGACGGAGCCGTCGGGGGAGTCGGCGGAACCGCAGGCGTTGTCGTTGCTGCTGCTGCTCGGGGAGGTGATCTGAGAGTGAATGTTAGCAACCGTTGAAGCGAGTGTGCTTTGACACTATGTGGAGCAATATGATGACTTACGCTGAACTTGGAGGGAGCGGCGAAGGGGTTGCCGTTGACGCTGCTGACGCTCCAGTAGAGAGTGCCAGAGGCGGTCGAGGTGCCCAGAATGAGCTTGGCGGTGTTGGGCGAGTAGTAGTCGCTGTTCAAGGTGACGCCGAGGCTGTTGCCCTGTCCGACAATCTGGGTGACATAGTTGGCTCCGGCCTTGAGCTCGTTGGGGCCGTTGGTCTGCTGGGCGCTGTTGGTGCTGGTCAGGAAGACCGAGTTGGCGCAGTTGTTGGTGACAGTGATGAGGGAGGCGCTGGAGGAAGCAGCGAAAGCGATGACGCTGGCGGCGGCGACGGTGAAACGCATGTTGATGATTGTTTGAGGATTGAAGTTTGAGATGAACTTGAAGTGAAGGAGCTTGGAGGCTGTGGATGTTGCTTGTGATATTTTGTGTTGATGCTGAGGGTGGATGATGCCTATTGATGGTGTTCATCCAGTGGTCTTATATAACCTCGTCGGCCAGAGGGACACGAGGTCCTGGTGAGGACGACCTTTCGTCCGAGTGAGCATCGTCATCGTTCTTCGCTTGGCTTCCTCATTCAGAGGTCTCATCGCCCCGCCGTGATGCATCTGGTGGTCAGAAACGTGTGTGTGCACCCATCTCGAAATACGAGAAGCTAAGTTCATGCCACCTTAGCTTGACACACCCGCCGATCACAAAGGGCATTGCTCTCCAGGGCTCATAGCACGCGGTCTTGACCACAGGTATAGAGTCAAAGATGAGGCCCTGCCATATACGACAGATCCGGATCTCTCGGTCTCTAGCGGGCCATTTGAGAGCGACATAATCAGATGCTTGCGTCGATGGTCGTATTGAGGTGCAGACGCTACTGTGTTGAGGTCGTACGCACTATCGGAAACTCTCTATTTTTACTTCACAAGCTAGACTGAAGTGCCTAAGCTTAGAAGAACTGTAGCCCTGGATGGGGTAGTTGGAGTACACCTGCATACAACAGTATAGTTCCCTCGGCACGGTAGCATTTTGACTTAATACACGGTACGGTGGCTATCTGAATTGCAACGACGTCATGCCCGCCGGCACAGCCCGGTCACGGCATTGCAACGTGCAAAGTCCCGAAGTCGTATCGCCAAGCTCTCGGTCGTCCGGAGTAGCAGCCGATCACTCGTAACGTTGCCCTGATTGATGCCAAAATTGGCAACCCAGAACAAACGCTCCCGCCACAGCCATGGCCACCACGAGTCTAACCATGACAGTGCTTGTCTCGCGTAAGTTGTTTGTCTGCAGCCAGCAAAGACAACAAAACAATGAGACACGTCACGAGATTCGCAATAGCATCTCCAGAATGCTACACAGTCCCTTGAATGGCTTGAAGCTTACCAAGCCCCGCGCCCTGAATCGGTTGAGGATCATTGCGCATTGCGCAGGCTATTACGCTGCTATTCGGACTGTCGCGGACTTTGCCCACGTCAGATCATCTGCGCCCATCTGGCGATGGAGAGCTCCTGATTGCGACAGATGTCTTGTGATTTATGCGTAAGAATGTCATTGATTTCAAATTATCGTTCAGCTGGTGCTCTGCTTGGCCTTGGCTGCGGTAGAAGCGGCTTCTGTACGATTCCCAACGTCAGACAGGCTGCCAGGTAGGTCCACAAGGTATGTTCGCAACTGACCTCTTCGTGTCGCGTCCTCCAGTAGTGGGGTGTCGATCGCATTTGCTGGAAGGTGCACATATCGCACCACACTTCCACGGATGAAGACGTTTTTCACAGAGCTCTGCGAGCGATCAACTCTCAGCGGATATCCTCATCTTCTCCCTCCACCCCCGCAGCTCTTTCCGACTCACTAGGTGTGGATATTTGACTTCATCGACGACCGAGATATCATCTAGCTTGATGTTCAGGTATTGATCGACGGATTTGAGGGTACCGCGGATGAGTATGTCGTTCTTCAATTCAATGGTGACCTCGTGCTCAACTAGCGTCTTGAAGAAGCTGAAGAAGAGCATGTTTGCGACGTGCTGGGGATATTCTGCAAAACCACAATGTTCAAGTCGTCGATTCTTTCTTAGACTTGATCTCTGTAGTTGCTCTGAGCCGCGCGCCGTATAGTGTGTTATATAGTACGCCGTATCAATCAAATAGCCCGAGCCCTGGAGGATCACATCTCCTGCTGATGATGAAGCGGCATCAGCACCTTCCACATTTCAACAATATATCGCAGAAATACCTGTGCTATAGCAAGGATCATCAGCGGAGTTTGTGGCGACTTTCATGTGCACACCAGACCACTGCTGGCTTTTTCACGTAGACTGTGGTGTTCGGACGATGGTTTCAGACCCACAGGCCAGCTTCAGTGTACAAATGCACATCGCCTGAAAGAGGTGAAGCACAAGCAACTTCGTCCATCAGCTGGTTCAAAGTGCGAGTTTTGAAATGATGAGTGCCGTGTCCTGAAAAATAAGTTTGACATCGTCGGTAGAAGTGGCAGGACGTCACCCCGCGCCTCGAAAATGGCTCCACAAACCCTCGTGATTACCTGTTGGCGACACTGCTTGATTGCTATGTCCTGACCTGTCATGACCCGCAACGAGTGTCTGGACACAACTCGCACTCAATCCTTACCACACCCATCTCGTGTACCGTGAATGGCTCAATCTGAGTGGGACCCGGCAGCAAAAGCGCTGACACCCATAGGCAAGTACAACACCACGCTAAACGTATGACGAGTAATCAATTCCGACAGCAAGATCTGATTCGTCATCGAGGAAATGCCCAATTCTGGCGTCCATGCTTGCTTAAATGCAATACTGATCAAAGTCCCACGTCTCTTCCGGCGGCAAGAGTTATGCACGACTGAAAGCAATGCCTTCGCCCATCACAGACTCACAGTGCGTAAAATAGTACGCGGAAGAAACGTTTCATATCATTGTCGCTATTCCTCGTTCTTTGGGGATCTTCTCTTCATTGGTTCAAGCCTATGCCACTCTGAACCTCATATCCTTGTGACTTTTGCGTCAATCAGGACATACTCCGGGGACTGATTCCTGCGAGGACAACAAGCATATCAAGACGACATGCTGACCGGACGCCGTGATCATCGTGATTCAAGCGGAACGCGACCTGTCTGGATATGCAGGGCGCCATCCGTCAAGGGAAACAGGAACCTCAATAACTCTCCTTGTACGTTGCAAGCAGCTCCATCTCGGCGATAAATGCCTCGAACATGACAATTCACGGGATTCGGGGCTTCACAATATTCTCCAGGACTATGTGCAGGAGATCTAAGTCATCGCCAACGATGAGGTGACACTCTAAGTATAGCAAAATGTTTCGTGATGGAGGCCTCGCAAGGATTCCGCAGACGATGTCTCCCACGCAGTTCAGAAGTGTTGTAAGTTAAGTTGAAGCAGTGCAAGTTACAATTTCGCTCGAGTTGTCCCATTTTGTAAAGATCTACGAATTTTCCACTACAGTCATAATTCAGCGTACAACGAAAGCCGTTTACGCCGCTCCAGTGATTCGTGAGGTTTAGTTAGGGTGGCACACGAAGCTGCTGATCCTGTCATTCCAGTACGGGCCTGGCGGACCCGCAGAAGAAAGGTCACTGTAACCGGGAGAGAAGGTACCGAAATGTCCCTCATTATCGTTGCAATTGAAGTTACTATTGGCTCAGCGTTAGTGCATTGAATTGTGCGAGCACACCTTTGGCTCGATCTTCATTCTTAACAACGTACGAGTAGAACAGGCAATACTTTGGAGAATCCGGGCCGACCGAGCTGATCTTATCGTTCGAGTCCGGTCCAAGGTTGACTTCACAGATTACCGTTAGCCAAGTCGCAAATGTTGCTAATATCTAGTAAGAGATCCTCGAGGAGCTGGCACTCACCACATGTGTACTCCTGGACCACAAGGTGAACACAGAAACCACCGAAGTTACGCTCGTTACAAGCGTATACTCCGGCGTTACCGCGTTTCTCCAGAGCGGAACCTTCACTGCTGGGCTTCAATTCCTCTGGCAGTCCATTGGGGTACTCGGTCACCGTAACACCCTCTGGATACGCGAAAGGGGTGCTTGGTAGAGCAGCAGCTGCTGCCACGAAGACAGAGGTGACTGCGAGGAAAAGCATTTTTGGGATGAGCTTTCGCTGATAGGTGCTTGTTGATGGGGATTGTAGATGACAAGCCAGCAGGCTACTGATGGTAAGATTGGAGTTTCTGGCGTGCGTCGGACCGGTATTTATGTCTTTTGCAACACCTCGCTGACATGATCTCAATAGTCCCAGTCCGCATGTTTCCAGCCATCATCTACATTCACCGACAAGTTCGAAACCGAGGTAAAGGTACCGTGAAGATGGTAGAAGCCCTATTCAGGTCGTCGAAGCGAGCGTGCATGAGTTTTGATGCATCTGCTCCACAAGATTGTACTCGTGGCATTGCTGGAACAGCTTCTTCATGTCATAACATGACTCGATATCGTATGCCATGCTTGGTCAGTGGCCGCTTGCTGCTCGAACCATCAAAGTACTGACATCCTATCCCCTGATGCTGCATCTTGCATGTGTGACTGAGGATCCACTCTGCAAGACTATCGAACAGGATGGTGGCTTGCATGGGAGGATTCTCAGCATGTTCACATGGACAGGGCAAATGCCAGATGCATGAGGATATCTTCTTGCTTCAGAGCAGCACGTACCGGACCCGGAGGGTGTGTGGGCATTCAGATGTCTCGATTTGGTCCTTTGCCACGAAAGCCGCCGCTGGTGTAAGGAACGACTAATGGCCGACAGGACGATCCCTTTGAGCCTTCCGATGCCTTAATTGTAAGTCAAAGTGTGTTGTACCGAATGGGATCGTTCGTTCACTCCCTGCATCCACTCTGCGTGTGGCTTCCCTAATGCGTTCCATGGCTGAAGATGTGGACTTGGCGTTGAGGAGCTGCTCACTGCAATCACGTAGCTCGGGGGCAAGCCTCAACTCCTTCTGCAACAATGGTGTCAGCTAGTCGACCTCTATTGGCGGATCTCAGACACGTACGGGGTGTAGGAGGTATGCTTTGGGACGAAGTGGAGCTATATACCTCGCATATCTCAACGATACCATGCTTGGGTTTTCTGCTTTGTGGTCGTACAATCGACCGGGAATAAATTTCGAGGCAAAGCTTCATCAAGCTTCGACGATGGAATCCGCCACAATCGTTAGCTGCGCCAGATCTGGTAGGCCTCAAACGACACGTATAGTTCATGCACATGGATTGCACTGGCAACTAGGTCGAAACACTTGCCCTGCTGACAGCTATTTATTCTGTGATTCCCGGCTTGCCATATCAGGTGTGGGCCGCCGACTCCAACAACTCCTCTCTCCGAAGAGTGTGTAGCTGATACAGTAGTTCTGCTCGGATCGTACGTTGAGCAGGGATCTGGTCATTCCTGCAAAGGGACCTCGGAGTTGCAGCAGATCGGCACGCCTCACGCCGCACATGGCTGCAGTTCAATGCACCATTACTGCTGGCAGGCTATAGATGCTGACGATATATGTATCTTTTGAAAGCTCAATTTCGGCGACCGACGAAGCCTCCATGCTCCATTGAAAGCGCCCCACGTGGGCCCCTTATTCGATGTGCTTACAGAGCTATTTCCACATCTCCCATGATAACGGCCGAATCGTCTCGTTCGTCGTGACAAATGCAATGTGGAGCACATTTGATGCGTTGGTATTCACACAGCAGGAGCAGCAAAGTATGCCTTTTCTTTTCCAGCTTTGCAAATCGATGATCTGCGTCTAGGGCAGCTGGTATGACGGAGTGTTGCATTGAAATGTCCCGCGCGCAAAGCTTGTGTCCATGAGGGGGGACAAATTTGATACCCATTGAGACTGCAGCATTTAGCACTGTCGAGAACATCATTCCATTGTAGGTTGACTTTCCATTGCGTGCTGCATAACACTCAAAAATCATGGCTCCCGCAGCAATCATCGCTCCTTCAATCCTGAGCGCCGATTTTGGCGCTCTGGGTAAAGCATGCTCAGACACGATCGGATTCGGCGCAGACTGGCTGCATGTGGATATCATGGACGGCCACTTCGTTCCCAACATCACCTTTGGAGCACCGGTAGTGACTATGATCCGGCCACACGTGGACAAGCCGAAAGAAGCGTTCGGTAGAGGCACATTCGATTGTCATATGATGATCGCGGAGGTAAATCAGAATTTTGATCCCAGCCGCTCACCTTGTCCATTTTTTCCTGATATGCAGTATTTTCCACACATGTACTTTACCTAATTCTATCGTGCCGCATCTAAACAACACATGATCCTTCATTTCTTTATCAACTCGTGACGATTCATTTTGCTAATCATTCGATCCCTTAACAAGCCTAAGAAGTGGGTCAAGGATTTCAAAAAGGCCGGCTGCGACCTCTACTGCTTCCACTACGAAGCCGCCATTGATTCGACCGCGGCCGATAGCCCGGACGCGACAAGTGACCAAAAAACAAGCCCCAAGGAGTTGATCCGCTACATTCACGAGCAGGGACTGCGTGCGGGTATCGCGCTCAAGCCCAAGACGCCGGTCGATGTGCTATACGACATCCTCGACAATGAAGCCAACAAGGAGGAAATTCCCGATGTCAGTATAAGCGGTTTCTTCAGAAATTCATCTTCCTGCTTCTCTTCCTCATTGAGTCTCATGGTTTATCTGTTCGACCGACCGTATTCTGCTACCAAAGCTGACTGGCCTCTCAGATGGTTCTTATCATGACCGTGGAGCCTGGCTTTGGTGGGCAAAAATTCATGCCGGACATGATGCCCAAGGTTGAGGCCTTGCGGAAACGATACCCGGACTTGAACATCGAGGTCGACGGCGGCCTGAGCGAGAAGACGATCGATGTAGCTGCCGAAGCCGGTGCAAACGTCATCGTGGCCGGGAGCGCAGTTTTCGGTGCCAAGGATCCTGGCGCGGTCATCCAAGCATTGCGAGATGCGGTGCAGAAGCGGTTGTGAGAGACCCAAGGGTGGTGATGATTGAGACGATGATGTGGCGAACGAGACGAGATGTATGTGCATGACGTGGAGTTGGTAGTGAGCACTTATCATCTGAAGATTCAACATGTGATTGCAGTCGTGGGACTGGTTTATCTCATCTAAGGACTATGATGGGTACATTATTCAGTAACATCACGGCGAACGGATTTTTGTACGCCCTTGCTCAAAACACTCGCAGACCCGCCTTGATCGTACAGTACCGTGCTGGATACAAAGCCCGTGTACCTCATGTCGATAAGAATTGTAAAAAGAAAAAGAAAAAGGAAAAGGAAACTGCTCATCGAACACAAAAGCCGCCTCCTCATGATGTAATGCGACTCGCTCGACCACCCACGCCCGTCATATTCATACATCATCAGCTCCAGCTCAATTCGCGGAAGCCGCCAATAGGGATCTTTGTTCGCAGCAGCAGGCTACTTGCAACGACAGTGAGACTGCTCAAAGCCATGGCCAATGCGGCCCAAGCCGGGTCCAGACGCAGGTGTGTACCACCCGAAGTTGTGATGGGATATAAAACGCCAGCAGCAATCGGCAAAGCGACGATGTTGTAAATGGCTGCCCAGAACATGTTGAGGATGACACGGCGGAACACAGCTCGGCTGAGCGTGACAAGTGTCAACACGGCTCGCAAGTCGGAGTGAACGAGGATGAAGGCTGCTGATTGAATGGCAACGTCGGATCCAGATGCAACCGCAATGCCGACATCAGCTGCTGCCAGAGCAGGTGCATCGTTTATACCATCGCCCACCATCGCCACTGTGGCTCGACTTCGCTTGTTGGTTAATCGACTGTGGAAACCTCGTCCCCGCCTGGGCCGTAATGCGCGTTGAAGATAGCGTACTTTATCCGCCTTTTCCGCAGGAAGTACGCCAGCAATGACGTTGTCTGCGTGGATCCCGACTTGCTTGGCAACAGCTCTCGCGGTACTGACATTGTCACCAGACAGCATCCAGACCTCGACACCACGGGCGCGCAAGGACTTGACGACACCGGCAGCTTCCGGTCGCAAAGGATCAGCGGCTCCAAGCACAGCTCCCACGCGCCACTGATGGTCATCGTCATAGGCCATGACGATAACAGAGTAGCCGGACGACTTCCACGTCTCCATCAGGTCGCTGGCTCCTTGAGGAATGGGAACGCCGTGATCGTGCATGAGTCCCTCGTTGCCGACGAGAGCCTGATAGTGTGTTGACGATTTGGAAGACTTGAGGATAAAGGAGGCTTTCATGCCTTTGCCGGCAATCTCATCGGTCGATGTGATCGTGACAGCAGATGGTGATTGAGATTTGCAGAAAGCGATTGCTGCCCTAGCAAGCGGGTGACCGCTATTCTCCTCAACACCCTTGATCACGCCACAGATCGTCGCGGCATCCAGTCCGGCATCGTCGACATAAATGCTGTGCTCAACCACCTTGGGCTCGACTCCCTCGGTCAAAGTCCCAGTCTTGTCAAAGACCACAGCGTCCAAATTGCTGGCTTCTTGAAAGGCCTCGCCGCCACCTTTGACCAAAATGCCACGTTTGGCTGCCATACCACCGCCGACGAACAAAGCTGTAGGTGCTGCGAGGCCGAGACCGCAAGGGCACGCAATGACGAAAACAGCAATGGCGAACTGCAGGGACCAGAATGGCCAGCCACCAATATCATTGTCCAAGTAGTTTCGCGGCAGGACACCAGAAAGGCCGAGGCTGAGCCATACGATCCAGGTAACAATGGCGATGGCCACGACTACGGGCACGAAGTAGGCGGTCAGTAGATCAGCGATGCGCTCCATCGGTGCTCTTTTTGACTGCCCTTCGCGCACCACTTGAATGATGGAGTCCAGCATCGAGGCTCCCGCCGGTTTGGTGACGCGGATCACAATCGAGGAACCTTTGTTGATGGTGCCAGTGAAGATGGCGTCTCCTTCTTTCTTCTTTACGATGCGTGCTTCACCAGTCAAGCTTGATTCGTCAAACGAAGCTTCATCTCCGATGAGCCTGCCGTCGCAAGGTGGGCTGGAGCCCTGCAGGACCTTCACATGATCTCCGCTGTCAATGAGCTCGGCGCTGATCTTTTCGTTGGTAATTTCTCCAGAGTCATCACGTTTCTGCAGGATTGCTTCGGTCGGTCGCAGTTGTCCCAGTGCGGAAATAGCGTCGCCAGATTTCGCCTTCATATGTGCTTCAGCTAGCCTGCCGATCAACAAGAACATGGTCAAGAAGACGACGGAATCGAAATATGATTGTTTGGAACTGCTTAGGAGATCCTCGGCGGGATTGCTTGCGGCAACGATGAGCTGAGCTAGTGATGAAAAATAGGCGATGGTCGTGCCCAAGCTGATGAGCATGTTCATGCTGCCAAATCGATAGAATCGTTTGCCGATCGGTACTGGGCTTCGCGGCCTCCAGAGAGCCCAGATCTCCTTCAGGGTACGCCGGTGGAAATGATCCGCTGCGAAGAGGTAAATTGGGGTGGAAAGTGCGAAAGTTGCCCATTCTGCGAGTGACACTCCATGGACTGGTTGCATGATAAACTTGTAGCCCGGGTCGTCTTCGGCAACCAGGTTCATGTAGATGACTCCGATGATCAGGGTGGGAATTGCTGTGATGATCGACATCAGAGCTCGAATTGCAATCGCCCTTCGTTCCTTGGCCAACATCTCTCGCGACCTCTGCTCCACAGATTTAGGTTTGTAGATGGTCACGTCGAACGAATTGTCAATGTTAATAACCGTGTCAATAATGTGGCGAATGGTCAACCGGGGAGCGTCCGGCACGTATGAAACAGAGACGACAGGCTTTTGTAGCGTGGGTGCTTTTGTAACCTCCACCGGAAGTTGTTTCAGAGCCTCCAGGATGCGCGATGGACACTGTTCACAGTGCATGCCGAGGACCTGGAGAGAGATGGTTCTCTCAGCCGCCGACTCAGCCTGTGCAAGCGGCTTCAATTCTATTAGCGTTGCTTCATACCCGGTGTTATCGATAGCCTCTAAAAGCAATGATTCGTTCTTCTTGCCCGTGAAAACCACTGTGCCCGAGTGAGAAATGAGGTTGATGTTGACACTCACGACGAAAGGCAGCTCCTTGATGATTTCTGTCACCTTGTTTGAACAGGAACTGCACGTCATGCCGTCTATCGAATAAGTGGCTTCCCATGAACCCTCAGCCTCATCACTAGGTTCTGTGTGATGGCTGACGTCGGCAATCGCCTTGATATCGATTGTCTCGGCATCGTAACCAGCGTCTTCGACAGCGGTGATCAGGGTTTTGACCAGGTTATCTTTGTCGGAAGTGGAGAACGTGATCTCGGCGCTGTGGCTGACGAGAGCAACATTTACAGAGATGACATCCGGCACATTTTCTAAGGCGGAGGTGACGTGACCCACGCATGAACTGCATGTCATGCCATCGATCGATAGTGTAAGCTGATATCGAGGTAGGCTCGCAACAGAATCGATTACGGTCACAGATTCGAGCGAATCTGGATGACCCTCGTCAGTGCCTAGGGCGGCACACATCTGGCAATGGTGACCATGCCGTGACCGGACCAGCGTGTCGACGGATGATTGTCGAGAGGGTTCCCATCTCCGAACCGCAGCATCAAGTTGCTCTCCCTTGATAAATGAAGAATCCGACGAGCGGCGGCTCTCAGTGGATGTCGGATCAAAGACGACGTCGAAGACCTCGTAGCCGGCGTTGGTCAGCATTGTGGTCATGGTTGCGGCCTTGACGTCCCTTTTGTGAAGGACAGTGACGATATGATTGACGATGGAAACATTTTCGACCGTGGGAGCGGGCATTATTTCACCGAGAAGCGCAGTGATGTGGCTGACACATGTAGGACAGTGTAGGTTGGGGACGAGGAAGGTAGTGCGTAGTTCGTCGTTTGAACGTGAATGTTTCCGATTTGAAGACATGGTGCCGTGCGCGCACGGATGGGCGAGTTGTGGAACCGAACGTGACAATGGAATTCCAATGGTGAAACGGGTCACCTTCCCTGTCGAAGAGAGCTGTGTGAGCGCAACAGCGGCAGACGGAAGGGACGTTGGACGAAGAGGAGAAGGACCGTTTGTCCGCCTTGCCCAGGTGCTCAAACCCGGCACCGCACGGATGCTGTGCGGCGGTTGAACTCGCCGGTAGATTGATGGTTGTATAACAAAACTGGATCTGTTGGTACTGAACCGTCGGATACAGTGCGAGAGCGATTTACTTCGGCCGTCCGTAAGGCTGCGATGAAATGGACGAAGACGGAACCACGATGCAGGTGACGCGGGGTGTTTATCAAACGGGCACGAGCAGGGCAAACGCCTGATTCACCTGCGATCAGGTTGTTTCCACGCAATACTTCCCAGCCTCTTTTGTTTTCGTGATGGGACGACGATCGCAATTACAAAGGAAGGATCGAAAAATAGGTAGGCTGTGGAAAGAGTGTCGGCCTTGGTGGTCTCGTCTGTAATAATAAAACAATGATGATGCTTCAAGGTCTCGTGAAGTCTGTCGATCGATGGATGCAAATCGTCACCAATGAGTTTAGGATGTCCAAGCTTATTTACTCGGGTGCTTTAAAGTTCGGCAACGGCTTTTTTTCTTTCCTCTCCTGACGTCTTATGACCACCTACTCGGATCAGAGGAGTGCGCGGTTTGTGCGTCTCAGTCATCAGCCGACGGCCGAAGAACGAAGTGCCGTGGCGTGGACGCTGACGGATGCTAGTGTGTGCTCGGGTGGTTCGCTCCGAGGCAAAGAACTGTCTAGAATTTGACAAGATCTATGTGATCACAAAGGAGCAAGACGTTTATTAGTGTTTCTAGAGTCTCGGAGAGCTCGGGGAGAAGAAAGATGTTTGGTCCTCGGAGGCGCAGATGGGGACAACTATTGGGGGACCGATATGTAGATGATGGTTTGTCCATTTTTATTTCTTCTGGCCAATTTGACGCCGAATCATGAATTATTACGTACGTGGAGGGAAAATTTGATGATGCATGCCCAGCGCATCCGAACATTGATGGGAAGGACATGTCTCGACTCCGCCAGAAACCACTACTGGGCAGACGACCACATATCACCCCACGCCTGTACTCCAGGGCTATCACACCTAGACATGCCCAAGAAAGGCACGCAACAGCAGATCCACTCCTAGCGAGTGTTACATTGTCCACTACACTGACGATGGCTTCAAGACGGAAAAGACTAGAGGAGGGGGGAACAAGCGACGGTCGGACTTCAGAATGATGCAAACATGAAACCTTGCTTCTTGTACTGTCTCGCCGAGCCTTTCATCATCCAGGACACGCAACTGATCATCTTTCAGTCCGCCGCCGTCAGCCGTTAAGCCGCTCCCGTTGCAGCCGCCATTGATGTCTCACATACGACACGAGTCTCGATCGGTGATGAATCCGCACAAATCTCGCGTCCTTGCCAGCCTCTTTATCAATAATAACATATTCCATTGCGAAGCGGCCGAGAGACCGCTGTTCAATTTCTCAACTGATCGCAATCTGTATTGACGCAACGATCCTCGATAGTCGACTCGTTTGAGGAGATTGGAATCGGCCATGTCCTGAGTGGCCTGGTCATCAACAATTAGACCTATGGTGGAGGATGTGATGCAAATATTTCGTCCGACCATCGTCTGGTCAGTCTTCGCCCGGCAATTGCCGCATTGCTGCCGTGTCGTAGTACATGTGCTTCCGTTGAAACCTCTGTCGGCTGCCTACATTCTTGTCGAGGGTACTTACATTGAAGGTGTAGTAAAATGTATCCCTCTTTGAACAACCGATAATTCGATAATTTATAAGCCCTGCACATAAAGCAAGCATCGATCGAAACTTCGATTCTTCGCTACAATCGAGAACATACATGAATCCGTTGATGAACATGTACAACTTTGGGCCGACGCACGCGACAGCACTCTCTTCACCCCAGATCGAGTGGGTGACATGAACCGGTTCCGGCTTGCGGAGCCATCCACGCCATCTCCTCGTAAGAGACAAACCATCTTCTGTATCCGTTCCAGGCCACGCCCTCGTTGAGTTTGTATGGTAATCCAGGTTCCGTCAGACATCTGCCAATGGGAACTGTTCCAACTGCTGCATAGCTGGATCCCTCTGCCGGTCGTTCATAGCTCCGTCATCATTACTCTACGAGACGATCTCATGCTGCATCATGACCCTGCTGCAATTCGTTTAGGTCAAATCCCGTTTTACAAAACGCTTTATCGGAGAATATGCAGCTAGAACTGCATTCGATCACATAATTCATCGCTCCATTGGTCTGCCTGCTGTGATCAGGATCATCGACGGCGACAACATCGCCTTCAAGCTGATACATTCAGCACTTCCGCAATTGTTGGCCGTGTATCTCTGCCTCTTTCTTTCCCTCCCTACTCGGATCAGTTGCTGGCTCGCTAAGCAGCAAGTTGTGTACAATTCAAGAAGACGCCATGCCTCCAGACTTGACAAATATCGCACAGCTATGATAGTCTCAATATCTCATCCACGCCGACAGCCTTACCCAAATCACGCCAATGTGAAAGCTGTACCGATGTGTGCGCGACAGGTCATGAGAATGAAATCGTGAGTGAGTCTCCACGTGACGTGCACGCGTTGTTTGCCCAGATACGCCGAAGGAATGACCTCGCGCAAGTGGGATTAGACATCATGTGCAGTGATTATCAGACATCGATCTTCATACTGCACAGCAATAGACAAAGCAAGCCCTGGTGGATCTAACACTGCCCAGGGGATCTTTTTATTCTGCGAGTGTCTATATGTACTTCGGTGCCGTGGATCGGGGCCCAGGGTAGTACGCATGTTCATAAGCTGACCAACAGATATGCACACGCGTGCCCCCAGTCCCGCCGGGCGTGAGCGCAAGCCCAGCTGAATTTGGTCCCTCCGAGTTTATTAGCAGTGTTTGGACCCAGGGCTCGCGGCGTGCCTGGGCGGCGTGTTCCATCGTTGACAGACATGTGGTGCCGATGTACAATGCACCTAGTACCGACCTAATAGTCCTGAGGTGGAGTGCAGTAGTGCATCTTGTCCATTCCTAATGTCCTATCGTCCATCCACTTGTGCCTAGTATCTCTCTCTATTGTGTGTCCGCCGATCACTCCTCCTCACTCATTCGTTCTTACCACGACACTCGTTGGATGCTCTCACTCTTTGGACCATATCCTTCCCGATACAATACCGAGACGCAATAATCCGACTTCTCCTCGATGACTTGAGCCAAGTCGTGCTCATTATGGCGAAAAGCGACATCCTGTCGGCCGAGGAGTCGCAACCTCTGTACAGCTCCGACGCATCAGTGGCCACGGACAAACCTAGTCGGGATTCCACATCATCTGCGTCGACCGTATCATTAATGTTGGAGCATGTGTCGGATCACGCCGCTATGCAGTCAAAGGAGGGCTACTATCCGCGTCAACCCCGCCCGGAAGAGATGGATGTCGAAGACCAGCTTGCCTGGCAGAGGACCCAGAAGCCGGTCGATAAAAAGGCCCGGCGCATGCTCTACGTCTTTATCGCCATAGGTTTGGCGGGTTGGGTTGCTGCATTGTTCCTGTTTTTGGCCCAACGCCCTCATATCCCACATGCCGAACGGCCGCACGACCCTCACGCGACCAAAACAGCCGGATTCGGTCAAAAGATCACCCTCGACCAAGTGCTTACCGGTAAATGGTTTGCACAAAGGCACGCTATCGAATGGATTGCAGGACCCAACGGCGAAGATGGCCTGCTGCTCGAGCAAGGCGGCGCGGAGGGCCGCGACTATCTTGTTGTCGAGGACGTGCGATATCGCGGTAATGATATCGCTACCCAAATCGCACACAGCACTACTTTGATGAAGGACGCCTCTTTCATGGTCGGCGAGGAGCAGGTTGACGCATGGGAGACAACACCCAGCGCTGATCACAAAAAGGTCCTCGTAAAGAATGACGTTGAAAAGAATTGGCGCCACAGTTCGACAAGCAGATATTGGATTTTCGACGTGGAAACACAGACTGGTGAGCCTCTGGATCCGGATAATGTTCAGGGACGAGTACAAGCCGCATCCTGGAGCCCAAAGAGCGATGCCGTGGTCTTCACAAGGGACAACAATATGTTCATCCGCCACTTGAACTCCAAGACCGTTAAGCGTATCACCACCGACGGAGGCGCAGATCTCTTCTACGGAATTCCTGACTGGGTGTATGAAGAGGAAGTGCTTGCAGCGGGAGAGGCTACATGGTGGAGCGGAGACGGAAAGTTCGTCGCATACTTCCGGACCGATGAGAGCAGCGTTCCGTCGTTCCCAGTTCAGTACTTCTTCAGCCGACCCAGCGGTCAGCTACCAGCACCTGGCGAAGAGAACTATCCTGAAGTCCGCCAGATCAAGTACCCCAAAGCAGGAGCGCCAATGTCCACAGTGGGCTTGGAGTTCTACGATGTAGACATGGGCGAAGTGTTCACAGTCCCGATTGATGACGACTTTGCCGATGACGACCGATTGATCACGGAGGTCCTGTGGGCGGGTGAGACGGGCAAAGTCATCATTCGCTCTACAAACCGAGAGTCGGATACTCTGAAGATCATTCTCATCGACGCCGTGCGACGTACAGGACGAACTGTGCGTGAAAGAGATGTGCAGAAGTTGGACGGCGGCTGGTTCGAGGTCTCACACACGACTACCTTTATTCCTGCGGATCCCAAAGCTGGTCGTCTCCAGGACGGCTATGTTGACACTGTCATTCACAACAACTATGATCACCTTGCCTACTTCACTCCTCTGGATAACCCAGAACCTAAGATGCTCACATCTGGAGAGTGGGAGGTTGTCGCAGCGCCATCCAAAATTGACCTCGAGCAGAATTTGGTGTACTTCATAGGTACTAAAGACGGAAGCACACAACGACATCTATATTCGGTTGATCTTCTCTCCACCTCCAACAAGATCGAGGCGGTGACCAAGAACACCGACATTGCCTATTACGGCGCTTCCTTCTCGGTCAAAGGCAAATTTATGCTTCTTTCATACCAAGGCCCAGGGATCCCGTGGCAAAAAGTGCAGTCTACGCCTTCGAATCATGAGAGCAAGCTAGACATTTTCATCGAACAGAATGAGGCCTTGAACGAGCTCGCGAAGAAGACGGAGCTCCCTATTGAGATCTACCAAACTGTTAATGTTGACGGGTTCGACCTCAACCTAGTGGAAAGGCGTCCTCCTCACTTTGATGAGAGTGGCAAGCGAAAGTACCCCGTCCTATTCTTCTTATACAATGGTCCTGGATTCCAGAGCGTGGACAGGAGATTTCAAGTCGATTTCCAGTCGTATGTCGCAAGCAGCCTTGGCTACATCGTCGTGACATTGGATGGTCTCGGCACTGGCTTCAAGGGAAGAAAGCAACGCTGCATTGTCCGAGGAAACCTCGGATACTGGGAAGCACACTCCCAAATCGAGGCGGCCAAAATCTGGGCAGCTAAGAAATATGTCGACGCCGAGCGGATGGCCATCTGGGGCTGGAGCTACGGCGGGTTCGCGACCCTCAAGACCCTCGAGACTGACGCCGGTCAGACTTTCAAATACGGCATGGCCGTGGCACCTGTGACGGACTGGCGCTTCTATGACTCCATCTACACCGAACGCTACATGCACACGCCTCAGCACAACCCCCAAGGCTACGAGAACGCGACCATCACCAACATGGATCAGCTCTCGAAAAACGTGCGGTTCTTGGTTATGCACGGCGTCAGCGATGACAATGTGCACTTCCAGAACACGCTGCAGCTGCTTGATCGGCTTGATCAGGCCAACGTGCGCAACTACGACGTCCACGTCTTCCCGGATAGCGACCACAGTATTTATTTCCACAACGCCAACCGCGTCGTGTACGAGAGTAAGTGTCCCCCTCTCGCCCTGGCTTCTGTTTTCCAAGTGACAGTGTTGACATGAAATTCAGAATTACGAGATTGGTTGGTCAACGCTTTCAATGGCGAATGGCTTCGCACCGATGATCCACAGCCAGTGCCCTACCACGTCGTGCCGGTCTGAAGGACCAACGCAGCTCTCATTACCGGGCCCATGCGGCGGAAACGCCGACTGTCGGCCTAGGCATCCTGAAATCGCGAGAGATGTCAGGTGCCAGCTCCTAACACTTCACATGCACTATGCCAAGCGCTATTATTCGAGGGAGGAGACTTCTCGAGGAAATGTCTCATCAATCAATTGAGACCATGCCTTCCATGATCATGGAAAGGATGGATGTCTCGGGGCGAGAATCGCCACGAGGAAAGTGTTGGCTGAGTAGTGGACTCAATTCGAGCCGTGGACAGCAGAGATGAACTCGTTATATCGTGAGCGACGGGCCCTGTTGGATTTGGATCCACGAGGGTCGTTGGAGGCATTATGAGCTCGCGAGCATGTACAATAATGAAGTAATGTCGTTTAAGCCTCGTTATTGGCAGATCAATCGATGACCCTGAGCTCCGCAACAATCATGTCTTGCTGCTTGTGCTTGTGCCGTCGATAGTTCATCAAGGATGAGCTGGAATGGCGAAAGATGCAACACTACTAGTTACAATTGGATTGATCTCACACGGCTACAGGCTGGTCATCGAGTCATTGAAATCCACGAGAAATGACATTGGCGAGCGAGCTGGTTTCCATTACCAGACTATGGTTATTTACCGTCACACCCCAAAATACTCCCATACCCATGAATGCATCGCACAAACTCCGTGATCGTAAATGCCTACTTGAGGGGAATGAAACGCGAAGAGTGTGTAGCACCGATACCGGGACGACCGTGCTTGACGGGCTTGCTGTTGACGAGGTTAGCATCTCGATCGCGATGTTCGAACTAAGATCGCGTGGTGCCACTTACTATGAAATTGAGAATTCGGCGAGGTAGTGACCGACCATCTCGGGCTTGATCTCGACCTGGTTGAACTCCTTTCCGGAGTAGACACCGACGACGGAGCCGATCATCTCGGGGACGATGATCATGTCACGAAGGTGGGTCTTGACTAGGTCGGGCTTCTCGTTGGGCCTGGCCTCCTGCTTGGCCTTGCGGAGCTTCTTGATCAGACCCATGGGCTTGCGCTTGAGACCGCGGTTGAACCGACGGCGGGCGCGGGCGTGGACGACATCGCGAAGTTGTTCAGAAGAGAGGTCGAGCAGCCTGAGACATCATGTATGAGCACCTCCCGTCTCCGGTCCAATACCACTCTGATTCGCCGCAGCACTTACTCGTCCAAGTCGATACCACGGTATGAGAACTTGCGGAATGCTCTCTTTGCCTTGAGGGCTACACATCCGGAATGTCAGCCGATATCCTATCTTCCAGCGCCCCTTCGTGGCCTGTCCACAGGGTTTCATCCATCCGCGCGGTCCACGAAGGTGCGCAAGCAAAAAGTTGGTGTGTGCATACCGGCAGCCTCCTCAGCGTTCTATTTGCTATCAGTATCATTCTCGTACTTTTCTGAAGTATTGGCAACTCACGTATTCGTCGTCAGCCATATTTGCAGTGGTGTGGGAGGAAGTGAAATTTTGGAGCGCGATTCAGAATTGAAGATGTTCACCCCGATGAAGCTGTGTGCTTGTACAATTCGAGGCTTGGCAACATTCTCTATCATGGAGAATCCCACAGTGTGTCACGTGACTGTAATTCTACAGCATAAGTCTAGGGCTTGCGCCGTGCTGGCCCCATGCCCACCTATGTACTTTAGTAAAATGTGACAGTGGGACATCCCAATCTCTGAGATCAAGGATCCAACGTGGATCCAACGTGTGAGGGAAATGTTTGCACAAGTTTTCTGCATTTTGAGAAATAGGTTTGCCGTGACAATTCGTAGCGTATGATGATAACCACTTTAAAACACCGTTCCCATGGTTCTCAACCCCAAACAGAGGCGTTTCTTCCAGCTTCCCACAATTGTAACTCCAGCAGACGTGTAGATTTCCCGGAATGCAGATAAAAGCGCACACGCTTAGTCGAAGAGACCGAAGCCCATGTCCTCGTCTGACTCCTCCTTCTCCTCAACCTTCTCCTCCTCCTTGGCCTCCTCGGCCGCAGCAGCACCGCCAGCGGCAGCGCCACCGGCGGCGGCACCAGCACCACCGGCACCTCCGCTGGGAACGGAAGCAAGCTTAGTAGCACCATCGGCGATCAGCTGGGAAATGGTTAGTTTTGAGGTGCCCATTCGTTTTCAAAAATCGCGGGCATAGACGTACGACATTGATGTCCTTGCCGTCAAGCTCCTTGAGGAGCTGGTCGAGACGGTCATCGTCGGCCTCAACACCAACGGAGCTGAGGACCTCCTTGATGTCGCTGGCAGATGGGGAGGTATTGCCGGCCAGGCCGAGCAGAAGGTAGGCTGCGAGATGCTTCATTTTGATATGGCTGATGTCACGTCAGTTCTGTGCTTGCGATTTCTCTGCGTTTGAATTTCACACTCACTTGATTGAGTTTGAGATGTCAAAAGAGAACAGGAGAATCAATCACTTTAAGCGCTAGATTTGTAGCGCAGACTGAGACTTCAAGTCCTGTGTGATTATGCGTATGTTGACAGTAAGTCTGGCAGAAGTGATCTTGCACGAATGAGGATATTGAGTGGGCTGCCAAGACTTCGAAAGTGATGCATAGCGGATCGCGAAAGGGCACTCCCGTCGGCCCGCGCTGCGACAGCACACGACTTCAGGTGCCACATTCGCGCCTGAGACGGAAGGGGACCTTGGGAGGAGTATATATATAGAGGCAACCACGTTCCCACTTGCCGCTGTAACGTCAGCGACCCTCACCATCTGCCGGCCCTTCAGAGAGCACCACGCGCCGGACTCATCGACTTTTCTATCATGGTTGTTTTATAATATTTACTTGGAAGTCCTGGTCGCCGATAGTATCAAATTAGTGTGTTACAACTATGAGTGTATGTCATCGAGGCCACTTTCTCTTTTATCAAACTCAGACACTGACATCACCTCCAAGGCTTTTACTTCTCTTCTTTCCTCTATTTCTGGACAGCCACAGGCACCACAAACGCGCCCTTCGAGTGTTGCGCGGCCAGCGCAGGGCGCACCCAAGCCGACAGACCGATTTCGTCTATCGAGCAGCAATCCTGTTGTCGCAGATAATGCAGTAGCCGGTGTCAAGCGGAAATCAGAGGACCCCGAGCCCAGCCCACGCTTCAAATCCCAGAAGCTCGACAGGACAACACAACAGACGTCTCAAAATGTCGCTAGCCAACGACCTGTGTCCGCAGGCACGGCCACAATTTATCGTGGTACTGCACGATCCGCCGGGCCTGGAGGTCAGCCTTCACCGGCCGTCAAACCGGCTTCAAGACCGCAGCAAACTGTGACCTCTTCTTCCTCGACATCTTTGCCTCGCGCTGCGAATGCGCCGAGTGCGCCACCATCGAAACCCCGTGGGTTCGCTGCGCTGCTGGAGAAGGCGAAAGCTTCGCAAGAAGCAACCAAGATTGCTGCCACAAGCGGCATCAAACATAAGCCCAAGCCGGTGGAGAGAGTCAGCCGGAGGGAGCGAGAGAAAATGCATAAGGAGGCTATGCAGGAAGCACAAAAAGCAAAGAAGGCCGGAAAGCCCACTACCACGGATCGCCATCGGCCCGCAGGCGTGGGCGATGGACAGCCAAACCCGCAGAAAAAGGCGCAGGAGACCAGTTACAAGGGCACGATGAAGAAATCCGCCGAACCTCTGGCCTATAAGGGCACAATGCGAGCAGGGGAGAGCGCGCAACCCCGCGCAAAGCCCGTGGTTAAGAAAGGTATGGGCCAAGACAGATACGGAGGTTACGCCAGCTGGTCGGACCTCAGCGATGCGGAGGAGGAGGGAGAGGAGGAAGACTACGACTCTGCCGCTTCTTCAGACATGGAGGGTGGCTTCGATGATGTGGATCGGGAAGAGACCGCTGCTCTGCGCGCGGCCAGGAGGGAGGACCAAGCCGCATTGGAGGAAGAGGAGCGGCATCGTCGCGAGAAGTTGGAACGCAAGAAAAGGCTTCAAGCACTGAACAAAAACGCTGCTGCAAAGAGGCGAATCTGATCGAATTCATTGATTTTTGTTAGTTACAAGCACCGGCGTCTTCGTTAGCGTTGACAATCTCATGGGAATGGCGCACCGATATCACGTAGCGCACGGAAACGGAATCCAGGGCGGCGCATTTGCTAGTTTTCGCGTGAGTCTGTAGCATCTTCTTTCCTCGTCATTGCAGATATTCAATACAACGAGCAAGTTTGTCACTGTCACTTTTGCACTTGCATTCTGAATTCCAGTCAATCGATCAATCATGCGAATGGTATGGTTTTGCCATGCTTTCGAGAGTGCCATTAATTTCCATTCGCTAGATCCGTGACCGTGAATTGAGCATTCATGGCATTAAGACGGACATTGGCGTGAATCTGATCAGCCAGGCATCTAGTTTCTCTAAACAGGGTATCCTCGTAAGTCTATCACGTTTGCAAATTCAATTTTGGAGCCCCAACGCCTCGCTCTAAACATCATAATTTCACATGGTTCACACATCAGCCTGGTCTGCAGCCTGGGCAATGTAAGTTACCTGCATACATCGAGCAGTTTGAAACTCATGGTGATTGCAGGAGTGGACTGCATAAAATTGTCAGCACATACTTTCACCACACAGTTCACGAACACCCACCCTAGGTAATCCTCGTAGATGGTTCCGATCGCGTACATGGAACCAATCTCACCCCGAATGCCTTTGATTCGTAATCGCACCTGAGCTCCGCGCTCGACGATCTGCTCAGCGTGATCCGTGAATGCAGGCGTCGAGCCTTCTGCGCTGTACTTCAATGCAGGCGGAATCATCTGTCATGCAAAGATCGTCAACCATCATGCTCGAAAAGATCGCCAACCGTGATACACGCCTCCAAAACTACCATCAAGCCTGCCACAGGAGCGCGTATCACGCGAGAGCGATAGGGTAAGATCTTGAAAGACGTACCGCTTTGCTCACAAATACGTTCAGTCCACCCACGTCCACGAAGAAACCATTCGCAAGCACGCTGCTGACCATGCCATCCACGACCTCGCCTTTGAATGGCCGCCAGACGATGGCACGATAGCTGACATCATAACGCGCCATGCCTGTGCCGGGAACCAGCTTCGGTTCACTTATTTCATCGATCTCAATGATTGTGACCACCATCATCTCGCCAATGATCTTGCCCTCCATGTCCATGTGCAACTTGTCCCGGATGTTCTGTTGTGCGTGCGCATCGAAGAAGCTCGGGTGCAAGAAAAGTTCGCGCTCAAGCTGGTGTACGAAGAACATGTTGAGATGCTGGTGACTGCAACGCGACAGGTCAGGTAGGAATGGTCGGTGGAGTATCAAGGTTTGTTCAGTGTCGGGTCATTGATCGGCGTGAAGGTGTACCTCAGATAGGCACGTTGCGATGTCCACCAGATCTCAAATTTGTAGCTGATTGCAGATGTTGCCGTGTAGCAGTGCTGCTCCCGGTTGGCGCAGTTCAGGTGGCTTTGAATTTGTGGTCTCTGAATATCATCTTCGCGGATGTCTCGTGCCTGTCGCTCGTGTCAGTCAGGGTTCGCGCGCCAGAGCAACGACGGGAACTTCCGCTGCCCCAGAGTCGCCCATTACCTCCAACCTTTATAAGAACAGGTTAAATCATCGTCTGCGTCTTCAATGTCAGGGTCAGCGAGCGCAAGCTTACATGATAATATTCAGTATAAGTTAGCTCCCTGCATGTTGTATTACCACTGCAACACTGTCATGAAGACACAAGCTGTCTACTGTCATGGCTGTTCCTCCTTGCCCTGGCATTGAAATCAAGACGAGCGAATTTGAAGTCATTCATGTTCATCAAAGGTACAAATCATATGGAGGAGGATGGCGCAAACACGAAGTGCCTGCCGCCACTTTCTGCGAACACTAGACGAATGAGAATAAAGATCGAGGCTTGCTTCATTCATATTTCTCCTATGATGGATCTCGAATGAAGGCGTATGTCATTTCTCATCAGAACGGCGCTCTGATGTTACGCACATAGCCTTAACATGACATTGACGATTTATCGCAGACCTCGAATTGGACAGCGACAATCGCCTCGTCCTTTTCGCTGTGTTTCGCGGCTGGGCGAGTTCTTTCCGACATATCATACCTTTGCTCCAATCTGCCACGAGTGAAGCCAAGGCCGAATCCGATGTTGAAGTTCTCCGTGAAAGTCTTCAGAGCGGAGATCGTGCTTGCAGCCAGTGCAATAGCCAACTCAACGTCCATCCAAATAGCGACGAGCGCACTCTGCAATCCAACATCGATCTGGGGCTGTTGAAGCTCCGCCACAGACATGCTGCGGCCGATTGACAGCAACAAGACCCTGCCGTCAGAAGTCAGTCAAAGTCGGACGTTGAAATGTGACCTCGTATACCGAACTTACGGAATTCTGATACAGAACGCTGCAGTGAGCATTATTTTCTTTGTTCGGCGCATGTGCAGATTCCAGACTAGATGCACAGGGAGTGCAAGGATCAAGACTTCCGTACAGACGTCGAGGCCAGTAATGACTTGCCAGCGAATACCCTCCAAATCGAGTCAACATAGGGTTCCCATGGGTGAAGGTAAATCAGCACTAACCTGTGCTGGACATGAATGTAGGTTTCCATATACATTCCAGTAAAATCCAGATGAGGCGGTGCATCCGACCGTGGCAAGGAGAACCGACGAAAGGCCCACAAAGCCTATGATCCCACTGAAAACGTGATACAAGAGTGTCCACTCGGTGCTAGAGGTCACGCGGCTGAGAAAAGCGATCGTCGCGCACTTGGTAGTGTACAGGCTGACCAGAAACATGATCATGCTTGCGAACGAGAGCTGCTGGCGTCAGCAATGTAGACATCGATGAGCGATCCCATCTCAAACTGACATCATTCAAATTGGTCAGAGCCTCGCCGGTTGAAAATGACTGCGCGGGCTGACCCATTCCAAGTTGAAGAGCAGAATAGTTCAGTCCCGTCCGCACGAGAGATGTGACAGTGCCGAATGCGATGATAGCGTCGTCGATTCCGTAGGACCCACGACGGATCCAGAAGCGTGCCGCAGCCACGGCAATGGTGAAGACCAAACACAGACTGATGGTGAAGCTGAGTGAGTTTTGGAAGCCATCACGATGCGGCATGTTGACACGAATGAGCCCGTCGCAGCAAGAAATGTTATCGTGATTGTGAGCTTTTGCAGCTAGCAGAATGGCAAATTTGTGATAAGGCAGGCATTACCTTCGCAAGGCTCTAATGCTTCTCTTCTTCGGAATGGATACTGACGCTCTTCACACGTCAACAAGCATTGGCAAGTGATAAGGCTCTTCTTGCAGACCCCGGCGTTCGAATTATCAATAGACAAGTCCAACGGTAGACGTTCTCAACTGCTCGACAGTGCAAGCACAAGGCTCTGTCGACACCAACGCACAATCAATCGATTTGACACAGAGCTTCGAGACCTAAAGCAGGAAAGTACGGCAATGGTATGGTAAGTTCATGCCGATACAGGTGATCAATCAACGGGACTTCAACAGCCATCTGAAGAGGCCCATTCGACGACAAGACGTGAAACAGATCTGCTGCGCATGAAAGCCCTTTTTCTTCCTAGCCGATCAAGCAAATTCCACTGGACCAGCAACCCAGATCGAAGCCGTTCGGCGACGGTTGAGAGGCTGCTCAAGACGGACATTGACGGAGAGGTAATTCCTGGATGCATCTAGGGTTTGGGCACGTCGCGTGGTCCCGCAACGCTCAATGTGGACCATGATAATGCCGCACATGATGTGGGCCGATTAGAGCATAATGTGTGTACTTGCTTCCGAGTTGAGATTTTACAGCTGAGTGACGATTTCATATGTGGCGTCAGCTGAAACGCCGAGGCGATTCTGGGCAAAGGTGTGGGTTGAAAAAGAAAACCACATCTCTTTGGCGTGTGTTGCGGAACGCCATCGCGCCAAAGCGCCAACCAAGCGTGGCGATACCGCGTCAATGGACGCGGAGATGAACGTTCGCTTTGGCGATGGTAACATGCAATTTCACCATCCAATTGACAAGTAGTGTTCTGGACGCCCGTCGCTGGGCTGGCTGACCTTGTGGCTAACATTATTGTTGCGACATGATCGTCAATGTTTGCGCAGGCGAGCTGGATTTAGGGTGGAGCTCGGGAGATCACCTGCGCGACATCCTTTTGGTTGCGCGAGTGCACAGAGATGCCACGAAGACTCTCGACGAAAATTGCGCATAGTACGTTTTGACCGTTGACATGTAACTTCGTGAACGCGTTGAAGCATTTCCGCACACACCACAATGATCGACACCAAATGCAACCATTGGAGAGGGCCACAATACACCATGCAGTTCAAAACAATCTCAATCGTGTTCTTCGATGCTTCTAGATTGTGCATCTCTTAAGTTCAAGGTCTGAACAGGGATACTTATCAGATTCTCTGGCGCAGTGCACCTGATTCACTGCACGAAACGGCGCTGTTCACGCCGTGAGAAGGGTCAAGCGATTTGCTCCCGGAAATAAATTGGCCACATACGAAAGTGCAGCACCTGCAGAGAAGCTGTGGCGGCAATGATCGAGTCAAAGTCTGAGAGCCGTCTCTCAATTGACTCGTTCAAAGATGATGACCCTGTCGCCGGCGGGTCGCAGGGCAGCACACCTGCCGACAGAAATGACATGGCTCGCATGGGTCGAGTCCAGGAGCTTCGGGTAAGCGTTGCGCTTCTTCAAATATCTACTTTTCTGATCATGTGGACCTGTGCTGATGTTCGACCAGCGCGGCTTCAAATTCGTGGGTAGGTGACAGAAACCTCGCAGGATGGCAAGGCCCATGAGAATTGACAACGAATCACATCGCAGGCATTGTCGGCTTCGTAACAATTCTCCAAGCTACATGGGAGAGCACTTTGCTTGCCAATTACTTTGGACTGTTTAACGGAGGTACCGGAGGAGCCATCTGGTGTATGGTCGCCGTGTGGCTCTGTATGCTTGCGATGATTGCGTCCATGGCAGAAATGGCGTCCATGGCGCCGGCCGCTGGAGGTAAGTACCTGTTCGTAACGACCAAAGTAATTTCAATGCCATCTGACACTCGCATAGGTCAATACCATTGGGTATGCCATCTTGAAACCCACACGAAATCTGTGCTAATTGATCGTAGGTCAGCGAATTTGCACCCCCTGAATGGCAGAAATCGCTCAGTTACGTGGTCGGATGGTGCTCATGTCTGGGTTGGATCGCCGGCGTCCCTTCATGCTGTTCGCAGCTGGCGGGCGTGATTAACGACTTGGTCGTTTTGAAATATCCCGATGCAGACATCGGTGCCCTCTGGCAGACGACGTTGATGGTCTATCTATTCATCGCGTTGACCGTCGGCTTCAACATCTTCTTCGCGCGACATTTGCCGCTTGCCGAAGGCATGATCCTGTTCGTACATGTCTTCGGCTTCTTCGCTTTCTTGCTGGTTTTCTGGATAATGGCGGACCATGCCCCTGCTGCTCAAGTCTTCACCAGCTTCTAGTAAGTTCCGAAAAGTGTCGGCTTCGAACAATCTCTAATCGTCAGCAGCGATGGTGGTGATTGGGGCAACATCGGCCTCTCATGTATCGTAGGTCTTTCAACCCCAATCTGGTGGTAAGATATCGACGTTGCAACATACGCCCCTCCTCGTCTGTGCTAATAGATAATGCCAACCAAGCTTCATCGGCCCTGACAGTGGCGCCCACATGTCTGAAGAACTTGAAGATGCCTCAATCCAGCTTCCACGAGCAATGATGCTTGCAACCGTGCTCAATGGTATCCTCGGCATCACCATGATGATCACATTCTGGTAGAATGCCACCTCCATGCCTTGATCAATGGACATCAGCTCATCGCTTCTTAGCTTCTGCATCATCGACATCGACCAAGTCGTCGGCGATGATGCCTCGCAATTCCCCGTCATGCAAATCATCTTCACCTCGACCGGTTCTTACGCAGCTACCTGCGTCCTCGGAACACTCCTGATCGTTCTGTTGTTCTTCTCGACGGTGACCACCGTTGCTAGCGCGTCGCGGCAGATCTGGGCATTCAGTCGTGATCATGTAAGCGGCCGAGCACACAGTCCACAGCGCGGATTCTGGCTGACATCAATTCAGGGGTTCCCGTACTCGACCTGGATTCGCGCAGTACGCCCGGATCTCGAGGTCCCTGTGAATGCAGTAAGTGGAGGCCACCCAACGTAGCGGACATGTCGGCCAGACCACTGATTCGTTCACTCGTAGCTACTGGTCTGCCTCGGCGTCTCGATCGTCATCTCGGCCATAAACTTCGGCTCCGATACAGCATTCAACGCTGTACTCTCTGTCTCCAACGCCGCGCTGATCTTCTCATACATCGTCTCAATCGGCTGTATCCGGCTGAAGCGGATTCGTGGAGAAGCCCTTCTGCCACGACGGTGGTCACTTGGTAAGTGGGGCGGCCCGTTGAATGACGTGTCGTTGGCGTTCCTGATCATCGCCTTCGTCTTCTCGTTCTTCCCGACGACGCCTCTGCTGGACAGCGTCATCTGGGCTGCCGACTTCAACTGGTCGATTGTGATCTTCGCTGTCACCTGCCTGCTCGCCTTGACGTATTACCTGGCGGGCGGCGGTCGCGAGAAGTACATCGCTCCGGTGTCATTGGTGAAACAAGAATGATTTGCTTTCGACGGCTCATAATGAATTTGGACGACTTGGATGCCTAATATTTACTATGAGAATGGCGTGAGTCGCAGACACTGTGGTGCTACTGTGCAGGCCTACAGAATGTACACGCACGATTTGAAACAACAAAAGCGTACATAATTTCAATGTCAATAATGATTAATTTGGTCATTAAGTCCCCTTTCCCTTTTTTGTCAATCAATCCATGTCTATATGCTTTGTTTCAATGAGACCATCATGCGGCCAAACCCTCTTCACACCGAACCCGCTATACATGAAACAATACACAAAAATTGAAACGCCGTTGTAGAAATTCTTCCGAAAGAAATGATGATTCTGCGTGCCCAGAGGTCGGTTCTGGGCGCGAGATTCGTTACCCGCTGCTTTCTAAATACCCCACGATCCTCGCCTCTCAATCACAGCGCCGTGCTGAACAGCGCCAGCAGCGCCGGAGTCGATTGGCGATGCGACCATGTTCTTCTCCTGGCGTGCCCATTCGTAGACATAAAGCTTGAGTGCGCGCCACCTTACGCATTCAGTCTCGCTGACTACCTCCTCTCCGCCGCCGCCTTCAAAATCCTGGCCGAGGCGGATGTATCCGCGAGGACTCTGACGGGCTCGGACATCATCCTGACGCAATTCTGCGATCGAGATACGCGAGATCTTAGCAAGCTCCTCGTCGAACGGCCTTGCGAGGGCAGGATAGCCCAGTGATAGGTAGTTGAAAACTTGAGTGATAAAGTTGTCCGGATATGAGACAGTGATGTCGCGTTCGTTTTCGTAGTCCGTGACGAGGATAGTATCGATACCGGCAATACCGGGTGCAGAGCGAACTTCTGCCGGCGGTGTCGGCGGTGTAGCGATCATGCCATGGCTTGCGTCGCCACTATTCAGTCCGCCAAGCGTCCGGCTTTTGGCAAAAGATTGTTCGAACGGATTGGCGGGCTCATCACGAGGAGTCATAAGACCTGTCGGTCCAAGAGGCGGCGCAAGACCTCCTGTAACTCCACCTTCCTCGGTGGCAGCACAAAAGCCTCCCCAAAGTCCTATGCGCTTGTCGCCAGAAGACTTCTTTGCGGCTGCTGAGGCGGCCCAGAGACTCGGGACGGCGGACTCCTCCTCGTTGGAACCGAGTCGAGAGCTCATTTGCTTGCGCAAGACGCTTGAACCTTGCGTCACATCGAATCGTGCAGGTTCTGGTGACGGACAGCGTGGGAAGACCAAGTCCCGACCAAGCATAGGTGGCCGAGCACGATCACGCATAGAGCGCATCTGTGCATCAGAGTCGTGGATGGTGCCTCCATGAACAGGATTCCACCATGGTGAACGACTTGATTCACGCATGTTGGTAACACCATTGGCTTTTCGATCCTGCTCCATCCGCTCTGCGTGGCGTTGCAGTTCCATTTGTTCCCAGGACAATTTGGTGCTATCACGTCGTCGTACGAGTGTGAGAAGCCCGTCTTCGTCAAAGCCATCCCATGTCACAACACGGTCTTCATATTCAAATTCGTCGCTCTCTTGGCCGTCATCCACATAATGCTGAACTGGTTCGTGGAAATCCGAGTTCGGAAAGGCAGCCAGGGCTTGCTCACGCATCCGCTCTTGGGCCTTTTTAGCCTCCAATTGGAGAAGGTAGTGTGAGAAATTTTCATCGACACTTTCTCGGATCCGGGTGGCATGTTTGTAGAAATCGGTAAAGGATGTGTCCGAAGCAGTCAACGGAGAGCCCTGTCCGGGACTGCAGGACAAGGATGATGGTGTCGACTCGCGTTCGCTCTCTGAGCTTTCGATGGTATCGAGGTCAGGACAACGGAAGGAATGATTCCGAGCCGGCGCAAGAACCGACAATCTTGCAGGGGCGCTGCCGTCCAGAGGCGATGGCGGGCGTCTTGGAAGATCGGCAAAATCAATCGAATGTCCAATCGGGTTCCGCCGAGCCTGATGTGAATCATCTTCGACAAGCGCCTTCTTCTTTGCAACGTGTCGCCGATGCTCACTAGCGTGAATAGTATGGCCATACTCCGTGCGATAATCTTGCGGGTTTATCTGTGAATCACTTCCAGCTTTGCGCGTACGCTTGGCAGTATCTATCAACACAGGTGCAAACTTCCGATTGGCGTCCTTCTTGGGGCCTGAGCGGTTTGAGCGCGAAGACGACTCAATGGGCTCAGGGAGAAACTTGGCCTTGCTGCCCTTGCCCTTGCTGCTAGAATATGATGTTTCCACAGGTTGTGGTGCAAAGCGTCTTGCCTTGGGTTTCGCATCTTGTTCTTTCGCATCAGACCCTTCCCGGTTGCTCCTTGACTCCTGCTCCACTACCTGTGGCACAAATCGTCGAGGCTTTGTGGCATCAATTTTTGGCGTTGATTGGGTTCCTTTGTTACTCCGAGTACTCTGCTCGATCGGCTCTGGCGCGAAGCGACGTGCCTTTGTGCGTTCTTGATTTTGAACGTCTTCATGTTGCATGGTATGCTTGGGTGAAGAAGGCATCTTGGTCGCGCAAGGCGGGTGACCGGAACGTTGCGAACGGCGCCGTCACTCATGCGCGAATGGATCTGGAACGGAAAGGGCCGACCGGGCCAACTTCGATGAGCGAGGTGGATTGAACGGCTTGCGAAGTCGGTGGGCAGAGGATAATAGTGGTGGAATGCCGCTGTGTGATGAAGGTCGAGAATCGAGTCCTAGAGGGTAGGCAACGCAACAGATTCGCGCGGTACGAGCAAGTCTGCAGTACTGTTCTTTACAGAAGTTGCAGGTTGGCTATGGTATGAATGGAAACCAAGAGTGTATGTTCGAGGCGGCGGTGAACGGCGTTATTGATTGGGAGTCAGGTTGAAGCGTGAAAACTGTCGGGATGGCTGTATTATTACAGAAGTGATGTGTCGAGGATTGACAGAGTCGGCACGGGTGAGGAGGGAAGCGTGGATGTCATGAATGACAAGGCTGAACAGCAAGTTGGTCGGAAGAAGTAGTTCCAAGGACGTGTGACGAATAGAAAGGTTGAGGAAGGTTTCGTAGGCGTTGGCGAATTGGCCTGGGTGTGAGAGGCAGAGGCAGAGAGTGTGGAGTGTGGAGTGTGAGGGCGTCGGAGCGATGGGGTGAACGACAGACAAAGAGGGTGCTGGTGGAGTGTGGGAGTTGGCGGGCCCTAGGAGCGACGCCAGCCAGCAGACTTGCAGAAGAATGGGCGGATGGCAACCTGGAACCCAGGACGTAGTAGAGGTCGCCGTCGGTGACGATGATGCGTCCTTACCCAAGTTGACCGTCACATTTGATGCGTTCGCACTCTCGTGGGAGAATTGTCTTCTTCCTCATACATCATGCAAACGACAAGATTGCGACTGACTGACTAACTGATGATGCTCCAATCTCACCACTCCTCCTCACCGAGACGACGGGCGGCGGCGAGGCTCCATGGATTGGTCGAGAATTTGGGTCCTGAACGGGCTGATGTGTGGAATGAGAGACATGCATGCAGGTCTGCACACTCCGCCATTTCTCCCCTTGCCTTCCCTTCCCGCCGTCGTTCTGTTCTTATCACATGGATATGTCTTGATTCATCAACACTACTACACAGTTGTGCCATTCATCACTTTTCCGCCTTTGAACATCATTGGGCTTCTCAACAGGTAACTTGTGGTGGACGCACCATTGGAGCCCGTGGTGCCCTGCAATGCATCTTTAGTATGCAGGACATGCTGCCTTTCACCCTCCGTTCTGCGACCGCCGCCGTTTTCAAGGGAGTACCGGGCGCGCGCGCGCGAGAGAGAGACACCGTCCTAGAGATGATGTCCATGCTCGCCCACGCGTGCAGAACTAGCAGAGCCGACGACGATGTCTTTATTATCACCAGCAAACGAAGCACAGCGGTATGGTATATTCTTCATTCAAAGACTTGTAACAATACGAGCACTACACATCAAATGGTCACGATACCATATCTCCTCAAAAACGAAATGTGATGTCCTACTGACCAAAAGGAGACAGCCTTTCAGCCCGTTCTCCGAGTGACTTTCGACGGGGCGATTATCGGTGGCAGTCCGTCTGGATTTCCCCAACACTTCCACGAGCCAGATCTGTCTATCGTTTCTCACTCCCCACCATTCCCCCATACCTACAGTAGTACTGACCAGTAGTCCCCACCCCGCCGTCCTTCCTCTTCGTTACCGACTTGCAGGCTGCGCACATACCGACCCCCGTCTGCAACGTAACACCATCACTCCGACGCTTTCTTCTCTTGCTGCTCGTCCAGTACCCTGCCCGGACTGCTGATCGATAGTGCTCTCGTTCATGGATTTTCAACGTGACGGAATCCATCATTTGGGTGGCTGCGAAGTACTACAGACCTGTTCCGCACTTTCCCGCGCCGCTGCACTTATATTCATTAGGCGAGGTACAAGCCAGATCTTAATGCACTTGCTACTGTGACCTCCGCCACCCACCTCACATGCTACAGCGGGATGTGTTTGAGAAAGCCATTTCTGAGACACACGCCAAGAGCAGTCGTATCGCGGCAGTGGCACGCGAACACCCAGATGATAATGACCGTAAACTGTCCTTGTTTTCGTACTGTAGATCTGATCTGACGAGGGGAGGTTCCCAGCACAAAGGTGTGATGTGATGTGCTCCGGCGGTGCCGCACAAAGAGTGGCCGTAGGCCGTCTCGTCACTACTCCTGCACAGGCCTGTACTCTCGATTGCGCACCCATGGACTCCATCGAATATCACACACGTCGAGTACTTCCACCGCTTCCGTCATCGCCGATACTCGATGGTTTTGACCGCCTTTGCCAGACAAATCACAAGCTTCCACATATCCTAATCGATCCGCCACAGCGAGTTCGCAGTCGTTGTCGCCTGAGGTATTCCCACTTCTGCTGCCCGAAGAGCCTCACCGTTCTCGGCTGCAAATCAGAACGGTAGTCCTTTCAGCCTGCTTCCAATGATCCACTCTTTTGCCTTACGGCACCACTAGTCGTAACAATTCATAGGCAACACCACGGCATTGCATGCATTGGCGTCCCCCCTTTCGACAACAAAATCCAACTGAGACTATCGGCACATGCGCAGAGAAACTCTGAATTCGTGCTGGGTCGGACTTGCACCGACATGGTCGCGCCGTCCTCCCCGCCCGCCGATCGTGAATTGGAACAGCGGAAAAGCTTGGGCGAGAGCACGCGTTGCATGCACACGCGGCCGCCGCCCACTTGCGCTCTCGTCCAGGCCTTTCCAGCGACGGGCGAACGCACGGGAGCTTTCGGAGCGTTGAGAAACTTGCCAAACCCATTGAAGACAAGGTCAGCCACCACCCACACAAATAGACATTCGCGACTGTGCTGCATTCTTACCATTGTCGTCGAGGATTGTAACAAATCCGATTGATCCATGGCGTTGTTGTCCGTGTGAACAAATACATCGTTGACGGTGTAGCGTCGTCGATCCGGGGCTTTGACCAATGAAAACATATGAATCTCTCAGGGATAAGCTGTTATACCTGCAGCTATTGTAAACATGTCATAACAGCGGTTCTCTGGATTATATTTTCATAGGCTGGACCAAGCACCATCTAGCGAATGTGCGAATCCATATTGCTGATGCAGGATGCATGGACACTATCAATTTCTTTTGCATGAACGACCGTCTGTTGGTGGCGAAAACCTTCTTCGCGAAAGCGCCCGAGGTGAATTCAATTGCTCTCATTCTTTTCACATATGCCCGAGCGTTCAATGATGTTCAGTCTCGGCACCGAGGAATACTTTCCACTCGTCCACTCGTGTACCTGGTCACACATCATCGTCAAAAGTTGCAGTTTTGCATTCAAAGTCGGGCGCTTGGGCTCCGGGCTTCTTTTTGTTGATGACCTGGGTAGGGACACGAAACTCGGCATGGCGGAATTCCGTAGCTTCTTCATCGAGTCTGACTCCAAAAAACCACTTGCGTTTCAGAGGACCCTGAACGCGCCGATCTCTTCCGTCTCGAGCTGGCAGTGCTTGCCGCAGGATGTGGGTTGGATGGTAGCACACCGACGGTGTCCTCTTTCGCGTGTGCAGATCAACATCGTGGAGACTGGCTGTCCTCAAATGATGAACCATGCTGCATCATCTCTGTATCTCTTGTTTAATCATGAGTCTGGGCATCAGGGGTTTCTCTGGCAAGGCGCAAAGTCTCCCCTCGTTGTGCGAATTCCAACAGAGGTAGCAATCCATGACAGTCACGAGATATGCAACAGACTCGTACATGACGAAAAAAGCTCTGGGCTTTTCTGCGACCTCGTGAGATTTTGGTGATGACGTAGATTACACGATACCCCATCAACACGCCGCTTTTCTGTGCAAATCCCGATGTACCTAGGCATACAGTACATGCGTCCCTCTAGCAGATAAAACAAACAGTATTAATACATACTCGCACGTACGAACATTTGAGTACACACGCCAGTCAATCGTCAAAACGGGGTTTGTCTACGTCACGACCGCCGATGCTAGGTCTGACACCCGTGAATTTCCACAAGAACATAGGAGCAGCTCGGAGCGACTCGGAGCTGGAGTGCTTCAAAGTTTCAAACCGTGGCACGATTCCACCACATCTTCTTACTTCTCCGGATTTCATTCCAATGATCGGCACGACTGGGGTAGTAAAAGCAAAACGCTGCCATTGATGACATCGACCAATACCCGCCGTCGATCAATGATGAGATCAGCTTCTCTCCGTCCGGCCCAGGGACCTCCTGCTCTAGTCGGATCAAATCACCATTTATCGTCCCCAGATGATAAGGCTACCCCGATCTTCACAGTGTGGTGGGTATCTAGATCGTCTCCAACTATTTCCCGACTTGTATAGCAAGCTGGCTCGTGTTGATGTGATCGACCAACTTGTCCGCGATAGGGCCAGAATGATGATACGCTGCGACACGCGTCATCTGGGCCGCACGCAGGTCCGTCGTCAGCAATTGGTATGATGACCTACAGTGGATGACAGTTCGTACAGAAAGCGCGAGACCCATTCTTTTTCCGTCGGGGGGGGGGGGGGGGGGGGGGGGGGGGGGGGGCACGTACGCGCATCCCCAGGGTTTCCAGTGCGTCACTACCTTGGTCTACAATACCGACGGAGTCCCTGGAGGGCATATACAATCTGTGTAGAGACGAGGGAAGCTTTCCGCCCATTTTCGCCCCAAGCATGTCGCGTGCACAGATCGGTCTCTGGAAAAATTCGCGTGCAACCATGATCGCGCTATGGAAATACTGAGTCGGAATATGCCTCGGGATTCCAACCCCACGAATCATGACGAGAACATTATAGTTGTTGCTGTTCCTCCTCAGGCATCTTCTAAACAGACGGTGCTACCCGTGGACTGTGAGAAAGTGCTCGGAATTCTTGCCGATCGGGCTTCCCTTATCGGAAGAGAGATGTGTACTATTGGGTCGGCTTCACGTAATTTCGTCATCAATGGTCAAATAGAAAAGTCATCTTCGCCAAACGAATTTGATTGGGAAAAATAAGAGCTGAGAATGATTATAGCTGAGTGGAGCGCTTTTTACTATTCCCAGGGCGTGCCTTCACTGCCGTATACTGTATCTTCGTTATCGTTTCGTTTCATTTCATCGAAAAATCTCATCATGCATCTTCTTCTTCGTTATGGCAGCCGTGAAAGTCCACTAAGAACTACCACTCTGCGCCCTCAGGGCGGTAGGGGAAACCGCTGCAGAGTCCTTTCGTGACTCAGCCCCCGGAGCCGCAGGCGCTGGCGGAGGTTCAATCCGATCCAGGAATGGACTGTAAGGTGCTGCAACCGCGTGCTCTCGCCCACGATCTTGCCCGCTTCCACCAGTCGTGCCTGGCCACCGTCTCTGTTGGTTGTGCATTCTTTCGAGCGGCTCGCCAACAATGCCATATTTGTCCCAATTAACACAAGGCATGCGGACCACGTTCTGCGCTCCTGGTATCCGCGGGAATGGTTGAGAGGCATCCTTAGATTCCGAGGCATCCTTCTCGGCTGCAGATCCGTCGGCCATGACTGAGTCCTGCGGCAACAATGAACCATCTTGCGGGGGCAACTGTAGATCGGACATCCCAGCTGACGTTTTGGACGTCTGTTCGCCTCCTTCTGACTTGTTGTTGACGGATCTCAATTCGAATACAACCTCGTCGTCGTCATCTCCATTGTCAAGGTCATCAAGAATTGACTGCATATTGCCGATTGTATGCCGTTCTTCCTTGAGTCTTCCAGCTGCAAGCTCCTTTTTGAATCGCTCGGGATCGTCCAAGGCCATCTGTTTGATGCGCGCTAACTCCTGCATATCATTTTGCGCTTTCTGCCTCTGAAACTGTAGAGTGGAAATTGCCGCTCGGAGAGCCATGGCGTCAGTTGCGTCTGCGCTGGAAAAGGGACGGGTGGGCGGCTGGGGTATGTATTCCGCCTTTGGAATTGCGGGCTTCGTCACCGCCGGTGCAGCAGGCTGGGACTGAGACTTTTGCTCTTGCTGCTGCTGCTCACTCGGTTGCTGCTGGGCATTATTCGGACGCTGCTGCTGTGCTTGCTCTTGTCGTTTTGGCGACTTTGGAGGCTGTATCGGCTGGGGCTGCTGGGCCTGCTGCATAGGCTGCGAGGGCTGTATAGGTTGCTTGGGCTGCGAGAGCTGCGCAATCGTCTGCACCGGTTGAGCTGGTAACACTGCCTGTATAGGCTTTGGGTGTTGGTCTCCGCCATTTGATTCAGCCATGGAGAATGTGAAATTGCCGCCATTTTCCGGCGGCGGAATGAACGCTGTCGCCGGCAGCACAGGCTGAACTTTAGGCGTAATCGGGCTGTATTCCGGTGCGACAGGCGATGCCGACCGAGGGTCTGGCGCAAAGCCCGCTGCCTTGGGCTTGCTCACAGATCCTGGCGCAGTGGGAGGTGTGGGCGGGGCAGTGATATGGTGGAATATGAACTGCTGAGGTACTTGCTGGCGGTGCGCCTGGGCAGGCAATATCGGCTGGAGATGTGGTTGTGGATGTGGTTGTGGTGGTGGCTGTCGCTGAGGAGGTTGTCGTGGCTGAATATTGAGTGGATGCTGGTAGTGGCGATACGGTGTTGAGGTACCCGTGTGATATGGCGATTGCGTTTGTAGCTGGATGTTTTCCGACAATGACTCTCGCGTGTTGATTCCGGGCGGCGACGGCATCCCAGGTCCACACTGGAGTCTGTGCGCACAGCAAGCTCTTATGACATGAAACAGAAAGATATCTCGACTTGCTCTGTGTGAGAGTAAAAATGCGTGGGCTTACACAGAATGGTCGTCTAGATATAAATGCTCGAGGAAGTCTGGAGCGTTTTTGGTTCTCAAGTGTAATGTATAGGTGAAGCCTCGCACTTGACACCTCGCCGGTGATTAATTATCATTATCTATTTTAGTGGGGACACCAACCAGCGGTAGGAATTCTTGAGTTGCATGTGCCTGCATCAATTTGCCTCAAGCGAAATTTGACCTCACGTGATCAATTGCAGCATGATCACAGATGACTTACGGGCATGATATGTGGAACAAGAGTGCAATGGGCACATAGGGCGCTGCTTTAATAGGCGGATGGGCATTCTTAACTCAAAAATGTCTTAACGCGAATTGGCAACATATGTGTTTTACATGAATTGCGTGATCTAGTTTTTGGTTTGTAGACGTTTTCGCTGGATCTCGGAGCATTTCGGCCTAACAACCGCGAGTGTCTTGTAAACATTGCCGACTAGCTTCGATCGCGCAGTTCTTCCGGGAACACCTTTCGTCGCACCCGGGCTCGCTCACTTTGCGAAGTGGAAGTCGTAATTCAACCACTTCCTTGCCAAGACTTGCTGCACGTTCAAACCAGGGGCACCATAAGTGACGGGTGCAAAGAAGAAGAAGCTCCACACGAGCACTGATATGATGACGCCGCTCGCAGCCCATGTTGCGAGCAGAGTCTGACCAGCGATCCTTTCGCGGATGGGCCTGGAGCGTTGCTGCTGCTGGGTGACATTGCCTTTACTGCCGTCGACGATGGGGCTCTTCGACGAGATGTTGGCCAGTTCAGAAGGCTCGATGTTGAAGATGAATTCAACCATGGCACCGGCGACCAGACAACTGGCCAAATGAGCTGGAAGATAGTGGTGCAGGAAAAGCTGACGGCCCATAATAAAGAACGGAGCGTAGTGGGCAGCCCAAAGAAGGAAAAAGAAACCAGAACTATTGTAAAGACGACCGCGAGTGCCTAGATGACTATGTTAATATCAGTATTACCGAGATAGGATAGAGCTAGACTTACGGCGATCGAGCGCGTCCACACCGCGGCGCACAGAAATCTGGTCGGCAAAGATGATGCCAGCAAAGACTGCGAGAATGGAGGAAGCAAACCACCAGCCGACTGGGTTACCTAGAAAATAAATCTGCTGCCTCGTTTCCTCATGTGTCCAGAAGCTGACGCCACGCAGCAAGAACGGCCATTGGATCGGGTGGGATGCATATGGATGCGATGATGTCAAAGCGTTGTTGTGGTGGAACATCAAACGTTGCAATTCGAGATATTTGGTGAAGAATGGAAGAGTCTTGGGCTTTCTGACCTCTTTGATCAGTCGCGGTGAGCCTTCTGGGATACCATAAATATCGTCAATGTACCAATTGGCGCTAGGGAGCTGATTGTTTTTGTTGCCGTTGATCTCAGCTTGTGCGTATCCCCAATCCGGGAGGGGTGTAGTATGTGTCCACATCGAAACTCTAGTGGACACGTGAATGAGCTTGAAATGAGACGATTTGGTTCGGAACTCCGCTCCATCTTTGCCACCATCGACTCTGATCTCAAAGAGCGTGTCGTTGAATCTAGGTCCATTTCCCTCGTCCAGCGGTGCCGTGGTAAACTCTTGATTTGTAGGGAAGAACGGACAAGCAACATCATGGGTCATCAGCCAGCTGTTGGTAATCAAGTGGCGGAGGCGGACGATCTCTCCGTTGTGGACTCGTTGTCCTTGTCCCTCTCGGCCATGCGCCGGGACAATCTGCCAGAGATTATTGGTGTCGTTGTGTGGGTAGCCAGTAACCTGCTGGCCTTGCGAAGAGATTCTGCCATCGTCATAGCGGAGGGGGTAGCGTTCCGTGTGCGAGTGCAGGTAAACCTTCGTTTCCTTGTGTCTCAGCGTGAGGCTGTCGAAGTAATCAATTGGAACAGATGCTTGTGTCATCAAATTGTCGGACAGTGTTTCCTGGAATCCTGCACTCATAAACTCATCGCCTGGGCCCGAGCGACTGAGGATGCTAAAGTGTACTTGGAACCAAAACAGGTACATCACAAATGGCACGATAATCAGACCAATCATCCGTGCAGCAAAATGATGACCAAAGGTGACCAAACTTAGGGCGCCTTGTTTCCGCTTGACATCTAGGAGATCCCATAGGTCAATCATGACCGGTACACCGATAGAGAAGAAGGTAAAGGCGCCGACGTATTTGGTGCTGATGACGCAGCTCATGCTGATTCCCGTGAGCAACAGCCACTTCCACCATTTCCTACCAAATGGATCATGACGCAATTTGTAGAAGCGGATGTAACAGTAGATGCTCAGTGCCATGAACAACACCAAAGTGGCATCCAGAAGAATCAGCCGTGTCTGCCCAATGTGGGCGTTGTCCAAGAGCATCAGCGCTGAAGCGAGAATGGTTGCGGGAAGGCTATATCCAGATTCCCACATAATCAAGAAGACGGTCGATACGGTCAGGGCGCCCATTGAAGCAGGCATGGCGCGATATGCAACATAAGGCACCTTGTTGGTAATGTAGGAGTCGCCAATGTTTTCGAAGAGAAATTCGCCATTGTATCCGACCAGCCAGCCAGCGAACGCGAAGAGAAGTTTTCCGAATGGAGGGTGAACATCGAAGAAATAAGTTCGTTGAAGATAATAAGATGCGAACTGTTTGATGACAGGATGTCATTATTGATGCTCTTCTGCAGCCACAGCTCTCGCGGCCCAGCCTTCATGTGTATAGACTCACCTTTCCAAAATGGACTTCGTCAAACACGACTTCATTTGGATGGCTGATGCCCCAAAATCTTGTGAGAAAGGCCAAAACTGTGATGATCACGAAGCCGATTTTGTAGTCCACATCACTCCTTGCCGATTCTTGCACGTTTTTCTTCACAGCCGACAGCGTCTCTTTCGAGTTCGCTTTCAAACTTGTGATCGCATCCGCAACAGGTGCCGTGGGCTGTTTCTTTCCAGCATCTTTAGGCCCTCGTTGCTTCACAGAGCCCTGGGGGTTTGACATTGTGGTGTTCCAACAGCGAACGACGGTCTCCTCAGCGGAAACCAGCCGCGGAAGATGGGTCGGTTGTCGAGCGTCGGATCCAATGCAAGGAATGTGTGGGCGTAATCGAACAAGCGCGAGGTGATTGCGGCCTTGATGCGATATCAATCAACGTGTTGTGAATGCCAGCTGTCCAACGAAATTATACCCGCAGGGAAAGCTTGCCGCCATTCCAAAAACAAGGGTTGTCAATGTCGACCGAATCTGGAAAGCTGGACCTGCGCCAGCTCGACTGCCCACTGAGGAAAATTATAATAATAACGCACATTTGTCAAATAGTCCAACATCGGTGGCATTCAATCTAGATTTGGGTCATCTACAACATAAGGCATAGAACAGCACCGGTCGGACACACATCTGCCCAGTGTGGACGGTATCTCTTACATCGGCAAATCACAGCTAAGTTCATGACTGGAAATGCATCTCAGAGACGAGCTCAAGCGCGTGGACGAAACGGTGACAGCATTCATCTAATTCTAGGCAGTCCTCTTCTTCGCCTTGAAAGCGGCACTTCGCTTTGTGACCTTGACTTTCTTACTAGACAAGGGCTTTCCGCCCAGCTTCAGACCAGATTTGCCTTGCTTCGAGCTTGCACGGTGTCCCTCGAACACAAAGCTCTCCGGCCGCCTGATACCCTCCGCTAGTAATGGTCGTGATGGGCGAGCTACTCCATTGCTGCTATTACTCTTCTCAGGTCGTCGAACTCGCGAGGCAGCGGCGCGACCCAGAAGTTTTCCAGCACGCCCGAGTTTCGATGCCTCCTCGGAGGTGACCTTGCGCTGGTATCCATTCGTTTTTGGCCGTGATGTTGGTCGATCAGAGCCAGGTTTGACATTGCGTTTTTGAGCTTTGGCGCGCGTTACTCTCAGCTTGCGAGGCAGCATCGGCGGGAACTTCTTCTCGTTAAGGAGTAGGGCTGCCTCAACCGCATTCTCGTCCTCAAATTGAACGTAAGCGATACCTTTGCCAACCCGTGTTGTACTATCACGGATCACCCGGACACTTTCCACTTTGCCGCATTTCGCAAATGTCCGCCATAACCCCTCCTCGACATCGGCAGGCTCTTTGCCTCGTTTTCTCTTCTCACGACCCTCTTCCTCGTTTGCATCTTGAATATTGGTCTCGTCGTCAACAAATCCAAGATTGCCTACGAACACACATCGACGGTTATCCACCTTGGCGGGATGTGCCACTTCATCCACGCGCAGATGGCGATCAAGCACCACGGTACCATTGAGTCGTCTCGCAGACTCTCGAGCCAGCTGTGGGGCTGAATAGACGGCGTATGCATTGGTTGACTTCGTGGTGGCGTCCATGACCTCTTGTTTCGCAAAAGCAGCCTTTCTGGGAATAGCAGAGGCGTAAGGCGTAGATCGGAACCTGAGCGACTCGACTTTGGGCTTCGTCGTCCCTGTCTTGGCGTCCGCAAGATCTGTGAAGAACGATCCAAGGTGCGCCATCAATGCTTTTCGGTGAGCTTTCGATGTGATGGCAGTCGTGGAAACGTTGCCAAGGAACACAGTCCGATTTGCCTTTGCGAGGTCCTCATCTGCTGCCACCTCTGTTTCGTGCTTTGGTACGGGCTCTGATGGGACTTCATCTTCCACCTCCTCGATGTCGCTTTCATCATTGTCGGCCGTCCCAGTTTCTGCGTCGTTTTCACCTTCATCGTCGTCTTCATCGTCGTCTTCACCGTCGTCAGCCCCGGCCTGAGGTTCCCGGGATTGTATGCGGTCTTCGGTCTCTTGCTGTCTCGATCGCTTTGTTGCTCGTGCAGCAGCCAACCGCTCAAAGTCTCTAGCTTCTTCTTGGGCAAGTTTTTCCATGTATTTGCCTTCCAGATCGTCGCCATCCTTGCGCTTGCGCTTGCGCTTACTTCGGCCTTCGTCATCGTTGTCAAGGAGTTGTATTTCGTCTGGTAGCGGGAGCCGGTTCTGAAGTGGTATCAATCCGCTTTCTGCCTCGTCTGCGTCATCGTCGAGTCCTTCACTGATCGACTCAAGGTCGGCATCATTATCCAGGTCCTGAGTGCGAGGCTTTGTAGCTGATCGCTCTCGACCACTGTCAATATTTGCCTTGACTGCTGGTTGCTGCACGTCGTCAGCATCACCGAAATTTCTTAAACTTTACACTTTGGATTCGCACCTTGACCGCGAACAAGGAAGAAAGATTTGCGTCAAGCGCACTGCCACTGGCTAGCAATGCGAACGCCGAGGCCGCTGCTGTGTCTGAGGACTTGCTGGTCTTTTTTGACTTTTTTGAGATTTTCGAAGGTTTGTGAGTGGATGTTGTGTCGCTTTTGCGCTTCGATCGCTTTTCGACCTTCTCCGAAGCTGCCATTGTGATATATTCAATCGGGTGAACAATCAGCAATATTCGTCGAAATTTTGCAGAGTATGGAGATTGAATTTGATAATCATGAATGTACCGATTCGGCAAAGCTCCCCAGCACAGCTCGAACTTTTCTCAGGGACCGTCAGCCGCCCGGGCAGTCCTGCACACACTATACTGGACGTTCGGCTTTCTGACTGGCACGCTGGCTAGTTGGCTGTGTGGTCGATGATCACGTTCCTGAGGTTTCCCTACAGTATTGACGTCGGTCGCGCGGGCCACACTGCCACTGCGGAGCGACAGAGTCCATCTCTCTCTGTACGTGCCGGCTGCGAATACTTGCCTCATGCTCCTCGACACTAGATCACACCACCAAATACTCGCAAACACCTCGCCTGTATATTCTTCAATGAATCTACGTCCTGTGGACGATTTATCGCCGCCAGATCACGGTTGTCCGACGCCCGCCCGCCTGTGTCGTTCCTCATAGCGTCAATCTTCATACACCACTCGATTTTTGCCGACCAGCAGCAAGGAGCATTCACCACCAGTGACCTTGCACAGTCGGTCAGCACGAGTAATCTGCGAGCTGTCGAGATCACCGAGGCGGACGTTTCCACAGACCCTCCGCCTCGCCTAGGCTGGCAACAGTCATGGCCGCGGTGTCGCGTCGCACCGAGCCCACACCTCCAAGCCGACCTTCCATCAGTCCCCTCAGCACCACAAAATCTTCGCCTGTCGCATCAAGAGAAGACGCCATGTCGACTATCAATGGGCAAGATGGCCTTGGTAGGGTGCAGGATATGGGCATGACCGATGCACCAGAACTCGCAGACGATCGCTCGAGCAGTCTCAGCGAACCAGAGGACGAAGATGACGAAGGCGCACAATTGTTAGACGTTCGATATCGGAGTACCTTGGGGGATGATCGTGCAGGCATTCGATCAAATGACATTGATTCTGAAGCCGAGACCGAGCGACTGGACCAAACACCGTCTCGCTTGCGCAAACGTGCTGATAGTACAGGAAAGACGCCGAGTAAACTCAGCCATACCGCGATGGCAGACGAACTTTCTGATGTGCCATCACCTTCACGCGCAGTCGTCAACGGAGCCTCGAGCACAAGCACAGCAGGAACAATTGGTATGTCGAGTGCAGAAATGCCGGCCACTACCAAGAAAGCTTCTTCCGGCCCGCGCTAACATATGCTTCACAGGCAAAAAACGTAAGCGATCCGATACTGCCGATAGCTCACTCACCAGCGCCGAATCTCTACTTGGTGAATCACCTCGCAAACGCTCACAAGAGTCACCACCCGTCCACGAGCACATTGCTGAGGAAACCGACGCAGCCGAGGGTGCAATCGATCCCAGTGCACAGTCAAAAGCCTCGTCTCGGGAAGAGGACAGCGCCGCAGATCAGGAGCCTGCTGCTGTGCAATCGACTAAAGGTGGTTATAAGGGCAGGAGGGCAAAAGTTAAGGGAAGATCAAGAAAAGACGCAAGCAAGGACACCGAGGCCAGTGCAGCAAATTCCATGGACGTAGACGACGAGCCTGCCGAAGAGACTATGGCAAAGTCACACGACGAGCTCAAGCATAAAGGCGCTGCATCGTCACTGTTCGAAGATCTAGCCAAACAATTTGCTTCCTTCCATGACAAGCTATTCAACGAGAAGCTTGCCGCGTTGGCCTCTGAGGTTGAGATGCTTACGCAGGCGGACTGTCAACATCCAGAATATCTGCGTCAGGCCGCATGTGTGGATGCGCGGTATGCTAAGCAAGTCAGCGAGGTGCATGCGTACTATCGGTACAAAATGCAGGCGCTTCGTATTACTACTTTGGCTGAACGCAGCCAATTGCACAGCCAATACTTTCAGACTGCGCGCGAATTGCGGGAGGAACAGGCCTATCAGCTTGGTGAAGATTGGTACAAGATACAAAAAGAGCGGCGACAAAGCAGTCATGGACAGGATGGACAATATATCCTCAAGTTCCCGACAAAGCGCAGCGAGCAGCTGCGAAATCAAGCAAAGTACAACCAAGAGGTATCTATCCTCAGTGGCGTGGCAAAGTATGTTGGTTTTCCGGCTGCACCAGCCATCACTGGCGCTGAAGGTGATGCTTTGGAGGATGACTTGAAATCTATGAAGGTATGATTAGCATCAATAACGCGAGAATTTTGGGGTGCTCATGAGCTAACCGCAATTATCCAGATCACAAAGCGTGTTCCACAGGCAACAAACCATAGCAATGCGTCAAGCATGTTCATGAGCAATCGTTATACACAACCCCAGAGCGAGCGTTTAGCACACGAGCAATTTATAGAGCAAAATGCTTGGGCTCGACCTCAGGGTACAATTCCAAATCACGGCACTCCCAACCTTACGCATACGCCAGATTGGGCGGAAGCCGGCAATGCCACGACCGCCAAGCACATGGCTCGCACGACTAGCACACCTGCAACCTCGAAGCGAGCCGCAAACTCGAATGAAGATCCTCCGCAAGACAGAAAGACTATGAAAGACCAGTCTGCTCCCCCTACAGCGGAGCGAACTATGGCCATGACGCCAGGCGCCCGCGATCCCATCTCTCCCATCGCGATGGTCAAGCAGCGCCAGAATGGCAACGACAAGGACGTGCCCAACTTCCGAAATTTCAGCAATATATCCGGCACTAGCACCATCGATGCACCCGACTCGGCCGAAAAGGACAAGGACCGCATGCAGCAACACCAACACCACGCTTTCGAGCGCCATCCCGTCGGCACACTGCTGCGGTATCCGAGCACCAGCGACTCAGGCGGCAGGCCAGAGCCATATGCCGCCTTGCCGCAACCGACGACCTCCTTTCGACCTGCCGTCATGGCTGTGAGCGGATCACCCGCGAGCAGTCTGGTCCACAAGTCATGACAATGAATGACGGGCACATACGTGGCCAAAGGGAGATGATGATGAAATCTGGGCGGAGTTCTCCTTGCTTTTCGCAGACTTCGATTCGGAAAGCATTGGTTCGGAGAGGGGGGCTACGTCATTTGCATTTTATGAAAGGCGCGGATTTTCTTGATTACGATTTTGTTCGCGAATGGGTTGGGGCATATGATGGGATGATGTCCTCCTTTCGCTATTTTGTGTTTCTTCTCCTTATTCTTTTCTCCGCTCCCCGCAGTCTCACACAGTCCACTCCTCTCTCAAGGAGTTCGAGATATCATCTTATCATCGACTGTCACCCCTCTCTTCCCCCGCCCTCAGTTGGACAACTTCGAGGGCGTCCGCTCACCGCGATTGACGACGCGGCTTCTTCTCTTGAGAGAGAACGGAACTTCCCTCCTCGTCGCTCCGCCATCACAATTTTCTGTACACTCCGATCTTGCTTTACTCGCTCCTGTAGCGAAGATATCCTACGCCTTCGAATGGAAATACGATTCTCGATCGCTTGACGTGGGGCTTTTCCACTACAAAATAACAATTGCAGAATCACGTCCGAGACGATTGAGTTGATAAACGATGGCCGCGACAGCGGATATGATATATTGAAGTCATTTGAATATGCAAATCGAACAACCCGTTATGGAGACAAATGAGATCCGGCTCGAGTGTCAACCAGTCGTGTCTCGTCAATAATCGCTTGCATGCTAGAGACCGCCCGAATTTGCGTGCCGTGAAAAATATGATGAAACGCGAAAACCGGAAATGTGGTGCATGTGGGATTATCACAGTGCATTCTCGGAATTTGTCCCAAGACGTAGGAGTGAGTGTCGGGAACCGGGATAAGGCTCGTCGCAACACGTGAGTTTATCAGCACTCCGGTGGACCTGGAGACGTGCTGCAGGTGCATAGGTGGAGTCTCATTCTCGGATGATCTTCATCTTCAAGTCTTGTTTTTGTTTGGCGCGAGAGATCCAGGCATCGCAGCATTCTTGCAGCGTCTCGTGAAGCCCCGTCCAGCCGTCGCCCTTGCCCATACGGCGGAGTAGCTTTTCAGCATCGTCCCGCTCATCGAAGATCGCTCCGTCCACGCCGTGATCGTCGACGTTGCCGGGAAACGCTCGTGATGGATACAGCTCCCGTAATGAACCTAGGATTTCGTTGATGTTGTATGGTGCTGTAGCTGAGAACAAACGCCGTGAGCGCACGTCGGGGAGAAGAAGTGCTGCGATGTGCAATAAGGCAGAGTCCCGCACGTTTGTGAAGTGTTCTGCAATGACATCGCTTATTAGCATCATGTGTCTCGGTGATAACGGGCGAACTTACGAGCTGGTGACCATGATGTGGCGGGCGCATCGCCATGGAACATCGAGTTGAGGATTTCGATCGATGTAGGTTGGTTTTGCTCAGGTGATAGTGTAGATCCCCATAGAACGCCTGGGAGGACTATTTCGATCACAATGTTAGTAATTGTGACCCTTTCGTGAAGCTGTAAGGCTGATGTGAATCTGTTCATTTCGCATCACCAACTGTTCTGCAAACTCACCTGTATTGAGGTCGAATTCGGGCCTTTGTTCGCGATACCATCGCCAGACAGCCTGTTCTGTCTGAAACTTTGCAGCACACTGCACCGACCAAGCTCGCTCCATATCTGATTCCGCTTTGTTTGAGATGGGACCATTCCAGGCTGCCTGAAAACACTCCATGTTCCAGCTTTCGTATGTAACGTGATTCGATCGGCCAATTGTTGGATCGACAGCCGCAGTCAACGCGCTGCAATATACAAATCTTTTGACGCTGCTCTCTCGTGATGCTGATGCCAGGGCATTCAGAGCGCCAGCAATGCTTGGAGCGATGATCTTTGTTGGATCCGGGTCTAATTTGGTTACACTCGCGCAGTGAATGACTCCAGCACAGGATCGTACGGCGAGGTCATATGCGTTTCGTGGAACCATGTCTGAAACGATAGAAGTGGTATATCGCCCAGGACCGTATTTGTGCTTGAAGAGCTTACTCGTCCATACGGCCTTGGCGGCATCACGAACTGCACCGCGTACACGGTAGCCATGAGCCAGTAGTTGATCCACAATCTGTATGCCTTGGAAGCTGTTGGCAGCAGTGACGAGAATGAGTGAGTCCTTCGGGAGGATGGCGCCCTCTGGGCCAGGACGAAATCGAGAGTGATCTGAGTGGCCTTCGTTGACCTTTGAGTATTGTGGCGGCGGTAATGACGATGAGCTGGACCTGATTGTGCTTTGGCTTTTGACTGATTCCGATCGGGAGAATGGATATGGTGGTGGGTCGTGTGAGATCTCTCCGAATACCTCGCGATAGACCTGGGCTTGTCTCTCCAGACGTTGCATGAATCGAGGAGGCATGTCGGATTTTGTGCCTATCGACAAACTTGATCGTTTATGATCGGTGTGGGAGCTGCTGAAGAAGCACACGACAGGGATTAGGCAGCAATGCAATTCACTTGTCGTCTTGCGCCGTCGAGTGTGTGTGAGAATGAGGAGAATTGCAGGCTTTCTGATGTGACAGCTATTTGAAAGGTTATGGGTAAAGTTTGGCGAAGAGCACAAGTACTGGGAGTGAATGCACGAGTACTGCACTGTACAAGGTTATATGTCGTCAGGTGAGAAGTTGCCTGCGTAGGAACAATCGGATCGAAGCATCTGGCCTGGGCAGCAATCGACCGCCTTTAAACATGCTTACCGACCTGCAGTAGCAGCCTGCAGACCAACTTAACTCGTTGTCTACATATCTAGCACATGGTCGTTGTTGGTGGTGGTGGTGAGCGTCAAGGGACTACTGTATGCGAGCGGCACAGGCGCCGCTCGCACTCGCTCTGATCAATGCGCGCATCCAGTTGGCAAGCAAGAAAGGAATCAAGCATGATCGAGGACCGTTTCTGGCGCTGGGTACCTTTCCCTGTCTCTCGACCTTTCTCACGCTTGTCACTTCCGCTCATCGTTTTGTGTGGGTGTGTGAGGGTGTGTGTGTCTGCTTCTCCAAAGGTTGTCGTCTTCTTGGGGGGGTTTGTAGGTCGCCACGAGCCAGGGCGTCAGTCAGGCCACACGTGCGTAGTACACGTGAATCCCTGCCTTCTCCGCCGACCCGCTCGGGTCCTTTCAAATGGACCTTCTGGGGATTCAAGGGATTGACGATCGCTACTGCGATTACACTGTCTCTAGTATGGTTCATTATCCTCGAAAATGACAAGATGATCCGATCGTTGTTGGTGGACAGCTGTCAGCACGATCATCACAGGAAGTCGCGAAGTCGGCAGGAGCAGGTCCAATCACGAGTCTGTTTTTCCGTCGGATGAAGGACGAGTGTACAGTAGACTTCTGAGAACGTTTGCGGCACAGCACACTACTGCGAAGTAGTGGTGGGCTGTTCGACGGCCGCCAAAGGAACGGTCCCGCGCTTTGATGACGATTGACGAGGCCACCCATCCAAATCTTCCCGTCTCGACCACTTGCGATTGACCACTTGCAATGACAAAATCGTGGTCATACATCGCCCGCTGCCACAGGCGACGCCATCAGACGATCAGGAAACACGGCGGCGAGCTCACCGCGCAATGGGCCATTTCTGTGGTAGTCTAAGCGCCCGGTGATGAGGGGCGGACGATCAACCCTCATGACCAATGTTCTGCTGCTGCTACTGTACAACAACGGTGCCACAACTTCCCACAACACTTCGTGTCCTCTCGGGAAGAGCTCAAATGACTATAAGACGGTGTCGAATAAATGGTTGCGTTACCATCTAGGTTGTCATGATGCCGACTTGCAGCTGGGGTAGCGCGGGACGTGAACCACTCCAATTTCCAAAAAGCCATCTTCGGAGAGGCCGTGGACATGGAACTATAATTCCACCTTGAGGTTGCAGTGTGATTGGCTTGTGACACGCCATACTTCGACGTACAGGCCTCGGAAAGGAAGCACCATCAGGCACACTTGAAGTGCGACGAGCTCTTCAACTGCAGAAAAATTCCAAATTCATTCTGCTGTGCGACTCCGACATGTGCCCAGGTGAGTTGTGTCATGGCACTCATCATAATGAGTGTACAGTGGAACTGCCGCAATCGCACAGTATTTTTGGGATGATAAATGCACCCGAATCGCATCACGCTGGCGGGAACGAACAAACGCAAATCTAAAATGGCATCTCTCTTCTCGCATAGATACTGCTGCTACGGGATATAGACCAACGACCGGCTGGCTCGAATAGATACCATCACCTGCACGGAGCAAACCACTGTAGTCTACTGCAATGTCTTCGCTCAGGATATAAATACATCATAACGGAATTGATCCTTGTACAAGGATGTTGAAGCCTACTAGGTATTTCGGCCAAAGCGGCCGACGCCGTTGACCGTGGCGGAAGAACTTCCACGCCCAGCCCAATTCGGGCGGATGCTTACCTAGGTATCCTTTGGATAGCCAACAACAAAGGCTGGCACCATGGCGATTGTTCGGCGTAGATCTGTGCCGAGGCGATGGCGACGTCGTCGGTGCGTTGACCACTGCGCATAATGATGATAGCCGACAATGAGACCTCATGCCTGAATCTTGATATACTACACATTTGTGACTCACGAAGTATGTCCTGCGCGCTGGAATTCCAATTGTTCTGCGCAATCTACCTTTATGTGTATGTGGAGAGTGTACACGATATCATGCACAATCTCACATTGTCACCGAGAGACAAGAAAGAATTTCGATCGCACGAAGGACACACTGCCACCCAACAGTCCGTAGTGGGCGGCCACCAACAAGACGAAGAATTTGAGTTTTGCTGCGCCGTCCCGCTTCCGGCCCTTCATGCATCATGCTCACACACTCTCACACCCACACACACACACATGAGAGATGCAGGCCCCTTTCGCGTTCCCGATCTCCGTCGTTGAGATCATCAGCAGCGACCGTATTCTCGTCAAAGGAGGCGGCACAGTTCCACGAGCTGCGAGCCGAAGATTGAAGGAGGTCGCTTGCTTCAGCCGATCACAAAGGGTCAGTAGCTATGCCGCCGCTACAACGACGACTACGAGGTTACGCACGCAGCGCATTCGCACAACACCATCGCGCATGCGTCCAACTTCCATACCATGGTGCGGAATTCCAATTTTGACATTCAGCATTTCTCACATTGCGGCCAATCCGTCATGCTAGCCTTTCTGTCGTCAGACGGGAACGATGCGGCTTGCGGCTTGCGCTGACGGGTCGGCAGCAAAGTCGAGAGTCAAAATCTCACAAGGGAAAGTGTATATTATTGCAAAGCATGTTCGTTATGCCATCTAACAAAACACACAGATCTCAATCATCTTCCACCGGCTCTGCATCTACTGCATCACAACACATCACCTTACATTTCAGGTCCCACGTCTGCTCGCGCTTCGACGTCGTGTGCTCGCCCACCTGCATGCATCATCATAGACGCAGAATGGACCAGGTTCCCATGCATTGATAACCGCGGCCCACACGCGTAAGCAGCAAACTAAAATGTCGCTAGTCCGTCGCGCTACGGCTTCTTGCCGCTGCTTTTAGTCTCCGAGTGAGGAGATTTGGTCGCTCTCTGCGAGACCAAAATATATCAGCACTTACCATGCCCACCTGCAGGAGCTGCTCTAATCGCAGTGCCTGAACAGGAAAACATTCTCTGTGCTAAAAGATTTCGGAAAGTACGACGGACGGCGCGAGCCATCTGTACGTGCGCGTCGCTCCGATTCTACCTTTCCAAGGTTCCAAGGTTGTGTGCAATGTGCGGGCTGCGTTGTCGCGCGCTATACGGCATGCCGAAAGGGATGATTTAGAGCAAAACACTAAGTGCTCTTGGTCCATCATTCCGAGGCTGCTGCCCTTTGACGATAAAGAGCGACCCGAGCGTCCTCGCTCAACCGTCGAAAAACCCCTGCCGCTCCCGGATTTCGAGTTGCCGAGAAACCTCGCCGATATCAGCTTTTCGCGCGAAGCCAAAGGAAGCAGACCACCCTGGCACGAATCTATTGATGGGGAAGAGCCATAACCGGGGGTCTGAAGGCGTCCTGGATGATGTTTCGAGTCTTACACCAACAGGAAATACCGTAAAGTTGAGCAGGATAGGTGTTTTGAATGCGCGAGTGCTGCAGCAAAGGAATCGGTCCGGCGATCACAGGCGCGCTGTATTAATGCGAAACATAAAAGTCTTCCATCCACACTCAGTAAAAAATCACAGTATGGACAGCACGGTAGCATCTGAAATGAGGATGAATCTTGCAGAGCAAATGCGGGTTTGTTGGAGGTCCTAGATGAACGCTCCAGCGAGTGAATTTGGTTACAAAATGCCGGATCGAGCCATGCGCCTTTGCCCGACAGTCTTCATTGACTCCTGTGCCTGAACTCATTCCACGGAAATACATGAACATGACATTGACGCAACGCAGATTTCCTCTTGGAGTAAAGCAGATGGAAATCCGATGTGGTTTCGACGGTTCAGAATATGATGAGATCGTCCGAGGTGAGATGACTATGTGTGCCCTGCAACTGGAGATCTAGATGGGCATTCGATTCATGACGACGATAATTGAGCTTTCCGTGAACGGGATACTCCAGATGGAGTCGAATGGCGAAATCAACGTCTGACACGACGTCGGTGAAGCAGACGGATAGTGTTGATATCACCTGGGGAAGAAAAATATGCTTGATCACAAAGGAAACAGTTCTCGCGTATCTACAATGCCGCTACCTCTCCCTTTTCAAGTTCTCTCCCTCGACAAGTTTGCTTGCAGAGGACGAAGTCTTTTCGTCGCGGGGAGCTCACTTGTCTTTTGTATTATACACGGACCCCAGGTACCTGCTAATGACATATTTTTGCGCAAAACAACCTCACAGAAAGGCGCGTCTACGAGGTGAAGCTCTTGGTGAAGCTCTGCACGACGTCCCGAAGCTTCTGCTCGAGCTCCTTGCTGAGCGCACCCTCCTTCTCGATCGAATCCAACAGACCGCTCTCGTTGCTCTTGAGGTGGCTGAGGAAGTCAGCCTCCCACTGGGTAACCTTGGCGACGGGGACCTTGTCGAGGTAACCGTTGACACCAGCGAAGATGATGGGGACCATCTCGTTGACGGCCATGGGAGTGTACTGCTTCTGCTTGAGAAGCTCGGTAAGGCGCTCACCACGGCTGAGGGTCTGCTTGGTCGAGGCATCGAGATCGGAACCGAACTGGGCGAAGGCAGCGACTTCACGGTACTGGGCCAAGAAGAGCTTGAGCGAACCGGCGACTTGCTTCATCGACTTGAGCTGGGCAGCGGAACCGACACGGGACACGGAAAGACCGACGTTGATGGCCGGGCGAATACCCTTGTAGAAAAGCTCTGACTCCAAGAAGATCTGACCGTCGGTGATGGAAATAACGTTGGTGGGAATGTAAGCGGACACATCACCACCCTGGGTCTCAATGACGGGAAGGGCAGTGAGCGAACCACCACCAAGCTTGTCGTTCATCTTGGCAGCACGCTCGAGGAGACGAGAGTGGAGGTAGAAAACGCTATTCATCTCGTCAGTGACATGTAGTATGTGGATGAGGTAGTGAAGTACTCACTCTCCGGGGTAAGCCTCACGTCCAGGAGGACGACGGAGGAGAAGCGACATTTGACGGTAAGCGACGGCCTGCTTGGACAAGTCATCGTAGATGATGACAGCGTGCTTGCCGTTGTCACGGAACCACTCGCCTAGGAGAAATGATGTCAGCGACAATGCCAAATTGTAGGGTCTTCTCTCACAGCAGTGGATGTGACTTACCCATGGCAGTACCAGCGAAGGGAGCAAGGTATTGCAGAGGAGCGGCCTCGGAAGCGGTGGCGGCGACGACGATGGAGTACTTCATGGCGTCGTTCTCTTCGAGGGTCTGGACAAGCTGGGCGACAGTGGAACGCTTCTGACCAACGGCAACGTAGACACAGTAGAGCTTCTTCGACTCATCAGTTCCGTTGTTGACACGCTTCTGGTTCAGCATGGCGTCCAAAGCGACGGCGGTCTTTCCGGTTTGACGGTCACCAATGATCAGCTCACGCTGACCACGTCCGATGGGCACCATGGCGTCGATGGACTTGAGACCAGTCTGCACGGGCTGACGGACGGATTGACGAGGGAGAATACCCGGGGCCTTCATCTGAGCACGGCGGGTCTCCTTGGTGTTGAGCGGGCCCTTGCCATCGATGGGGTTACCGAGGGCATCGACGACACGTCCCAAAAGCTCGGGGCCGACGGGAATGTCAACCTGTGTGACGTGTTAGCTCCAGGGACGGCAATGGTGATGCGGTGTCGTTTGACTTACGATCTTTCCGGTACGCTTGACGCTCTCACCCTCACGGACCAATCTGTCGGAACCGAAGAGCACGACACCGACCTGGCCGGCCTCGAGGTTCATGCACATGCCGGTGACACCGGACGCGAACCTGTATGTTCATCAGTACTGTGTCCCAAATGATGCCCAGTGGTTGCATATCAATGCCGCCGCGCCCGTCTGATAGCCGACGCGCGCTCCAGATGCTGATGCCAGGATATGAAAGGCAAGACTCACTCAACCAACTCTTCGGCCTGGACGTTGGCCATGCCGTGGACACGGGCAATACCGTCACTGATCATGTCGTAAGTTTATGTACTTCTTCAGACTCCATTCATGTGTTCCCTACCCGACGGAGAGAACGCGGCCAGTCTCGGAGAGGGTGCTCTCCTCCTGGACACCACGGATTCGCTGCTCGAGGATGGAAGAGACCTCGGTGGGAGAGGCCTTCGCATCAGCGGCATAGCTGCGGGTGATGGTGTTGACGATGGCGGGAGTGGCACGCTGCTACAATGCAAAAAAGTCCATGTTAGCGGATTGTCCCTGAAATAACCTCGGAGCTTCCGGGCATCTCGAGACAGCTTCAAAAAAGCTCCAATCGATGCCCATCATGGCTCCCAATGTGTTTCCGGATGCCATTGGAGAAATCCAGATGCATTGGAGATGCATTGAAGCTGATATCGCCGTCGCCGTCGCGAGCTGATGTACATACCGCGGAGATCCTGCCGGTGGCAGCGGCGGCGCCAGCGGCGCGAGCGCTCGTCCTGAGCGCGGTCCTGAACATTCTGAATGTGCTCTGAAGTACTTTGACCAACAGATGCTGCTCCCACAGCGGATGGAAGTGATGATATGAGCGGAGACAGGGAGGGTGGAGTGGTGATGGGAGATGGACGGGTCGAGTAGGAGAGCTTGTTTCTTCCCGACTTTCGCCAAGCCCATTGGCCCAAGCGCTCAAAAGTCAGTTCAACCGGAGAAGAACACGTGATTCGGATGAGATTTGTGCTGGACTGTGCCATGCTGCACTCTCCATCCTACTGTTCTACTATGTACTGTTTGACTGTTGGTGCAATAAAAAAGCTGGGACATCTGCCACAACTAGGACAGCGATGAGAGAGCGCCCATGTGGCTTACGCTCGCTTGTTATCTGCGTTGCGTGAGAATGTTTCCTTCTCTACCACATGTACTGCTCACACTGCTGTCTACGGCACGATACAATAAGATCCGGGTGTGATCTGCTCGAGTGTCTGCGCACTGCGTGTCGTCGATTCATTAATAATATATGCTAGTCTCCGAGGTCTCGTTGGATGCACTGCACGGTAGCTACCTAGGTACTGTATGGGTGGCACCGTAGCTGCGAGTCGCCTTACTTCTTCCTTGCATCAACCGGCATGTTAATTGATGTCAACCCTACACAAATTCACATTTGCCATCTTTCCTTCTGCACGTCGCCTGCGGGTATCCTGTTGGGCATATCGACAGGCGACTCTTCAATAATAATATACAGGATACGGTACTCCGATCAATCCTGAGCTCCGGGTAAACTCGGCTATCATGGCTCTCAATCTCGAGAAGCAGCTACTCTTCGTGAGGATCTCCATGAACGACATGCTATTGATATCTACGTTCTGACAACGATTGTTATGGCCGTAGTATGGGGCATACCACCATGACCCTGTACGTCGAACGTAAATCCATAAGGCGCACTTCCGACCAGTCGTTGACGGGGAACAGATCAATGTAGGAATTCACATCATCTTCGTCCCAACAATCTTGTTGACGGCCTTCCTCTTCGTATGTGTTCAGAGGATCTGATGTTCAAGTATCATTCTATATTGACCTTTTGTCAAGGGCACCAACACTCCTGCCATCCCGATACCAGAATGGGCGACCATCCCCAACCTGCCTCTCAATTTGGGAACCATAGCCTGTGTGACATACACCGGACTCTATGTCCTTATGGAACCCGTCGCCGGAGCGATGCTGGCCCCTCTACTCTTCGGTGCGACCGCGTACGCCAATCATTTGACCTCAACCTATGGCATGAAAGCCAACTACATTGCCATCGGAGTCCACGTCGTGTCATGGATCGTTCAATTTATTGGTCATGGGGTCTTTGAGGGTCGGGCGCCGGCTTTGCTTGACAACCTGGTTCAAGCCATCTTCCTGGCTCCCTTCTTCGTTTGGCTGGAGATCCTCTTCGCTCTTGGCTATCGCCCTGAGTTGAAGTCAAGGCTGGACCAGGCTATCGAGAAAGAGGTCTCCAAATTTAAAACTCAGAAGGATGTCAAAGCGAATGGAACGGCGAAATGAGTATGTGTGGTTGGTGACGCATAACGACGTTTTTCATTTATATGTCCTGGAGCAGAAATGGGAGGATGGCAATGCATGCAAAAGTACAACAAAGCATCAATATCTGGCCGCACTGTGGTTGGGGATGGTGATGACTCGTATTCAACGCCGGAAATGAAACAATCGGATGGCGAAGTTCCACGCGCTCGACAGCGAAGCCAGCTCGAACAATTGTAGAGTACAGCGAGGTGCTGATGCGCAATCTTCTTTCTCACTTGATCTGGTCTAATCATACATGCGAGTAATTTCAGACCCATTTCCCATGTCCCAAACGCCTACGCTAAGCATACAAAAGACACGTCCCCAAATATTCGCTTTCCTCTTCTATTGCTCCACTTCCATCATATCGAGTTGATCAGTCGATGCTGCGAGCGAAGATAGCGAAGAATTGTCGTCATCGTCCTCGTCAGCTCCTGCGTTCTGACCTTCACTCGGTAGGATCTTCCCTGCGTTTGGATTCCACTCCCAGATGTGCTGGACTGGACCTCCTTCGATCACGACATCCTTCTCGTCGGGGAGTTGCGAGAGGACCGTACCGCGCAACCGGCTCTCATCTCCAGCCTTCGGGTGTTTCTTCTTCAGCGTGGTCAGGAAATCCTCCGCCTGCACGACTCCGCCGCCGACACCGACCGCAGGGAGCACGCCCCCCACGCTCGCCTCGGGGATCATGCCGGCCACCCTCCTCGCCTCCTTGTGCTGCGCCGAGTCGAACCATCTCGTGAACTCCCGAACGTCTCTGGTGTCCTCCTCGTCGCGTTTGCGCTTCTGTGCCGCCTGTCGCTGGCGACCCGCCTGGGGCACATCTGCGATCTCCGTCAGGGGTTTGCGCATGCGCTCTTTCCAGGCCTCCTCGGAGGGATCTGTGAGGGGATGGATCACGCCGCATTCCGAGAATGCCATGCGCATATCTGATATGGTGGGGAGAGGGTCGTTGTGGCTGAGCATGGCATATTGCGCTGCGGTGGATGCCAACAGGAGGAGGTGTCGCTCGGCGATATTCGTGAGTGTGTCCAGCACTGATGGCTTGGTGCTGTGGAAACCGGCGCCGCGGAGGATATGGATCATTGCAGGCCGCAAAAGGGCGCGGTGGAGATCGTGTGCTTGCGACATTTTCACTCTTGTGAAGTTTTGACGACTATCGTAGTATCATGGCTTGAGGACCCGGGGTCTTGAGTACTGCGATCACTCAAATCGAGCTCACTGCGCATGTCAAACGTTGGCGGATGGCATGTCGTTGGATCTCGCAATTTGGTGTCCCAACCCCAACCCTATGCGCGTCACAACCCTAGCCGGTCATCTCTTTGCACTGTCCACCTTTATGATTCGTTCCTTCATCACGTGGGTATGTTCTGGTTTCTTCAATCATTCTGCTAGGTTGTCGAATATCGACAGCCTGCCTCGTAGAAAACAAGCTACATGTGAGTGGTGGGTGCAGACGTTGCTGGAGTGAGACATGCAGTTTGCAATTTGAAATCTAGAGGCGAGGGCACAACAGAGAATCCTTGACAACAACCTCGCACACTCTCCAAGACTCGCGCTCAGACCGATGATAAATTTTTATACATAATGCGTAAAACCGACACCCTTTCTGGCAAATTTATACAACCCATAGCCCCATAGTCCCTCTGACCATCAGTCTAATCACATAGATGCAATGCCTTGAAAAGCTGCTCAGCGGTCACGTCGATGCCACCAGCAGCCTTATCCTCAATTCCAAAAGCAATCATCAACTCATCATCCAAATACCCGGTGTAATTCAGCCCCCGTTCCTTCCAGTTGACGGAGGTGATGTACATCATCTGGGACTGATCCGCCGAGGTCGCGGGATCACTGGACCAATTCTCGCCGGCTCTGCCACGACCGGAGATCCAGAATGGTTTCGAAGAGAGGGCATGAAGTTCGAAGGGAGCCACATTCTTGAAGATCATGAGGTACGGCTCGTAGAGGTTGTGGCCTCCGTGGTAGGTTTTGTGATGGAAGATCGTGAAGATGTAGGTATTTGCGGCCACGTCGCAGTCCGATGATGATCGCTGGCACATGACTATGGCGAGCGAATTCGTCGCCTGGTGGATATGCTCATGTTCTTGCAACTTGGGCATGTACTGCTTGAGGCACGTGTCATCATGAGCAGCAGTATACGATGCGAGGTCGGCGCTGATCTCGGATCCATCATCGCTGACCTTCGCGAATGAACGCCGAGGTAAGATATCGTAATGAAGGTACATGTCGCCGTGGTGATCCCAGAATGCAAACCAGTTCTTCTCAATGCCGCCGTAGGGAGGCGGGCGCTGTAGCTCGGTCGGCCAGAAGAAACGTTGCGTGCGATCGAGTGCGTCGATGGTGTTCCAACGGACAAGTCTCCTCAGATCGTGAATCCACTGTCCCAGACATGTGTACGCCGAGGCTGATCCATATGTGATATATGGCCGATCTGGTCCGAAAAAGACGCGCGGGTCATTCGGACCGATGAAGTAGTTGAACCAGCTGAGTGAGTCCGTACAATGGTCACTTGCAGTGGAAGCAATTGGGACGCTGATGGGCGATCGCTTGCATTTCATCTTCTTGTCGACATATTCCGCCTCGCAGACGAGCTCTATCGAGTAAACCGGTCGTGGTCCAGCCGCGCCTAATTCAGGCTGGAGTCCTTGCGCAATCATGTACCAAGTCTCGTTGTCTTCGGGATGTGGGATGAGGTTGGGGTTGTACGATCCATAGTCGCCAAAGTCGATGGGGAACCATTTCCCATCGTGAGTCATTTTCGAGAACACCTCGACGTGGTTTGTGCCATCCGGCTGCGAACCCTCATGCGAGAGGGGAGCATCATGTTCGGAGGTTGTCGTTGGAGCCGGTTTGTAGGAACTTGTAGTAGCAGCAGCAGTAGTAGTCTCCGCTGCTATCGAGTGTGTGGCAATGGCAGGGACATGCTCAAAGTTGCCGCCGTCCGGGCGTTGCGAGTCTGAGTATGTGACATCGACTTCGGGGTTTGGCAGAAATATCCTACGAACGAGAAGGCCAGCGACGAAGATTATGAGAAGTGCAGCCGCGAGATATACGACGCGATCCCGACCGGAAGCGGACATGCTCGCGTTTTTCATTGCTCATCGAAGTCCATTGATGTACGATCATCAAGTAGCATCGAACCTCGCGTGAGGTGCTCCGGGAAGCCGCCCTTGGCGATAGGGTGTGAAGTTCCCCATTGATGATCGTCCGCTTTGAGGAGAATCTGACCCAAAAGGGGATGGCACGCTCATGCCTCGGCATAGGCCGCACTTGGGGAACCTTAAAGTTGGGACGCCCTTGCATAAATCCTGCCATCGACCAAGGATCTTTGAAGAGTCTCACGCATCATTTTCAAGAGGGATCTCACCCTCCTCGGGCTTCGCAATTATGCGTCCCAAATCTCAGAATGATTGCCATCCACCTGCAGGGATGATTGGAAGCTCGATGCCCATGCATTGATACGCGGTCCACGATGAAGCTACCCGATGGCAAATGGCGATCGTGAGTGAATTATATTATTGATTGATTTTCTGGTCCCTGACCACTAGAATGCGCCCAAATGGACAATTTTTCCCTCCCGATGATTGGGGATCAGTCTCTGCTGATCGCTCCAAGAATGTCACAATCTTCGTCGATTGCGATAATGGCAGCCGCCATGCCCAACCTGAACGCCTCGCTAAAGCCAACAATCAATATCGGCACAATTTCCCAAAGCAAAATCTCAAATATGGACATGTCGAGATCCCATCATAGTGTGTTGTGGGTGTGAAACAACTCCACAATGTCCCAAGAATCGTGTTCCCGCGCCAGGTCAAGCGGGGTCTTTCCCTCTCCGTTCTGATTGAAGGGGTCAGCTCCATACTTGAGCAGTATTGATATGACATCCATGGAACCAGAAAGCACAGCAAAATGTAGCGGAGTGTCGCCACTGAAGGACCGGTGGTGGAGCCCGGCTCCGGCTTTGATGATCTGCTCAGTCATGCTAGCATCGCCTCTCCAGATGGACCAGTGGGTGACTGAAGTGTTGATGAAAGACAGCTTCTCGAGATCCGGTTTGTATGAAAGGATCAGATCGAGCAGTTCGGGACTGCTGTACTTTGCTGCGTACATGGCCGGTGTCAAGTTGTATCGATTGCAGGAGTTGACGTTGGCACCGCATTCGAGCAACTGTCGAACAATATCGATGTCGTTCTTTCGGCATGCCTCGTGGAGAGGGCTGCTGGCTGATTCGGTGGTCGATGGATTTAATACCGCACCATGTGCCAACAAAAGTTCGACAGCATCGAGTTGACCGTTTGAGGCGGCGCCAGCCAAAGGTGAGAGATGACCTTGCTTTGCAGGCTTGAACACCTCGAACAACTTTTGAACCACAGTTGACGAGTTCACTGGTGCGCCTGCATCAATGAGTTCCATCATAGCCGCTGTATCGCCCGCGCAAGACGCTACGAAGAGCTTGTCTGCTAGTGCTTTCCTTTCTCCGATTGTGAATACTGGTGATGCAGGTGGTGTCGGCAAGGAATGGATCGATTGAGCCCATGTGGATGGTGAAGCTGGTGGTGAGCAAGAGTTTGGTGATGGAGGAGGACTCCATCCTGCTTTGGCCCTTTGGAATGCTGGGATGATCTTTGGCATTTCTGGTCGATGGATCTTGTTGGCGGTGGGTATTATCTTATGGCATTCAAGCCGTCTGTCGGAAGTCTCTCTGAGATGCCATATCGCTCCCCTGTTGCTTGTCAGCCATGAAACCTTTTTTCTGTTCGTCAAACTTGACAAAGACTTGTCGTACCTTCTCTTTCGAGCATCGGACCGTGTGTGTTCGACCTTTTCGTGGGCCATGATGTCGTCGGTGAACAGAGATTCAAGTCTCAAGTGTTGAAACGACCACATCGTGTCGAAACCCATGATGAGGAACGGTGGAACGTTTCCAAAAAGTCAGGCCTTCGTCGAAGAAGGCGACGTATGTATGACAAGAGAAAGGATCGATCGTTTACACAACGTGCAGGGCCAGAGGTTGTATTCAGTGCCGTGCAGAATGGAAGGGCGTTCCGGCCAATGGGAGGCGTCCGCTTTCGGAAAGCAGAGACGGAGGAGGACGACGACACGATGAGGGTTCAAGGTACCTGATCCGACTTGTGAGGGCACTCGACACAATCCTCTAGGAATGTGCGGTTCAGGCGAGGGATGATGGGAGGAATGACACGTCGCTGAATGATGGACATGTCAGGCGGTTTATCAACACGTATGTCAGGCATGAGATTCTTGGTTGACGGAGGATATACGGGATGGCAGACATCTGCACGTCACTGCAGGAGGATGATGGTGAGAGGGTGGCATGTCAGCCAGCCCACCAGGAACGAGCGGGCAGCATCATCATCAGCAGCAGCAGCAGCAGCAGGAGGGTGATTCATCATGGCTAGCGAGAGATGTGCACTGTGACAATGCGTAACAGTCATACTCTGGAAGGACGGTTGGAACTCTCCATGGGTGTAGTTGAGTAGCAGAGTGGAACATGCATAAAAGAAGGGTGGAAGGTTCAGGGCGGTGGCTTGCCAATTCCCGCCCTTCTGCCATGCCCGCCCGTTAAGCAATGCGTGAGGATTTGCGCCGGAAAATCGGTGTGCCTTTTGGCTGGCTGCGCCTCCCTCTATCTCTCCCCGCCCATCGCCCGTCATGGATCCACCGAACTTGCTGTAACGCTGCACGAGCACCCCCCCTACTTAATACTCAATCTTTCTGTCGCACATTCCGGAGCGTCCTCCCGATCTACCTAGTCGCTCACTATACCACATCAACTCGGTAACTTCTCAACACACTCACGGGCTCAGTGCCCCACGATCCCGGAACGCCCACCGTTCCCTACGCGATTGCATAGTAATCATCTGGGTACGTACAAGAAACGCGTTTCCTAGGGATGGATGCATATACTGTGCGCAGGTGATTGTATCTCATGACATTTTGTGTTTCATTACTCGAGCTCGGGAATGCACATAAATTGGATCGGAGGTGTTCTTGTGCGATACTCGAGGCACATTGACCAAGGTCAGCCAGGCGGGACGGTGAAGATAGTGGAGTGCTACATACACTACACAGAACAATATTCCGGCCGCACCGACGAAAACGGGAGCTGATCGCCATCCTCGCCTATCCATCGCGCTTGAGCGGAAGTCGTGCTGGCGAACGGTCACAAGGCCAGCCCGCTGGTGGGGGTTTTCCCGGATGTTTCAGCGTCTGCCTGTTCATGTCTCGCATCTTCGACGAACGCTTCTGGCATGTGAGACATTCGTAGAGTTTCAGTTTACGAAGATTGATAAGACGGCTGGCTGTTCTCCGCCGAGAAATGATATATGCACAATCAGCCAGACGTGCAAGTACACATTTGTGGCTTGCGTGACAGCTTCGAGTTCATGACCAATTGGTGGGAGGTGGAATTAGGGCACCAATGCGGATGTGAAGTCTACGCTGAGAAATTACAGCGGACGCGGAGTGTCATCAATCGGAACCCGACGTCTCTCCCAGGAGCGAAGAGAGATAGAATGGACACCGTACAGCAGAAAATGCAGGATACGACTCCAGGTGTATCTCTTGTCCCAGACCTCCATTCTCATGTTCTATGCGCCTGGACTATAAAGCAGTCGTCGTCATGATCTACTGCCGATATCCAGACAAGCGTCGACGATAGATGGACCCTTGACTTTCGTTGTGCAGGAGTGTTCCTCAATCTGAAGTAACATTGGAAAGTCTCTCACGTCAGCATCAGGTACACTGTCAATGACGAATTTTAGGAGGATCTAGATTCCGAACGTCGATCCGGAGTCTGTCTGCGTGATGTAGCTGGGATATCGAGAAGCACGAATATCGGGCATCCCGATGTGTAATGCAGCTTCGAGTCGCACTGTGAGGCTGTTCGTGATGCCATCCATGCACCAGGCGGGGATGGAGCTGCATGAATTTGGTGGATACCTCAAGATTGTACCGGAACACATCAGACCATATCCCGTGGTACAATTACACACTCTTCTTTGGAACTCATCTCGCATGCCCGGACGAGTTCCGAAATGTGTGGCGACAGCAAAGGTACTGTACAGTATTGCACTGTACTGGACTGGACTGGACTGGATGTAGCACGCAATGCTTGGACGCTGTTGTCGAGTGCGAGCTTGGCCATCAGGGCAGGTCCTGGTGCATCTTTGCTGGAAAAAAGTTACCGCGTCGATGTACACCTGGGGCATCCTGTAAGGCGGACGCCGTCTCGCCTTGCTCTGAATCCCGCGCTTAGGTCACTCCAAGGACGCCCGGCCCTATCCCCTACGCCCGCCAGAACGCCGTTAACGCCTATTGAGATAGGGAGGTATGCGTAAGCACATGTCAACGAACGCAGGTGGGCACAAATGCCCGGCGTGGTCGGGAGATATTAGAGCCTGCATTTTCATCAATTCCATCGTGGTTCAAATAGGCATGGAGTAGTCGATAATCGTAGACCTGGAGGTCTCTTGACTTCACATTGTGAGTGCCCGTAGCATGACCGTGTGCCGGAAGCACGCCAAATACTATGTAGGCCCCAGGGCTTTTATGATAATAATTGATGTCACGGCGCGTTCTCCAGATTAGGGTTCACATGTGACACAACTGGACTTTCAAGTTTCCAGATTCAATCCGATACGCTTGCGCGCCAACCACCACCGTCATTGATATCGTGACCAAAGACACCAACTCACTGGAGAACTGTGCAGCGTCAGGCCCGGCTTAGCTGTCATCTCCACTGTCACCCGAGAAGACCTATGCTAGATTCCCTGCTCTGGGAAAGACTGCCACATCTCGCGCATCGCTCGTGATCAGTGGCCGACCCAGCCTCGCGCGAAATGTCGAACATCATCAAGCTGAAGATGCCAAAGGCGAGCCTGGCTGGCACCCCTAATCGCCCGACATTGCCAGCCGGTGCGACGTCGTCCTCGGGCATCAAGCTCAAATTGACAAACTCACAACCGCCAACACCTACCGAAGGGCCAGCCTCCAGTCTCCCGCCAGCTTCGACAGAGAAGAAAAAACGTCCATATGTCCGTAAGACCGACGCAGGGAGCAGTAAGAAGCGCGCAGCCGAGGAGGACATCATTTCGCCCGCGGCCAAACGCGTGCAAAGCGGGACCGGTCGCAAGCTGTCGATCAAATTACCAGGACAACAGTCTTCAGGGGGCACAATCGCACTCGCAGCCAAGCGGAAAGCCTCCGTCCCGAAGATCATCGACATCCGAGCGCGGCAAAGGGCGCCCCCGCGAGCAAAAGGCATAGGATATGATTCGGAGGATTCCGATGTGGAAAAGGACCCAGCTATTCAACAGGCGCTAGTGCTGCGCATGCAGCCAGGCGAAGATGCAAATTATCTCCGGAAGGCGATCGCGGACGGCAGCATCGGTCCCTTCACTAGTCAAGGTGACGCCGACGTGTCGATAAAGTTTGTGGAGAAAAATTATCGGCGGGCGGTGGTGAAGGTTCGAGGAAACACATACGCGGCTGCTCTGGTGGATCTACCGTGCATCGTGGAGACCATGAAGAGCTTTGACAGGAAGGGCTGGTACAAAGTGGCGGACTGCTGTCAGATGCTCTATGTCCTCGGCCCATGCAAGAGTGAAGAGGAAGCGAAGAATTATCGATTACCCAGTGATGTCGACAAGGAGAATTTCCAATTCGCCCATGGCTTGACACCCCCCCTTCACTACGTGCGCAAGCGCAGGTGGCGATCACGGCCCAACTACAACCATGCGGTTGAAGCAGAAGAGCAGGCGTTACGATTACTGGAGATGGACCGGTTGGTGGAAGAAAGCGGTGGCACGAGCAGCTACGCTGTAAAGAAGACGGCGAATCTCGATCAAGCCCAAGAAGAATCACAATACGAGGACGAATACGATGAAGAGGAGGATGCGGAAGAGGACGCGGTAGAGACAGTCGAGGCCACTGGCCAATACCCCTTTGACGACGAGGAGGAAGACGGCGTCGATCTGGAGGCCGAACTCGCCGCACAGATGGAATTCGCCGAGGACGACGACGACGAGCCCAGCGGCGACATGGTCGAATCCCCCATGGCCATGGGGGGCGACGAAGGGGCCTCCGTCCCGCCCGAAACCGTCGAACCCACCCCGGCCGGCACCCCGGCCGCGATGGAGACGCCGCCGGCAGAACAGCCTTCGTCCGACGAAGACGAGTCCGACGAGGACGAGGACGATCTGGACGTGTTCGACGAGGACGCCGCGGCCAAATCGGCCGAACGCGCCCAGCAGCTCGAGGAGGTCGCCGACCTCGAGCAGGAGATCGCGCGCACGCGCCAGAAGGCCCAGGCCATGACCAACCAGCTCCTCAAGACGAGAGAACTCCGCAAACTGGCCGGCCTGGAGGAGGATCTCAAGGCGAAGAAGGTCATTTTCGGTCTCGAGGATGAGTAGAGACGGATGCGGGGAGCGATCGCTCTGTGCGGCCCACGGGACCTGGGTGTGGTGGCATATCTCATTGACGCTCGCTTGGTTCAAACGTCGTCATGTGGATGAAGAAGGGTTGGTATTTCAACGAAGTGGAGGCATGGATTTCCGTATTCTATTTCGAAACCCCCTTCTATTCGATGAGAGGGCTGCCTCAAACTTGTATAGTACGCATGGAAACATTTCCCTGCCAGGCGTTTGCACGCCGCTTCGTCTACACAACCCGAAACCATGACGTTCGGAGAAGTCGTCTATATCGTTGTCCAGGTTTATCGTGACCTCGGATCAAGCGCCACACCCAAGAAGAACAAATGTATCCTCGCTCAAAACGCACACTCTTCCCACCCATGTTTTCCCCGACGCTATGGCTTTTTCTCGTTGAGGTGGCCCACTGCCTTCATCCCCTCCTCCTTCAAGCGTGGCCATTGGTGCCATTCGCTCCGCCGGCAACGACCTTTTCCAAGGCGCGCAGCACATCCGCCACCAGATCCTCGCCGTCCTCGATGCCGCACGAGAGGCGGATGAGATCGTCAAACACCCCCGACTTCTCCCGCGCCTCCTTGGGGATGCCCATGTGCGTCATGGAGGCGGGGACCTCGACCAGACTCTCCACGCCACCCAGGGACTCGGCCAGCGTGGGGATGGTGACGGCCTCGCAGAAGAGGTTGGCCGCGGCGTTGCCGCCTTTGATGCGGAAGGAGAGCATGCCCCCGCCGAGGCCGTCGCGGTGCTGCTTGACAGCGATCTTGCGCTGCTTGTGCGAGTCGAGGCCGGGGTAGTTGACGGAGACGACGTGCGGGCTGGCGGCGAGAGCTTGGGCGACGGCCAGGGCGTTCTTGCTGGCTTCGCGCACGCGGAGGTGCAAGGTTTTGAGGCCGCGGTGGGCGAGCCAGCAGTCAAAGGCGCTGGGGACGGCGCCGATGGCGTTTTGTAAGAACGACAACCGCTCTTTCAGGGCGTCGGAGTTGAACGCCGCTACGCCCATGAGGACGTCGGAGTGGCCGTTGATGTATTTCGTGACACTGTGCACGACGATGTCGGCGCCGTGGGAGAGAGGGTTCTGGATGTATGGTGAGAGGAAGGTGTTGTCTACAACGACCTGGATTCCGCTGCGATGCGCGATGTCAGCGACATGTCGAATGTCTACGAGCGACAGGGTCGGGTTGGAGGGCGATTCGATCCAGATGAGCTTCGTCTCGGGAGTCAGCAGGCTCTCCAGGTCTAGCTCGATGCTGGGTGTGAACGTGACGCGCACGCCGTGTGCAGAGGCTACTTTGGTGAAATATCTGTGAGTGCCTCCGTACACGTCGGATACGGATACGACGTGACTGCCGGCGGCGAGGCTTTGCAAGATGACGGCCGTGGTCGCGGAGCCGGAGGAGAAGGCCAGCGCATATTTGGCCTTCTCGAGAGCGGCTACGGCATTCTCGAAGTTCCAGCGGTTCGGGTTGGACGATCGGACGTATTCGTGCTCGCCAATGGGCTTGCCGACGGAAGATTGGGCGAATGTTGTGCTGAGGGAGATCGATTCAATGACCGCGCCGGTCACCGGGTCGTGCGGGGATCCCGCGTGCACTGCCAGAGTGCCGAATCGTTGTGCAGGCGAGGGTGCTCGTGGTGGCGTTTCGATCGATGCGTGGCCGTTCGTGCCATTCTGAGCGACAGTCATCGTGAGAGACTCGATTCAATTGCCGTGAGTGCTGTGGTTTCTGCACTGCTGCTGTATTCAATGTCGCTCGCTCGCAGATGTGAAGATACTAGGTGTGCCAACGGGGTCTTTCTTTGGCGGGGACGGTTAATAGCGGCACAACGTTGTAGATGCTAGTGATGAAGAAGGGTTCGACGTCAAGAAGTCAACCTGTGCGCGGTGAGATGTTTACGGAAGATCAAGTCCGAGCAGGAATCGGACGGGAGTCGGCGTAATATAGTCAGGAGAGGAAGAGAGAAGACGGGCTCCTCGGCGAGCGAGAGAATGCGAGAGAGTCATTATTCATCATGATTTCAAAGACAGGTCGTGGGTTGGTAGGCTGCTTCGCTTCGCACGCCATCTCCAGGCTAGGACTGTACTGTAGATCCGTCTTGGTAGCTGGATCGCTTTCTTCCCGAGAGCACACCCACCCACCCACACACGCACACACATGTCGCTCGTGGCGTGAGATGGGAGGGAGAATGCGTGATTAGAGTGGATAAAGACCGATAGTTCCGCCGCGTCGAAAAAGCACGCCATTTCGCGATGTGTCGGTCGGTGCAGGTAAGTGTGCAGTAATAAAATCCAATAATACTGTACAGTAAGACCTACCTACCCAACTTAGTGTACTCTACCCCCAGCTACAGTAACTAGGTACAGTCGGAAGGCATCTGACGGATTCATGACTGATGATGATCTCCGATGCACTTACGTCATGTCCGCCTTCGGTTTGGCTCGTGTATATCTCAAGTCATATGCGGAATCGTTGTGCTGACAAGGGACAAATGACACGAACATTCCCAACTGAAATGAGACCGCGTTGAAAGAGAAGGAGACAGTGTTCGTAGTCGTGCGGCGTCGTCTCTCCATTTCGATGATGCCAGGCAGTACGGAGAGAAAAGCTGGAGCTTATCGAAAAGTTCCAAGGTTGGAAGCTGGAGATCTACAGAAGAGCCCACCCGCACCCACCAGAAAGAGATCAAGCGATAGCTGCAAGCGGCTTGGACAGGTATAGTCACCGATGTGTCGTTTTCTTATGCGCCGCTCCTGGTAGTAGTAGTAGTAGTAGTAGTAGTAGTAGGCACTGACGGATGATACTGATGATGCGGTTCAGATTCATGATGTATTTATTGTATTTATTGTAAAGGGTATACACTCCGGTGCATGATACTTTTGCTGTCTGGGATCGTGTGCACATAGCCAATGCACAGATTGGATCCGCGCATTTGCATACCTTTTGCCATCATACAGGTAGCAATAGACGCGTTTCATTTTATGTTCGTCTTCCCCGGAGGAGCAGTCTGCGGGCAGGGTGACGCGTATCGATGGACCGACCACAACTGCCCATTCCCTTTTTCTGTATCAGGCGGAATCTGGCGTAAGCGATCAAACAACGTCGCGGAGAGACATCTCACCCTGTGCAGAGTACAATCAAATCGCGAAGTAGGACCGCAATGCATTGTTGTCACTTTGGCACCGCGTGCCTTGCTCTTGCTGCCAACACGTGAATCAGATGTCAAGTCCACCCGGGCAAGGTGGGATGAGGCTCAATCCAGGGTCAGATTGGAAGATGAGCCATTTGCGGCGTGGTTCGCCCTGGCATTTTATTTCGAAGCGGCTGAAGCTAGCTGTTCCGCCCACGCCCTCGTCGTCTGGGCATGTTTGATGGGGGTTGTCAATGATATGGGCATGCGCCGCCATACATGAATGGTCCTAGACGCCGTCCATGACAAAGGGGTTTCACTTATCTTATCATCACTACAGGTAGGAGTTGCGACGCCTTCCGTTCGTGAGACCAAAGCAGCGCCTCCCATTTCATGCGACCTCTCCGACCAATTCTCTCTTTTCCGTCATCGCGACCCTCGTGCTTTCCTTCGTAGTTCGCCTTGTCCCGAGCACCTGTGAGAGACAACCGGCCTTCATGAACACCGTTCGCCAATCCCGCACCGTTCGGTGGATCTTCGTTTGAACGGACATGGTCGCAACAACTAGGCGAGTCGCACTGCTGGCGGGCGTGCTCGTGGTCATCGTTCTTTTCTTTGCGACAAGCTCCCAACACAGTCCCGTCTCGGGCTTCATCTCGTCTTCCGGTCCGCGCTTCCATGAATCTAAACTGTCTCGCCCAGATGCTGGCTCCGTCGGAAATACAGCCTGGGCTTTTGACGCAGACCGAGACCGCAACGACCATTCTCTGACAGGAGAACAATGTGACGCCGCCTTCCCGGATCTATATCATGAAATCTATCGATCACAGGCATACTGGCAGGAGCGGCAAGGAAAGAGGAAGCTCAATGATTCGCAATGGGGATTGGAATGGACAACTGGGGCTGGTTTACGAGTGATGGTATACGATGGTCAGCTCCACGTCGTCGAGTCACGCGGTTTGAATCATTTCTTGCATTGGGAGGAGCGCTCCAAGGCCACCCTTGCCAACATCCATCGGGCCATCGTGTCCTCTCGGGAACCAGTGCCAAACATCGAGTTCAGCATCAAGATTGATGACAACATCCACCTCGAAGAAGGGACTCCTGAGACCACAACATGGTGCTTTTCCCGAAACGTGTCCGACTCGTCCATGGAACAGGTGTGGCTGATCCCTGATTTCAACTTTTGGGCATATCCCAGGGTTGCGGCAGCTTATGGCGACTATCAAAGAGAAGCTATCCGCGTTGGAGAGGACTACGATGGAAAGATACCCAAACTCATCTGGAGAGGCACCCAGGCTTTCAACCCGGGCATCCGGCAGGCACTGCTGGACACCAGCGAGAACCAGCCCTGGTCGGCTGTCGCTATCGTGAAGGAGGATAGCGACGATGAAGAGTCGTTACGCAACCGGATCAAGATGCCCGATCATTGTCGTTACAAGTTTGCTGTGCACACCGAAGGCACAACTTGGTCCGGCCGATTGAAATACCTTCTCAGCTGCCACTCTACTGTAATCATCCACCCGCTCACTTTCACGACTCACTTGTATCATCTGTTGAAGTCGTCTGGACCGAAGCAGAACTATGTCGAGGCCAAGATTGACTGGTCCGACCTCCCGGAGAAGATGGAACATCTGCTCGCCCACGACGACATAGCCAAGCAGATTGCGGACAACTCGAGGGATGTCTTTCGCGATCGCTACATGACACCTGCGGCACAGACCTGTTACTGGCGACGCCTCTTCCAGGTTTGGGCAGAAATGACGCCGGCGCCTGATCCATACGTGCTCTATCAGGCCCCCGATGGAAAATCGGAAAAGGGCTGGCGCGGCATGACTTACGAGGCATACATGTAAGTGTTCGACTCATTGTTGTATTTTATATTTGCATTCGACTGACTTGCACCGCAGCTTCCACAAAGCTAGTATCCCGGAGTAATCGCCTCGAGGATCTCATCTATCTGCGCTGCGAGCATCACCTGCCCAGGCCTTGATTGTACCAAAACACTTCTCGTGCACTTGGGGTCGATGACGAGGCGCCCCTGGTTTGAGCTGTGATCCTGCTGTAATAACTATTTTGCTCAACATTATAGAGATAGAAGCTGCCTCGAAATGGCGCTATGTGGATTTTGACTCATGCTTGAACAGTCCCCTTCCGGAAAGCGCACCCAATCACCCTGTACTGTAATCAAACCCAGCATATACTCAATTCTTGCGATCTATTGCGCGAGAGCATCTTTCCCGGAAGCACTTTGTAATCCTATGACATGCATCGGGAGCGAGATGAATGGTCTTTGTTATTATCGGTCAGATTCGAGTCCCAATTATTGCGCGTCTGCTACTGCGTGGCCACATGCTTTAGGAACACTTGTGTGATTCGGCATCTCAGCAATATGCTTGGGCTTTGTCGATTTCGTCACTCGCCCGAATTTGCAGCTTCTGGAGCTTCAAAGCTTCCCAAAAGATTGATCGTCATACAAATCGTTTTCTCTGATAAAAAATTCTACGTGCATTCAAGTACTTTTCAATCGATCACACATCATTCAACGTATTCTTCCCCCAAAAGCAAACATGTCACAGCCGCCGTCTATCGATCGACTATTAAACTTGGTCCCAGACTTGCCAGAAACTGTTCTCGCCCAACTACAAGCATATCCAGATCTATCCTCGAAGCAAGACGCACACGGCTACAGTCTAGTCCACGCTGCCGCATCATACGCCCACGCAGAGCTGTTGCGTGCATTAATAAAAGACTTCAATGTCGACCCCAACATTAAAGACGAAGATGGCGAAACCGCCTTGTTCAGCGTCGAAGAAGTCCCGATGGCCCAGCTTCTCCTCGAACTAGGCACAGACATGACTCTGCGCAACGCCGAAGGACAGACCGCAGCAGAGAAGCTCGATGACGAGGACGAGCAACCGGAGATCGCGGCTTTCCTGCGTCAACGAGCCGGAGGGTCCCCCGTCACTGGTGAGAGCGCCGAAACTGACAGCGACGGGACCACACAGCGGATCCCACCTTTGCCGGAAGGAGTCCGAATCAACGTCGGCACGATGCCCGTGGATGACGTGGGCGAGGCACCTGACCCGGAATTCCGAAGACGCATCGAGGAGCTGGCTGCCCGCGAGGATTTTGATCGGGAGGAGGCGCAACAGGAATTGCGGAATTTGATCACTGATGCTGTCTCGGGTCTGGCAGGCGAAGGGCAAGGCTCAACGAGAAAACAGCGGAGGGAATAGTGATATGCTAGTGTGGAGCTCTACGTAACATCATTGTGAGAAGGTAGTGATCATTTCAGGCATTTGAAACGCGTCAGTATTTGCATTGGAGTTTGGTCGCTGGCATGGACGCGGCGTGATTTGCGCTCCAATTCCCCATCTCACTCAAGCACACGCTTCAGCCTCTGGTACAATGTGCGTTCGATCGAACAGGGCTACTAGGACAAGTGAAGAGGCCAGGATCATGAAGCTCGGTGTTAATTGTATCATCACAGTCTTCGTAATAGTCGCATTCTCATTGTCCCCGGCCCACAGTAAAGCCGATGCGTTCGAAGCGGCACGCGTGCACATCGCGGTAGGCACATCGGCATCAGCCGCGCTGCTGGAAGTGACACGGGAGCTGGAATCCATCCGTGATTATCATTTAATAAATCCTGTACGGTAATCGCAAGCGACACATCAGTCACAGATATCACTTTACAACCCTCTTTTGTAGCTTCACACCGCAGCACAATCAGACATCATGAGTGAATCACCGCCATCATCGGATCTGTCCGACTTGCCGTCAGAGGAATCCGACAACGATGATCAACTTCAAACGCCCATTGCATCTTCGCGACCCAGCATAGACTACGGTCACATAGATCAAGATGGTCTTGGCCCACCCTCCAAACGACGAAAGACTGGAGCATCAACACTTGCCGCGGTCGAACATGCGCTCTCCCAAACATACGAAGATGACGATGCCATCAGCGTCTCTTCAGATGGCTTCAGCAGTGCACCGGGCTCACCAGACGATAGCGAATACAACATGCGGGAAGTAGCACAGACACGTTGTCTTTGGCGCGACTGCGACTTCATGGGAGGATCGAACAATGACGACTTGGTCAACCACGTGCAAAGAGCCCATTGCGCGACCGGGGGTCCTAAAAAGGCGAAATACACCTGCGAATGGGGCGAGTGTCAGCGGAAGGCCATGACACACCCAAGTGGCTATGCTTTGAAAGCACATATGCGAAGCCACACCAAAGAGAAGCCATACTACTGCCTCTTACCAGGTTTGTGATCCCGACAATGGCGACACTGCGAATGCGAACTATCGACTGACAGAAAAGCAGAATGCGACAAGGCGTTTACCCGATCCGATGCGCTCAGTAAGCACATGCGGACTGTGCATGAGCCTGACCTCAGCAAGAACGCCGCAGCTCCTGAACCGACGCCGACCAGCAGAAAGAGCATCAAACTGAAACTCGCGAATGGCAACAAGGCCGCCGCGAAACCCGTCGAGCCTCCCGTCATCATTTCCACCGAAGAGCTGCAAAGCTCCGACCCCAGAGACCAGAATAACAACATTAGATATGTTCCGGCATTCCACCCGGTCACTGGCCAAGCCGGTTTCATGATCCATTATCCCGCAGACATTGTCTTTAGCAGCCGGGAGAGCGACATGGCCGCGAACGACCTCATGCGACTGCTCCGACGCCAGCTGCACTGGGCACAAATGGAAGCTGATGAGCTGAAGCAAGAATTAGAGGAATTAGAACGAATCAAACGGGAAGAATGGACCTTGAAAGAAGTTCTGCTTGAGGGCCTTATGGATTCGGAGCTCTCAAGAGCCAAAACAGAAGGCGTTTTCCAGACCATTAACGCCCGTGTGAGACAGGCTATGGAGGAGGATGCACGAATTGGCAAGCGATTGACGTGGACGCAGGGCACACCCTCATGGCGAGGCGCAGCGACTGCGGCCGCTCTGAATTACGGAGACGTAGACATGACCGACGTCGCCGATCGTCCACGGAAACCTGCCAGTCGCAACTCGGTCTCTCCCCGGGGCGCCGAAACCCCGGCGGACGGTTACGATGGGGATCAAGATCCCTACGACAATATCCTCGCGGGTGTAATGGCACAGTACGAGATGCGAGAAGGGCAACGTAGCATGGCTACTACACCGCTTCAGACATCTGCGAGTAGCAAACAACGTGCTGCAGAGGTAGACGCCGTGGGCGCTTTGCTGGACATGGGGAAAGCGTGAGGAAGAACCGAAGATTGGAGCGGATGTACAGTATTTCTAAGTGCCTACTGTGTGGAATGACATGAGACCCATTGATCATAAGGCTGCATTCACCGTACACCAATCTACGATCCTTGCATATCTTCAAGTCGAGAGATGTTGCCCGATCACGGGATTGACCTTGGGAGATCATTTGCAAGCTCTGTCTCGTACCTTTGGGACATGCCACAGCGCACAGTGAACCCCGGAAATCCACAAAATTGAAGCATCACAAAAGGCGTCCAGCGGAAACCCATGGCGAACAGGCAACCTATTGCAACTTCGCTTCTCCACCAGTACGACTGGCCTTCTTGATCTCCCGTGCGCTCTCCTTGTTGGTGAAAGGCCAGTTCGAAGTCCTCTTATCCGCGCCCGTCCGCTTGCTGTGCCTGCCCTTCTCGGACGCAAACAGCACGATCCAGATCCCCACGGAGAACAGTCCGGAATTCGCGGCCAACCCGGCGATGAACGCAAACGACGCGTTGTCCGACGTCGTCTGCGTGTAGAGGTAAAAGGCCTGCAGCGCCGTGTAGATGGTCGTGACGATCACCGTGGGATAGGCATACGGTCCGACGGCGTCTTCGTCGTCCGCTGCGGATGAGACATCGGTCGCTGTCCCTGGGATCACGCCGGTGAAGATCAGGTGGAACACCGCCAATGTCAGCACGGCGAGGCCCAGGCTGCGGGAGAGGTAGTATTCCAGATCGGTGATTTGTCGGGCTTCCGAGACGAGGAGCGTGACGATCAGCTTGGGGCTCAGCAGGAGGGCCAGTGATTGAATCGTGAAGAATCCAGCGGCGCTGAAGGAGTATGTGTGGAAGACCTAAATATGGTGGTAAACTCGTCAATTACTTTGCTTGCTTGCAAACGGAGATTTTTGGATCTTGCTGACGTCCATAGCTGCAGTTAAGCACTTTTATTGAAATTTATATATTTGACCAAGTGTTGTGATAACCCGTGGATTCTGCTCTGATTTGTAAATTTTCAAATCTTGATCCATACGAGCTTCTTGCTTGGTTTTGTAGAAATGCATCATCCTGGTGGTGAGCTCGTCCCTTGAAGTTGGAGCTGACATGTGCAATGACGACTGCCGTGCCGCGCCGCGTCCGTCTCACCGAAACCTGGAAACCTTGTCCCGCTTATGAGCAGATCTACATCGACCACTTGTGATAGCCTCGTCAGTGAACACTTGCATGCGTAGACCTTTCACAAATACAAATGAATGCAAACCAGACCGTTTTTTTCAGGGGGAGCGAATACGTGCGGACACATCTCGCGACATGATCACATGTGGAAAAGTGCCAATGTGAAAAAATGCGTACATAAAAAAATAGATTAAAAATCGCAAACAGGAGTGATAAAAACAACTAAAGACAACAAGGTATCCAGTCAACATTCGAGACAGATGACAACGAAAGGTTCAAATAGCATTTTGATGCGCACCCTCGGGCGCTACTGATTCCCTCCCATCGATGATCTTTCAGATCATGTCTAGGTTTCGCCTGTTGATGTGACCGGTTGGGGATTGGCACTTTGTCGGTAGCTCGTGTGCTTTTTCGCGACCCCGGAGTCGGCGGGGTTGGAGCGGAAGATGCTCAGACGTCGGCGACTCGAGCTCCGCTCACGAGAACGTCCAACCCGGGATTCGCGACCGTTCTCCTCGGCCCTCTGACGCGAATTGCCGCGCCGCAGGAAAGGGATAGAGCTACGGCGTCCGAGACGTTGGTCGGCGGTGTTGTCGCGCTCGCCGTTCTGCTCGGCACCTGTCGAGACGTGTCCGTTGCGCGACGCATCTCCAGTACTGTCAAAGGGGGACTCTTCTGGCTCCTCGTCGAACAGGCCATCGCGATGTAAGAACAAGTTGGCGAGCTCAGGCGCAAAAGCGGATTCGAAGCGAGGAATCAGCTGGGCCTTTGTGGCGAGATGCTGGGGCTTCTTGTACACGCCAAGGCACCGTTTGATGGCGAGAGCGTGATCTAGGAGGGCGACTTTCAGTGCGAGCTGCAGAGGGTCCAGCTCCTCCTCTTTCTTCTCAAGCGCGTCCGGCTCGACGTCACCTGAAGTGGCGTCCGCGTCTTCAGGAGTCTTGAGGAGATTGCGGTATCGGGCAACGCTGCTGTCCGAGCTTGGATCGACAGACGCGAAGAGATCTTCTGTGAGGCGCTCCCTGGCACCTTCGTCCTCGCCTGGTGCAGCCAATTTCTCGTTGGCGAGGAGCTCTTGTGTTTTCCTCGTTGTACGCTCAAGCGCAGCCTCGACAGGAGACAGGACGACAGTCTCGGTTGCAACAACCTCGCTACGACGGAGAAGCGTAGGGAACTGCTCCACGGTCGTGTAGATTGTCTTCTCGACCGCCTGTTCCGTGATCGGAATGTCGAGCGCCGGTTGGCGGGAGCTGGTGGTGAACTTCTGAGGATTCGACATGAGGGCATATTCGCGCACAGCTTGGGAAACCTTGGTGCGTTGGTAAACGACGTGCGTGAGATCCTTGTTGGGACTGACGGCGAATATTTGGAGGTGTTGCCCGTCAACATCAGAGGCCAATTCGCCACGCGAGATTTGAGCATATGGATAGATTCCTTGCAATCTCTCCTCAAACGTAGACAATCGATCATTAGCATATCCTTCGAAGATATATTCCTTGTCCCGAAGCGTGGCAGACCAGCCTGTGCCACGGAACAAGACACGGAAGTATCGTGAATTGGCTCGATCACCCTTGGCGATGCGCTCATGGATGCTGGCGACAGCCCGTTGTGCTCGTGCAAGTTTGGAGAAGTCAAAAGTATTGCTTTCGTACTGTGTTGATAGCTCGCGGTACGCTGAAAGCGCACGTTGCCAAGATCGTCCCTTTTCGTAATTCTGGCACATTTGGAAGTACAACGCCTCTTTGCGCTCGAACGCAGATTGTGCTGGTATGCTTGGCGAAGCCACGGCGGCGAGTTGGCGTGCAGGGTCCCATTCGTATCGATCGGCGTGCATCTGTAATGCCAGACCTGCCTCGACGTGGTTACCGGCATCGCTCTGCATGTCGACCAGCTGATGGACGTATCGAATGAATGCATCCTCGGACTGGACATTCTTCAAGAAGTCCATCAACTGCAACGTGTCGACGAGGCGCGTCGCGTCGTTGCTCGAGTTGCCCTGGTGAACCGTAGCCAGCATGTTTAGGAGGCTTTCCATCTTGGAGAACATCTCGACGACGGCATTATAGAAAATGCCATCTCCGGACTGCTGGTATGGCTTGAAATGTTCGACCATTTCCGGGATGAATGTCTTCTGCAGAACATTTTCGGTCACGACTTTAGTCCGGCAAAGCTTGTCCAAACAGTCAATCATGGCGGTTTGGATGATTGACAAATCTTCATCAATCTCCCACGCACTGATGATCATGGAGCGGAGGACTTCGACGGCCACTGCGCGAAGACTCGCGTGAACACTAAGGCAGAGCTCTACAACAGGGCCGACAAGATCGGGCACGAATTGGACTTGGTAACCTCCAAGCCGATCGAAGCCGTGAACTTTCTTTGCATCAGCTTCAGTATCCCAGCCGATGGCGTCCCAGCTTTTCTTCAAAAGGTTGGCGCCAAGCTCGCGCACATCGCCTGCGATCTTCCAGATGGCTCGGCGCTTTTGCTCCGGGAAGGTCTCCATGGTAAGAGCGGGGCTGGCAAGTGCAGTGAACAGGGTATTGAAGAAAGCTTGCCAAATGTCGGTATCAAAGTCCAAGGCTTCGCTGGTGTCAGGCGCATAAATATCGGGAAGGGTCTCGATTAGTACATCCGAGATCCTTTCCAAAGCTGTAATAGAGTATTTGTGATGGCTGACAAGCAGACTGAGCCAGCTTGCTGGGAAGGCTTCGCAGGATAGAATGCTCTTCTCAACCTTGAGAGCTTGTGTCAAAACGCTGGTAATGTCGACCTGACTGGCATCAAAGTAGAGCTTTCGGTCAGAAGTCAGAGCCGCAGCGAGAAGTGCAGAGATCTCAAGCACTGCCTCGTCGACACTAACATCCTTTTGAGTTGGCTTGGTCGGGAACGGAAACACGTTGGGAAACAGAAGGCTGAATTCGCGCTTCGGCTTCCGCTTGAACTTCTGAAGTGCAATGTAGGACTCGACAAGCTTGGGAACGTACTGACAGCTTTCTTCGCCAAGTTCCTCCATTTGTGCAGCTACGACGGAGCAGCACAGGCGTACCTGGTCTCGCCATTGATCATCAATTTCGGGAGCATCACCCCAGTACGGAGCCAGCCATCTGAATGTGTTGGCAACCAATGTCGTGCGCGTTTCAGGTGCTTTGAACACGTCCAAGCGACTGTATTGAATCATGAGGATGAGCCTGTGATAGATAATTCGCCCGGAGGCGTGCGCAGACGCATCCAGCAGGTCGGTAGCAATGTCCAGAACCTCACTCGGCGTCATAAGCGGGACGAGTTCGGGCAACCACGAATGGAAGTGTTGGACAAGCAGTGTCTGCGTACCCAGCAACACAGGCATGGGGTTACGAAGCAAAGCCATGACTGCAACGAATAGCCTGTCCAAGTACCTCTTGAGGACCTCACCGTCTTGGTAGGCTCGCATACCCTTCGCACGGTGTCCATTGTTCGGAGACGTGTCCGATAGAGTTGAAGCGATGACAAGACGTAGCACGAGGTCACCGACTTTCAGTGTTTCACGGAGCTTCCTTGAGGTGTCTGCGTCCATTGGATTGGTGACAAGTCGTCGATAAGCGCCGATCAGGCATCTTCCGGCGTATGGCCAGTTTGGTCGGATAGTGGCATAGTCTTCAATGATGTTGCTCAATTCGAAGCGCTTGTCCCTCGCGATACCAAGAACCACCACGAAGTTGAAGAATATCAGATCCTCATAGTCGGTGTTCCCATCATAAGCTTCAAGGATCTCGAACAGAGACCCAAAGACTTTGCTGAGAAGTTTCACGATCTCGATTTCAGGGACGAACACGAATCGCTCGAGTAGACTTAGCAGTTCCTTGCCGTGATAGTTTTTCCAGTTGAGCAATCCGAGAAGAGTCGGATCTTGGGAATACTCGGTGCTGCAAAGGAAAGTTCGTAATGAGATGGTGGCCGCGCTTGCTTGGGAAGCATCGGCCTTGTCATGCCAAGGCGGTAGCGCAAGATATGCTCCCTTGCCACCAATGATACTCGAAGAGTACTCATCGTACACGTACAAGGCGACAGCGTGGTCGCCATCCCGAACAAAAGCGTCTGCTTCCCACAACGGTACCCAAGACAGCGCAAAGGGGAAGTTGGGCGCGTCGGCGATGCTCATGACAACATGAGAGCCTGGTACCAGGTGAGCTGGTATGGATAGCCTGATGGTCTGATTCCATCCTTCTCCCCGCTCAATGCCAGTAGTACGCCATGCAGTGTGCCCTTGATGGTTTGAAGATGTGAAAATGCAGTCTTCGATGCGTTCGCCGTCTGAGCGACGAACTTCCAATGTTAGCTGAAGGTTTGCCATGCTCGTCTGGCAACGGTGGCCCAGCGGTACTGCTCCGTATTTTGAGTGCGCGAGACTCGCATTACGAGGGACGACAGGCTCCGTCAACGTGAGATAGATATCACTCCGCTTTTCGGTTGGCACACCAGAAAATCCCAGCTTCGGAGTGGTCAAAATGTCGTGGAGCAAAGTCGGAGTGTTGCGGACGAGGCCAGCGACATCTGGTGACGCAAAGCCTTTGACGAAAACCTCCATTCTTTTGGTGTACTCGACGCGACTGAAGCCACCGACTGCACTGCGCATGAGATCTCGAATGATGTCTGTCCAGTCTTCCTCCGAGCTCATACGATCCTCTGCCTCTGAGTCTGGTACCCACAGAGTTATGATCTTGTCCGCACTAGAGCTTGCCTGAGCGATCTTGGTCACCTCGATGGCACCTACGCCGACTGTACGTCGAACTGTTTTGCCCTCGATCGAGACCGGTGGATCGGCAGAAGTGCTCGAGCGCGCCTCAGGATCGGAGCGGAGCGAGAGTGAAGTATCTGGCCGGGTCGACGCGTTGGAAATATTGCGGCCATGGCCTTCCTTCTTTCTTTGACTGCCAAAAACGCTGCGACGGGCTCGGATACTTGCGTGCTTCGCGATGTTGCTAGATGCAGGAGTCTGTTGAGCTGACCCTAGTGAGGGAGATGACTGACGTATTGGCTCATCCTTCAATAGCTTGAACACAAGGTAGAGTTTTGTGAGGTCGCCGCTTATGCCGACATCGGAATTACTCAGGTTGACAAACAAGCATTTTGTCTGGTCCTCGATCGGATGGGGAAAGTCAGGTACGGGCAGATTGATGGCAAAATTCTCAGATATAGGTCGGGGCTTCTCGTCATAACCTTTGGCGAAGAGGCTCATCTGAAGTGTGGCTGGCTGGTCGGTTTCACAAATAATGTTGCGCACATCAACGAGAAGGTGGTACAGCATGTGCTTGTCTACCACAATCTTCGGCGGTCGGTCAAGGATGCTCATATTGGCTTGAAGCTTGGTCATCTCCACAACCGAATCATCTGCCGTCAAAATCCGGCCCTTCTGCGCGGAGCTGCGGACAATGACTTCGTCGTTGAGCAGTTTGTTGCCCGCCACCAAGTCCCAGACTGTATCCTCTCGTAGCGCGGCCAACTCTTTGATCGTCATGACGTCGTGCATCAATTGGTTGCGGCTGTTGTCCACGCGTTTGATCAAGTCCTGAACTCTTGCCAACTGAGTGTATCCACGAGCAAGCAGGATCTCGTGGAGGCGTGCGTCGTGCCATTCTCTCAGACAGGATGCAATCTCGTCCACTAGTGGCTCTTCTGCTGAGTTACCAGACTCATCGCCGACACGGAGAAGTGGTACAGGAGCAGGTGGTCTCGGAGCACCTGGCATTGGCGGCACAGGATCTTCGAGAATCATCAGCTCGCCTGGCTTTCTGGAACTGTCGCGATGGTTCTTGGAGCTCAGCTTCCTGCTCATGCGCCGTGCAGCTGAGACTTGACTCTTCCTCCGCTCCCTCCAATCCTCCTCATCGTCTGTATGTACGTCCGAAGTGCCATTGACGTGCGGGTCGGCGAGAATTTCTCGCACCTCTACACAATTGGTAGGGAAAATGCCTGAGAACACACGATGTTCGAGTGGTTGTCCTCGGTCGCTCGTAAGACCAGCCAGCAACGACGGCGGTGCGACGAGATATCCGCGATACCATTCATTGCGACTACCCCCCTGCTCAATGATGTAGATATGGTCACCAATCTGTAGCGGTAGGTCGTCGGGCTCGGTCGCGCGAAATGGATAAGTGCAGATCGCGAACGCGACCGACTTGAGTGGTTTCCAAGGCATAGCTGTTGGTGTATGTGCGCTATTACTTCATGCAGGTCGTGATTGCCTTCATGGAGATCCGCGAATCGTGCTGTCAAGCTTGTTAATATGCGGAGAAGAGCATTGGCCGAATACGGTGTCGAGTCTCCTTTCTGCCGATGATTGGCGGCAAGTCAAAGTACAGCCTGATCCGCAGAGAACAAGGGAGCGCGATGCCGTGGAGGCAGCGGGAGTAAAAAAGATGGTGATGATGAAGATGATCGACCGGCAGGAATGGGTCTGATTATACGGCGGCCGGGATGTTTCCCAGGTCGATCGGCCACCCGTTCTACTCTACATACTGCGCAGGACGAAATAATAAGCCTCGCCGATGCTTCACGCGGCGGCAGCGACGGCAGGCGGGCGGACACACAATGGTCGAGGCACACCCCAACATCACCACCACCCTCGTTCCTCTCTGTGCGCGTGAGATGAACAGATGGCGCTACACTAACAACCTTGGAACATAGCTATCGTTAATCCTCTTGTTCACTACTCCGCACTCCTCTTATCGCGGGCATACAGTGAACATCTGATGGATTCTACCATTCCGTATGATGATTCAATGCGCGCACAGCACTGCCAAAGAAGGATGCGACAATCACGTACAACTGCATCACCACCGCGACCAACTCCTCACACCTCCGCTGTGACGGTGCATCCTCCACCACCTGGGCACCCACATCTACGACAACGGGCGTGCCACACTCTGTTTTAGCGTGGTCGACCCCGACTTTATCAAATTTTGACGTGGAGAGGAGCCCGCCAGCATTGTCAGCCAGCTCTACCACCACGTCGATTTCCCAACCGTCCATCCCAGCAGGGTTCCCACCACTGTCAAACGTCAAAAGCCTGCCATGCCCATGTGGGCCCGTCTTGGAAGACTCCCAGCCAGGTGATCATCATGGTCCGTTTGCGTTTGACCCACGCTGATCGACCCGACCTCGTGCGCGGTAATCGGCAGCTTATATGCTCACAGGATATCTCTCGACTACGTTTCGGGACATGCAGCCATGACTATAACAATGCAAACAGAAACTCAGAGAACACAGTATCTGACGAGCAGATGTGCAGTGCGGCATGTGCATGCAGGACTCGATTGCAAGCCATCGTACAGGACAGAGGAGATGCATGGTGCTGCAGCGTTTGTGTGAGCCTTCACTGAGTCGCCCTGTCACTCCAGTTTGACGTGTGCTGTAAATATCACCGGAGGAGGGTACAGTAACACTCTATTCTCCAGAAACCCTTCCGGCCTCGCTCATTCGTTGGCCGCCCGGCGTCAAGCATTGCAATAGCTGCATGCTTGAAATGCGGATGCGTATGGTGTACTATGCTCATACACGCAGGGAAGTCGAATAACCAGGGGAGGAGTAGGAACGTCGCATGTATGCTCCACCCTCCTGCTTCGCGTTGCACTTTCGGCACACACTCATCAACTCTCTAACGCGGAACTGTCTTTCTGAAGTTCCGCGCATGGTTGATCATGTTGTCCTATGATGAGAGCGCAGCTCAGACACTTGCCTCTGTATACTGGAAGCGGAGAATAACGAATCGCTGTTCCATTCAGGCAAACCTCCGTACCGAGATCGTCAGGAAGTGCGGAAGCTTTGTCACTCCCTTCAATGAGATGATTGTGCGCACCTCCGTCAGATTGTAGTCTTTGGCTGGGGAGACACATGTCCGTCGTCGTGACATCAATTACCACATTGATGGCTCGCCATGCAACACGAGTCACGGTGGCTTTCTGTCATCGACCCGAGTGTCATCTGTTCCCCCGCCATCCGATCCATCACAAAATCATGTCATGGTCATTAGCCGGCGGCCGGGCAAGTTTGGTGTCAAAACCTGTCAAGAGTCAACGACTTGCGCGTGGATTTGGTGGTTGGTGCATTCCCCTGCAGCAGCATGGACTGCAAATGGTTCCTTCCTTCTTTAGATTCCTTCCTTTGAGCGCTAGCTCGTCTAGGCATCCTGTGGTCACCTCGGCACGGTCAGTCCCGCGTAGCTTCTCCCGTACATCAATTCCAAGATGATAATGCCCGTGATTAATGGAACTGGCCAATCCGAAGACTGCCGAGGACGCCCACGGATTTCTTTTTCCGTCGGACGTCTACTCGCAGGTCGTGCAGATGCAGGACGATGTGCGCCCATGTGCTCGACCCCCTGTTGAGTCTCCGGCCCTGTCAAGCGGCCGGAGACCAAATATGGAATACTTGACCTCACGATCCAACTCAGTTAGCCGCATTTGAATAGCTTAAAATCACAACTATCTCGACTTCGAGGTCTCGTAAATGTACACGAGTACCCAGAGCGCTCGAAACAGACGTTTGGAATTGACAGTATTTCCCATGAATGAGTGGCTCGGTTGTAGAGCATCTACCTCGCTACACAACAGGATGAATGTGTAAGTTGCAGTCCGTAATCGGTTCTAAAGCATACTCTCCACATGTCTCGACGTGGCTTGATCGACAAGCTCGATCTGCATGTGCGAAAAAGCTTTCGATCAACGCTCAACTATCTCTCGCCAATCAGGTAGTTCACCCAACCGGCGTGAGAGATCTATCAATCACATGTCAGGGACGAAGCGTACTCCGGAAGCTAGCCAGCCAACGATCAAGCGCGTCAAATAAAGTCCAGCAAGCTTTATTGACTTGTTGCATGGTCAACCTAAATTCCCTGGTCTTTGGCCTCGTCTGCTACGGCGACGTCAGACTTGACATCAACCATTGTACACATTGAAGGTTGAATCACAAAACGCGAGCGGCAAGTGCTGCGACGCTCGTCATGCCTTAGCCGAATCGAAAAATCGGCACAACAATGGTTTGACTTTAAATTGGGAACAGATATATAACACTAAATGTAATGGCCAGCGAAGAAAACACGCCCGCCAAGGGTTGAGGATATGATTGTCGACCTGAAGAAGTCTTCGGACAAAGGTCTGACATTGCGGAGCATTGAGAGGCGATCGAGGCAGACATGCTCGAAGCTGCGGCTGAATTGATCGACACAGCACACGGGCTTGCGGTTGGTGTTGCACCGAAAACAGCTTGGTATGTGCTCTGATTCGGCAAGATCTCGGTCACGTTGTAGACGAGATGGCTGCTCATTGCACATGCATCTTCAGAAGCGGCAGCTTGCAGGTTCGGCGGCATTTCTTTGCTGCTCGTCGTAAACACGACGGTCTTGCCATCGGAGATCCTAGTGCTCTCGAGTAAACCGTTTGAAGCACGATCCCATTTGGTGTAGCTCACGCCCCAGGTGAACGTCCAAGTTGTTTCCTCTCCGCTTGTGTTGAACGGCAAATAGTAAACGGCAAAGGGTGAGGTGCTATTGCCATATTCGACAAAGCTGTCGAGACTGATATATGATTTGGGTAAGAAAACGACCGTATCATTTCGCTCGTTGGTGAGATCCCATCCTAGATCGCCATCTAATGACGTTGCGAGTGATGGGTTTTGTAGTGCGAAGACGACCGGCATCTGCGCCACAGGCTGAAAGCTACCGTTGCGAGGAAAGATAAGGTCCACTTCGAGCACGCCTGGAACCGGGCTTGTAGCTTCTGTGACAGCAGCCGTGACTCCTGATGCGAGTGCAGTGCTTGCCAGGATCATAGCGGAGATGTAAGAAATCATGCTTGCAGCTGAAAAACAGCCTTAAGAGAAGACTTGAAATATCGTCGGGATTGTTTCAAGCAAGGTACTTTGGGTGGGCTGTCGGCTTAGCTGTAGCATTTGACTGTTCCAAGACACGAACGAGGTGAGCTGGTCGTCCAAGGTCCCAATCATGAGGTCGAAGTCGCAAAGGCTTTTGTGCGGTACACTTGCTACAAGCAATGCCTTTTTCCAAGCGCATCCACTGGTAGTAATGATTGGGATGATATATGAGAATGATAACATCGAAGATACCTAGGTAGGCAAGGAGAATGATTGTCTATATGTCCCCTTCATCGATACCGAGTGAGCTACCAACACGGAAGTGGCATGCCGAGCATCGAGTAACATTACGCGCGTCCTCCATCCGGCGCAGACGCGGATCTTTCCACACTCTTCCGCCCGGCTAGATGACAGAAGCATCATCGTGGCTATCATCATGATGTGTCCGGAAGTATTGAAACACGTCCAGCACGCATATAGACGCAATGAGACGTGCCGAGACTACCTAGCTATCGTGCTTACCAGTTTGAAGGATCAAGATCGCTATCGTAATACTGTGCTAAAAGTTTACTGGACGAAGCAAGCCCCAGCGCTTTTGATGGGGTAACCGCACGCACTGTCTCCTTTGGTACCGACCTCGGGAGGTTGAAGCCGCCTAGAAGAAGACGCGTCACACGCACGTGGCGTCGCGCTTGAGTGAGCCTCCTAGTCACCGCCTCAAATGCAGAGAGCCCATAATCCATCGGCCTGGGTTTGACATACGGTTAGGTCTTCTCCGAGTCTTTTAGGCGGGCAAGGTTTTGTATTGGAGGGCCTCATGTCATCAACGGACTTTGATCTACTGATATCCGCAATAGTAGCAGTACGTGCGTATGCACAGTAAACATCATCGCCATTCCAACAAGAACGGCTGTGCAGATACACCGAAAATTGACAATACATACGAACGTCCTACTTTCAGCTTTCCACACTGGTTTGGGAAGACCATGTCTTCGGCATCAATCTGATTAGTGTCGACTTGGCTTACCTGGTGAACCTTTCTTGGGACTATGAGCAGCAGAATCAATACGTTCGCGAGAAGCTAAAGTTCGGACAAAGGCTGTTGGGTTCGACGCCAACTTCCTTTTCGCAACCTTGGAAGTGCAAATGACCGACTTGGGCCATCTCATGCCGAAGTCTGCAAGAGTGATTCGATCCGGCTGTTTCCCATAGTCGGGGGGGCCAACGGTCATGACATCTATCACTGTTAACTCGGGGCTCACAAGGATTTGGGCGAAGGTTATGTGCAAGGTACATGTATGATATGGGCACAGCCAGAGGATCCAGGGACGGAGCCCATAATAAGAGAAAATAGATAGATGACCTGAATACAGCAGGTTCTGCACCAACACCATGTCGATCGTAAGTTCAGCTCATATCTACGTGGATACTTACACGAAGTCTTTCCATGTTGCGCGTAGTGAAAACTTGTGATGGGTGGTACTGTGATCCCGCATGTGGTTATTGTATGCTACATCTCCACGCAAGTACTCGGGCGCTCTGCTGATGGATGCAGTATTTACCAGGCCACTGACGTCATCCGCGCGAGCATGGTTTATTCTCGTCTCGACACTAAATATGCAAAGGCGGAACGAACACAGTACCTTATAGTCGGGGGCTCCATAGTAGCGCTGCTCGGTCACAAGGAGCATATGAATCGGCATGTAGTCAAATGGACGAAGCCTTGCTTTAGACAACGATCATGAGGCAAATCTCCACCACCTGAGCTCGAAGTACATATAGGAGGAGCTCAAAACTCAACATTGCTTCTGGGTGGACATGACATCGCGGCCATGATACAGCCAGTCTTCAATGCTTTTCTGGCCGCCACCAATGCGTCAGCTTTGGTCAACATCGTCGACCTTGTCGGAAACGGCTGGACACTATCAAATCCCTCGCTGAACATCTCCGTACCTGCTCAATTGCCTAGCCATGTTCACCTCGACCTTTTGTCGAATCAAGTCATAGGGGACCCATACTACGGTTTGAACAACTTCAACCTTCGATGGGTCGCCTGGAACAATTGGACATACACATCGGATCCCATTCAGGACCTCACACACGACTGGGATAGTACATGGCTAGTCTTTAATGGCCTGGATACATTCGCTTCCATCGCGTTCTGTGGAGAGCACATAGCAAACACAGACAACCAATTTAGACAATACTACTTCGACGTATCGGAAATCGTGCAAGACTGCGCTCCATGGGATCGTATCATCACTTTGAATTTCGGATCGGCCCCGGTCATCGCAAATGAGATTGCATCCAAGTCAAACCAAACCTGGCCTCCAGGCGTCCAGCAGGTGTATGAATTTCCCAATCGTTGGTTCATCCGTAAGGAGCAAAGTGATTTCGGATGGGATTGGGGACCTGCATTTGCGCCTGCCGGCCCGTGGCAGCCAGCAAGGCTAATACAATTGAACGCTGGCAATATTTACGTACATAATAGTATCATCGATGTCCACCGTCAAGGCCAAATGAATTTGCTTCCTCCGGAACAGGACAAACCTTGGGTTATCAACGTCAGCATGGATCTCCTGGGAATGCCACCGGCGAACATTTCGATGCGATACAAACTCGCCGATTTGGCCAATACAACAACCATGGCTTGCGGTCAACTTGAGGGGCTCAACGTCTCGGGCAAGGCGATCACCGGATTGACCACGATCTCCCAAGACATCGTCGAGCTTTGGTGGCCTGTGAATATGGGGCCACAAACTCTCTATCATCTTACCGTCGATGTCGTTTCGGCTACTAATGTCACACTGGCGACGATAACGAAGCGAATCGGATTTCGTACGATTGTGCTTAACGAGTTGCCCATCTCTGCGACTCAGCTTGCTCAGGGTATTGCACCTGGGAACAATTGGCACTTTGAGATCAACGGCCAAGAGTTCTACGCCAAGGGCTCGAACTTCATCCCTCCTGATGCTTTTTGGCCTCGAGTAACGGAAGTCAAGGTTCGGCAGCTTTTCGATTCGGTCGTTGCAGGTAATCAGAACATGCTAAGGATTTGGGCAAGTGGCGCATATTCGCCAGACTTTCTGTACGACCTCGCCGATGAGATGGGCATTTTGTTGTGGTCTGAGTTCGAATTTGGGGACGCATTATATCCTGTTGACCAAGATTTCCTGGAAAATGTTCGGCGGGAGGCTGAATATCAAGTCCGGAGAATCAACCACCATCCATCCCTCGCCCTGTGGGCAGGAGGTAATGAATTGGAGAATCTGGAATTGGTTTTGGTTAACAACTCCGCACCAGACAAACTCCCCCGGTACATGGCCGAGTATGAGAAGCTCTTCCTTGAAACACTTTCGCCGGTCGTGTTCGGAAATACTAAAAGCATCGGATATACACCCAGCTCGACAAGCAACGGCTGGCTCAGCCTGAACTTCAGTAATCCAAACCCAATCACCGAACGATACTTCAACCGCACCGCTGGAAGTATCTATGGGGAGACAGACTTGTGAGTTGGTGGTGGAATTGTCACGATATTTGATGCTGACTCGTCGCAGCTACAATTACGACCCCAGCGCCCTGTATAACGATGACGCATATCCTGTAGGGCGATTTTCAAACGAGTTCGGCTTCCATTCAAGTGAGTACCCGCGCTCACTTCCGGGGCTCGTTGACCTTATCTGATTATACCACAGTGCCGTCTATCCAGTCCTGGAGGCAGCAGATCTCGGAGAACGATTTGCATTTCAATTCAACTATGGTTATGCTACGTAATCAGCATCCGCCGCCAGGAGGACTCAATTCTTCCGACACGGCAACGTCTTCAATTGGCCAGGGGCAAATGACTAGGGCTGTTCAAGCATGGTTTCCGACTCCAAACAAAACAAACTCAGCTGCCAACTTCTCTGCTTGGTGCCATGCAACACAACTCTACCAGGCAGAGCTCTATGTCTCAGAAATCCAATTTTATCGGCGAGGGTCCGGGCTGCCAAATCGCCAGCTCGGCTCATTGTACTGGCAGCTCGAAGACATATGGGTTGCTCCAACTTGGGCATCTGTCGAATACGATGGACGATGGAAAGTCGTTCATTATGCCGTCAAGCACAGCTACGAGCCTGTGATCATTGCTCCACACTACAATCGTACAAGTGGCGATCTCAGCGTGTGGGTGACATCAGATCTGTGGGAATCTGTCAGTGGTAGCATTCATCTATCTTGGTATGACTGGACTGGTAAAAAGTACAAATCTGCGTCCACTTCGCGTAACTTCGAGGTTGGTGCAATCAACAGCACAAGGATTTTCCAGAGCTTGGTCGATGGGTTCCCTGCAACTGACCTCAACAATCTTGTCATGAAAATGGAAGTTGAGGCGGAGGGAAGGCTACCTAATAACAAGACCACGCAAAAGTTCTGGCACGACAACTGGTTCCACCCTACCTCATTAAGTAAGGCGAGTCTTGTCGATCCCGGCCTCCAGCTACAGTACTGCTCTACGACGAAGAACTTCACCGTGATCGCTAGAACAGGCATTGCCGCGTTCGTCTGGTTGGATTACCCAGCCGGTCCAGTCCTGAATTTTGATAGCAATGGGTTCTGGCTCGCGCCGAATGAACCGCGGGAAGTCAGCTATACTGTGATAAGCGATACGACAGGCGGGCAATGGGTTCATGGTGTTACTGTGCAGAGTTTATGGAATCTGACGTTGGCCGATTGAAATGATGTACAAATGATCGTGTCGGAAAGAGGCGGGTAAAGCGACCACAAATTTTTCCCGTGAATCACAACAGCGCATTACTTGGCTTTCGATGAAGGATCGATATTTTCCTGAGTCAGACATTGCATATGTGCGTAAAGGCAAAGGTGACTTGGTTCATCAATGATAATCTGGAGAAGGTTCGTCGAGTGCCTGCACACCGCCAAACGCGCAACACGCGACTGGTCTCCCGGAGTTTTGCCGGCGCGAATCCCGTGTTTCATGAAGCCGCAAGCTGGAGGTGACTTTTGATGGTGCTTTCCGCACGTCCATCAATCAGCAAAAAGGTTCCGGCATCTAAACGACCGTGTGGCTCACACACGACATAATCCTCCAGTATGGCCATGGACTTCGCTATGGATGGTGACGATTCCGGTCCCAAGGTGACTATCCGGGATGCGAATCGCACCACAATCAATTTTCGGCTTTCCAACACAACGCTTTCCTTTGCGAACTCCCTACGACGAGTTATGCTCGCCGAGGTCCCGACAATTGCCATCGATCTGGTCGAAATTGAAAAGAACACCTCAGTCCTTGCGGATGAGTTCCTAGCACACAGACTCGGTCTGCTGCCTCTCAGCACCAAGGGCGTCGACGATATGGTCGATTTCCGAGAATGTACCTGTGATGAATACTGCGACAACTGTAGTGTGGTTCTACGGCTACATGTGGCCAACAGGAATAGTGCCCAAAACGTGAAAGTCTTCGCCAAGGATCTCTACGTCGACTCGATGGGGAATGGATACAATCAGCCACTGAACAATGGCAACTCTGGAGACGAGCTCCCACCAAGAGGCCACCCTATCATTATGGACGAAGCAGGCAATGGCCCGCTGATTGCGCAGTTGCGTAAGGGCCAAGAGCTGAAATTCAAATGCATAGCGAAGAAAGGAATCGCGAAGGAGCATGCGAAGTGGGCACCGACGGCAGCCATCGGGTTCGAATATGATCCCTGGAACAAGCTTCGACACACCACATACTGGTTCGAATCTAACGCCAAGGAAGAGTGGCCGGAGCCGGAGAAGAACGGACAATGGGAAGAGCCGCCTCAGGAAGGCGAACCTTTCGACTACAAGGCTGAGCCGTCAAACTTCTACATCAATCTTGAGGGGACCGGCGTTATGCCGCCAGATCAAATCCTTCACTCCAGCATTCGCGTATTGCAGAACAAGTTGGCCAACATCATCCACAACCTTGACGCCGAGTCGGAGCAAGGTCAGGCGAATGGCTTCGGTGGTTTCAGTCCAGATGGCATGGCAAATGGTGGGACGACACAGTACGGTGGGCAAAGTGCGTACGGTGGTGGCGGCGGCACGTCCTATGGACAAGACCCGGGCTACACGACACCGGCATATGGTGGTAACGGGCAGCAGAGCGTCTATGGTCAGGCAACACCCTACGGACAGCGCAATTACTGATCCAACCGCGATGCTTGAGTGCACACGCGAGTGGGACATTATGTCCTATCTTGCTCGAACGCTCGAGCTTTGAGCGCGATGAGGGAGTAACACGAAGCCGCGGGCAGATCATCAAGCAATATTGGTGCCCCCGTGCGGAACACATTCGCCCACAGACAAACGTTGATACCACGACCCATCGAAAGCGCATGTTGCTGCCGTAGCCAGAGCTTGCGATGGCGCCTTGCCCAGCCGTCAAGACGGGCATCACAAGCATGCCCAGGCGAGTGTTGTGCCGCATTTTACAGCGAACCGGTGTGGCGGGATCGCCATTGCAAAGCACCGAGAATATCAGCGGTTGCAGATGACTCAAACACTGTCGCCTCCGGCTGCTGCCGAGTACATGGAATTAGACTCGCGTGAAGGAAATCGGACAATGCCATGCTGTGCTGGCCAGATCTCCAACAGAGGATGCTTTGACATATCGCATTGGCGGGGCGCTATGAGAGAAATGGGAAAGTGCTATGCTTGCCTAGCAAACTGAGACTTGCCTTTTCATTTTCCCTATGCTACCTGTCGGACAACACATCCGTCCAACGAAAGTGTAGCGTTTCTGACATGACAGATTTTATTGAGGCGGCTTTGGCCGGCTGTCAAGGGAATACTTGAAACGATTTTTACGAGCAAATGATTACAACAGCACTGAATATCTGATGATTGTCTATGGATTCGCGAATGCAAATAAAGATCTCTGCATCATGGCGTTACGTTCGGAATCCTTGGCTGAAAAATGAACTGCCTTGTGAATAAGACATTACCTAGGCGCATCCGAGAGTCTGCAAAGTTGCCCCTTGTGTCACACGGTGCGGAAGATATCAACGGCCAAAATTACACGCGAAAAAGGCATTTTGCAAAAATTGCGAGAGTCAAGTCATTCAAATCATAGAAATTGTTCAACTATTCAATCAGTACCTAGGTATCCCAAAACATTACCAACGCCTGTGAAACGTAATCCTACAAAAGCATAAAATTAAACTCCTGAGGTGGTATCATCTCTGTCTCCGTGATCATTCAGCTCGACGCTTGACGTCTGGCACATCGCCGTCCCAGTTGATTTTCAGAGCTGTGAGGAAAACAGTCAGCATCGGCACAGTCACACTTTCCAAGCGGGGGTGAAGGGGTTGTATAGACTTACCAGTTGGGAACGGGAAGAACCCATCCCAATCCTCAGTCAGGTAGATATGGTAGTGCCAGCTCTCGGGCAAGGTGGCCGAATCGCCAGGCTCGAACTCCTTGACGATCTTCTTGACTTGGCTCGTGGTGCGCTCCTTGCCGATGGAGACGGGCGCCGGGCGGAGGTTTTCAAGGCGGCCGATGACCTTCAACATCGTGGTCAGCGCGACACGTGTCATGGGCAGGCCGAGGCACTGGTGCGGTCCATAGCCGAGCGTGAGGTAGCTCTCGATGTCGCGCGTCAGGTCGAGCTTGTCCGGGTTCGGGAAGTATTTCGGGTCGCGGCCGGCGGCCTTGAAGTTGACCATGACTTTGTCGCCTTTCTTGAAGTGGTGCGTCACCTCGAAAAGAGCGGTCTTATCGACGACTGTGATGTCGTTCTCGACCCAGCGGAAGGCACCTGTCTCGCCTCGCAGGCGAGCGCCCTCCATGAGGTAGTGCATGAGAGTGTCGTCGGCTTCGGGTGTATCGAGCTTGGCAAGCCGGTTGATCTCGGGCAAGTACTCCTTGCCCTCGGTGAAGAAGTAATCCATCGCCTGGCCAAACAGCTGACCCTGGTTCGCGACCATGCCTCCTGCAGTACCCATGATATTACCCCAAACGAGTTTGGCGATGTTGGGTTCGGCTTTGACCATCTGTAGTAACATGTGCGCGCCGTAATCCTTGAGCGTAGCCGTTTGCGGATTGAAAGCGTGAATGAAGCTCTCTGCGAATGAACCAGTGGTCTTGAGCAATGTCACCTGCGTTTTCAGTAGCATTCCGAGAGCTTGGGTGACCTCCCGAGCTTTCGTACGCAGGAAAAAGCTTTTCGCGGGATCGAGGTCGAAGAAGACGCAGATGAAAACTGCCGACATGATTTTGTACAAGTCATCCTCCCTCAAGATTCCACCCGGGAAGTCATCCGTCTTTAGAGGGATGCTCCACATTTCTGCGCCGAAATGTACATGTGCCAAGTTGCCGACATCTCGGATAATGTCGACCTGGCTGACGCCCGCGAGTTTGTATGATTTCTCCTTAAGAAGCTTCGTGGTGGTGTCCTCGTAGAATTCGCGGACGGCCTTCAGCCACTTCTCGTTACCTGCAGGCATGCCTCGAGACGAGCCGCCTTGGTACAGGAACTTCTCCATGAATTGTCTCGATTTGGCGTTGGCGGGACCATCGCCTGCAAGCATGAAGTCCTTCGCGTCGGAACCCATCAAATATTCGATAGCTGTACCCCATGTGACGCGGAAGTTATCCTGGTCACTCATGATTTTCACAGCAGCGTCGTAACTAAAGACGACCTTAGGATGTGCAATGGGTTTTGGTTTGTCAAAATTGTACAGATGGTCCTTCTCAAGAAGCTGTAGAATAGTCTTCGTCTCGTCGGGAATGGTCAGCGGATAATGCACATAGATTGACATTGGATCGAAGGATTGTGGGAGCGTCCGCAAGAAGAGTTTGTATAAGACACAGCCATTATCGATCTCCAGATCGGAGCTGGCCTCTTGATATCCCCAGTTCGTAAGGAGGGCGGGTGTGTAAGAGGAGGTGTAAAAGCGGTCGCCGCGCACGAGCGCAACCGCATCCGAGAGGACTGCGCGAGATGTGGTGAAAGATGGGCAGAGACCTGAGCCAGGCAGTTTAGGCACTTTTGCATCCTCGACGACGAGTCCCGGATACATTTCGATCTGGTCTGGAGTATCGTAAAGATGCTTGAGCGCTTCTGCAACCTCCTTGTTCGAGGTGACATCCGAAAATTTCTCATGAGGCTTGAGATTGAAGCGCTTTCGCATCTCATTGAGTGTCGCACATTTCCATGTTCTCGCTTGCTGGATACCCAAGACTTCGATGGCCTTCATGATCGTTGGTACTTGCTGAGGACCCATTGCATTGGCACAGTCCTCAATGCTTTCGGTCAAGATCTTGGCTAGCTCGTCGTCCTCGTAGAAGCCCTTATATGGGCCCTCTGTCTTACGGGTGAGCTTCTCCGAGGCAAGCGCGGGCCACTGACGATTCCACGGGTCGGTTCGCATGTTATTCGCCTCCATATGCCCGAGCGTCCTGAGGAAGTCCCTAATGTTCTCAGGGGCAGAGACATCGACGCCAGGTTCCTTTAGTCTGTCCGGAAGGGGCAGCTCCTTGAATAACTGTTGCGTCCACTTGTCATCCCTATCAGAAACTGCAGAATGCCAACGATACACGAGATTGAACTCGGCCGAGCATTGGTTACCCGTGCCGACTGGCGGCCCACCTTTGACGGGTATGCGTGGGTTTAGTTGCCAATTGTCATTGGTTCTGTTCAAGTTCAGGATTGTGCGGACATAATCGATCAAAATGATGTTGATGTATAGGCCGCACGTGATGAGACGAGCGGTCTGGAACAAGTCATCGTCGCGCTTGTCGATCATTTCTGCCTTTTCGTGGTTATAGCCACGGTCGACCTTTGCACCAGTGTCAGTGAATCTCCCATCCTCGTTGATGGCCGCAAGCTGCTCGACAACGTAGTTATGGTAGCGATTGAACATGATTAGGATGGCTCCGACGCCTGGCGGAAAGGCCAAAAGACGGCTTTCACTAAAACAATCTGGATGAATCTTGCCGTCTTCCATGGTCCGCATGTTCTTCTGCTCGGTCCAAGTACTACCGTACAGAGGTGCCAGATCGAGATACGAAGAGGTGTTTGACTTATTGAAGTCTTCGTGGTCGGTGCGGAAGATATCATGAATGATGATGGATGCGATGTAGAATAGCATACTTGAGATACGGTTGGGGTGTTTGGTTCCGTTGGGGCTTCTCCGCGCCATGAGCGAATCGAATAGAACGCCAGGGTCAGGCAGTACCGCCTGTCGAATCTTTTGAGTCGCGATAGTTCTCGCATACGGCATGCCAGTTTTTCCCATGTTTGGGAGTAGATAGCTGTTTTTGCTACCATCGGGCTGACGAAACTTGTAATCCTCGCCAAGTAATGTCTGAGGTGGGTGCTCAAGGTCGGTCCAGAGGGTGGTGACCAACAACTCCGTGATTTGCTTCTGCATGCTGTTTTCTGTCTTGCAAGCAGCTGCGACCATTGACTCCATCAAGTAGTGTTTGTCGTCCATCGGAATACCGAGAAGTCCATCTTGGAAGGTCTCGATGAGGCCCTCGAGGGTTTTCTTTTCGAGGCCGATGATGTCGCGCATGGCATGACTCAGTTCCCTCGTCAAGTTGGGCTTTTTTGCCTCAACAAGGACGGAGCCGTCGCCCGTTCCAGTCTCGAGAGGTGCAGCCGAGGCCTTCAAGAGGGATTTGACCTTCCTGACAGACGAGGTCATGCCCTGTCGCCATTTTGTGAATTCTGATGGCGGCTGCGGCTCTGGTGGCAACTGCTCTGTCGAAGATGTTGACTCTGTGGACACGCTGGACTCGTGCCAACGGAAGACTTTGCTTTGAGGCCTTGGAGATTTCACATTGATGGTCGCCATCTATTCTGACGGTCAGTGATCCGCTGAGTATTTATTTTGATCATTCTCGCGGCCGGCTATAAGCCATTTCGCCAGAACTCGAAATGGCATGTATAATGCTGGCGATTCGGCATTGCGATGGCACTCGAGGTTGCGCACACAGACGCGATCGCACACGGCTGATACGACGCACGCATAATGAACAGCCCGCATACAGCCATGGAGGCACAACATCAGGTCTCAGTTGGAAGAAAGTACCGTACGTACATTACATGAATGTCAGGCCTCTCCAGGCGAAGTCTTTCTGCTGTATGCGGGAACACAGCCAAATTGTGGCTCCAAATCAGTGGAACGCACAGGTCCGGGCCGCAGAGGGCAATCGCGGCAGTGTCGACCAACAATGCGGCACCGAGCACACAGGTCCTCTTGATGAGTATCAACGGGCGGATGAGGAGTGCCAAGGTGTTTGAGCAAAGCCGAATGATGAGGGATATCGATGAGGAGGAATGAGAGATATGGTTACTGGGAATAAATTCGACCGACAAAGTGGCTGATATACAGTACAAGAAGAAGTTGAACCGGGCGACACGCACAGTTCATTATATCCTCAAGATGCTGTATATACATACAGTACAGTCCATGCATGTTCTCACCTGAGAGCATCCAGGCCCCCCTTCCTTGTCGCTTGCAGATGTCCCTTGTCCACTCGTTATTGGACTGGCGCATGGGACAAAAAGTTTAGACTCCAGCTGCCAATGGCCCCAAACCGCTCGTGGCGGCTGAGGCTAACGGGGCCTCCGAAGCATTACCATTTCCATTTTCTTCCATGTACATACTGTAAGTACACACCCTACTCTCTCATACATCGCTTCTGATGTTGCTGCTGCATCCATCTCGTCTATGTGATGACGATGAACATGAACGAACGAATGAATGAATGAATGAATGAATGAATGAATGAATGACTTGCGTGCGAGAACCACACAGTACGACACGCCATTCCCCCTCCCGTCTCACCCGCACATCTTGTACGCTCGGGCTGCTTTCTTTTGTGACTACTATCTAGGTATAATTATAGACTCCGATGAGGCTGTGGAAACATTTACGGTTTCTGTGTTACGAAGCTTAAACCTACTAGGTACTCCAGTAATTCCCACAGTACATACCTCAAGCTTACTAGGCAGGTGGACGACATCAATCGAGGCACCCCATCGCGGCTTGTTCACTGTATGAGAAGTATCAGATACAATACTCGAATGGAGGAGTTTCCCAAACGAAAGCAGGGGATGTCGTGCCGAGCAAGCCTCAATCATCCCATTGTGCACCTGGGCAGGATGTGACCGTTTATGCATGCGTGAGGCCACCAGTGTCGCGCTACTCTGATACGCCGAGATCGTGGCGTGGGCGTTTTTGCGCACATGGTCCGTCGGCCAGTATCCGCCGTAAAGGATTGGTCGAGCACACGTTCTTGTCGCTCTGGGCCTGTTCACGTAAATTAAGCACGTGTGCATGCAATGTACACATGTCTTGGACACCACATTCGTGTCTGCGATATGGTCAATTCAGAATGATTACCTTTGCATCACACAAGACCGCATTGCTGCGCAGCGCTCACGGCGCTAAATTCCCTCTTATGCCGACTGGATTGCTCACAAGTCAGCGCACTCTTGATTGGTTTTTAGCACGAGATAGACATTGGGAGGCTGATGGTGATCATGACGATGATGATAACAAGGTTGCATCACCTGAATTGGCCCCGTCAGCCGAATGCATCTACTCCAGGGCTGTAACATAAGCTCACCGGTGCTGGATTCCTGACAGGGGACGCCTTCCATTGGAACCGTCAGGGACGTCAGCATCGTCATCAGCTTCATCCTGTCAATCGATATTCTGACATATTCAGACATGATCGCGGCTCATGTGGTCCTGAAAGTAGAACAGTATTCAGCTGGGGAATCATCACAGGCTTTCATTGGTGGCCTCAGTCTCTTAAGACTTTGGCGTCGGAAAGTCGAATCGTTCCAACAGACCCTGCAGGGAAGAAAGATTGGCAAGGCGTTCGCCAGCGCCAGCCCTCGTGTGCCATATACTGTATCTCGGCTTCCCGTTCGGGGGTCCTTTTCAGATACCGTACACTGTGACATCCTAATGTACAAAGTATGCTCCAACTGCTGAACTGTCCGATGTCGACGCTCTGCGAGAAGGAGGCGGAGATGAAACGAATCATCTATTAGCGCTGGTGTGAACACATCTTGGTTATGGCGGACACGTGCTACTGAAAATCTCCGAAGTCGATTCTACCTGCCTACTACTGTAGGTAGCCCGAGGTACGTGGATGTATCGTTAAGTTTCACCCTCGAGACACGAGACACCGACAGAGGACCTCCAGGGCTAATCGTAATAGAATCGCGGTTCGATCCAAGGAGGCAAAGCACTTGCAGCGAGGATAGCTTACGATGCAGTAGCAAGAGATGTTTCCATCAGGGATAGGACGAGCCGCATGAACCTGAAGCATCCCGAGTCGTTCTTACAGTGCCCAGGTGACATGCATTCGCACAATATACGTGGGTTGAAAGCAGCAGCGGAAACACCTGGGCACCCAATAACGCAGCCGAACGGACATCTCCGCCTTGACGCCTCCAGGGTGAAACTCACGCCACCACTTTTACCACCACATTTGCCCGGAATCTCCGCCTGCTCCTTCCCAGTGCTTCCCTCCGGGGGCGCCGCCACACGCTCGCCCGCCCGCCCGATTGTTAGGCGTACACACATGCACCAATCTGGATCAATACACACCTACAGACACACACCACCGCGACTTTCTCGGCGGATGATAAAAACCTCAAATTGTTCTCATTTTGGGGCTATTCTCATCAACCACAGTGTGGCACAGCTCCACGCAGGTGCACTGGTTAGACGAAAGTATCGTTGTCGAGCGATGTTGACCTCGGGAGAGATCAGATGCGCACAATTCCCTAGCCCACAGATTGTTACGTGTGCAGGCGCATATTTAGTTTGCATCCTCAGGCAGACATGAATTATCAGCCCTGGCTACGGAAATGACCTCTAATCATCCTGGCGGGAAGCTCTCGCCGCTTGTCACGCTAGCATTGAGGGACCGACAATCCAACGACTTTTTGTAAGCTGCACTCTGGCCGAGTAAACCATCGCATCTTGGACACTCGCAAAACCATCGGAAAGACATGGCTTCCAAACCTGTGACCTTGACGGTCAAATCGAGAGGTACATTGCTTCCCGACGCTGCACAGACCAGGGTAACACTGACTCAATTCTGGCAAAAGGCAAGCGTATCCCAAAGCTTCCCAAGGAGACGAGCATCTACATTCAAGGCACTGGAGCCGATCTATACAGCCGGCTGGCCAACGAGGCCAAATTCTCTATCCATCGCTTGCGCATCACCAAGGAAGATGGCACCCTCATCCCAAACAACAGGGACACCACTATCAGCAGCCTGGATCTCAAGGAAGGAAGCGTCGTCCAGGTGAAGGATCTTGGTATGTCGGGCAAACTCGCCGAACTTGGAATCACCTTGCTGATTACAGACCATCCTCAGGCGTACAAATCGCATGGCGGACTGTATTCATCATCGAGTATCTCGGACCACTCCTCATCCACCCGCTGTTCTACTACCTCCGCCCATACATCTACAGCGGCGTCACCAGCGAGCCATCCAAGCTTCAGACGATTTCGTGCATCCTGATCACCCTGCACTTCGTCAAGCGTGAGTTCGAGACGCTCTTCGTCCACCGCTTCAGCAATGCCACCATGCCCGCCATCAACATATTCAAGAACTCCGGCCACTACTGGCTCCTGTCTGGATTCCTCATCGCCTACTTCACATACGGACCCAACTCGCCCACAGCGGCAGAAAGCATCCCCGCGTTGACCTACGGCGCCATCGCACTCTACGCTTTTGGCGAACTTGCCAACCTCAACACCCACCTCATCCTCCGATCACTGCGCTCACCTGGTGGAACCGAACGAGGAGTTCCGAAAGGATTCGGTTTCGGCTGGGTGACATGTCCGAACTACTTCTTCGAATTCCTCGCATGGACCGCAATCCTACTCGTCAACCGCTCATGGTCGACGGCCGTCTTCGCGGTCGTAGCTTCGGCACAGATGTACGTCTGGGCCGTCAAGAAAGAGAAGCGTTACCGGAAGGAGCTTCCTGGAAAGTACAAGAAGAAGCGCTTCGCCATGTTCCCGGGCATCATGTAAATGTGGAGTTGCAATACAAAAGCCAGGAAAAACAGGCATGATTGCAGAATCGCTGCTTGGGGCAGAGAGCTGTTGGTGTACTATATGGGACAGACCACATCAGTGTGGAAATACACAAAATTCTCTGAAACGTATACATCGCATGTCATGAAAACATGGGTGGAGTTAGATGCTTGTGGGTCATATAATATAAAATGGGGAAGTCGCTACACTGGTATCGTGTTCGTTTCTAGCAAATTAGCAGACACATCTGCTGTATACCGAGAGGCGGTTCTGCGAGTATTTGCGCGCGAGTCAAATTTTCCCGCTGGAGCGCACTGTGCCGAATTGCGCCTTGTTTTTCCAACAGGCGGAATGTGCTCCGATGCAGAGGGTTGACCAACTTAGGGTTATGTCTGCATAACCCAAACCCTACTCACAGGCTAGGAAATCATTGAGAGAGATGGTTTTCACTATTTTTGTGTGAAGATGAAGCTGTGGAAATACGACGCTGCTGTGCTTCGAAAAATGAGTGCGACATCATGTATCACCGGTACACGCCTTGTAGGGCGACTAGATTTTGTGGTGGGGATGGCCCTTCTTTGGGATAGCGTATGAGTCAACTAGGAACGCAACAAAGTCGGGAAAAAGCGGTGCGTGGTATTCGTGAGACGGTCCATCTACGGTCAAAGGAAACTACACCAACCAATATACATGCCCGCCAGATTGGCATGACTAGTCGCCTGCTGAATCAGCGCATCAACGTAGCCTTCCACACTCAAAGGCACAGTCTCCCCACGAAGTAAGCCCCTGAGTTTCGTTGCCACACTCTCCAAGATCTCGGACGGGGTCTCTGGCACACCGGCCAGCGATCGTTTCTTTTTGCCAATGAAGTCGGTCGTCGGGTCGTACAGGAACGTCTCTAGTACCGTCATCAAAGTATCACGTTCCTGACGCAGGAGGCCCATGGTCAGCTCGGACGAGGTTCGGAAAGGCCCTTCGTGGCCGTAGGGGCCCATTGCATCCTGCATGTTGTGCGTCAGGCGGAATGGCACCAGTTCGGGTTTCTCGAAGGTCAAGCCTTTGTCGAAGAGGCAATTAAAGTCAACGTGGAATACACCACCGGTGCTCTCCTCCAGCAAGATGTTCTCGCCATGGCGGTCGCCGAGTCCTAGCATGTGGCCAGTCATTGACATGACCGCGGCTGAGCGCGCATAGCGGAGCCGCGCCGCGAACCATGCATCGGGCTCGGGGTATGTTTCGGCAAACCATTCGTGCATCGAAGGTGGGAAGACGGAAAGCACCTTGTCCTCGAAGATGTGGATATGTTTAGGGCCCTTGCAGGCTTCTTCCAGATCCCGCTTGATCCCAGTATAATCAGGACGAATGCCCTTGCGATTGTAGATACCGAGGAGGATGTCACGAATGGGCTTGATGCCTTCCACCCACTCAATCGTGCCGGATTCCTCGCTGAGGGGCGTAACAGCGTAGGTTTTGATATACAGTCGGCGCTTGCTACTCTTGTCGTCCCGCTTTAGTGCTCGGTTGATGATACCGTTGAATTCCATTAGCCGTTGATCCTTGCGTAGGTCGTCCTTTGGCTTGCAGAGCAATCCATATTTCTTGCCGTCAGACCCGCGCGCGGTGATTTTCTTTGGCCGCTGGAGTGAGCTAAGCACCAGAACCTCTTCGGCAAATGATTGAATAGTGATCTTTTCTTGCGTGAATGCCTTGTGGCGCCGGATAGAATCGACATCGGTCATGCTCGGGGAACTGGCTAACAGTGTTGCCTCTACCGGTACCACCAGTTGACACGGCGCTAATTTATGATTGAAGTTGAGGTCCCTGCCAAGTCTGACATTGGAAGCGCGAGGTTCCACAGGCGTCTCGCAGGCTTGCAGGAGGCCGTCGCAAAGTTTCTGGCCCTGTGTGATCATAACGCCCAGGTTAATGTTGTTGGATTCAGTCTTCAAAGATTTGTTCTTTGGATCCTTCAGCTTGAGCAGAATCTCCGTGCCTCGACTGACCCGAACAGTGTCCCGAGATTTCACAACCGCGAAGAAGCTCCACAGCGCCTGGCTCGGATGCATCGAAGCTATGCGGATGAGGATGTTGCTCAGCAGCTTCCATACGTCGGGATGTGGGTGCGTGATGCGAGATATGAGTTGTGACAGTGAGGGATAGAAGACGTAAGGAGACACACGATCAAAATACTTCTGCAGCTGTCGATTGCACAACTGCAATGACTTAGTGCGCTTTTCGAACATTGCCTGGTCTTCTTTGGGCGCTTTCGACATACAGCTCATGCCCAACTCAAGCCATAAAGTCAGCGATCGCGGAATAGTCTCATGCCAGTATTTATTGCCGAAGGGAATAGAACGCAACGTGTTGTCGATGACCAGTTTGGCCATTTCACCGCTTTCGTACGAATGCGAGCGCTTGTCTATCGGTAAAGCCTTCTGTGCGTCCAAAAGTTTGCTGTAATGTTTCCCGAGATAGTAGTGACCCTTCTCCCATCGTTGGAATTGCCTTGCCGCCATTTGGTACTTTTCCGTCATGTCCTTTGTCTGGCTCTGTCCCGAGGCGTCAAGCCACTTCGCGAGCAGCAGCAGAGCTTTCGCCTTGACCAAGTTCTGCTCTTTACCGTGAACATTGGTGCTCTCGGCCGTTGTCTCATAGGAACCTTCGTCTAGATCCGCAAGGACACCTGAGTTGATAGCAGAATCCAACAATGAGATGGCTTGTCTTTGATGTCCATTCTGCCATAAGAGACGAGCCTCTTCGAGCTTCGCACCCTTCTCTCCTCGATCAAAAGCCTTCAGGACCGCGTCGTGCGCAGTCTTTGCGTTGTTCGTTTGACGTGCCAGTCGAGCAGTGGCGAGCCAAGCGGCTCCAATACTTTGCGCTGGAAATACTTCTCCTCGAAGTCCCATCACTGCTCTACGTATGCCGAGAATATACTGCTTATTTTGTGAGTATGACCCGACTGCAGCCAACCTCCGGCTCAGACGTTGCGTGAGCTTGGGTGCCTCCAATTGGACGATGTTTGCCAGGGTTTCAATCTCATAAAGTACATGCAGTTGAGAGAGCTCATCGTGGCATGTCTGCAACGAGCTTGTAGCACCGAACGACAATCCCTTTGTGATGTGTCCACGTAAGTTGCGAATGTCTTCGAGAAGTGACTCGTGAGGTTTGTCGTGTGCACTGAGCAAGATCTTTGCAATGCCTACGTTGGCACTCTGTTCAGATTCGATTGCGGTGCTCGGCACGTAAGCGCGTAGGCTCGCAAAATCTGCATTCATGAAAGATGCTTCGACAGCCAGCGCTAGTTGTATGTTACTCCGGTCAGATGGGGACGCGAGATTAGTTCCCGTCTTGCGGAAACTGTCTGCATATTTTTGAAGTGCAATATACTGCCCTGTCTCGCGCAAACAGCGAAGCACATCAGTCTGCACAGATTCCGCGAGAGGTTCATCAGCCAGTTTGAGCTCATACCAAGCCTGAGCTGCAGTCCAACGACCAGCTTTGCTATGGTTGATGGCTCGTTGCTCCTCGGTAAGCACATTCAGATGAGCGGAGATGCCCTCCAGGCCGTCTGGCTCGTCGATCTGGGAATATATGTCTAACAATCTTTCATAGAGCTCCTCATCTGCCTTCGGTAGGCGGTTATTGGGAACTAAAGAACGCTTTTGCCGAATATGATGCTCCCAATGGAATAGAGCACGGGCGTCCGAGCCACAATTCATGGCTCGGTTAGCTATTGTCACAGCTGGAATCGTTTTGCTGAAATTCTCAACAGTCTCAATTTGGCCCATGCTTTGGATCTCCTCGATCTCATTAGGAGATATTCCGGCCTTGAAAGCAGTTGACCGCATGGCGATCAGGGCCAGTCGTTTTTCTCGAAGCCATGATGACATGTAGTCCAGGACTGCAAAGACGCTCTCACTACAGAGTCTTGTGACCTCCCATTGTGCGGTCTGGTTTGGCTTGCACTCTAATATGGCAATGAATTCCGAAGACAGGCCTTGAGATTCTGTGGATGTTCCGCCCAAGATGAGGTTCAGCGCAGCATATGGTAAGAGAAAGCTTGCAATGGCATCGTGAGTGCGCACCGTGCGAGAGAGGAGAAGAAATAGCCTCTTAGCATTGTCTCCTGTTGCCCTCAGCATCAGATCAAATGTCAAGGAACGTAACCACTGGCTGTGGGTCACGTCGGGGGAAAAGCTTGGATAAATTCGATTCGGAGGATTAACACCAGGGGCAGCGGTTATCGAGTATTTGGACGTTAACAATGGTGTCAATGTGATGCGCACATGCTCTGGCATTTCCATCCATTGCTGATTCGCAATCAAGTCCTGAGATGAGCGCGTTCGGACCGTTGCCATTTCTCTGAACTTGCAGAAGGCTAAAAGTTCCTGTATGACGAAGGCCAGAAATCCTTGCGCTCGAGGATTTGTGACAGATTTGAAAGTCTTGACAAGAACTTCTTCCAGGAATGCAACGACCCATTTGACTGCTTCATCTGCATCAGCAAAATTCGAAAGGGCCATCACAGTCCGTTCCTTCCTCGTGGTTTCAATACGATTTGGATCCAAGCAGCCTACGATACCCAGCGCTTTGCCACACAGCTCGGCAGCAGTGGTGTCCACATTTGACATTTTTGCCGTAGTATCGAGCAGAGCCCGGAGAAACTCAAAGAATGTTGGCGCAGGATTCTCACTTGTCGCATTGTCGTGAATGAATTGTTGCTCGGCCTCCAGGAAAGGCACGACTTCATGCAGAGCTCGGAGCACAACCGTGTTGCTGTCTACTCTCAGCCGTTTTGAAAACGCCTTGAAGTGATTTTCGGTGCTTTCCAAGGCCTTAAGCCGCTTGAATTCGGCCGCGAATTTGGCAAGCATCTGTATACCTTCGAGTGAGGGTAGAGTCATGATGTTATCCTGCAGTACCTCGTTATGAGCCTTCACGAGGAGACTTATCGAATTGTGTATCTTTTCATGCACAACTGTCGAGAGTGCTGTCCAGTGTTGTACGATGAGGGCGAATGTCTCATCCACGATGCGTGTTATGTCCTCAGCATGCAATGCCGAAAGGACCAACAGCCAAGCTTCGAATGCAGCGTCACGAAGCGCATCTTGCTCAATGCCAGATTGTAGACAAGCCCGTATCTGTGGCAGAGCCAGCGAGACTTGGCCCTTTGTCAAGATAACCATCTCTGCAATACCTCCTAGAGAACGCACCTTCTCGAATCTAGCTTGCGAGCTAGACTCGAGAGCTTCGGAGAAGTGGAAAAGAATCCCCAGTATCATCCTCTCGAATAGATCGTTCATTGCGTGATCAGATTTTAAGGAGGATCGACGTTGCCCTGAAGTTCGTCCCGCGATGGCGGCGAACAATCGAAATGTCTGATGCGCTTTTGCCTTCCTAGCCTCGTTTTCTGCACTACAATATTTCAGCATCTCGCAAGCTACTATTGCTGGATCAGCTTGAATTAGATCTGAAACGTCCACTCCCTTGAGACTCGGAGCAACTTCCTGTAGGCATCGAATGACGAGTTCCTCCGGATCAGCGACTGGCTGAGAGAGTATAAGAGTAAGGATTGATGCCAGGTTGGTTCGAGGGTAAAGACAGACATCTTGGATAGTGGCGCCTTTGCCCCTCGCGGTAGCAATCTTCTGCAAGACATCACGATTCTTCGAGAGAACGAGTGAGGGCACCGTCTCCCTCTCTGTCAAAAGTAGGAAAGCGTTCAGATCCATCTCAAGAAGATCAACAAGCTGCTGTGCCTTCTGTGGCTTCACTAGGAGGTCACGAGCTACTGAGACTGCAATCGAGCGCCAAAAAGGGCGCAGCAAGTCCAGGACACTCTTTTGGCTGATGGTAGCAAGCTTTTCAATCTCCGTAGCAGCTACAGCACAAACATGTGAATTGCGATGACCAAGATATTCCACCAAGCGCAGCAGAACCAAATTGAGTTCCTTCTCGCCACACGAGAGTGCGACTTGACCCCAGGCCATGATGAGAGTCTCTTGTTCGTTCGCAGCATCACGATCAGATAGGGAACGCAAAAACTCCAGAGCCAGCTGTCGATTCTCGGATCGCAATGGCTCTGGGAGATCATCTCTTAGAAACAATGGCAATGTATATGCTGCGGCCACTCTAAGCTCACGTATCGAGCTGTGCAGAGCCATGGTACAGGCTTTCCCGAAATTTGTGCTTTTGAGGTCGAGTAAAACAGGATCCTTGGTTGTTTGTGCGCATGCTCTCAATGCCAACATTGACAAGATGCGAGGCTCCTTGCTCTGATTCAGCTCGGGAACCTCGAAAAGCTGACAAACAATACGGATAGCTTCAGGCATCGCGTTGTCCGATAGGGTGGTCAGGTCCTGCCAGACTGTACATTTGGAATCTTCCGTGAGCTTGGTGTATACGGCCGGGACCACTTCTTGCAGCTGTGACAGGCTCTCACCACCTACCGTAGCAAGCAGGCGGCTGGTGGCCACCGTTATCGATTGGGACACTTTATCGGTGTCTGCCTGACGTATTCTTCGTCGCTTGTTGCGGGATCCAAAGGTCTGATTGTCATATATGCTAATGCTGAGAAGATGAAACGGTGCTTGGAGATCACTGTCCGTCATTTCATCATGATTGCGAAGACCATCGCGAAGTGCAGCCACGGCATGAGGAGCATTCGACTCAGCCTCAAACCTGCAAAGCCACGTCGTCACAGCAATCCTGAGGTCTTCATGAAGAGTCGCAAAAGTGCTAGCAGCGCCCAGATTGTGTAAAGATGCCATAATCAAACCAGCGTTTGCCGATGCGTCACACTTGATGCCCCCCATCAATACACTGGCGATCCGCTTTTGCAAATTAGGTGAGGATAATAGGATTGCAGTGTCGTCGATCAGATATTTGACAGTAAGGGTGGCGGACGGCAGCTCTAGCAAAACATCTAGTGTTCGGTCCCATGCGCCAGCCTTTTCGAGCCAAGCTCTTGCACAAGGGAGCAATCGATTCAACTGGACGAAGATGTCTTGTTGCCACCGGATCTCGATGCTAAGCACACGTGACAACTCTATGGCGATGAGGAACATGCTTGCTGGAGCTGTCACTGTTGAGCGCGTCCCATGAGGAAGAGTGATCAATGTACTTGCGTGGCGCCATAGTCGCGATATGCTCCTTGCTGGAGGCAATTCAATGGAGGGTGGAGAGAGTGAGCGCTTCAAGTACTGGAGCGATGAAATTGCATCTGTTGGGATAGGTCAGGAGGCTGATTGTCGATGAGGCTGAGTCCACTCACCATCAACGCAATCTATCAAAACACTTCGTAATTGTCGAGTCTTTGGCCACGATTCTGTCGAGGCACTCAGCGATGTGATCAGAGACAGAATCGCAGGTGTAATGGCTAGTTCCTGTGATCTCGGTCGACCGTACAGAACAACCAGAGAAGCCAAGAGTTCGAGGAGCAGAGGGGGACCTTCAGAAACAAGGGCAGTGAAGAGCACTTCTGGCTGACGTTTGACTGTCAGTTCAATGACTTTAAGACTGTCTACAGCGGCATCTACGTCCGCGAATGGATTTCCGGTAGCAAGCGGCGTCAGTCCGACTTGTGCGACGACGTGAATGAGCTGGGCATTGACCACCACGTCAGTCTCTTGTTGAGCACCATCATCGTAGAGAATATCCCGCAGGAGGTTCTTGAATGTGGTCTCATCACCCGGTTTGGCATCTGTAGCAGGCCGCGTCTGATTCTGCACCATCTGCGCCGCCAGCGTCGAAGGTGGCGGTCCATCGCCATTTGCACGACCGCCCTCGATCATGACAGATCGACGAGCCATGTTGAATGAAGTCTGTGATCGACACCATGACGCTCATTTCATGATGTTCCGACGCACACACATCCTTCTCACATGCCTCTCACAACTTGCCCAGGTGACGAACGATATTCAGGCATTCCAAAATGTCGTAGCTCACGGAGTGGGACGTGACTGAGCCGTCGCGCCATCACGTGATCGGACCTCATACACTTTAACACAGCCGAGTGAACCATCGTCATTATAGGCCGACTCTCTATGGCATCAATCACCTAGCATCACAACCACTCAGCATCAACATGCCTGTATTTCAGTCGAAGAAGTTTCGGTCAAGCTCGCAAAATGCGACGGTAGCGGCCAAATATCGAGCATCGCTCGCGCGACACCCTTTCGCACTTTTCGGCCTGCCGTTCATCGCGACCATGGTACTAGGTAGCTTCTTCCTCACACCGGCGACAGCGCTGCGCTTTGAGCGACATGACCGTAAGGTCCGACAGATGACGAAGGATGAGGAGCTAGGCATTGGGAAAGACAAGCGGAAGATCGATCTACAGGAGGAATACTACGTACGAGACTCGTTACTAAAACTCGAGAGTGAGAAATACACGAGCTAACACGATGTATAGAGGTTGGCAGCCAAAGACTTGGACAACTGGGAGCAAAAGCGGGTGAAGCGATTGCCTGGTGAACACGACGGCGTGTTCTAGGAGCCGTCAACATTCTGCGATCCAAGGGTTTGATTCAGCTTAGCGAAGGCGTTTGGCGTTTTTGGGCGCTTTCTTCGAGCCCTTTTTGGTCATCAACTCGGGAGAAATGGTGGAGGTGCTGGATCGACGATCAAGGCTGGAGCGTTTTTCCCTTAGCGTATCGAACCACCACCGCCTTCATATCTTGCCCACGGGCTTGCAAAACAGCGTCATGGGTTTATTTCGATTGTCCGACGGCATTTGGGGAGTCTTTCCCAAGATAAGCGGGATCACCTTGAATCGGAGGAGTTCGACTCTCTTTCGGCCTGCCACTGAGCGTATCAACGACGCTGATTAGTGACATCCAATGCTCATTTTTCGGACGACGATCCTTCCAATCTGTCTCTTCGCTTTCGATCTTTTCCATTGGACTGAACTTCACTCGCGCACCGCGAATGCCGATAACCGCCGCAGAAAGGGGGTCATCTGTGATCTCTTGCTTTGATTTGCCTGTGAACTTTTCCAGGAATTGAAGAGACTTGACACCGAAACGCACAGCACGAGCGCGATCCATTGGGCTGGGTATGCCACCTTGTTGAACATGGCCGGGCACAGCGTATCTGGAATCGAAACGGCCACCGCTTTCTTCCTTGATTGCATCTGCAATAAATTCGGTCGTGTAGACCTTGCTCGCCTTCTCGTTTCTGAGGATAATTTTACCCGATCTAGCATTGCCTTTATCCTTGGCGAACTGATCCTTGAGAAAGGCAATGTCGTCAAGTAACATCTGCATTCTGATACCTTCTTCAGGGGTGTAGACGGCCAACGCCCCAATCGATAAGCCTGCGACCGTGGCGATATAACCGGAAGCTCCTCCTTGTGTTTCTACCACAAAGACTCGACGACGCGAGGCCGACGCCGACTGTCGGATTGCGTCGCAATACTCGATGAGAGCATTCAAGCAGGTGTCGGAGCCAATGGAGAATTCTGTGCCCGGAACATTGTTCGACACCGTCGCGGGAAGGATGACCATGGGAATTTTGAAGGCCTCGTATTGCGCTCGCGCCTTCCTCAATTCTGCTACAGCAGTAAAGGCTTCGAAACCACCCACCATGAACAAAGCATCGATTTTGTATTTCTCGAAGCACAGCGCGGTGGTCTCGAAGTCCTCAGATGGCAAACCTCTATTGGTACCAATCTCGGAGCCACCCTTTGATGCCCAGCTTTCAGCGTCGAGCCAACTGATGTCTCGGACGGAGCCAAGGGGCGCGTCGTCATGATGCCGACATAGGCCGGGAAAGCCGTTGTGGAGGGCGACAGGAGTGTGTCCCCTGCTCAGACAATATGCAACAGCCGCCCTTGTGGCAGCGTTCATTCCACCTGCCGGAGCACCCACATGTATAATGCCAATGCGCAGACGTTCGTTTTCTGGAAGAAGTGTCTGTTCATTGTCCGTTTGTGTAGTGATGTTGAAAGCTTGCAGAAATTCCTCAAATTCAGCATCTCTTCCCTTCATCGCACTATCGAAGTCTTTCTTTTCAATGTGCTCAGCGACCTGTTTCGTCAGCTTGATTGCTTGCATCAGGTCTTTCCGCACGATCTTGTTCTCAACCATGCAAATCACCGGCGACGGCGTCTCTGGGGTAGCCTCCAAGACAGCGTTAACAGCTTCGACGCCTTGCAATGTTGCCAGCATGCGGTCATAAGCACACGGTGGTCCACCACGTTGGACGTGGCCAAGGGTGGTAACTCTGGTATCTAGGCCGACCTTGTCAGAAAGGAGATCTTTGACCATGAGTGGTGAAATAGGCTTCAAGCTTCGGTCGTGAGCGCCCTCAGCAACGACAACAATCGTCTTCCGTTTGCCCATGGCTCTGTGTTTCTTGATGATGGTGCACATTTCCTCCTCCCACTGTTCTGATGGTGGATTTTCGGGGATGAAGATGAAGTCAGCACCGCAGGTGACACCTGCCATCAATGCAAGCCAACCGCAATGCCTGCCCATAACTTCGATGACAAAGGCACGTTGATGAGAGAGGGCTGTCGCGTCGATGTAGTCGATAGATTGGCATATACGCTGCAATGAACTGTAGCAACCAATGGTGGCATCGGTACTGCTGAGATCATTATCGATTGACCCAACAAGTCCAACAATATTGAGGTGTCGGTATGCCTCGACTTCGTGTGCCTTTCTCTTGCCGCTTGAGACAAGCTCCTCTACCAGGCTGGGCCACTCTGATCTGAACTTGTCTGCTCCTGTCAAGGATCCGTCTCCTCCACAAATTACCAGGGCGTCGATTCCCTTCTCGATCATGTTGTTGGCAGCGGTCAAGCGACCTGGTCGCTCCATGAACGCTTTGCATCTCGCAGTGCCGATCAGTGTGCCTCCTTCAGAGATCCAACCTCGAACATCTTCCCATTGCATCTCTTTGATCATGTCCCCACCATCCACAAGTCCCTGGTAGCCTTCGTACACCGCGAAGGCCGTGCACCCGGAAGCTAATGTCTGTCGAACAACCGCCCGAACGGCAGCACTCATTCCGGGAGAATCGCCTCCAGAAGTCAAGACAGCGATTCGCTTTTTGCCGGATGGCATCGAAGGCGGCGAGAGGTTAATTTCGGCCATTCTGACGCTTCTGACGTGCGGACCAGTCTTAGGAAGCTGGAACTTATGGGTAGGAGGTATCTTCGCCCAGCGATAGAGTGCAAATGGGCAGAAGATTCAGAAACGAGATTCTCAGGTGAAGGGAATGGCCTTGGAGTCCTTTAAGCCGCGCCTGCTAGCCAGTGACGATATCTTCAAACTGCACCTGCGTTTTGAGCGCAGCGCGAAACGTCAGTCACGTCACGGTCACGTAACCGCAGCAATCGGGCAAGGGCCAAAATCTATGAAGAGCACCTGCACGCGTTATCAGCACAAGTTGCGATAAGCTGCCCATCTAGGAAAAGATAGACCTTTCGCGTTGCACTCCACAAGAACAAAGGACGGGGTTGGAATTAGGCCAGTGAAATGTATGCCAGGTAGGTGTGTGCAAGTCTATGAGTTCATGAGATGTGGAAAATCTGTCACAGACATGCCCGCGTTGTTGAAGCAGGAACAAAGACTGGCTGGATGAATGAATGAATGAAGCTCACGAACCACAATCCTGGGAGTTATTGACTCCGCATCCACAGAGCTTCCAGGGCTGGCGCGCCGAGAAAGCCATGTGTGATGTATCGGTGGAGCTTCGGCGACCAGAAGGAAATACGCCCGAGATAGCTGTTCGCCGACATTTTTGAAGCTTTTCTGCTCCCCGGCCCAACAGCGAGTTCGGGTTGTTTTCATCGCTCCTAATAAGCCACGGCGGGTTCTTAATTTCCAATATGCCCGCCAATGATAAGGGTGCCAATGCCCACGTCACGCTGAGCGCGGGAGGTTTTTCTAATACATGATAAATTTACCCCTCCATGTGGTGGTCTGCCACTGTCTATGTGCCCGTACATAATGTCACACCCAACCGATTGGGAAGCTTCACCATCTGAGGGAGCAACGATAGAAATGTTGCAGAGATCCGCGCATGCTCAAATGCGCAATTCCTCTGCTTCACGTCCTCAGATCGGTTCTCCATTGCTGTTGATGTGTGGTGTCACAACCCATGGACGTCTTCTCCGCGAGCTTTGGAAATTTGTTGAAGCAGTGATGTCATCTCAACGCGCTGTCGCGAGTTCGGCAGTGCAGTGGTGATTTGATGAGGATCCACATGTAAATCACAAAACCACGAAAGGCTAGTAGTGAAGATCATCAGAACGGGTCCATATGTCAGAGTATGCTATGTATTGTACCGTAAATCGACACAAATCTACCCAACCTACTTTCTTTGCTACTCATTGCCCGCCGACCGGTAACACCTCGCCGACCACTGATTTGCAACAATGGTCACCGCAGCTGAGCTCCCGGCTATGAACAAGCCATTTAAGAACCCCAAGTTCATTTTCTTCACGGATTTCGACGGCACAATCACACTACAGGACAGCAATGACTATATGGTGGGTCTTCTTGGGCAATCATATTTTCAAAGGATTTCCGTTGACCGACCGTTCAGACAGACAACATCGGGTTCGGTGGTGAGAAGCGTAGGCAAGGCAACAAAGATGTGCTCGAAGGCACCAAATCATTCCGGTGCGTCCTCGGAGTGATGAAAGTACAGTCATGATGATCATGCGACTGACCGACTCCATAGGGTGTCTTTCCAGGAGATGATGGATTCCATCAGTACTCCATTCCCGGAATGCATCGACTATCTGGTGAAGAACGTCAAGCTCGATCCCTACTTCAATGAGTATTTTCAGTGGGCTCTTGAGCACAACATTCCCACCGTGGTCGTCTCATCAGGCATGGAGCCGGTGATTCGAGCTATTCTCGAGAAATTGGTCGGACCTGACCACGAGAAGCTGGACATCATCAGCAACGACGCGGTGGCAAGACCCGGAAAATCGCTGGAGGACGAGAATGGCTGGCAAATTCAATTCCACGATGAAAGGTTGGATGGATCCGATTCATCAGACACCGTCACATTCGCTGACCTGTTCATCTTGTAGTGACTTTGGCCATGATAAATCCCTGACTATCCGCCCGTACGCACAACTTCCAGCTGATGAGCGTCCGACGCTTTTCTACGCCGGTGACGGTGTATCCGACCTCTCTGCTGCGCGCGAAACAGACCTTCTGTTCGCCAAGAAGGGTCACGGTAGGTTTACTGCACCCCTTGTGGCGACCGAGCCGCGCTGAATTCGTTTTGACTGACATGGGCATCAGACCTCATCAGCTACTGCGTCAAAGAGGACGTGCCCTTTACAGTATTTTCAGATTGGTCGGACATCCTGAACAAGGTCAAGGAGATTGTTTCCGGCAAAACAAATGTCCAGGACGCCGCCAAAGAAGGCTTCGAGCTTTACAAGCAAGGTGCAGTGGGTCTCGACAAGAAATAGGCAGGTGGATCGGGCCTGCATTCATCTGATGGGATGATGCCAGTCTTTGGCAGACATTCGTTGCCAATGAAAAGCGGAGGGGAAATTTGTCACATATCAAATAGACACAGATACATTCAAACAGACATTAAACAATGTGGAAACCCTCGCATACGATGAAGTGACTCTCACCCGGCATCCTCGCTGTGCAAACGGGCTCCGTCAACAACTACGACAAATCAGCCTTAGTCATGATGGACATGCTTTCAGGCAGGGAGCAGGAACCCCCCAAAGACTTGCGGAGATCGTGGACGGCACGGTCGGAGCCTTCACCGAATTTGAACATCGCGCGAGGTCATGCACAAAGGTTCCCGGCCACCTGCATAATCTACAATCGCAAGAACGCACCATTCGATCCTGGACTTTGCGACCACGCTGTTGAGATGTGAGGGAGAAATGCCTCAATGTCCGCCATCTACGACGTCGCGCTAAAAAATCGCTTCCTCGGACTCGCAAATAGCTCGGAGATGAGAATCCTCAGCAGAATCCCTGTTGCAGCGGTGATCTCCCTGACGTGATGAGCACTCCACGGTTGGAAGTGAAGCACTGGAAGAGCGGGGGTAAACCCCCCACTGTGCTGTCGCAGTTTTCAGCACCCCAGAAGTTGGCGTGCCCAGGTGGTTTGACACTACCTAGGTAATTTTGCGTAGAGTGCCAGGACGGATTCCGAAACAGGGCACGAGATAGGGTCAGATCACACTTGACGTACTACCGTAGCGTGTCGCATGCGCGTCCACCAGAGCAGCTCGCGTGTGCACCGACAACACCACCAATTCCAAGTGCACGAGATAGCACTAGAGAGAGAGAGATGGGTCGAAATCTGCACAAAACACAAGCGTGCCTCCAATTGATGCGGCATGAAGGCACAGCGGAGTTCCTATCTCGCCCGCAGGAGTAGAGGGGACGTGTGTCTGAGCCATTGCATGACCCTTGTTCCGCTTCGTACCCGTGGACTCTTATTAATCTGACACAAAGACACCCGAGAGAAATTCTAGTTCGATTGCCACACCGCCGATGGCCGAACCACCGGCGAGATATGGAAGGAAACAGCGGAGCAGATTTTCCTACTGCGATATTAAACATAGATCGATGGCGCGGCAAAGGGAGGAGAATACACGCTTTCAAGCCAGTAGATCATCATCTGAAACTATTGGTGGTCTGAACGGCAATGTGCGGAAATGGTCAGGCGCCATTCAGGAGACGAGGAAATCCTTCGGTAGATCTGAATTGCCTAGCGAGGTCCTCTCATGCAATCTTGATAGCGTTGGGAGTCGGGGTGGGATTCGACTCTTGTCGTCGTGACCCAAGGCGAGTGTCACGCTCAAGGCGGTGATGACTGGGAGTCGGACAATGTGGCCTAGTGTGGTTGATACCGACGGGTCAACCGTTGCTGCCCAGTACGCCGCCATACTCGCGTGCACCAATCTTGCACATTTTACAGGGCCACTATTGGCAGCTTACAATATTATTATTGTTAGTATTCATATAGATTCCAAGGTCATATACCGAAAGGACGAGGGCAACACAGATTTCCGCAAGTACCTTGGTAGACGATTATAGACAACTGCAGGTGGGCAGGTACTGTAACAATAATTCAGGGCTCCCCGCAGTGATATATGCCCGGGAGTACAACGATTGACCCTTCAGGGCTGATGAGCGAGGATTGGCTATTCATGGCGTCATAGATGACATGATGACACGGGACGATCCACACGCGCTACTAAATTATAAGATGGGTACGCCGATATCTTCCAAGGTTAGTACACACAACCCGGGCAAACAGTCCCTGGACAATGCATGTGGACCATCAAGTCACAGCTCGGGGATGTCGTCTGTGCATGCCACGAAGAGACTTGCTGTCTATCCATCAACTGTAGAGCATTGTCCTGCAAATATGTAACGCTCCCTCCTCATTGCAGTCGCAAAAGACCTGGTACAGTGTATAGATCTGCCCGGAGTAGACAAAGCACGGGGGAAAGCGGAGCAGCCAGATGTGGCACTCCTCTCAAGCGTCGTCGTCACCGACAGGGTCTCATCGCCGAGGAGGCTAAGATCTCGCGGATGACGGCCGTGGGCTGGCTAGGCCGCATACGTTCAAGCTCCTCAAAGACACTGGGCCAGATACGGTACCGGTCTGCGAAGACGAGAAATTTCTTCAGTAATGGAGAGCAGACTACCCAGGTGGTCTGGGACGGGCGCCTCCGACAGCGATGTTGTCCTGTCTGGACGGCCAGTTCCTCGGCGCCTAGTGCATGCAACGTTCGCAGCTCGCGCGCACAGCGTCTGTAGATCTCAACTTCGCATAATCTTGGAGACGGGTCGCTTATGATACCTAACGCGCCGCGGTGGCCCTCCTGAAGCGATGCCTTGTACATGCTTCGTTTCTAGTGATCATGTCGCTCGCCGTGTCAGCTCGAGACGATGCGAGTGTCGAATTGATGATGGCAAAGTGTTATGACGTCATATGCCAAGTGTGTTTGAATTGTGAACTGCCAAATTCACGTCGCAGAGCTGTTCGCAGTGAACATGATTCGAGCGTAATAAAGATTTAGCATCCGTGCTGCTCCGGTACCAGCTCAATCATGATCTGCATGACAGTGCATGTCCATTCATGGATCCACATTTCGCGGACCTGGTTCTGAGCACATGTATGCACGTCTCATAAATGATATCGCTGGGGGAACCTATACAGTTTGCAGACCAACTCAGGAGAGATGGAGCATTTCAGAACGATCTAGACTCTTCAGATCATGCCGTGGGTAACAAGCCTGGAGAGATTGGGAGAAGTATATACGAGAATGCACGCCTGCTTGCACGCATGCATGGTGTCCGCGTTATGTACCAAGGCACTGTGTGCAAAGAGCACACCGAACCAGTGGCCGAAACTGTTTGTCTTATTATCCAACTGCCCGTTCCCCGGCGTCCCGAGCCCCCTCAGCGATGAGGACAGTGTCCCTGGAAGGCCTTGCACTGTACCTGGGAACGCTGGATTGCAACTCTCGACGGAAAGACCGACGTGGATTGATAATGGCAGAAAGTTTGGAAGATGGTACGGACGTTGAAAAGTACAACCCAATCATCCCGTCCGCATGTATGGCTCTACTGAGGTGCTGCCCTGTTTGTGTGATGTCCACAAAACTGAAATGGAGATGGTGTAATCGTACGCGACAGATACTAGGCAGAGTCTCATCTCATGGTCTCTACATGTGACATGTGCAAGATGATCTGCACTCGTCCATGGTTTACAGGCCTAGCAGAGCATGTTTCTTGTCCAGAGTGTTCCTTCATTCTCATCACCAATCATGGCCTTCCAAGGTTATCAAGGGTACTGAAACGGCCATGAGCGTCCCGGCGTGTTTGAACTCGAATCTTAAAGGTCAGTGCTCAACACCAACGAGCCACGATGTCGGTGTACCTGATTGAACATGCACCTGTATGTATTAGTATCAGATGGGTGGGTGTAATCGACCTTGGTACTGAAGTTTGAATATACTGTGGGTTGGAAGTAGTAGTGGTGCAGTGTACACGGACTGACACGCTAATCGTCAACGCTGACGATATCTTTCCCAGCCCGCGCGCCGGCCAGCCAGCCAGCCCACCTCCCGCTTGTCTGCCACCCACATGCATGGGCAAGAACGTCAACACCTGCAACGTCTTTTTTTTTAGCTGGTTTGATCTTGCTCACACGAACGCGATCTTTCCTTGTTTGGGCATACGGTCTTCTTGCAACTCGCTACTCTTGCAAAATGCACTACCTCGATAAGTACGTAGATACCTCGCGGTGTATGTAGCTGCAGGCGTCCCAACTCCAACGTCCACCTTTTTCCCACATACTTGGGACCCTGATTTACCCGTCAACCCAATCCTCCGCGCGTTATTCAGACACGATTCGTCCTGTTGGGCATTGCGCCTCAGGTCCCCTGTGAGACTTCTTTGCCTGACGATCACGAGCATGCATCTTACGGAACTCGCCCATACCGTACCGGTCGATCGCCCATGTTGCACATGAGTGCTTACTCGAATGATCTGGCACCCTTAGGCATCGCGACGCCATCGGATTCTATCTGACGAGATCTTTCCCTTCCTAACCTTGCCCTTCCTACGGCGACATTCATTGCGTCCTCGTCAGAATTTCGCGGCCAATCTTCATCTTGCAGACTCATTCACCTTGCTTCTCGCCACATTTGGTCGTTGCTGGCTCACATGACTGACACAGCGCTTCCACCAAGTCGTTCTGATCACCACGTTCGACCCTCACGGCCCATGGCGCCCTCGGCGACGCCTAGCATGACGCCCTTCCTCTCGCCACATCTGGTTGCCACACCACAGGCCCATCATTCGTCGACGATAAATCAGGGAGCAAGTCCGAATTACTTCGGCTATCAGAGTGATTCCAACAGCTTCTTATCGGAGTCGCCACGGCATGTGCAAAACAACTGGAGCCCGCCTTCCTCAACCGTACGCTCCACCATTGCTGCATCGCCTGTCGTAGTTCCGGTCGACCAAAATCCCGAGTTCGAGGCGTTTCGGCGCCAGTCAGACAATAATAAATCGTTGAATATCACCCACATGGGCGGTCTTAAGATGAGCATACCTGCTGCAAGACCGAGTATTGATCGGACCATGAGCATACGCACGCCTGGAGCACACACAGCCCCTGGGACCAAGCCTAGATCAGATCCTAAGGACGTTCCACAACCTGCTTACCGCGCACAACTTGAAACATCGCCGACAGATCTCTCGCGGTCACCGAAGCGAACACATTCGTCGACGACGCTAGTAGACACTGCTCGACGAGGGTCACCTGCTATCTTCTCGGCAGATTCAGGGCCCGCCAGGAAAAGTCCTAGAAGCAGCCCGCCTGACGAGCTGCCCCGATTTCAACTCCCCCTCGACAATCAGAGCGGGCCCACTGGCTCACTGATCGCTAGAGCAGCGACATTACCTTCTGCTAACGATTCAGCGGCCGAGCTCTTTGTCGCACCGGAACGCTTGGTCAATTTAATGTCCGCACGCCATGAGCAGATATTGCTGCTGGATCTGCGAGTCTCGACCCAATATGCGTCGGCACATATATCCTCTGCATTGAACCTTTGCATACCGACTACGTTGCTGAAACGCCCAGCCTTCGGAGTGAAAAAGCTGGCTGAAACCTTTCGAGATGAGGAACAGCGTCAGCGTTTCGAGAGTTGGGCCAAAAGTAATTCAATTGTGGTGTACGATGCATCATCGTCCTCGCTCAAAGATGCCACGACATGTGTCAACACCATTAAGAAGTTCCGGAGTGAGGGATACGAGGGCAATCTGTATATCATGAAAGGTGGGTTTTCTGCGTTCTCCCAGCGTTTTCCATCTTACATCGAGACTGGAACGAGGCTCCAAGAAGGTGTCGAGTCTGACGGCCCAGAGGTGGCTCCTGTCGTCGGAGGCTGCCCAATGCCGTCAACGGATGCACCCGCAAATCCATTCTTTGGCAACATTCGGCAGAATATGGACCTCATTGGTGGCGTCGGGCAGATTGCACTGCAGCATCCATCCAAAGCTACCAATCACGAAGAGGAGAAATACCCGGCGTGGCTTAAAGTTGCATCAGAAGATCAGGATAAAGGCTTAAATGTCTCGAACAAATTCGAGCAAATTGAGCGACGCGAGAAAAAGCGAATGGAAGATGCACTGTCTGGCAAGGTCTCGTACGAAACAGGGGGCAGCGAGGCTTCAGATCTCGTCCAAATAGCTGGTCTCGAAAAGGGGAGTAAGAACCGTTACAACAACATCTGGCCATTCGAACATTCTCGTGTCAAGATACGGGGCGTGCCCTCCCACGGATGCGACTACTTCAATGCGAGCCACATCAAGGCTTCACACAGTAATAAACGATACATCTCGACTCAGGCACCCGTTCCTACGACCTTCAATGACTTCTGGAACATCGTCTGGCAAGAGGATGTGAGGGTTATTGTTATGCTCACAGCAGAGAAAGAAGGCGCACAAGTCAAGGCACACAATTACTGGGATCAGAAACAATATGGCCATCTCCAATTAAGCTTCCTCTCTGAAAGGCGAGCTTCGCTAGAATTAACGAGAATACACAAGCAACAGAAGCGACCCGCTCAGCTTCAAAGACATATGACTGCCTCCTCAAACCCGCAGATACCGCTGGCCCGGCTAGATGCCAAGGATGAGACGAGTGGCGAACAACCTTACGTAATTGTACGAAAGTTCACACTCAAGCATGAAAAGCATCCCTTCGCGCCCATGCGTGAGGTCACACAGCTGCAGTACTCCAATTGGCCTGATTTTGGCGCTCCTGCCCATCCGGCCCACCTCTTGGGATTGGTCGAGCAGACTGACGCTGTTGTTCGTGCCAACAATCAAACGCAAGCGGCAGAGCCCGAGCCGCCAAATACTCGTCCTGTTCTCGTCCACTGCAGTGCTGGCTGCGGGCGCACAGGAACATTCTGCACAGTCGACTCTGTTATCGATATGCTGAAACGGCAACGGATTTCGCGCGCGGCTGCGGAGAAGACTCCTCCCAGCACTGCCAATCGGACGATCGCCAAAAGTGAGCATGGCGGCTTCTTCGATACCTCACGGAGCGCAGCATCTGACGACGCCAATGTCGCTAGTGGCGCCTGGCTTCACAGCGATGACGCGGATCTGATCGAGCGGACAGTTGAAGATTTCCGTCTGCAGCGACTGAGCATGGTACAGAACTTGCGTCAGTTTGTGCTCTGTTATGAAAGCATCATGGAGTGGGTCGTCGATCAAGACCCCATCACAAGTGAGTCATGATCGGCAGAAGAGAAAGAGGCTTTTCAGCCGATAATATTTGCGTCCCCTGACGGACGCATTCTTGCTTCAGTTCGGTCGACGTTTCTGCACAATAGTGTCTGCATTGCTGCCTGAATTGCGGGCGTTCGCTGAGTTGTGCCATCTGAGCTATACGTGGGCTCGCTTGCATACAAAGAAGTGTTTGGAGGTCGAGGTATAAACATCGTCACGGCGTTTGGGAAGATTCTAAAGGGGAGAAAGGATTACACGGCGCAGTCAAGGAGGATTTACCTAGCATTTTGAAGGACGACTCGATGGCATCGCATGCATGGAAGGCGTTAATTTACTGGCTCGGTCTGTCAATCGTTTGAAATCAGGCCTTCATACTATCGTGGAGAAATGATGGTTATCTGCACACAGTCCGCTATGTTGTGACTTGAAGCTCATGGGGATTGATTCTTTACAACCATACAATGCTTTTGAAGGAGTCGAATTACCTACGATACATGCCGCGGTTTGTTTTAGAAAGGAATGACAGTTGCTCGTCAACTCCTCAACACCGTGTGATGAAGCTACCGGCGCGCATCACTTGGTGGGATGTAACAAGTTGGGGTCATTCCGTCTATTTTCTGCTCCACTATAATGCACCGATATCTTCTATGCGGTCGTCAATGCCATGTGCTTGAACGCCGCGCGAGGACACGAATACGTCAAACCACAAGCCACTATCCCTCTGTGCCGCTACTTCGGAACACGGCGCAGAGGCCAGCGTATTGGTGCGTAAAGTCCAGAATCTGCTGCGGCAAACTGGTAGCCTGCACGATGCTGCGGACTTTTACAGCGCCTTCGTCCTCGATGATGCGACGGATGGTATGCAGCAGGTCTGGAGAGAACTAAAATCGTGTGAGAGTCAGCTTTTATACGAGAGTCTCCTACTCGGGTCGAGAGGGCAGAGGTCCTGGCTCAGGAGATGTCACTCACCTCGGAATACCATCGGTATTGCCACGCGATCAGACGAATCAATGCTCCTAGCATGTTCCGCCCGTCGTTGTTCCTCTCATACAGGCCGAGAACGCCACGCATCGCCTTGGGACTGAAGCGAATGCTCAAGCATGCCTGCCAGGCCTCCACAGCCTCGTCAGGATGGTGCAGTCGCTCAGCGAGATCGCCCAGAATCTCCCATTCTTCCGCCGTCTTCTTATAGGCGAGTTGCTGTTGCTTATATTGCGTCGCCTCGGTGCGCCAGATCGTGTAGATGCGCAAGTCCTCGTAGAGCACCATGAACAGGTTGTCTAGCCATCGCTCACACAAGCGCTTGTGCTGGAACTGCGTGTATGTCTGATGTGCTGGATCTGCAGGCGGAGGCTGAGGCTGGGGTGTCTCTGTGCCTGAGTGAACCGTAACGGATTGCGATGGTTTTGATAAATCAGAGTTGAGATGCGAATCGGCCAATGTTGGTTCGCCGTCAGCTTTTGTCGAAGCCTCTGCGGTGATGGGTGAGATAATTTCCTCGGCTTCATCATGGCCATTGGATTGCGGCGTATCACTTCCACGAAGAGCGCTGGTGCTGGCGTTCTTGCTCGACGCGGCAGGTCCGCCAATTTGCTTCTCGTTGCGATATTCCTCCTCCATCACAAAGACCTGACTCCGAATTTTCAGAAGCTGGTCCCAGCCGATCTTCTTTGTGATTTCTGTCAGCAAAACGTATGCCTTGTGGAAAGTGCCCTTATAGTTGCCGGCAGCCAGACGTCGAAGTGTCGGGTGGACCATGTCACCCTCTGGTGTCGGGCCAGCGTCATCAATCTCATCACACATCGTCTCGGGCGACAAGGGAAGCGAGATGCGAGCCGGTTCAGGAAGTCGAGGAGCGTCCTTGTCCTGATACGTGAACATCGGACACGAATTCAACGTCAGAAGGGCCAGATCCCACTGCTCCAAGGCGACATAGATCTCCGCTAGCCGAGCCCATGTACAAAATTCGCTGGGCGCTGCCACAACTCCACGCTTGGCGATTTCTAAAGCCAAATCGCTACGTCCTTTGCGATTGCAAAATTCGGCCTGGCAATCAAGCAGAGAATAGTCCATCGGAAGCTCCTCGATGGCTTCGCGGAGCAATTGTACTGCCTTAACCTCTTCGTCGGCATCAAGATACACACGTGCCAGTAATGAGGTGACTTCTGGGTCGCGCGATCGCAGCTTCTCGAAAAGATTGATGCCAGACGCATATCTTCCAGTGGTCCGAATGTAATGCAGCAGCCCCGAGGTGAGATGATTGGACACAATGTTAGGGACCTGGATTTCGGGATCTGATCCCAATTGCCAGCCTGTTATGTATCAGCCTGAGTCGGTCATCTGTCGTAATGAATTGACAACGCACCACTGAAGAACAACTTCTCCGCAACATCGAGGAATCGGTGCTCTTGATCCGTAGTCGTGATAGGATTGAATCTCCGCACGCCGATGATGCGTTTTATCGAATCACCCGAGCCTGTGTCGGCGTACGAATATGCACGAAGCACACTGCAGAGGTATGTTTCTATCCAATGCTCTTCAGTCGCCTCCAGCTTATTGCCTCGCTCATCCACGCAGTAGCTCTCTACAGTACCAGGGATCTGGACCTGCACGCGCATATCCACACGAGAAAATGCATTGTAACAGCTGCCCCGTATCAGCGGTCAGCATGTGGCTTTTCGCGACGAGGTGTAAATTTGCTAGTGAGGCATACCAATAGAGCCCCGATGTGACCTTATGGGGCGTATTGCTCGGCGCATACGTGAGGGTGTTAATGTAGGCTGCTAGACTGGCCGACGACGAAGCATCGATACCCGTGGTGTGATGATAGACGCCTATCTGTAAATGCGTTCAGCAAGCCAACTCCAATTTCCATGCTTTTCAGTGCTTCTATGCATGCGTCTCTTGTGTGTCGTACCTGCTTGGACGAGGATGATTTGGCAGGCTGTTTGACAAGATGCACCAGGTCGGGAGGACCGAGTTCTCGTAGCGATTGGAGGCCGTCGGTTCGAATGTCGACCACGGAATGTGCGTCATCCTCGAATAGTCTGCCAGGTGATCGCCAGGTCAGTCCTCCTGTTATATGGACACAAAGTTCGTAGCTGTACAACTTACTCGGGCACTGCGCTTGCGACCACCATAATGCCGGCACCAATGTTTGTGTAGCAAGAGCTCGAAAGAGTTGCGTAGTCTAAGATTCAGTGAAGTGCTGGATGGCTGTTCAGCACTCGGCGTTCAATGCGGCGCACAAAAGAGGCGCGGACTGGCTGCCAGGGATGCGCTGAGCTCGATCAACGCAGGTGCACCGTGAGGCTCTTGTATGGGAACCTTGGAATGTTTCGCAATTTGGGTTTGGACGCAGTTCTGTAGGGCTTTCTCGCTGCCAATGCAATGTGCCACATATTCACAATGCTGCTGTTGCGGTATATACACGGGATCCATACAATTTCTACAGGTATCTATGCTACATCTACATGGCCGTGGCAATGAAGACCTCTAACTGGGCCTTCATTATGCCAAAGCGAAAACGGCAATATTGCAATCATGGGAGCAAGAACACTCTGATCATTACTGTAAATAACCTTGAGCTCGGGCGGGCATTAATCACCAAACAGGGACCAGCCCGCCTTCACAACCAGGAGGAATTTCGCCCGGTCATCACTGGCGCAGCGGCGGAACGGCCCACCCGTTGGCGGTGCTTTCCTGCGCGATGAGTACAGTCCCTTTTAAGAGATGGACAATTGCAGCTGAAGGTCTGAACGTGTACAATTTGTTTTAGCCTCAACTCGACGCGTCTCCCTGCCGCGCCGTCATCCAGAGCGCGCACGTGCAATTCATGATTGGAGCGACAACGACTACATTCATCCACGCATACCGGCAAGACAGCTCTGTGCTGCGAATGATGCTCTCATCTCACATGTTGATTCAAGGTGTCGTGTGAGATTCCCTGCCGCAAGGCTGAATCGCTCCCGAGTGTCATAATCTAAAGAACGATCATGTCTGGTTTCAAAGCCCTAAATCTTGAGTCGGACGACGAGTCGGACATCGAGATCGACGACACAAAGGAGATTCAGATCGAAGATGCTCTCAAATTGTATCAGACTGCGCTGAAGTACCACTCGGAGGGCCCGTCATCGTTCCGCAAAGCCGAGGAAGCCTACGATCTGTTGTTCAAGTCCGACATTTTCAAGTACCCTGAATCGCAAATCGAATTGCAACGTATTGAACTTTATGATGGGGAGCCAGATGTCTTGTGGGACGATTCCGACGAGAGAGTGGCCGGCGTCATCCCAACAGCGAGTGGTCTTGACACTGGCCCGAGCACGTTGCCTCAAATCTTGCATCTTTCGCACAAGAATTACGCGCAATTTAAGCTCGATGTGTTGAGCGCGAAGCTTCAAAGCAAGCCGGCAGGTCGAGCTGAGGTACATGACGACACGTCAACGGCCCTGGAACATTTTGTGCAAGCCCTTGACAAAGACGATAGCGACGTAGACCTGTGGCAGCGTACAGCCTCGGTGGGTCAGCTGTTGAACAGTTCGCGTCTTGCTAGATTCGGCTGGGAATCCATACTCGAGGGCGATGACGATGATCCAGACGGTCTGTACTCGGCAACAGGATTAGAGGAGGCTCTTGCTACAGACCAACTGCAAGACTTGATTCAGGGTCTGGGAGATACACTGTCAGCGCTGCAGCGATCGACGCCTGTTTCCACAAGAAAGACCGTCTCCAAAGCATTGCAGATGCGACTTCGTCCGTATGCTCGGCTCATCGCGCAGCAGAAATTATTGGAGAGACAACCCGAGAATCTCGTCAAGCCTGTGGTGCACAAGGTCACCCTTGATACGCCAACGACATGGGCTATGTTTGGTGAACAGATCCTAGGACAACAAGCTGCCGAGCAGCATGGTACGTCTGCGGTCCAGCCAGGCCTTGCACTAGAGTTCCTTTCTATTCAGCGGTCTAGTGAATCTTCATCTGTTGTTGCATTGACAGAGGCACCATCTACGACGGCAGGCAATGCAAGTGAGGATAATTATTTCGTCCGAGGCGCCATACTTACTATCGATGAGCAATTCCCAGGCCTTGACAGAGGTCGGCCTACAGTACAACCCAGTATTGCGGCCGCGGATGCAAGCATGCAAACCGTGATCGAGCGACGAGCTGAGCGGTCCAAATCAGCGCGCGAGTCTACCGGCCCATCCCTGCCATCACGAAAACGATCAGGTGATGCATCGGGTATGCTTGATGGGGCAGAGGAAGGGCGCTCCAAAAGCAAGCGATTACGCGCGAGAGATTCGAACGCCGATGCTCTAGACACGAAGCAAGCTATACTCGATGCCAATGCCCGTTGGGAGTACGAACAGCAATTAAACGAGTTCCAGGCTGCTGACGATTGGATGTTCGAGACCGTTGGTAATTTCTTTGAGAGGATGGGCATTGTCAGATTTGATGCAGCTCGGCATGTTCGTCAGGAAATGCAGCCCAATACCAGCGATACTGCCAACTCCAGTGAGTGTACCAAGCACGATGACAATCTAAAAATTGTCCGAGCCGATCTGCAAGCTTGGCTGCAAAACTACAATGAGGCATTCGCGCAGCTCTCGTTGCTTGGTTCGAGTGGTCTTAGTTTCGGGCAAGGACTTTGTCGGACAGATGTCGCCGATATGTTCTCTGCCAGCGCAGTCTCGAAATCGACGACACGCATCGAGCCTATGCCGAATGATGGGCTCTCGTCTGTTTTGCAAGCCATCAACAGGCGCTGGCTCAACACCGCTGGTGTTGCGTGGGAGTTTGTTAGAGCGTTACTTGCTCCTGGAGCGCACACAGCAAGTAGTTACAGGCAATATCTTTGGCCGGATGATCTCAAGACAACCGTCGTTCAAGTGCTTGTGAACCTAGATGAGCCCTTGTTCGAGAAGGCTTCAATGGCCTTGGAAAGCTGTCGAAGAGGCGGAGGAAAGAAGAGGGACGACGCGACAATCGCAGAACTGGTGCAGGGCATTTTTGAGCTCCATCTAGACATATACAGTCTGATCTCAAAAGTCAACAGCGGTGTCGACACGCAGACAATCGTTTATCAGGGCGATCGCTTGCAGCGGTGGTCAGAGCTGGCCAGAGAAGCAATCTCATTCCGCGCAGTACGCCGAGGTTCAACAAGCCTCGCAGACCAGCTCAACTTACGCTTCTTGTGGGCTACAACATTTCACCTCAACGCCCTGTCAGACGTCTCACAAGAGCACGTAATTGAGTGCATGAACGACCTGCGTACCATCGTCTCGAGCGCTGAAAGCACCGTGATAAAGCTCCAAAATAATGCCATCATGCCAGAGATATCGTTGCTATCTCTGGACCGCGAGATGTCCAAGTTGACACTGCGAGACTTCTTTGCAAAGGTCACGAGCGAGAATGATCAAGATCCTGTAGCAGTCATAGAAGGTCTCGAGCCCCTTTTGGAAACTTTGAATCCAATCTCCGGCACCTCAACAACTCGCGATCCAACCGATTCAGGCGTGCCATTCGCCGATGCATCGCAGGAGCTTGTCCGTTTTCTTAAAAACAGTAACATTTCTCTACGCTTGTCACTATGGCAACGTCTCCGCGAAGCGTACGTCAAGATCGAATATGCACCTATGCAATTTTATTGTACCATTCGCATGATTGGCCTTGTTGTGGAAGAGATGAAATCAGGAGAGACACAGGGGCTCGATCCTGCTGAGCGTCAAACCGCTGCCCTGAAAAACCTCCGTGTGCTTCAAGATATGATCGCACTACTTGACAAAACGATGCGTGCTTCAGCAGATGCTCTTTTACGCATCGATGAAGCCGGAATGAAGATGGCAGTGTCTGTTCTGGGTGAGATACTACAATTGTGTCAGGTGTTCAATGTGTTCGAGGATTCACATCGTGTCGGTCAAGCTCCCCGGCCCATGGGAACCAATGGCTCTCCTGCTCCGTCCTTCATGGTTATCACAAAGGCTGTGCATGACATGCAGGTTCAGATATGGCTGATTCTTTACGGGTTGTTCAAAGATGCCATTTCCCAAAGTCGGGAACAATTCCCAACTCCAGATGAAGATCGGTTCGACTTCCTCCGCGCGGTCCATCGCAACCTTGGCATTCGCGGAATCTGCGGTGCACACAATCGGAAGTTTGTCCAAATGCTGAAGGACGAATTCTTCCAGCTGACACACGTTGACGGCTACGAGAGCGAACAGGCGCAAGTACTGCATGATCTCTATGGCATCAATTGTTTCCTCAATCCTTCTTATGAGCTAATTGAGCACCATTGTACAAAGAATGCCTTCTTGGACAGAGGTGCAGCCGCCCAAACGGTCGATCTGCTGCTCACGCAAGCTTCGAAACTTCCGATGAAAGAGCTCATCAAACACACACTCAAGGACACCATCGAGGTCGTGCATGGAACGCTTGCTCGAAATAAGAAGACTGATGCCATTATGCGAAACCGAGAGGTATACCGGGCCTTCTTCAAATCGCCCATCAATCCGATAGACATCTTTGCTTGCCTGAAGGGTGCGGGAAATCAGCTGCCGCTTACACCGATTCCGAAAGAAGATGCTTTGATGGCTTCCAAAGGCTGGTACTTCTTGATGGGACACATCGCTCTGACGAAATTTCGCTCGCAGAAGCGCACAGTGCCCACGCCCACAGAGGATCTCGACATTGCTATCGCGTTTTTCAACCAGGATCTTGACTACAGTATGGATAATTGGGAGACTTGGTTCAGACTAGCTCAGGCGACCGACACGAAGATAGAGGAAAGTGTGCTCTGGTCGGCCGAGAAACTGAACACTAGCATGCAGGACATAGTTCTCATGCAGAAACAAGCCATTCACTGCTATATCATGGCGACCGCACTGGCATATCGGTCTGCCAGCTTTGCCTTTGAGACATCTGATAAGATGACGGAACTGTGTGGCGATTTTGCATTACGACTGTACAGCTCTTCTCGCGAACCGTACGGCATGCAAGCTTTTGCTGCTCCGGTGGAGGACTTTGCCAAATTCATCACTACAGGTCATACCGGTGTGGAGAGAGTAGCTGCTTTCAAGCCGCTAACTCCCTACACATGTTGGAAGTTGGCGAATTCGTTTCTGAGGAAGGCCATCGCGGGCAATCCGGAATCGTGGACGCTCCGATACATGCATGGCAAATGCCTCTGGAAGATGCACACGGCCTCCGAGCGCGACAGATCCCGGCATGATAAACCGCCCAGTGCGATTGAGGTATTGGATGCTTTCATACAGGCTCTGGCTCTTTGTCCCAAGAAAGATGGACGCGATTCCAAGCGTGAGCAGATATTAGAGCCGCACTACAAGCTTGTGGTGATCGTTCATAAGCTGGTTATCAGTGAAGCAATTGATTTGCCACAAGCTCGCGAGGCTTTAAACCACACACAATATGCTCAACGGGAGGAATTTCCTGAGAACCGAGATGGTTGGGTCTCATTCATGCTCGATGTTCTGAAAAAGCTTCGAGCGGCAGACAAGTCCAATTGGTATCATCGGATGGTGGTCCGTTCTGCTTTGCTGATGTCGACGAATGTCAAGACTGAAAATGGTGAAACTGACGCAGACGGCACTCTCGGCGCCGAGACTGCGAAGAATGAGCTCACTCAACAGATGTTCACGAAGACAAGAGGCCTGCAGATCTGGAAGCCAGACACAGAACGCCCAGGTCGGCACTTTGTCTATACCGCGCGCTATACTCGCATGTTTGTGAAAATTCTCAAGCAACTCAAGGACCGCGTATGGCTAGACATTCTCGCAAGACGAGTCCGTAAGAAGCCGCACGATATCTTCGAGCACAGTCTGGTATGGCAGGATTTGTGCGCCACTTATCTGCTGCTCCTTCGTGCACATGCCGAAATTGCCGAGGGACTAGAAGTGTCAACATTCAGCAACATCGCTCACGAGGACTTTCTACTTCGTAAGGAACCCCTAGAGAAGTGGATGCAAGCCCAGGATACTGGTACATCGGCTGCATTGGACGTCTTGCGCGAAGTGCAAGAACTAAAGAAGGTCAATCAGGGGCTGATGAAGACCGGAACTATTGACGATCTGATCGGAGATTCATACGCTCATCTTTTCAACACTACCGGGAAACAATTGTGGGATGAGCAAGAGCGCAACAAACAAAGCGAGGAAGCTGATCCGTCAGCTACTAACCAGAACCCGTCAAGGCCTGAAGCCATAGACCTTGCTCATCTAATGAATGTTAATGGCGCGGATGAATCAGGGTCGACAGCACAAGCAACTGCAGCTCCCGAGACTGCTCCTGTACGTCGCAAGATCGGCGTAGGACGCCGGGAGATCCGCAATTGTGCAGAGGGCTGCTACCAGAAAGCATCGTCGCAAACAAATGCAACGAGCAAGGCGGGTGAGCCAGCCGAGCCCCGTCTAAAAGCATTCGTGGAGATCACACGACAATACGTTACCTCAGCCGACCCTCCTACAGTCAACAGCGCTCCAGGCAGCATACATGATAGTGCGGATGACGAAAGTGAGCTTAGCGAGCTCGAGGAAGAAGACGAAGAGGAAGAAGAAGAGCCAACCGTGAAACAATCACCTTTTGTTCATCGTCCGATGTTCCCAGGCCTAGCTTCTTTCTCGAGCCATGTTGTCGCGGACGACTCAGTGGTTGATGAATCAGAAGATGTGAACATGCAGGAAGAGGACGAGAATCTAAACAGAACGGATCAGGAAGTAGAGGCTGCTCCGCAAGATGACGGAGAGGGGAAGTAGGATGCTTGATCATGGGAGACATCTAAAGTTCTGGGTGCGCATGGCCAGGACAGGGAGCTAGCTCGGGTGTATGCCATTCTTCAAAATGTAGTTATACTTTCGCTATACTTTCGCCCGAGGTAATAAGATCACATGTTCCTGGAGGCATAACGTGCGCCACGTCTCCCATGGCCCAGCCCAGGAGATGATAATGTTGTGCGGATGCGGAAAAGTCTGAACTTTGCCACCTGAGCGAAGTCGACATTGCACGACGACACGAATTCTTCAAACGTATCGCTCGTTCACAAGGCTTCACTTGTGAAAGAGCATTTTATTCTAGTCATTTCATGGCAGGACGACACGCATCGCCGTATATGAAGCAGTGGTTCGGGCAATTAGTAAGAGCATTCAAACAATACATCTGTCCTAGGCCAGAACCGCAACTCAGATGGTGAGAGATAAGGATTTCGATGTTACATGCGATTAGCAAGCAACGAATTCAGAAGTCCACGCCCTGGACTCCAATACTCCATAAACAAGAAACAAAATGTCATCAGGGACTACAACTGAGTCCGACGCCGCTGCCTTCCCATTTCCTTGTCTTCAGAACCTTCATCTTTTTGCTTGGACTTCGTTGTATCTTTTCCCTCTCCATCAACATGAGACGGCTCTGTAGTTCAGTGTTCTCGTCCTCTAGCTCCTTCATCCTCCGCTGGTCATCATTGCGCCCCGACTTTCGATCGAAAGAAGCTTGTTCATTCTCCTTGTCATTATCCTCGTAAATGCTGATGCCGCTGGCAAGAATCTCCAATTTTCGGTCTAGATGCTCGTCATTGCGATCAAGCTCCTCGTCCCGGGCTGCTCGCCATCTCCTTTGCTCCAGCGCCAGCTTAGACTCCATCTCGGACCATACTTCTTCTCGTATCTCGGCTTCTACTTCATGTATGCGCGCCTCCGCTGCGGTCCAGGACGCTTCGGCCTCGATTCGCCGCTGCATCTCTTCCTCGAGGCGAATCTGGGTAATCTCTAACGCCTCGCGGAGACGTGCAACCTCGGCGTTCATGGCTTCCAGTTCTCCGACCAAGTCAGAAGGTGTGCTACGTCCGCTCGATTGGCCAGCTGACTTTGAATTAGCGGCAGTCCCGGACAGGATTGTGCTAGTGACACTGGGAATCCGCGGGACAGTGACTTCTCTGGCAAGAGCACTGTAGCGCAGGATCTGGCTCGTAGCGTTGTAGTCACCATAAGGGTTGGCCGTGACAATCATGATAGCCTTCTGGGGGGCTTTGTGCGGAGCGTTGCCTTGCGCAAAGCTGTTGCTGAACAGGAGCTCAGTGAGCTTACATTGTCGGAAGGGTACTAAATTCGAAGTGGTCGCATGCGCGTTATCTGATTGCATCTGCATGCATTGTCCCAAGTACATCAAAGATTCGTTGATCTTGCCTGCTTCAGCAAGAGTCGCTCCAGCAGTCTTCGCCGTCCGCGCACGCTCCGAGCCTGTGGCACAGTCAGTGCTTGATCATGCAATAAAGACCTAGGAATATTAGAATACTGACCTGCAAGATCAACAATTGTCATGGTACTGCTAGTCCAAGGTCCAGGTATTCCGTGTCCACGATGCCGCTTCTTGACTTCAATGCAGAAAAACCCGTGGCTCCGTGAGCTCACGGCATTACTGCCCGTTCCAGCCACTCTCCTCTCATGCAGACCGGTCTCCAGAACAAGAAGAGCTTCGTCAAGATCAGCGCAAACGACCTTTCTCAGGCCAGCGACGACTTTTCGATCTGGTGAAAATTCTGTGCTCTTGAACAGAAGAGCGCGGCGCTTTGAAGCTGTCTTGACTGATCCGGATGCGGTGAGCAAATCAAAGATCCGGTCGTTATATACTTCATACATCGAGACGATTATCGCATATTCTGCGGACGTATCGACATCAATATTGACGTCCTCAACAGACGGCGCTTGTGGCAAAGCAGAAATTCGCGGCATGTATCTCTTTGCAGGCGCCGTCGATATAAAAGAAACGTCCTGCACGATGGTCAATGTTAAGATTGTTTCAAACGCAGGGTATTGTTCTCGATACGGCGGGAAAGCCTACCATTGGCGTTGTAGCTCTTGAGAAGCGTCCTGGACCACTGTCGTAGATGCCATCCAAAAAACTTGAAGCTGTCAAAACCTGCGACTCGGATGCATCTGCCTCGCAGATTGAAGAAAAGTTTCTCTCGTTTGTCTCAGTATCTACAAGATACTGCTGCGTTTGGCTGAACAGGACATCCAAGGTAAGTTGCGTCAAGCCACGTTGGGATTTGGTCCCGAGAATGGTGTGACTCTACACTGAGATCAGCATTGCCGCTCTGAAGCTCAAGTCAATTTCCCTTCGATACCTTTCCCGAGCCAGTCACACCTAGTGTGGCCAGCAATCCATCCCGGCCTTCACGCCCTTCCGCTCCGAGGACACCCGCAACTAATGACACAGCGCCAGTTCTTTCCAGAATGTCGCGTTGCGTGGCCGACTCCTCAAAGACGCGGGTGAAAGCAAACCGCTCGACTGCCCGTTTGCGATGGTCATTTGCCGGTGCTTTGATCGTGATATGGGTTGCCGCTTCGCGTTCGATCTCTGCCTCGACCTCTAAAAATCGCGTCTTGTCCTCCGTTGTAGATGGCCTCAATCGCAAGAACACATCGAACAACGCCGACTGCGGCTTAGTATCCATTGTTGAAAGCTGTTGAGTCTGGGTCAGATCTCGTCGTCGTACGTTCAGTGCCGTATGTGGATGGAAGTCGGCGAACTTGTCCGAAACACTTTGAAGCCAAAGCATTCCACCCCAAACAATGTGCGTCGGCCGAACAACTATCGATAAGCCTGATTAGTCATCCAGTGATGGCTTCTCGGGGTCGAAAGCCCGCAGTTCTCGAAATCTGCTCCGCAAGTCGCGTGCACGCGCTCTCGGGCATAATTTCAATTTCAAGCCCTGAGGGTCGTGATCAGACGAATCCATCAGAAGACATCTTCGAATACTTATGACCATCATACCCTGTGTATGACCACCGCTCATGCAAGCCATCGCCTCCAATGTTTGAATGCCGTTCTTGTACACTACGGTGTTTGGAAGCCATTATCGGACAGTCCTTGCCACTTCGCCGGGCTTCACGATCATCAATCGTTTCTTCTCGATTCACCCCTGCTTCATCCTCCAGAGGTCTATCGATATTTGCGTCTGTACGCAGCAATGGGAAAACAATCGCAATAGGGAACAGTGATGGCTTCTCAAGCGCCGACCATCTCGTCTCAAAAGGAGGAAAAAGTTCGTCTTTGAGCCCGAAAGAGGAGAAGGCTCTCCGCGTTGAGATTCAGTATCTTCAGGACCCTGTGAAATTTGCGGATCACGTTCATTACACTCTTCGATGCGGCAAACCGGAGAAAGCGCTGGATTTGTGCCGTCTTGCTAGCAAGGAGATGGATTGTATTGTAGCGTGGAACCACACGGTCGATTGGCATATGCAAAAGGGCAAAGTCAACGATGCTTTCAAGATCTACAACGAAATGAAGAAGCGCGCACAATTCCCAGACAGCTATACGTATATGATGCTGCTGCGAGGTTTTCCACAGCATCGGACGCATCATGGGGCGGAGACCAAGAAAGGCAATGTTAGTAAGGCGGTGGCATTGTTTAACAGCATGAGTTCTCCCCAGAGCAAAGTGAAGCCAAACATCAAACACACAAATGCGGCGCTGCGAGTATGTTCTATTGCCAAGGATATGGATGCTCTCTGGAGCATTGCAGGCAAACTTCCAACGTCAGGGGCCAACAGCGCCGACCACATCACATACACGATTCTACTCGGCGCAATAAGATGTCAGGATTTTGGTGACGAGAAGACGGACACGAATACGAGCCCCGATGGCAATGTTGACGTGTCAACCGATATCGTGAAATTGAAGCGGGACGCCGTTGACGAGGGCCGCAGAATATGGCAAGAGATTGTCGTCAGGTGGCGTCAGGGCGAGATCATCCTTGATCATAGCCTTGTGTGTGAGATGGCGCACCTTTTGCTATTAAGTGGGCGCATGGAGGATTGCGACGACATTCTCAATCTTGTACAGCAGACCATGAACATTCCGCGACTTCTTCCACTGCTAGGATCTCCAAGCAGAAAGACGGACCACGTTCCAAAGAGCGCTGACATGAAATCGCCGTTGGCGAGTGCAGACGATAGTGAAGGTTGGACTCCAGCGTCGTCGGCGAATGCTTTTCTTCAGGTCCTGTCGCTCACACCGGATTCAAGCAGCTCTCGGAATTCACAGCAGCTCGCGTGGGTACAGCCAGACAATGATATTCTGAATTGCGTCCTCGAGGCCTGTAGTCGCATGCGAGCGTCGAAAGGTGTTTATGCTTATTGGGATGCATTTGTCACAGAACGTGGTCTGAGGCCAGATCTTGGGAACTTTCACACCCTCCTCGCATTCATGCGAGTCAATCGCAACTCTGGCAAAGCTGCAGGACTGCTTCAGCAAATGCACAATCTAGGCCTCGAGATGCGGAACAAGACTTTCCGTGCCGCCATGGCAGTGTGCTCCCGAGACGTCAAGAATGTCAACGTCGTTCAAAATGCAACGAAGATAATTGAGGTGATGAGCGCAGCGTTACTCTTGCCTGATGTGCACACGCTTGACGTGTACCTCAGCATTGCTGTATCAACCAGGAATGGTGACCAGATCATTGCGGCCCTCGACGCAATCCAGCCTTTCGTCGGCGTATACAGATCACGCGCGGCGTCTGGGGATATGAGGACAGAAGGCAGTGATTATGATATAGACGAAGAGCAGGCGCTTCAGCTATTCAGAGCGATGATCAGTGCCATAGACATGGTTGATGATAAGGGTCTTTTGTCGGGTGAGCGTCTTCGGGAGCTTCTAGGACGCCGATCGGAGCTCGACAGCATCGTGAACCGCGCTCTGAACAACTATCACTTGCGGCGGGAACGGCGCGGGCGTGAAAGCTCGTCAAAAGCTCGTTTTGACACCTCCGAAAGGCCAGTCAACACTGGAGCTGCCTTCCGAAGAGTCCGGCCACCCCCCATGTCAATGGGCAAGGCTGCTTGGGATGCAAGGACGGCTAGATACCGAACGAAGCGCATAGGTATGCGGAGGGCCGATGCTTTTTGAACTGTACAGGTCGTGTAATATAGTTGTCTGACCACCAGTGCAATAAATGTATATTTGTTTCAACCCGCATTCCGCGCAATCAGTTAAATCTCAGGCCGAGCTCAGACGACGTGACAGAACATGCGTCTCCCGGCTAGACGTCGCGCAAGCTGGCAGGCCTTTTGCAAGGCTAATCGAGTCTTGACGGGTGACCATATTGGGTCTAATGAGATCGTTACCAGCCATGTGCAACATACGTCAAGTCGATGTTTTTACATCATGTGGTTGTGAATAAGTGATACTGTAGTATTGACCACAACACCTGGGCAGGCGGAAAACATAGGGTTGGGGTTATGCACTGCTCAGGTGAGCACATGCGCGCCATGCCTGTTAGGGTAAGAGCGGGCCGCGTTCATCACCTGCAGCAGGGGCGATCGTTGCCAAGGCTGACGCCCTTGCCGCATTATTTGCGAAAAAAAATGTTATTGATCGTTAGACGAAACTCCTCTCTTCTCAAACCTTCCCCTTCCGCCCTCACAACATCGTCACATCATCTGCACTGTTTATCGTCTGTAACCAAGCTTGCAAGAAACATTCAACAGACACAGATCATAATTTTCATCACCACAAACACAAAACTAAGTCAAGTTCAAAATGTCACACAGCGGTGGTCATGGTGGTTCAAGAGGCGGCGGCTACGGCGGAGGTAACGGTTATTCAAATGGGTAAGAGAATACATGAAATACCCTTGATTGTAATCAACAACTGCGAAGGCAGATGGTGCCATCGCACCACTACGGAGCATACTTGCAATGGGTACATCTCATTTTACTGGACTGCATTTACTGACGCCCTACTGCAAGCAGCGGCGGTAACAGCTACGGCGGCGGCGGATCATACGGAGGCAGCGGCGGTGGTGGCTACTCAAATGGCGGCGGCGGTGGCTACGGTGGTGGCTACGGGGGTGGCGGTGGCGGTGGTGGTGGTGGAGGATACGGCGGAGGAGGTGGCGGCGACCGCATGTCCAACCTTGGCGCAGGTCTCAAGCAGCAAGACTGGGACGTGAACACCCTTCCCAAATTCGAGAAGTCTTTCTACAAGGAGGACCCTGCAGTCGCAGCACGCTCACAAGCAGAGATTGACGAGTTCCGCACCACCCACCAGATCGTCGTACAAGGTCGCGACGTGCCTAAGCCAGTCGAGACTTTCGACGAAGCGGGTTTCCCAAACTATGTCATCAGCGAGGTCAAGGCGCAAGGGTTTGAAAAACCGACTGCCATTCAATCTCAAGGATGGCCAATGGCGCTTTCTGGCCGCGATGTTGTCGGTATTGCCGAAACCGGTTCGGGAAAGACGCTCACCTACTGTCTGCCTGCTATCGTTCACATCAACGCACAACCGCTACTCTCTCAGGGTGATGGTCCAATTGTTTTGATCCTGGCCCCTACTCGTGAACTTGCAGTTCAAATCCAAGAGGAGGTCAGCAAGTTCGGAAAGTCGTCGAGAATCCGAAACACCTGCGTATACGGTGGTGTTCCACGTGGTGGCCAGATTCGCGACCTCGCACGTGGAGTGGAGGTATGCATTGCCACACCCGGTCGTCTTATCGACATGTTAGAGTCTGGCAAGACCAACCTTCGTCGTGTCACTTACCTCGTCCTCGATGAGGCTGACCGCATGCTTGACATGGGATTCGAGCCCCAGATCCGCAAGATTATTGGTCAGATTCGTCCCGATCGTCAGACATGCATGTGGTCGGCTACATGGCCAAAGGAAGTTCGTCAGCTTGCTGCGGACTACCAACAAAATTGGATCCAGGTCAACATTGGTTCTTTCGATCTCTCCGCCAATCATCGCATTACCCAGATCGTCGAAGTGGTCTCTGAGTTTGAGAAGCGTGATCGCGCGCTCAAGCACCTTGAACGTGTCATGGAGGACAAAAACAACAAGATCCTTATCTTCACTGGAACCAAACGCGTTGCTGACGAAATCACACGCTTCCTACGACAAGATGGATGGCCGGCATTGTCCATCCACGGCGACAAGCAGCAGAACGAACGAGATTGGGTCCTGAACGAGTTCAAGACCGGAAAGAGTCCCATCATGGTTGCCACTGACGTGGCTTCGCGTGGTATCGGTATGATTGATTTCCTCCCCAGCACCTCACGCCTTCCTCCCCCTTCCCTCACGCGGTCGTTAAAGTCCTTACGTGTTTGCTTGACTTCTTGCCTGTCGTATGCTGCACTCGGTGCGTTCGACGTGCACACATAACCTTCGTTACGTCTAGGGCTGTTTGTGCTATCTTTTCTTCCCCGGGTCCTTGGAGACTTCACCGGCAGAGCTTGCTTTGCCGTGGCGTTCCGTTTCTCTGCTCCTGCCACCGTTCGGTAGAGAGGCGGGTCTTCAGTCTTTCAAATGTCGTGTTGGCGTCACAGCTGCGCGCGTCCAAGGTCCCTTGTCTGGAGAATGTTCGCAGCCCGTGACATTTGGAAGTAACATGTGCGCGCCAGAGCGCTTTGCGTCGCTTTCTCTCAGAGAGCGATTGCCGTGAGTGTCGTATCGTGCACGACTAGATGTCGCATCCACGCTGGGGTCGCCGTCTATCAACCTACTCGTAGATTCTGTGCAATGACTAACTGACATGTCCGCCTGAAGACGTCAAGGACATTACTCATGTGCTCAACTACGACTACCCGAACAACTCGGAAGATTACGTTCACCGTATTGGTCGTACTGGTCGTGCTGGTCGCTTGGGTACTGCCATTACTCTGTTTACTACTGACAGTAAGTTTCATCACGCGACTCGAATGCTCCCATGATATCCCGGCTGACACATGCGCAGATTCCAAGCAAGCTCGTGACCTCGTGAGCATCCTCACAGAGGCGAAGCAACAGATTGACCCCCGTCTCGCCGAGATGGTCCGCTACGGCGGTGGCGGAGGCGGTGGCCGTGGATACGGTGGTGGTCGTGGCGGCCGCGGCGGTGGACGCGGTGGTAATTGGACCGGCAGCAACAATGCTCCCCTGGGCGGCAGCCGTCGCTGGTAGGTCCGAAGATGTGTTTTGTCATAAATGCTGTTGTGGATTGTAGTGATCTTTTCCCTTTCACGGCGAGGCGTTCGGCTAGAATGTGTTTATTTGGTATATAGGTTGTATGAACAGAGATTCATACATTCTTTATCACTGCCATCAGAATGGCTTTCCAATTATCCTTCTAGAATAGCGACCTCGATTGATCGACTGGAACAGTGCCAGTCTGTCTGCACACTGGGATCACGGGCATAAGGACGGCCGAACATTTATTGACAGGAGAAATCGCCCGACGAGGCATCTGGTACGCGAATGCTTGCACTGGAGCGTGGAAACCAGTTTCGATTCTTTACGTAGTACAAGTCAGTGCAACGGCACGATGAGCAATACAGATCCTTCACGTGCTACATCAATTCTCTTTCTGAGGTCTCGACATATTATCATCAAAACCCACAGTTTGAATGCTGTACCAGTACGGCCATGATGGTATAATCAAAGGAGGTCGAATCGATCAGCCGAAAACGACCAAACAGTGTCCCATCGACAGGTCCAGTAGTCCTTCGAGGATGAAGACCATTCTCAGGTCGAGACTCCCATCACCTCCTCTCGTAATCCTGCACCGTAAGCCAGGTACCGATATTTCAATTTTGGATGACGATGGAGCTGAACGAGGCATTACGATCGTCCAACGTCGCGGAAACGCCGACTGTGGTTAAACCAATCAGTGACGCTCCGAGGTAGTTGATCCTTCGTCTGCAGCAGACGCTCTGCCAAATCGACCTGCATGCCATGTCGTATCCCTTGTCGTGCTTGTGAGGTCGAATTTCTTGGTTCTGTATTGCGCCTCAGACCCGTGATTCCCGTGGGCGCCCCTGTTAGGCTTGGCGCTTGGAACGGCACAATGGTTCAGGTTATGAGACATGCGCGCCGAACACTTTTCCTTCAGACCGATTGCGCCGGGAACAAATCAGGGGAAATATTGCGCAGGTGCGGCCGAATCCGAGGCATCGCGACCCTGTTCAGATGGCTGCATCACACAACGAAATTGCCCCGATCACAAGAATGAGCTCACGATGGTCCGAGTTGGGAGGCAATATTGGCTGTTCATCTCCAAACGAGCAGCTTATCGAAATTACAGCCATGATGTGGGGGCCAAGAGTCTTGCCTGTCCGTCATGCCGAGCTCTGACTTTGTGGACCAAAGGGAAACAGGACTCCCTCACTTCCCATTCGCCTTCAGTGCGTCCGATTTGTCGGCACTAGCAGCAATCGACCAAGATCATCGACCGTTGAGAAATGCTGCATGCTCGAGTAGTGTGTGTAATTTGTCAGAGATGACATCGTATCGACTTAACCGATTCGGCCTAGTCTTCGGAACTTGCAAGCCATCTCTTCATCCTCTCTTTCTGAAGCACCCACGGCACCGCACGTATGGGAAGCTAGGCATAGTGGGCTCCTCTGCTTGGCCGTCAATGTACCAGTACCATCCACTGTCGAGAGGAGCCAAAAACGCACTGCTCCTATGAAATTCATCACTGATGCGCCAGATTGGGAGTAGCCCAGGGTGTTGTTCAGAGAGGCATCCCGCAGGCACCAGCACCTTACCCAGACACGCCAGCAGAGGTGACTTGTCTTATGCAGAATTCCTGATGCGCAATGCAATTGAAGACTTTTAAACTGGTCGCGGGGCCACCAGCGCGCAGTTGCTAAAGAAGCACGTCAACGTGCATCATGTCATTGAGGCGGCAGACATCTCGAATTCCATCTCACCACAATTAGGAACATGGATAGTGCTCGGTGAAAGACCGGTGCCCAGCGCGCGCTTAGAACTGCGAAGATTTCCGCTGCATAGATACACTAAGGCTGCAGCTCTGAAGAATGCTCCACGTCTGATGATAGTCTACACCATCACCGTCGGCGCCGCGGTCCACCGGCGACGCACTGTTTGTTTCGAAGTCGACCGGTCGAGCGTTCGCTCGGTAGATCTCGCGTCCATAGAGTTCTCACCGTTGGCTGTCTATCACGGGGCGAGGATGCTAGCTGAGCCTAAGAATCGGAGAGGGATGCTGGATGCTGTAGGTTGTCAGCTGTGGAAACAATTGTTGGGTAAACAATAGATTTCGGTAAGCCACACGCGTAGCGACCCATTTTTTTTTACACAGGACTGGAGGATTGAACGACACGGCTACACCCTTTCTGGACAATCCAGGAAAGGACATTCGGCCGTGAGAGGGCGGGGCAAACGAAACCTTTGGCCATCAGCCGCTAGGTGCGTGCATCGGCGCTGGGACGGGCATGGACAACTGCTCACGTGCGGAGTGTTGCGCCAGACTGGAAAGCTGCTGCTACCGCAGTACTATTATCCTCGTCTTGGTGGAATTGCGGAGCTAGCAGGTGTGCCTCGTATTGGCGTCGGTTAGGTGCATGGGTGCTTACCTGGACTACAGATGGAGGGAGAGGTGAGACAAATCCAGGTGTCTGGGTCATGCCCAAAGTGCCCGTCACATCGATGACGCAGCAGTGTCGAGACACAGGGGGCGTTGCATCGTCGATGGTTGAACCGCATTGATCATCAGCTTCGGCGAACAGGAAGATCGAAAACACAGTGCGAAGTTTACAATCGATCGCGACAGTCCGAGAGCATCGCATGCCGTCCAGCATAGCAGGTTTTGACATTTCGCTCTATATTGATCTGCTTATCCTCTGCTAAAGCGTTGGCGGCTTAATGATCTGTTACAAGGTAGTCGACCTAGCTGGCCCAGCCATGCGGAGCCCGAAAGCGATCGCGGCGAGCCACTCACCAGCTTAGACCTGTCATTCGACCGAAGTAGCGGACGACTGCTTCGGGTGCTAGATCACGTTATGATTGTGGTAGCTGCGACAATAGACGCCCGAACGACCCGCCACAGGAACGAACATGAATCGCGCGTGTGAGGACGACTTTCCCATACTCTCCGCGGCCTGCCTCAGGCCGCTATCGGAGTATGCAATTTGGGGAAGTTGCACGGGCCGCGAGAGTCGTCGGCTTGCATTGAGCACAAGTTGGCAGCACGAAGCCAATGCGCCATGTGTTCTGTACAATATGTTGCAACATAACCGCATGCAATTATGATGACCAGTACATGATGACGAATGGCTTGCATTCTCAACCTGATCGCCGCTAACAATCATGGGTAATTGTGGACCATCGAGCTAAGAATGGACTCCAGCGAACAAAGTGCAGTCATCATCAATATAGGGGGTCTGGGTGTGACTGAATGGCGGAGATGGCGCGTGGTTGATATTGCAAGACTGTGGTAAAAGGCGTGACGGCGTACTGCAGCGGGAAATGGGCCTGGATTCTGCTGCGACGACGAAACGCTGAGCAAAGGAGTGATGAAGCGGTACTTTTAGCACAGACGGTCTGGGAGGCGGTGAGGAGTTTACCCCCACGACTCCGGCAGCGTTCATCGCTCATTGTGCAGGCTGAATTTGTGCTGTGTTCCGCGTCGGGTATGCGATGCGAACACGACGCATGCACGCACGCGCGCACGACCGTCTCTCTCACAGAAAGCCACCGATGCCTTGATGCTATGTATCACCTGCCAAAGACTTGCCTGTGTGAATGGCGCTTTGTAAATTCACAGCCCACCAGACATCCGACGTCGACATAAGAAAGAGCGCGATCCGCCGCTATGCGACGCTACCACAAGCGGAGATGGTTAGGTGACTCTTAACGGGTATGGTGGTGTGATGGAGATGCCAAAATTCTGGATCGGCTCTGGTTGTGTACATGGCAAAGCGAAATGGTACTCAGGGTGTGAAACACGAACGGTCACACGGTTCTATCGTGCATCGTGAAAGGCGATTTCAGGTGAGTGGGTTGTGTCAAAGCCGGCCGAGAGCGCATGGCGCAGGTTCCGAGACGTGATGGTGTATCAACTCACGAGAACCTCTGTCATTGGGCGGAAGACATGTTGATGCTGCCGCTGTGTCACCCGTGAAACTGCAGCCTGCTTGGGTTGTGCTGCAGTGACATACCAGCTCAAATTATCGCAAGACTGCCCGCATTGCACCGAGCCGAGGGTCTCAATCTATTGACGTCGGGAGATTCCATTTAGAGGGCGAGACCCGGATCAAACCCTGTCTCGTTGCTCGCACAGTGTGGCGTATGTCCACCTCACAGCTGTCGCAGCCGTGGTGCATTCTGCGTCATGTGGGAGGATCATGCAGTCTCGGCGCCCATGTCGTTTAGTTGCTCCCAATACCCGAGCAGGAAGTGATTGTAAGGGCAATGTTTTCAACGGTGGATCATACTTTGGGAACCTCTTTTGGATATTCCGCTGACTGCCATGGCATCGTCGCACGAATCTAGCTTCCTACTATGGGAGTTTGCCGTGCGTCCACGACGCGTGCCATGCCAGTGTGCGATGATGAAATTTTTGAGGCCTCTCAGTGTTTCCCGAGTCACGGAGCAGAGCAAATCGCATGCATCAGTGTGTGTAGGGCCTGCTCACGAAACCAGTAATTCTTCAAATTCGGAACCTCGGCAGCCGTGTCTGTCGCACGACGCAGCTGGCTCGTCACAGTACGGTCCCAATCACGAGGCGCAATATGTGTATGAATGGAAGTTGGGCTGTAAGGCGGAAGTGCATGTAGCTGCACATTATCGTACATCACAGGACACATCGTAAATTACCTTGGATCAGCCAGATACATGCTAGTTGATGTGATGGGACCGTGGGTGGTGTGATCATTTTGCATATATGCATGAATGGATCTGCATGTAGAACAACACATCATCAACGTGAACAAGACCTGGCCCCATCGTTGGTACTCTTCTCTTGTGCTAGCCTTGAATGCCTATCAGCCTCATTAGATAGATCTGTGGCATTAGTTTTATTTTAGTGGGTATGCGCAATAATTAAGTGGCCGAGCGAAGGAGCATTGGCTGACGGGCATTGAGGGCGTGCATGATAGCCACATCGACCATGAATTCGATGCAAAGCGTATGTAATGTGATGCTTGTCGACATGGCCTCGTCTAGAAGTCTGTATATCCTCAAATGCCAGTTGATGCATGATCGGGCAGCGCCAGGGCATTCTTTGATCTCCACTTCTGTACACCTGGGCAATGGCTCCCCTCTTCCTACTTGTGCCAAGGTCGTGCTGAAGGACGTCATGGGATGTGATCTTGAAGGAATGCTTGGGAGGCACGGAGGACGGGCGAGAAAGGGAAAACCCACGGCAGTATACAACATTCCACGACAGGTTCACACGCCTGTCCAGTCTACAGTACCATCCATACGTAAATCGAGTGTGCAGCACCCCCTCCCTCAGCTGCATGCAGACGTGAAAGCCGAGACCGCTTGTTCGGCCCGTGTGGCCTCCTAGTAATTCTGTCAGGTGCCGTCATCGGCTGTCACGGGACCCGCACAGACTGCTTTGAATGGTGGTCTCTGGCCGATGATTGGTGTGTCCTGCCTGCGCAGCATTGCATGTCTGTCTGCGTCCACAGGGAGGGGAGGGAAAGCAGTTTACTCATCGAAAGGCTGAAAATGCTATGCGTGATCGTGGAGCATGTCCTGTCAAATGAAGTTGTCGATCGTGGTCGCCGTGGAGGTCGTGGGAATGGTGGATTTTGCCCTGGTGGTTGTTACCTATCATCCATTGTTGCTCTCGGCCCTGCACGCGCGGCGACGACAGAAATTTTCTTGATTCGCCGCCTCTCCGGAATTCTCCATCTCCGCTTGACCACTGACACCACCACATCCATCAATTCCTTCACCTTTCCCCCTCCCTCCCTCCATTTCGCGGTGAGGTGTATGACCAATCGTGATGAGAACCAGGTGTCTGTGCGGACAGCTCACGGGCCCCCGACAGCGGACGTGGAAGGTGCAAGCAAACTCTAATCTGAACACAGCCCGAGCGCGCCATCATCAGTGCCATCCTCATGTCTCCTCCTTTCCGATCTCTCCATTCGGGGAATGATGGGAGGGAGTGATGACGATGATGCTGGTGGAACCCGTCATGCTGATGATCAGAACATTCATGCAGTGAGAGATGACTCGGATTGCCGAGCGTTCTAACCGAGACAGCACTGCCCTCGTCACACATTCAATGGTGCTCGTGGCCTGACATGTTCATGATTGCAGTAGTTTTGATCGAAAGACGATGCCATTTCGTGTTCTCGCGATCGCATCAACGAGACTCATGTGTCTTGCCCACATCTCTCGGTCTGGGCGACTTACGAGGTCGAGGGAAGCATAATTGAGGGGCAAAAATCACCGCAATAACGCCTATATGCGGGTGAGTACCGCCGCGACTTGTGCTGCTGCTGCTGCTGGAGTCCAAGTTTTGTAATTGATCTGCGCAGTCACAGGAACTTCAATTGCCGCGGTCGCCACCCAGAAATGCAATAGAGTCATCATCGTGGTAATAACATGGTTGTTGCATCACTCCAGGATGTGTAGTCGAAACACCAATGTGTTGATCGTTCAGCAATTCCACACCAGCCGCTGGCGTGAAATCGATCCCAACCTCGAGAGAGGACCAACGCGACTCCGCTGCTTGCTTCTCCTCCTTCGATAAAGTTTCGCTTTGCGCCTCTCTGCCTCTACGCATGCCTTTGCCGCTTTCCTTGGCCGCTGCCGGGAAAAGGACATACATGAAGGCTCGTGCGGGCGTGCAGGCATCCAAACATCGCCACGGCTCCTGCAGCTGAATGTGGTAGGTACAGTACGTCTGTATGGTGGAGGTGCTTGTGCTTATGTGTATTGCATGTGTTTTTGGTTGTGGTGAGTGTGTCTTTCAGTGAGTGAGCGCATGTCTATGAGTGTTTCTGGGGATGGGGATCAGGCCACGGAGGACTCAGGAACAACTACACTACAGTGGGGTGGGTGCGAGAGCTGCGTTGAAAGTCTCGCATGGGGAAGGTTCTCTCCCTGGCGACGTTGGGAGTGGAAGTGAGTGAGTTGTATAGTATTGTGGCAGTCATACAGTGCGTGGCGTACGAAATTTCAGAGTCGTCTTCGTTGTCGCTGCGTTTGGCCGGACATTTGCGCGTTGCGTGCGACGACAGTAGTACACACGACTCACCCGTTTCCCACAATCATCATTCAATTCACAGCTGGGCACTGACTCACTGCGACATGCTTGCCGCAAAACAGAGGAGGCAGCAAGAGAGAGAGATGGAGAGAGATATTCGCAGACACTTCCATACTCACACCCACACCTATACGAACTCGCGACACACCCAGCACAGCTTCCCATTCACATTCGCGTGCCCGCACTCTCTCTCGCACACACGCACACCCAGACAGAAGCACACCCAGACACAGACATAGACACACACACACACACACAGGCACACACGTCAGAATTCTCTCCCTTTCTCCCTCCCTCTCTCTCTCCTGGCACCTGGCACCCGGCACCTGCTACCTGCTGCTACTACATGACGGGGGCAACTAAGACGCGCCATCAGTCATCCTCCTATTGCACGGGGACCGACACACTTACCTCATTTCAAAACATTTCACTGCTCCTGTCTTTCCACACATCGGTTCTTCTTGTGAGGGTTCCACTGCTAGATCCGGTAGCTTCCATTTCGCCAATCGATCATAGCGTCAGCAGTTCAAGGCGTAGCGACACACCTGGCAAGGCAAACAAAAGACCTGGCAGGAGCATCGCCGAAACAGCAAGCACCCACCTGTGCGTCAGCACCTACCAGGCCAGCTGGGCTTGTTGTTTTCCCTCAAGGGTCGTGCCACGATACCGCTCAAATACAAGTCCCGCGCTATTCCAACCTTCTCATTAACTAGGTCAATCTTGCTGCACTCGTACAGAACGCCGACCTTTCCTCTCGCCGCCTAGTTCGACTTGACTTCAAGATCTGCTCCGGTCTGTCACGGTCGAGGCACGAAGGGAAAAGCTACGACGATTCCATCGCGGCGCGCCATTTCAGCGTACCCACTCCCACCCGTCGCACTGCTCTGTGTTTTTATTTGGCACGCTAGAAGACGTCGCTGGTGGATTTAGTCAGACATTCAGCTACGCACTATCCACGACAGACGTACCGAGGGCAACACTATTCGCTCCTGCACCCACAACAAGAATCTCTCTTCGGCCACCCTCGTCAGGCACTTGTAGAAGACGGCGCCCTGTCAGTGTGCTTGTTTTGGACCATCGCGCAACCTGCAGCTTATCACTCGTGGACATAGCATGTCCAAAGCCTACAACACGCCATCTAGTCACACCAACAACGACACTCCACTAGGCGCGCTTCACGCACCTACTGTGCAACAAGATAACCGTCCGTCAATGGATGGTAGACAGGCAGAATATCCGCAGTCAGGTTTGCAATCACCATACGCGCCGTACAACGGACACGAGTCTGAAGGATCCCCGTTAGATCAATCTGCTGTGCAATATCAGCACGGCCAGGACTACAAGTCGAGCAACTTCTCCTCCTCCGCGACGCCAGAGTCCAACTACGGCCTGCCGCAGTCGGCAAGATCGGGCTCGTTTCCAGAATACGTCCAACAGCCTCGATCGTATCCCGAAAGCCAGCAACCAAACCGCTACCCTGCCGGCGCGCCGAGCAATATGGCGCAAACGTCAAGTCCGTCCCTCGATGTTTCCCATCAGCACAATGGTCACGGACCGAACCAGAACTCTGACGCAGCAGTTCCAATAGATCCCTCGATTGCTCAATCGAGCCCGTCCTACCCATCTTCGCACGGATACTCGCCATATCCTCCTCAACATGAGATGCACCAATATCCCGGCCAGCCTATGACACCCTACGGCCGACCTGAGTGGGCAGGTGGATACCAGCAGTCCCCGATGTACGGCCACTCTCCTGCAACCAGCGCCGGAGGTACTCCAGGCATGGCGTCGCACGCGATCGCCCGGCCGCCGACCGTGAGTATGGAGAAACGCGTAAGGTATGGAACGTACAACTGATCGAATGACAGGGAGGACATCCGCTCTCGACAGTGTACAGTTTCGTACCAATCCCCGGCGCCCAGCAGCACAAGAGACCCCGCAGACGCTACGAGGAAATCGAGCGTATGTACAAGTGTGGTTGGAATGGCTGTGAGAAGGCGTACGGCACACTCAATCACTTGAACGCGCACGTCACGATGCAGTCTCACGGATCGAAAAGAACTCCCGAAGGTAAGCCTCAATCTCGCTCGATGGAGCAGACTACTTGCCCCCCCCGTTACAAAGACATCAGAGAGACACTGGAAAATCGCAATGAGACTCAAATTTGGCCTGAACTGACCGACTGTTTCCACAGAGTTCAAAGAGATCAGGAAAGAGTGGAAGGCCAAGAAGAAGGAGGAGGAAAACCAGCGAAAAGCTGAAGAGGAGCGTCACCGCCAAGAAGCCGTGCGCTCGGGTCAGGACGCGTCGCAGCCTCAAGGGCAGCCCGGTTATGGCCAGCAACAGATGATGCCTCCACACATGTCCGGTGGTCCTCAGCTTCCTCCTATTGGATACCAGCCTGCTGCAGGTTCAGCACCTGGCTCGTACGCTCCGTCTCAACAAGTCGACAGCGCTCACATGTACGGTGGCCAAGGCTACCCACAGAGTCCTTATGGACAGAGCGGCCTGCCGTACCAACAGCGCTCTTAGAGGGGCATGGCTGTTTGTGGAAAAGCATAGATCGGAAGACGCTCCAAGCGAGCCCCGCAAACCTCTGTTGGCGACAACAGGTGAACAGCATCACTCTCATCCAAGCTGCCGATGGAATCGTTCAGTCAGGACTGGTGTCGCATGGAGAGCTCGTTGCGATCGAGCGCATTCTTTACTGTGCTGTCTCAAATGGCGTCCGCGAGGTCTCCTGCTTGGACGAAGTATGAACGCGTTTGTGCCTGAACTGCGAGCGCGCAAGAATGAATTTACGGCCTTCAACATCATCGGCATATGGCTTTTGCATACGACTCGTCTAATCGAATATGAGAGCTGCGCGACATTCGTGCGTCAGCGTGGCGCATGTGATGCGGCAGTGAAAGTAGGGACTTTGCTTTCGTTTCGGCGCATTGAGCAGATGGGCGGCGGCAGTTTGTTGTTGTGGCGCGCTTCTCATCATCGTTGTCACCATCATCATCACCATTATCATCCTGGAGCATGCATTTTTGGCCCAATCGTATTGTCAGTTTTTGTCTTGGGCAGCACCGTCGCGAGGGAGGAATTTTCGTATTTGATCGTTTCTTATGCCGCGATCATCGCATTACAGGTACATAATATGCTACTTTGTGGACTTGAATGAAACTGCTTTAAGAACGTATCCTCCAGTTCGTTCGTGATTTGCAACGTTCGGAGTTGATCTGCTAGTCATCATAGATGGGTCTATGATCCGAATTAAGAAAGACAGTTGGGTTTGAGATAGCCATCGCAAGCGCGCCCAATCCCGACCAGTCGGTTACTCATTATTTAAAGTGCTGACCTCGCATCAAGACCATCTCAACAGCCAAACACCTTATTGTAGTCCGTCCGAACGCCGTCTCTCGCACACGTTGCGCCATGGATCGCTTGCGACTTTAGCGGGATCTGTGAAAGAAGACGCTGGAGGCGGCAGCTAGAGCGTAGTACGAAGAAACTGCCGTGGGACCGACGACAAACACTACTTGACGTGAAGTGCAGATGCTTAATAAATCTGTTCTATATTTTCGTCCGCGCCGCAGTCGCTAATCTTGTCCGTCCGCTGTCATCACATACCGTATCGGGTTGACTTGCCCGGCGGCACAGCAGCAAGAAGAAGCTCGAATTAAATTACAATCAGCAAGGCCTTCATCAGTGCAAGTGGTCTGACTATACCATGAGTCGGAAAAATCCCGGAGAATGGCAGTCGGCAGCCATAGCCCGTGCAGCCGTCCAGCGCAGTTGATTCGAGCGAATTCTGATTGGATATTGCAAGGATGACCACGGAGCACCTCTTTGCGGAGACAGCGTACCGATCTCTAAGAATGCATCAAGAATTTGAGGACTGCAAACTCGGTCAAGAGCCATTGAAACTTGCAGAGCTACAGCACAATGTCGACTGTGGCTGATAATTAACATGACAGGCACACCCGCACTCTCTTTGGCCCAAGTAGCCGAATCACAAGCATTTCCAATCTGTCGGTACCTAGCGCCATTCTGTGCGTGAGAGAGATGTGACGGCCAACATCCTGGGCTCTTTGGGGCGAGAACGGAAAATTCTCCTTCGACTAGTCTGCTGGACGCAATCGCCTATTCCAGCTTCGCATACATAGTCCCGGTCGTCGCCATGCGGCCGCCAGAACCAAGGGGTTGCGCGACTTGCGACTAAGGGTGTGTGTGTACACAGGATGCCACAATGCCAGCGATGTGCGCGCTATCCTGTACGTATACACACACCGGTCCCATTGCCACGATGCGAGTCCTGTTCACACCACATTCTGCTTTCCTCGTGGCCTCGGGATGTGCCTCCGATGCCTGACCCACTGGCGTGCCTGATGCACCCACTGCACGCTGCATTGCGTCAGCGCATTGATGGCCGAGTCGCTTTGGGATGATGGTCCGCTCCTGTCGCGCAGGAGCTGCCTTCCCGTGTGTCTCCTGTGAGGGGATTCGCCGTCCCCCCAACGTGCCGGACTTGTGCCGCCATCGTCCGACCATCAGCCGATATGTACCTGGCATGACTGCCCATCTCACACCAGACGGTTCGATTTCGGCGGACTATCGAGGCCACTATGCCAGCAAAGGTGGGCCACTGCTGTCAGAACGCTCTGCGAATCACAGGTCCCGATGAATGCTTTTGTCTATTGAGTCACTGCGAGGTAAGCACACCTGCTTCTCCACATGGATACAGCGTGGGCATCAATCGGCGGTACGTTGTCGGGCTGCGCTTGGTCAGTCGGTGTGCCAGACCAGGCAGAAGCAATATGACTTCTCTTTACAGCATTTTTACTGTTTTCTGGGAAGTTGACGATGGCTTGCAACCTGGCTCACGAGAAGATTGAGACGGTTCCTCCTTTCGTGCTGGAATGATCTCGACACATTCACTGTGCGCGAGTCGCCCAGTGCTGCTGCTGCGTTTGGCGCGCGATGAACTGCGACCGCAAGCGAACTGCTGGCCTCGAACTACGCAGCCATCGAGCTAGACTCATCGAGTCAAAGTGCTGTCACTTGGCTGATCACCGCAGTGACGCATTACCACGCCATTCTCGCTCGTAATCAATGCCTGTTACTGGCACGCAGGTCAGAACCATCAAAAAAAGTTCAGCGCTCTGCTGCTTCGAAATCCTCATCGATCGTGGATTCATTTCACGATCTGACAACAGCTCTTCGACGGCTTTCGCTCATGAACCATGGCTCTTCAGCACCTCCGTGAGACTGCGACTACGACAAGGTTCTCCACCGTCTGCGGAGGACAGACTTGCGCGTCAAACATCGGTCAAAACAGCGAAGTGGAATGTGGCGCTTGATGGGGCACACAATAAGATGCAAAAGCTTGGTGACTTGAGCATTGACGCGGAGTCAAACGTATGACTACAATCGACAATTTGCATGGAGTTTTGCATTCGTCCACCGAGCGACGAGGGACAGATGAGAACGCTCGGCTACATCAGGTTTTTTGATGACGATGAGCTATGTATATTTCTGTCCAGAGGGAAAGTATCGCAGGAGAGCTGCCACGATCATCGACCTCGCGCTATAGATCTGCATCCCGAGGAATCGCTGAGGTCTCAAGTCACGACTTGCAGAGGCCTGTTTGGCAGAGATCGAGGCCATGTCGACCGCAAACCAAGTCAGAACCAGTCTGTAAATCTATATCGTGGGCTTGTGCAGGGCGCTGCAATCGGAACTGACGTACGTCCGCTCGTAGAAGGCGGATTCTATCTCTCATTTCTCTAGTCATAGAGCCTCGACGTATGAGTGCCCAAGCAATATATTCATCGACTCGGGCATACGAATGTCAATTCCAGTTAGCTCATGACTTTTTAGGATACTACGTCAGTTCAGCCTCGTTACAGGCATTGTAGCATCTCGTTGTCGTGTATACCATAGACCCTTGGTCCAAACAGAATCAGCTTCAGCAACTTTGATGAGCGGCACCATTTGTGCTCTGCTCTCACAAGCATCTTTCTTACATTGCAACGATACACACCACTTTCACTTGGTCACATATGACTCTACCCATCCGATGTTATTTTTAGGCAGCATTGTATTTACACAGTGTTGAGCACGGGCCGTGACCCTGGCAAGTCTTGTGAATTTTGAGCTTTCGTTGTTACATATAATTGTTGATAATTGAATTGATACTCGCGCCACGACGACTCAAGAGCGCGACCATGAGTCGGAAGCTGCAATAATGTCAACCGATGGCTCCTACGACAACCGGCATCGCGCATTCCTTCAAGCATTATTCGGCCGGCAAACGATAACTTTTGAAGACAGCAAACCCTTGATTTCAGCAATCGAATCCGCGCACTCACCAGATCGGCCTACGCTGCCCGAAGACGTTTCCCAAGATGTTCTCGAAGACTACATCGATCGCGTCAACGACGCCATCTCTCCTTTCGATCTCGAAATTCGCAACACACTTCATCAGACCCAACGGATGAGGATCTACGCGCTGGTCAACACGACGAGCGATGCTCTCACGCAGATGGCTACAGTGCACTCAGCAGATGAGATCGCCTACGTGAAGCGTGTGTTAGACGCGATGTTCGAGACGCACAATACCCCGCGTGCCGAAATCATGGCCACGACTGGCATGCAGGCGCTTGAATTGGCGAAGCTGCCCCACGACCGCAGAGAGTCAAACGCACTGACACAGGCCGCGCAGAATGCTGCATTGACGAAAACACAGGCCGAAAACATGCTGGAGAGCATGGTCGCAGAAGGCTGGTTTGAGCTTAGCCAGAGAGGGTACTACAGTCTCACGCCACGAGCCTTGATGGAGCTCAAGGATTGGCTGGTGCGTACCTACAATGACCAGGCTGCGGAGTCCGATGAGGAGGATGATGAATCGCCGCGCATGAGACTCAAATTCTGCGAGGCGTGTCGCGACATTGTCACGGTGGGACAACGATGTCCTAGTGCACCCTGTAACGCAAGACTTCACGACGATTGTGTTGGAAAGATCTTTCGTGCACAGCATGGACAGCAGACATGCCCCAGCTGCAAGACTGACTGGAAGGACGTAGGATTTGTCGGCGAGCGTGCAGCCAGAAGTGGTAGAACTTCTACGGTCGGTGCTGACAGGAGGCGATCGACTGTGAACCACAATCACGTTGAGTCGGGTAGAGATGACGATGATGAGAGCGATGATTAATGTGATTGCACGACTTTTGGGAGTGTCACATCAGAGGCATCAGTAAAATTGACGCCAGCGTAGCCTCCGCTGAACGCTTGCATCAACGCGTAAGGACATGAAATATGTTTTCATTCGCTTGGCTCAAAAAACGAGCCAGACACCGAGTGCTGAATCTGTATCTATGCGCTACATCGCGCAATGACAGCCCAACTTCCGCGAGCGCCAAAACCCATGCAAAACCCACACCCACGCCGAAATCTCTTTCCAAACCAGTGCCTTTATCGGTAAGACTTCTGGTAGCGGGCACGAGCACCTGGACCACCGAACTTCTTGGGCTCACATCGTCGGTTGTCGGCAACGAGAAGGGTACGGTCGTAGGTCACGAGAGCCTGCTTGAGCTGGTTCTTGCTGTGCTCATCGACAAACTTCTGGTAGTAGGCGATCTGAGGGAATGTCTAGTTAGAGTCTCGATCACGGTCACGCAACATTCCAGGAGACGTGGAAATGACATACGATGCTCTTGGAGATGGCTTGTCGGATAGCGTAGACTTGCGAAGTGTGACCACCACCGCTGACACGGACGCGGATGTCGACACCGGCTATGAAATATTTGTTAGCAAGATGCCCAACCCTCTCACTGTTTCCCAAACGCAATTTCTGCCCTCCGACTATTGCTCGTTGGTTGCGCCCGCCTTCCAGCTCTTTCGCACCATTGATCCTTTACTCCGTCCGATGTTCCCCACGGTTATCACCACATACCGAATTTGTCGAGGCCGAGGATGAGGATGGGCTCGTAGACCTTGAATCGGAGGATCGCAGGCTCAACCAGGGAGAGCGGTCGGCCATTGACCTTGATGAGACCCTTGCCCTGCTTGCAATGGGCAACCGCAGTGGCGGTCTTCTTCTTGCCGAAGCACTGAACACTCTGGACAGTCGACATGATGTGTGGTGAATATGTCGTTCTGCACGGGTATTCTGTGAATTGTGGTTTCGCGAAATCGTTGTCGCAGTCGTTAGCGTAGCAATTCTTAGTTGTGTGTGTGCAGGTACGGCTGAACCCGCAACTGGGGCTTGGCAATCGGTCAACTTGCCCTCCAGGCTGGCAAGTTTCGTCTCTCTAGCGCTTCCGCAACTCGCTCACAAACAGGCCGACGCTGTCGCTACCTGAAATGTTGCAGGACTAAATAGTGCCATTTCGAGTGCACATCGTCGCTCTTCAAATATAAGACACTCGCTTTTACCGTGATGCCAAGAGATTTGCATGACCGATTCGCACCCACGTGAAAGTTCACATTCGAGAATTTACCTGGGCGATCCGCTGGAATCTTGCGAGCCGAGCCCTACGCATCGTGAGGATGTCGGCGTCTTATCCATGATCTAAGCAATACTATAAAGTCACCCGCAGCTATCGAGGCTCACAATGAGCCAGAATCGTCTATACGCATTTGGATCGAATGGATCTGGGCAATTGGGTATTGGTCATGCAATTGACGTATCCGAGCCCACAGAGGTCTTGCTTGACAGCAATGCGAAGCACAAAAAAATTGTGAATATTGCATCAGGAGGTAATCATACACTAATTCTTTTTCACGACGGTACCGTGATCAGCCATGGCGACAACGACGATGGCCGCTGCTTACATCACAGCGAAGACGACTCGTGGGCCCCGAGAAACGATAGCTCGATTGCAGACACAGATGCTCTGTCTAGTAACGGCGTCAGTCACATCGCAGCGACGTGGGCTGCCTCGATCGTGGTCTCCGGCTCCACGGCTGTACGTGTGATCGGATCCGGGGAGTTTGGACAGCTCGGCTTAGGACCTGGAGCAACAATTTCTGTGGTGCCGACCCTCATCGAAGACTTCCCGCCTCACGGCCTTCACATCGTCAAGTTGGCAGCGTGTATGGCTCATGTCGTTGCCGTACTCTCTAATGGCGAGGTATGGGGATGGGGAGCTGGCCGTAAGGGTCAGCTCGGCCGGCCCGCAGAGATCGTATGGGCACCACGCAAAATAGAAGGAATCAATTTCCCGGTGGTGGATGTCGCCTGTGGTAAAGACTTCACGTGCATTTTTGGAGACTCTCAGGAAGGCAAGTGCGTTTTCCTCGGATTAGATCGAAATGATCGATTCAATTTAAAGGGAAACGTCCCGCAACAAATTCCCGATTGGGAACAAGTCGCGAGCTCGTGGGGGTGTCTGTTCGTTCGTACAAACACTGGCCAAATCGTGGCTTGGGGACGTAATGATCATGGACAGCTACCGCCGAAGGATCTACCACCACTCAAAGCTTTTGCTGTTGGTAGTGAGCATTGCGTCGGTTTGACCAAGGCTGGAATTATCGTTGCCTGGGGCTGGGGCGAGCACGGCAATTGCGGTCGGCCTGGAGAAGACCTGGATGAGGTTGAAAAGACCTGGGTCGAGCTGGAATCTGGCGATGAAGTATCTGCAGTCTTTGCTGGTTGTGCTACTAGCTTCTTTGCTACGACAACGCCAGCGATGGCATATCAGCTTTCACTTTGAGTCATGGCGGCTTGCGCTCCTAATCAAACATTCCACGAAGCTGTTCACCCGCGGTTAGTTTATTATGCTTGGCCTGAAAGATACAGGAATACTTACTTGCGATAAACGCTGAGTGGGTTCGATTCCTTCTTGAGTTGGCCGTGCTTCTTCATGAATATCGTTTGAAAATCGTGTAGCTGTTGCGTGTCCTTGATGCGCCAGACGAAAACCATCACTGTGCTGATCATTGCTCGTGTCCCATCCGAGCATTGCTCCATCGTCCTCATCATAGTTCTGGGGCTCCCATGTCTGATCTTCATCAGCCGCGGTGCGATCCCGAATGAAAAGACTATCTTCCGCGTCAGGGTTCTCCACTGATTGTGTAAGAACCTGTTCACGGAGCGGAGGGCGGCGGCTTTGGCTTGAAAGCGGCTTACTCATGATCGACCGGGCAGCCGACAATGACGAGGTTGTTTGATCCGTCGGCCGAGGCCCAGAGAGGGTCGAAGGTTGCTTTGATGCACTCCTTGTTGATACGAATTTTGCGACTTGAGTCGACGACAGCGACGCTGCGCTTCCAGCGGTCATTAAAGTAAACTCGCAATTGAGACCCCGACTCTGATAAGCAAATTGAAGAGGTCGTGTAGGAGAAGAGAAGTAAGCAGATATGGGAGCGCGCAGTGTTTCGGCATGAGTGACTATCGCCCGAAAGTCCTTGACACTGATCACGATGTGTACATTCTCCTGCACGTGAAAGTCATCGAATTCGGTTGTGTGAATAGTGATCGCCGTCTCGAGTGGTTGCTTTAGTACTTCTGCCATTAAGTTAGACGAAACCATTCAACTGAAAACACCACATGATCTTACCTTTGCCGTCTTGGATCTTCTCCGTGAAGCTGGTGAAAATAGCCTTGCCATCCTGCGCGAGCATATCTAATTGTTCTGTCTTATGTCCAAAATATTCAATGTACTCGCGCAGAATCCTTGAAGCAATCCGCCATCCCTGAGGAGCCGACAGCTTGTCAAAGAGAGCGTGCATGATCTCCACCGATTCAAAGGTCAATCTGTAAGTTTTCGTCATCCCTGTGGCACATGTGAGCATTCTTGTGGAGAGACATAAGCCCCTGTAAGATGGAGACATACCAGACTTGGTGATCATCTTCACGATAAATCGGCTTTCCGCCACATCCAGTCCGTCTTGAATCGCGACATCGCAGCGATCAATCGCAGTTTCGCGGCCCCTTGGATCGCCTGATCGCAGTTTGAAGACTGATTGGAGAGCCTGAACAGAGTTAAACGTCGTTCGAGCGAGCAAATCATGTCGGCGCCGACCTTATTGAGCAGTTGACAGGTGAAACGGTCATTAACAGTCGATGATTGTCCGGCATCGAAGCTGTACTCGATGAAGAAAGTCTCAGCATCGAACGCAAAGGAAGCATACGCCGTCTTGGACAGATTCAATGCTGTGAAAGAGATCTGTAATGTTCACATAACGTCACTTGACACCGCATTAGCGTGAGTCGAGACTTTAATGGTGACCGGGCTGACGCGCCTTTTCGCGACGCGCTTCGATGGCAACGCCGTCACCAAATTTGGCGAGACAAGTGAGGATCTCAGAGATGCGGGCAGTCGCTTCCGCAGTGATGGAGAATTTCAACACGGCCATAATGCTGACGGAATGTGAATGGACTTCCAAGCTTATTCAATGTCTTTCAGGGAACGATCGAGTCGGGCATTCATGTGGTTATGTTTGACGCGAATTTGGCGCGATACGTTGAGTGGCGTGTCAATGTACACATTACGCATCCCAGGCAGCATTGTCATCATCACCATTTTCATCATCAAGACCATCAGGTCAAAGTCACCCATCTCGAGCTTTCACTTTCAGCTGCATTCCAAGGCTTATGACCATCCTTGTTTGCATGCTCACGCTACCATGGTCGCATAACTTCGTCATGTCCAGTATTGAAGAATACACCGTATTTATGTTTTGAAGCCACCGCGCACAAAGAGCACAATGGCTGCGCGTGAGGTGTTCCCTGCCGATTTGTGTCATCTCATTGCAAACGAGCTCGGCGAGCGATCTGACTTTGCAACGCTGTATAATTGTGTTATCAGCAGTCGCTATTTCGGTGCATGCGGTGCGGTCTCAGCACTCTATCGGTATCACTACCCAATTCTTCAGGTACTCGGCCCCATTTCGAAAACAACCGTGCTAAATGCTGTTCCAGGATATGTCATGCCTTCTCAGCCAAGGACGAAGGGCCTGATGTTTCTGTGGCCGATCAAGATTTAACGGCGAAGCGTATGTCTGTCCTATGGCGTTCACTCGTGCTGTCAGCGTTGGGCAAGACGATGTATCCTTACTGCCGCCATCTACGGACGCTATCACTCGGCAGCCTAGATCAACTGCTTCAGAGTCGCAGTGAAGCCTCCTCAAATTTCTTCACAGATGATCTGGCAGAATTTGGAATCATGACTTCCAAGATCGCGACCCGTGGATCAAAATTAGACATTGCAAAAAGCATAGCGGCAATTGGCGAGGTCTTGACACGCCATGCGCCTTTGTTAGAGGAGCTTTCCGATCCCATGGGAACCAGTGTCATATCTGTCCCATCTGTCCTTGAAGCATGGGGTCCTCAACTGGGGCATCTCCGATCCCTCGAGTTTTGGGATGGGGCTGTGTTGGCGCAGCCGGCGGTCCAGCAGATATTGCATGCCCATTGCCCGCAACTGAGATCCCTCAGAATCTACCGATGCTCCAATGATGATTCCGATGCCACTCTATCAGCATTCATCAACGGGATGGCGCAAAATTCCTTGGTAGAATTTCAGAATTTCGGCGAATGTCACATCGGCTTAGAGACTTGTCAAGCACTCAACAGTCACGCGAAAAGCTTGACAATATTGGAACTCATGCTTAGTGGGGATGACATCCTCGCACTCGCAAAGCTGCCAAATTGTATTGCTCTAAGGACTTTAACGCTCGAGTACGCTGGTGCTCCGCAAGACCTGAAGGAAACACAAAATGATAGCTACAACAAGATAATTGCATGGCTGCAAGATTGCGTGCACCTGAAAACCATAGCGTTTCGAGGTCTGAAATCTGCACCAGACCTCCTGACTCCTGTCCTAGCCAAGACCGATATGCTGGTGGAGACGCTAGAGATCGCAGCTCGGAATGAAGCTGCAATGTATGTGGCCAAAGACCATCGCGAATTTCATGAGGCATTGAGCCGACAGTCGACGCTTCGCGAACTAGTGCTCACCGCCGACGTGGACCTCATGACAGAGGAGGTCGACTATGACGTGATCCGTTCTATCTGCGCCTTGAAAAATTTGCGGCAATTGCGCCTCTCACGAATTTCTGACAATTTCACAGACGTGGAAATACAATCGCTGGCATCAAGTCTGCCCATGCTGGAGCTGCTGGTCATCGGTGGCATTGGGATTTCTGATGCGATCTGGCCGGTGCTCGCTCGACTGCATCAGCTGAAGCACCTGGCGATTACGGGGATCACATGCTTTACAGCTGACGGCATTATGAGCTTTGTGAACAGCCTTGGTGCAGGAAACAAGAATCTCATATTGTCAATGCTGTCTGTCGACCCGGATTATTCAATAGATGCTATAGTCCTGGATAAAATCCGCGGCACTGTGGTTTCCAAACTGGATGGCAGATTCGAGTACACACTGCTGCCAGGTAGGCGTTGACTCATTCCTGCGGGCCTTGCGTATGGTAGCTGACTGTTACGGCAGATCCCAACATGCTCGAGTTCGACTCCGATGAATCAGACGACTAGGTAGCGATGTGATGCGTTCCGCGCCTTCGGAGATGACGTCAGCCAGCTTCGCGGACGCTGCAATCAGTCAGCTTGAGTGCTACTGCACACGAGATCCAAGTTTCTACAATACAGCGGTATCCTAACTATTTGAGCGATCTAAAACTTGAAAATCCAATGAAGCGCATCTTGGTAGTGGCTGGTTCAGACAGCTCCGGCGGAGCGTGAGTACATCCAAGAGAGATAATTCTGATATTGGCATGAGTCTAAGCAATAATTTTGTGTAGCGGACTGGAAGCGGACCAGAAAGTGATCGCAGCTCATGGCTGTTATGCAATGACAGCCACGACTGCATTGACAGCGCAAAATACGCTAGGAGTCCGCGACATCCATGAAGTACCCCCTGAATTCGTTCGCAAACAAATTGATGCTTGCATTGAAGATATTGGCATTGATGTGCTCAAGACTGGTGCATCACTCCCCGATAAGGTCGATTGAGCTGCGCTGACTTGCGAGAAGGTATGCTGGCCTCAGCCGAAATGATTGGTACCTTGGCAGAAGCAATTGCACGACATTCTGTAGCGACGACTGTCATAGATCCGGTACGATGAAATGACTTGATTGATACGTGCAATCGCTCGAAATTTGCTAAGCTAGCGTTGAAGGTGATGGTTTCGACGAGCGGTGCCCAGCTACTACCAGAAACAGCAATCGAGGTCCTGATAAAAGAACTATTGCCTCTGGCCACTCTTTTGACACCAAATGTACCTGAAGCAAACTTGTTACTGCGCGAGGCAGGTCAATCGCCAATCGATGTACAAAATCTAGACGACCTCAAAAACCTGGCCGCATCAGTTCATAAGCTCGGACCGAAATATGTTTTGCTCAAGGGAGGACATTGTCCATTGAACACAGATTACATGCTCGCAACCGATGATAGCTCGAAGCAATTAGTTGCGAACGTCCTCGTTGGGACAGAAGTCCTCGACGTCCTCGAGTTACCGTACCAGAAATCAAACAATACTCATGGGACTGGTTGTTCGCTTGCCTGTAAGTTCGTGCATCACAAATTGTCAAACGAACACATTTCCTGATATGGGAATAAGCGGCCATTGCGTGCAATCTTGCGCTGGGTGTCGAGTTATCTCAAGCAGTTGTAGCTGCCTCTCGATACGTCAGTGCCGGCATCAGAACGAGTATAGGCCTGGGGCATGGCTCTGGGCCCATTAATCACTTTCATTCGGTCCAAATCTTGCCGTTCGTCCCGTGAGTCCGATGATGTTTGCTTTTTCGCCTGGTCCTATGCTGAATTGATTGTCTTAGCGGTACCTTCATAGAACATGTCCTCGCGCGAGCCGATGTGCAAGCAGTTTGGCACGACTTTACGCATCACGAATTTGTGGCAAGGCTCGGCGATGGGTCACTGCCCTTGGAAACTTACAAATACTACATGATCCAGGACTATCTGTATCTGGTAGGTCACTGCTCTGCGACTGGTTTGCTTCGTCTAATGTTCTTGACAGATCCATTTCGCCCGCGCCAATGCTCTCGCCGGATACAAAGTGAAAAAGCCAGACGACATTGCAGCGGTACTTATCCCCAAATAGTCCCGCTATGAATGCTACGACTGACGACTCCAGGCTGCTGCGATGGTTGGTCATATACGTCATGAGATGAATCTGCATCTGGAAGAGTGCAAAGAACTTGGTCTCACAGAGAAAATGATTGTGGAACACGAAGAGTCTCAAGGTAAAAGCAGAGCCTGATCATCTTGGCGCTTTCTTCCACGGCGTGGCCAATTGTGCTGATAAATTGTAGCCTGTACCGCCTACAGCCGATACGTGCTTGATGTTGGACAGTCGGAAGACTGGTTGGCCCTTCAGATCGCTCTCCTGCCTTGCCTGCTAGGCTACAGCGTGATCGCAAAGCGCCTGAAGACTCTCCAGATAGACCAACCCGCATCGACACCAAATCGTTACTTGAAATGGATAGACAACTACGTAGCTGAGGACTACTCGGAAGCCGTGAGATCGGGCTGTGGTAAGTTCCTGACGGGAAATCGCGCAGTGAATCTGAATCTAACCTTAGTCAGCGATCATTGAGAAGCACGCTGCTCATCAATCGCCGACTCGCATCAGCGAGCTTGTCCAAATCTTTGTGCATGCAACCAAGGTAACAACTGCCCCAACGCGTAACGAAGAGAAAGCTAACGCAGCGACCAGATGGAGACAGGATTCTGGGACATGGCGGGAAGCGTTCGGGCGTGATCGAGCCTTGAAACACTCGATAAAATATGCACTGATGTTCGCATTTAAAAACAATTGATATCCCCTGAGAGCAGTTCAAACCAGAAAATACTCCCAAACGCCCCGCGATGCTGTGCAAGTCTTGCAGTCTTTAAACTCCATGATGCATTACATGAGTGTGCAGCAGCTATTCTGCTTCTTAGCTTGCGTATAAAACATCTTGCTCTGAGCACTGAGTCCATCGGATTTGGCGACCAGGCTGTCAATCTTTTCACCCCGCTCCAGTACCGACTCGATTGTCTTGTGCAGCACGATCTTGGTCTCGTCGAGCTCTTTTTGGATCTAAAGGGGATACGTCAGCGATCACCGCAATGCAAGCTTCGCTTCGAAACACCACGATCTGTCTGCCACTAACCTTCATGATGCTGTCTGCTTGCGCAGGATCTTGGTATTTCGTGATGTACTCTTTCAGTTGTGGAAAGGGAACCTCGCCGTTGCTGTTCTCCCAGGCGCTTCGTGGAAATTTGCTAAGGAATTCATCCAAGATCTTGCCCAGAAGTTGATGTGCAACAAGCGCCGGGTACTCCTGGTCACTGATGATGATACCAGCTACACCTTCAGACCTTGCGTATGCGTGAAATGTGTATGACTGCTCCTCAACGTCTTGCCTCTGCCCAGCCTTTGTTCGCTCGGCTACAGTCTTCGAGAACAAAGACATGAACTCTCCAACACTCGTTCTCGTGAATCGTGAATAGGAAGAGAGATCGCGCTCGGCGCATAACTCGACAGCAGGCTTCTGCTCATTTTTGAGGATCTATGCCTGTTCAGTATTGTTCTCGGGGTGGAGAACTGCGGCGAAACATACACCAATGTATAGGATCTTCATGTTTGCGGTTCAAGTCGAGATTGGTGAATTTCGGAAGTTGCTTAGCTTTCGAAGTTATCAGTAACCGTAGGGGTGTGATTGTCGGTCTTCAGGTTGAGCAACATGGCGCGCGAGGCATCGTTGCCCACCGACTATCCCCGCCGCTCGTCACGTGCATGATAATTAAGCTGGCGCCAGCGGCGCGTCATCTCACGATCAATACTCTGCTCAGCATTGTGCCAGAGGCATCATTATCCACAAGTCGCGGTGCCTTCATTCAACATGGCGCCCATCACTACCGCTTCCAATGATGAGACGCACGCTGCCTTGTTGGATACGCTCGACTTGTATCAACACCCCAAACCTTTTCGCAACCCAGCATGGAAGATCCCACAACGACGCAACAAGAATCTCAAGCAGATCTTATCCGAAGCACAACGAGCCCAGCAGAGCCTGTTGAATACCCAACAGAACTCTGGTGTCAATACTCCTCACACTTCAGCTGACGGCAATACAACCAGCTCAGCTAACCCGAATCTGGAGAAAGCGAACCAAGACTTAGGACGGCTGGTGCTGGAGAAGAACGCGAAACAGAAAGGCAATGCTGCGCTCGCTCCGACCAGTCTTACCATGGGGTTGGGACCGAGTGTTACATACACGAGTATCGCAGCTGCACCAAGTCTGAAGCCGAAGAGGAAGTACTGTGACATTACTGGTCTTCCCGCTAAATACAAAGATCCGAAATCAGGGCTGCAATACTACAATGCAGAGGTCTATGCCGTGGTCAAGAGCTTGGGAACCGGACAAGTTCAAGAATACCTGGCGGCTCGTGGCGCAAATACTGTTCTCAAGTGAGGAAGAGATGCAACAGCAGGAAGAACCGCGCTCCACATGTGACCTGGGTGACTTAGCGCACTCTACTTCGGCAGCGTGTTGGAATGTCCTTTACAGTGTAAGATCTGGTGTCATTTTCTGACGCTCGGAAACCAGACAATCGTGGAGCGTTGCGTTGTGTCGCTCAAACAGAAGCATTCACTGAAGCCTTCCATCCAGAGGGGCCCACCATCGCATCTGCACTGATGGCCATTGCACTCTCGAATGGTGGAACAGTGCAACGTCTGAGCATGTCACAAGCGTTGGAAAGATAGTGCTGTCACTATCCATCCGAATACTACTTTGCAGTGTTAGCCGATGTAGTTGAGGGACGACGTTCCCCTGCGACGGAAAAGGCTGAATAGTAATCAGACGGGACGCTCATGGCCAAAGCGGGCGCACTCTTTGATGGCGTTAACAATCCGCCTTCTTGATGCTTGGCAATTGAGCGCCAGAAGCATCCTGGTACCGAATGTCAGACCAATCTATGCACAAGCCTCCTCTATTGAGTGAGAAGACGCTCCGGCTTATTTGTGATCGTTAGTCGTTCTGCGCCGATTGACGATTACCGTAGGCTTAGAAAATAAGCAAACAGTTACAGTAGCTTCGATGAGCAGACTGTGGTCGCAGCGATGGAAATATAGGGAAAAAAGCCATTATTGCAGAGTTTTTTTTAAATCTCGCACAACGACTCAGGCGCTGCAACATGATCTCAGGCATATGGGAAGGTACAAATCTCCATGCCAGCCATTCAGACATGTTCTGCTGCAATCTGGCATAGATGGCAGCATTTGCAAAATAGTCGAGTTCTTGGAATGGGGCAAACATCCATGGTCCACGCCTCCAAGCAATACATAAAACGAGGACGCCAAGCAATCTAAAACTAACCATTTCGGGAAAGCTGGGACGCGCCCAGCCTTGCGGGCATCAAAGCGTTCGCACCTGTAGTCTCCTCTGCATGTGTCATCCAGACAGACAATTGATCCGAATCGTCGGACGACAGCTTCTTCTGGTATTTCTCCACCGTGAAACGTTATTATCTAGGAAGTACGAAGCCTCTGCTAAGCCTCTCCTGCAACGACGCCGAGAGGCTCCGGATCGCTATGAACTTCGCGAGGACAAGCCGTTTTCAAGCTTGTTGGTCGCATGTGGCCGGATAACGTCATTGTAGATTCATAGGTATGAGAACGGATGAGGTCACAGTATATTAGATAGCAAAGAAGGCCTAGATCAGAGCGGAACTCTCGAGCTTCGAAACGTCCAGTATATCGATTACAAAGTCGAATCGTGCTCTAATCGCGCAAACATGCCAACACCCAAGCCACCACCAGAGCTGAATATCCCCAAATCTGACAGTACTGTGAAAGTATCATGTATCGATAGGTTTGTCTTGGCTGAGATATGTCTTCACGATAGCATGTCTAACAAATCAGTACCTCGCGGTTCTCGTTACCCCTTACGACTTTCCTCCAGCCAGACTACAAGGGCACCGACCGACTCGTAGGAGCATCATTTTCCTTCCTCATCGAGCATCCGAATCACAAACCCATTCTGTTTGATCTAGGTGTCCGGAAAGACTGGGAAGACTTTCCCTCCTACGACAAGTGGGTACGTCTGAAGTGGGAGATTGTTGTCGACCGTGATGTGGCAACCATTCTGAAGGAGAATGATGTCGATGTCGATGGAGGATCCATCGAGTCGATCATCTGGAGTCACCATCACTGGGATCATCTCGGAAATGCTTCCTTGTTCCCGCATTCGACTGAAATCGTCGTCGGCCCTGGCTTCAAAGCAGCGCATCTGCCAGGGTATCCGACCAATTCAGATTCGTTGATATTGGAGACAGATCTCGAGGGCAGAGAGATCCGCGAGGTAGCGTTTTCAGACCGCGAAGATGGTCCCAAGATCGGAAGGTTCCGTTCGCTGGACTACTTTGGAGACGGTAGCTTCTACCTGCTTGATACGCCTGGTCATTCAGTGGGTCATATTTGTGGACTTGCACGAACGTCTGCATCACCTGACTCATTCGTCTTCATGGGCGGCGACGGTGAGCGTATCTGGCATCATCCAGGGTCTCTCCCCAATGCTGACATCTTGCAACATAGCTGCTCATCATGGCGGTGAATTCCGACCAACAGAATATCTGCCGCTGCCACAAGAAATCACGCCATCACCTTTAGTGTTTCGAGGACGGACATGTCCAGGGCATCTTCTCCAAGACGTTCATGCACACGCAGCGGCGGACAAGCCATTCTACTACGTGACGGCAAGTTTTTCCCATGACAAGGAAGTGGCAGACTGGACCCTCGATGGCCTCGGCGAGTTTGACGCACATAAGAATGTCCTGCTACTGATGGCGCACGACAATGTCGTCGTTGACCCTCCCCGTATGGACTTCTTCCCTAAGCCAATGAACAATTGGTTGCAACAAGGTATCGGAGAAAAGATTCGCTGGTTGTTTCTCAAGGACTTCGAGCAGGCGATCGAGGCAAAGGAGCGAGGCGAGGCGCCGTTCTTCTGGGGCAAGTATCCTTGAGGCTTGTGAGATTGCGATGCATACCGCGAGGGCATTGGTATTATTTTGGCGACAACGAGCTATTGCAGAAACACTGCGTGATGAGAAGTTACAATCCACGTAAATCGAAACTCCCACATACAACCCAGATCTTGACGCCCAGGTGTCTATTGGTTATAGCCGCTCATATGGCCGGTTGGGACCCACTCCCATTGAACTTGATGGCCTGGTGTTCATAGGTCCGAATTTTGGAACCACAAGGAACCTCGAAGATGTCGACTACTTGACTATGCCTTACGTTTGTCACATCTGACCTGTTGGCCTACCCTTCACTCATGGCAGCGACCAGGCAGGAGTCCTGACATGGTTGTGCATTCTTCATAGTCGGTGATACGTATGTGAAACTGTGCTCCACAGGGATCCGATCCTCGTAGGCACTGATCGTGGAAGGGAGACGCCCGCGCGACGTTTCAAGAAGCACCCTTGCCGAATTTCTGGGCAGATCTGTTTCAACAACGGCCCAGTGCCGCACGTGCGGCGAATGTGCGTCTCGGAAAAAACTTCGAAGAGTTGTGTGCTTTGCAAGTGCTTGAGCGAGCGTTATGAAAGTGCAGAGAAATCCATGTCGATCGTTGTAAGGATGTAAGATTGCTCCCTTACAGCCCTGCGCTAAAGGCTACAATTAAACGTCGTTGAGCAGGCATGATCTGTTACCTCGTGGCTGCCCTGGTCTTTAGAGAGATTGCTCGTACAGATGAATATGGAGACTAAGAAATCACCTCGACAACTTGGCAAATTTGCGAATCTTGGTCGCACACAACATGGCATATTGGTTGACTGGTAATAAGATGATACCTTACGTGGACGGAGATGTAGTTGCGCACTGCATAGCAGCACCGTGTTCAAATTGCGCTCGGCCAAAGAACTCACGACCCAGCTGTGACTCAATGCGCACCGGCGGCACGCGCGGCTACTACGGTGCGAGAGCGGCCAGCTTCTAAGCATCCGAGGATCCAGGCTCAGATCAGTTCATTTTCACGTGGTCCATCAATTGAGAAGGGATTGATTCCTGAGTCGTCGCTATGAGACATGAGAGATTGACACAATTGGGTCGCTGTAGCCCGTAGGAGCGCGAGCGGAAATCGGACAGGTCGGAATCTCGTCGCATAGAAATTCCGCACCAATTCCGCCAGTCAGAGGCAGAGAGGGCTGATCGACACGCCATCACGGTGAACCCTGAGGCTGTTACATGCCCGGCATCTCTCCACAGGACAGGGGAACAAGCACGATGTAAAATGTATGGTTTCCCGCCAGGGACCTCGAGCACCGTGAAGGATTACTAAGGATGTTTGCAGCCGTTGAAATCTCACCGTTACGTTAGATGGGTACGAGGCTACAGTATATAGTACTGTAACGTGATGGGACCCAAAGTCGCGCTCGGACTCGTATGCCCTAGATGCTTCTTCTGCGATGTTGATGGGATGAACGTAACGAAGAGCAATGGAAGGGGATGGAAGGTACCCGTGTAGGAAAAAGACACTACCACTGAGTGGAATGCGGTTTGCACATCTCATGCGTGGAAATAGAGAGAGTAGAGAGAGTGATGAGCAAGCACCTGGGCAGCTTAGAAATGCGTTGCGCGTGTTTCTATCCGCATACAGCTGTCCGCTTGGTCATTTGCTGACAATTGGCTGCTACTGGCCAAACATACATCATAAGCTTGCCCTGGTCTCGTGGTCGCAATCTGAAATCTAAGCACGTTCCGCAGCGGTCTACGAGTCAGGAGCAGATTCTCGGGGACCGTCTTTTGATTGCACAGTGTGCGGAAACGGTGTATCCTGCGACCGCTACTGGCAGCTGCAGAGCATTGGTCGTAGCGGTAGTAAGGGGAGTGCTGGTGGCCCAGTGGTGGGAAGGGATCTCAGCTCGGCGGGCATTGGACGATCATCAATCCGACAAACGTGTAATCACTCGTCAAAACTGATGGATGCAGCAATCAGCGACCACGCGAGGTGTGGTTGTGTGTGTTGTCATACTTTTCACCTTGATTCATCAGCAATCATTATTCCTGCAGGGAGCGAAGCAACGAAGCGAGGAATCTGCATGACGGCAGCCGGAACAAACATTCCACCGGCTGGTTTGGGCCGGGGGTGTGTGTGTATCGCAGGATGTTTGGTGGTGTGCCCGACAGTCGGACGAATTGGTGCGGCTTCGGGGTCAACAACCTCATAACGCCGCGCTGGCGGGCTGTGGATGCACAAAACTGATGATGATGATTGCCTGGGATTTAATGCATTGGATCATGACTTGACCCGGGGTCGCTGTCCATGCCGAGATCCCGTTTCCACGGTCGTGCGAGCGCGAAAGCGCGGCCCATCCATTGTTTGTGCAAGCCGTGCGGGAAAGTAGGCTCATCAGGGACAATCTTATCCCCCGCCGGCGACAACAGCGGACATTTCGGAGACAAGCTGACGGATACACTTTTTTTCCAGGGCTGCCTGGGCGCGCACGCGGCGTCTCGACACAAATACGTCGGCCTCCCTGCTCTGATGGTCATTCTATTTCCCACCATATATTCCAATCTCACATTCCAAACATTCGAAACATATCTCCAATCGACACGGAGCCTCAACAAGGAAAGACCCTCAAACACTACCTGGCTACCTCTTGTCACACCATCGCATTGAGATTATATCTTTCACACCAACAAGACCCTTTCGGCTTGCTCCGCCCTCCGAAGCTTAATCAAACGCGAGCCTGGCTAAACCCTTACCGCCCAGTGACTCAGCCATTCGCATCTCGCCATATTGGACTCATATTTGCATCTGAGTCACCTCAACAGATTATATTATATTTCGTCCAAGATGCCTTCACACTTAAGGAATCAAGTCTCCTTTGAACCAATTCCGGTCCACGCTACTTACCACAACTTCTCCACCTTGACTTCATCACCGAGACAGAAGATGTCTTTGACTCAGACTTACTACATCGCCTCCTCCGCGAGGTCGAAGCTGGGCCGAGAAGCCAGCCGAGCCGATCACAACCTCCGACTTTTGGTCGGCCACGCCAACTTGCTCGACAGCCTCATGGTGGATCTCGCCGACGCTGAGCGAGAACAAGAGGCATGGTTCAACCAGTCCGTCCGCAAAGCATCCAAGCCAGAGCCTTCTCGAGTTGCGCAGTGGACTTCCGCCATCGAGGAGCTCGAGGAGGAGTCAGATGACGACTCAGACCTTGAGTCCGAAGATGGTTACGACACTTACGAAGATGATGTCATGGTTGAATTACCACAGCCCAAGGCTCTTCCATCACCCATTGAGATCACAGCCGCGGAGGTAACCGCCAGCGAAGAGCTCGACGAGGATGAGGACGAATACGACGGCGACCTCGCACTCACACGCGTCATCTCACGACACTCACCACCCGAACTCACCTCCGACTCAGACGAATCCGAATCCGACGAAGAGTCAATGCCATCGTCGCCCGAACAATCAACATACGATCTCACGGAAAAACAAAGACGGATGATCACCACCAGCAGCTTCTACGAAATGCAAGACGCGGTGATGCAACAGGCATCAAATCATCCTCTGATCGCTGCTTGCTGATCCTACCCGATGGATCGATTCATCTTTGTTTACTCTGATAGCGTTCGAGCGGGTCATGGTTCCAAAAGCGTTCAAGCATGGTGTTTTATCTTCGATCCTTGGGGTCCTGTATTGGCTGACGGTCTACGGCGTTGAGGAATGGCAGAACCCACGAGGTTGTTCAGGTCCGATGATGTTCTAAACCATTCCTTTTTTGGCTATGTATTTGTATGATAGCAGACGGTAGTGACTCCCGGCGCCCAATGGTGGGTTGAAGCCGGTAGAGAACACCGCGACGATGAGCAAGGATATTGCGCACTGAATACAATTCAATCGCATCGCTTCACGATCATCACTACATTCAATTGTGATTCCATCCATCGAATGCTTCTTCCGTCCTGTGTGATGCATAGCTACAAACAACCCGCAGCATCCGCCCACCGAACAAATGTGGATTGTATGAATCGATGACTCGAAAGAGGATTGCCAGGGACCTGCACGCGGCTTAAGTCCGCGCCGAGACCCCCGCAAAACCCGCGCGAGTTCCGCGTGCAGACAAAAAGCTTGACTAGTCATCTTTTAGACGACGAGATCCATGATGTAATGCTCGCCATAAGACGCGTGCTTCCGTTCTTTCACCTGGGGGCCCGAACACCGAGTCCAGAACTTGGTGATTTATAATTTCTAGTCTATCGGTAGTTTGTATGGTGCCATGAAGGTGGTGAGAATCGAGCATCCCTATTGTGGACGGAGGGATACGCTGGACGTGTATGATTTGGAGAAGTTCTCACTTCATCAACACAGCACCTGAGGGCGACGATGCCCTTTGTTGATCATTTGAAGGATGTGCTCTGAGACCTTTCACATGTGGGGGACCTCTATACGATGTATTCGGTGGTCATGATGCAAACGAGGACATATCGTGTGACGTCCCTAGATCTTAGATAAACGTTGACAGCACACGTGGTCGTCCCTGTGCTTAAAGCGGTCACTGAGCTATCTCGAACATGGATGTTGATCATAATGGCCCATCGTCATCAACGTGATTATGCAGAATTTGTGCAGGCAGGCAGGCACACCGGGAGAGACAGAGAAGGATGTAAAAGGATCTCTGTTCGGTCGCGAGCCGGGGTTTTCGGATGCTGCGTAATGTCCGACGCGGGCAGGATTCTGCTCCGTTGGGGGCTGACAGCACTACCTAGGTACAGAGGAGCCTCCAGAATAATAGCTTTGTTCTCTCGCTAGGCGCACGAGTCGATGACGTGAGGTGTGCACCTAATTCCATCTGTGATGACAGGTGCGTGTGATTGTCCTCGGAAACGATTCAACGATTCCTAAAATGTGCTTCCTTGCGAGCGTGCGCCATGTTTCGCTGGACTGCTGCTCACGCAAGCCGGGAAGTGCCAGCGGTGCGATGATGAAGCGTCATCGTAATGCACATAGTCAGGAACCTTCTCATTCAGGGCATATGGCGAAAGAGAAGTTGGTACGGCAGGCTCCAGCTGGTTAGGTGTCTCACGTCAGCCAGTCAAGAAAGACTAATAAGCCTCTTCTCTGGTCGGAATCCAGGATTGTGGTGAAAATGCAGCCCTGGTTCATCGTCGTCATCCTACTGTTCTCATGCACGGATGCCACGTGCAAACCGTTGCAGCTCGCACATGGCGTGTCAAAAACCCCTTTCGCCTGACCCCGACACGAGATGATCGTGTCATGACATGTCCTTTACCTTGCAGTACTTGCGTCGCCGCATGAAGAACTATCCGATCCCGAGACGGTCGATTCATCACATCGGACGAATCTTATCTGACGTCTTCCATGTGCACAAGTTTCTCAGGCGGCGTGATGTCCGCCCGTTCGTTTGCAAGGGTGGTGCCTGAACCGCAATTTTCTCACGATGCTGTGCACAAAACCTGCATAACTACTTCATCATGCGTTTCGCTTACTACACTCCAATTAATTCGCGTATACCGTTTGCGCGGTACATGAATGCACTATCTTATGCATCCGGTCATGAGTCAGCGACTAGGCTCCGAAGCCACACTTGTACCCGTGAATCATACCATGAAACTGCATTGCAGTCACTCCGAACGATTGTGTCATGTCCTCTGTAAGACGACCGGCGCCCGTAGCGGCTTTACCTCCGAACTGTGAAGAAAGTCGAATCAACCATGGGTGGAAAGACCCTTATGACGAGACGGCGCGAACTCTTCCTTGGACACACGAGAATACGTTACCATGCATTGCATTCAAAAGAATTGAGTGAGTATTAAGTGTGTGCTAAATGGTGGAAGAGAAGTGAAACATTGCATGCAAAACCACTCAAGACAAAACCGCTTGCGAGTATAACAGGAACAAACGTAGATAGATCTCCAAATCAACTCATGGCTCTGCGTCATCATAACCAGGTCCCTTGAGCAGAGGGCGGAATTTTCCTCATCTTGTAATGTAGGACGAAGAAAGAACGTAAGAAGGTAAGGTTCAGCAAACGGTCGGACAACCAAGGGACGGTGCGGCCAGCCCTGCTAGCCGTACCATCTCCTGTCATCAGATCTCCTGCACCCACATCTCCATCTTGGCCATGTCGACACGTTCCTTATTCGCTGCCGCCTTCGCCACACTGATCGTCATCTCCCAGTCGTCTTGATCACCCATGGTGACCATGTCACCCTCCTCGTCGCGGATCTTCAATTTGAAACCGGCGGTGCGCAGGCCGAACTTGGCACGGATTTGTTCCTCGAGTGCCTCGTACGTCGCAGAAGGAGTGGTCATCACGTACCGCATGTCGTCGCCGCCGTGAACCTTGATCCGGATCTTCTTGACTTCGGGCGGAGGTGGCGCGGCTGGTCGCCGAGATGTGGAACGATGTCGTGGCTGACCGCTGTTCGGGCTTGTCACATTCAGAGACGATCTCGGTGGAACAATTTCGAATGCAAGTGGCGGCGATCCATATGCGCCACCATCCGGGGAATAGTCTACTTCGTCGTAGTCGTCCTCATCTTCCTCTTCAATTGGCACAGGCTGGTGCCGAGGATTGCCCGATCGAGGTCTCGTCTGGGAGGATACTGGTCGTTGGAGGTATGATTGATCTTGAGTAGCAGCCTCGCTGTATGCTTCGATAGGGTCCTCCTCGACTAATGTCTCGGAGAAGCGATAATCTGCGCGACGGCTGCCGCTTTGTCGGAATGAACCTCCGTAATGATCCTGTCGCTGCGGCGGACGCTCCGATTCGGATCGTTTGGGGGCGATTCTCGGTTTGCTTTGTAGGAACGCAGATTGTTGCTGTTGTGGCGGGCTATACTGCTGCTGTTGTGGTTGCGGTTGAAGCGACCGATGTGACTGGATTTGCTGCTGCTGCTGTTGCTGCTGAGACTTCTGTTCGAAGGCTGCAACTCCGAGCTCCAACCTCAGAGGCTTTGCTCCTGGTCGTGCCGATTGTAAGCTCACCCGTGATCGCTCAGAAGCCATACTATCATTAGACTGTCTTCGCTGAGAGAACGTATCTGATCGATCGACACGCTCGTGCCTTTCTGGCTCCGGTGGCGGCGTGGGCGGGAAAAGATTCCTTTGCAACGGCGGCTCTGATTGCTGCCGTGCACGACTCCTCAGGTCCGATCTAACCATATTCATCGCTGCATACGAGAGCTTTTCTCCAGGTCTATCGTCAAGAGCTAAGGCTGCGAGGGCTGATCTCCGAGGATCACTGTGCATGAAGTCTCGCTCCTCGGCCACCAGTCTTGCCTTCCCCAGGTAGTCCTTGGTAGGAAGGTTTTTGACCTTAGCCTCGCTCGGGCGATAAACAACGCCTACCGGGATGGAGAAGACAGTGTAGCCCTCGGCACGATCCTTGATTGCTTCGTCGATCACATCGTGATCCTTGACCATTTTCTCCTGCCTTGCAAAGTCCAAATCCTGCAAGCCTGGCTCCATCTGCTGCAGGTAGATGTAACAGAGTCCGCGGTTGAACAAGACTTCACACGAGTACAACTTGAACTTCAACCCAAGCTGGTCGTAATCGATATTTTTGTTGCCGCGAAGATAGAGTAAGGTATCGTTGAAATTCGCTAGCGCCTCCTCAAAGTCGCCCATAAGGAAATTGCTCACGCCTTGTTGGAAATATGCAATGGCAAGGTACTGATCGAGCTGGACAGCGCGCTGATAATTTTGGATTGCCTCCTGGTGCTGTCCGAGTGTCGCATGGATAACACCGCAGTTGAAGAGGATCTTGGAAGTGTCGGCGATGGTCTCGAAACATTTGAGAGAGTTGTCAAATTCATGGTTGTCGTAGGCTGCCAGCGCCGCCACCCAGGTTTCTATCTCTTGCTTGAGAGACATGGCGGAGCCGGCACCACTGTCGTTGGTTGTAGATAAATCTTCCCGGCTCTGTGATCTGTTTATGGATTCTGCGCTGCACGGAAACCAATATTGCGTGTGGTGCTGGTTGGCGCGCAAAGTGAACCCGAAGACTGGGCAGTTGAGGTGAGCGACGTAATAATGGGTGGTGAATTGCGGGGTCCTGGGGTTCGCGTTGCGGTTCTGCTACGAGGCGCCAAACACTCCAACCGCCAGCGGTCTTGAGTTTGTTTCAATGCGATGTATGTTTGCGCTCACGGAGCTGGTACAGTGTATCGAAAGAGTTTCAAAAAGCTGGTAATGATCGTGGAGTGCCAGGTTACGATCCAATGGAGGAGACCTGGCAGGGTTGGAATGCTAAAGAAATGCAAGGGAAATATAGTGACCGGCCATGGAGGAAGGGAGAGAAGCAAGGGATGCAGTGGTGTGAGCGAGCGGAGGAGGGAGAGGAAAGAAGAGAGACTGCCGCAACCCTTTCAACTAATGTATCTTCGTACAGGAATCGACTGTGCCCTGCAGAATGTGCTGTCAACCCGCGACAGGATTATTACAATTTACAAATAGTCGCCCAAGAATAGTCCCCGGAATGAGCGTATCGTGTGTTTCCTGCCCAGCTCGCCCAGCCTTTTGCCCTGTATGGACCATCAGAATGAGGGAAAATATTTCGGGATAACCAGGAGACACGCAAGCACAACGGACCGGCCAAAATGTCGAATAGGATATCGGCCACGGGCGTCGTGAATGTACGACATTGGGGGGTATTCGGGCAGTGTATTGGGGTGCAGTAAGATGATGAAACGGAAGCGCTGCAACGCCGCAGCGAGTAAAGTTTCTCCAAAATACTTCAACGTTGGTTATGCGCGCCAAACGAATGGCCACGAGAGAAGGTTATCCACCGACTTTCCTGGGCCACATGCGGGTTGGTGCAGCATATTCCCGAACATCCTTCGATTGAAATACCTCCGTCGTACTATTGGAAACATGTGCGTGCCGTGTGGATTGCATCGCGCTGCCCAGACGGAAAGAGGATTCAATTAAACGTGCTTCCTCCACAGCGCGTATGGCGCCAATCAGCGTCGCCCGCACTACCTCGACTTTGTGAACATCGTCCCGCCAAGCGACGCCGAACAGCAACCTCGCGAGAGGCTTCGGTCCAACCAGATTCGTCGCTCTCATGGATTTCACATCACTCGGAATGATTTCGTCTGCATCGAGAAGTGTTTCTGCTGAGGAACTCCCAAAGAGAATCCGCGTGCGTGCCACGTTCGGAACGTTTCTTTCTCGAACCATCATTTCGGGTCTCCTGACCTGCGTGATGTCGAAACGTGGGTCTAGATTGTTCCGCCACGCCCACTTGGTTTGCCAAGAGATCGAACCGCTCAACGATCCAGGTGGGCATGTTTATAGCGTAATGGATATGTCGTTGAAAACGCCCGTGAACCACAGGAAGACGCTGTGGTTATGGAAGATTGATGATACATAATCTTGCTCGATCCGAGATCTGAACATCGATCTCAGACACATTTCATCTCGTCTTGCACACACACATAATAAAACCACAATGTTACTTGCATCTCTGCAAGGGTATCATCAAATTTGAAAATTACATCATTCGGATGACAAGAAGTAGAAGGGTTGTCTCCGTAGAAACAAAATGCAGTCGTGGATATCATGTCACCTCCCTCCCAGATTCTTGTCCATAGCGCATCATGCACATGACAGTTTAGTCTGACTCCAATGTTTTCGGACGTCGAGTCTGCTTTGAAGTGGTCGCCTTGCGCGATGAGTCGCGACTCCCAGCCGTTCAAGACCGACCCCTGGCCTATGACGGCTTCGATCATCACCACTACAACGGCTATCTTGCAATTGTCTCCCTGCACCCAGATGGTGTCAAGTCGGCCCCGTCCGTCCATATGAGAGCACCGCCCATTGCAACACCATGACGAGCACCAAGAAGATGGCGGGCCCAAGGAAATGCAGATATAGTCATAAGATCCGACACGTGTTGCTGTTCCCGTACCTGGTAGTTGTTCGGTCAGTTATGTTCCATACCCAACATCACCTTCCATGTCCAAGTCAGTCAAGGTCTCGAGCAGGTTGTTAAACATGTTACGATGGACGGTGACATGAGCAAGGCGGAAAGACAAGTGGGACTCGCATCAAGACTGCAGACGGGAGGAAGCCAGCAGTCACGTTTGGGAAAGGTTCAAGATACACTTACCATCTTTGTGCTTCGATCCTTCGGACCCACTGTGCCACGATTTTAAGGCGCTCCCGGACTGTTCGCGTTGGTAGTAGCTTGTACTTCTCCTCGTCTATGAGCGGCACGACAGAGGCAAACCACCATGGGAATGTCGCTGCGTCGTCTGGAGGCTGCCCGTGTGTATCGAGCACATTTCGTTGCAGCCAGCCGGTACTCCGAGCTTGATTGCGAACAATGAAGTCCTTGACCATTGCGAGAAGATCTTGCGTCGGCATGCGGTCTATCGATGGCATGTTGGGGTCTTCGTCCTCAGCTGCTGGCGCTGAGGTCTCTTCGGCTTCGATACGTTCTTCCTCTGCGAGATCCACATCATCGACGCGTTCAACTGTACCCACCGAATAACCGTCGACGAGTCCATGAGAGGTGACACGGAAGCGGTAAAGGCCATGAAGTTGGACCATGCTCATTCCGTTCGGCGTCGATGCTGCTTCGGTGATGCGGACCATAGTACCGTAGTGGTAGAAATGTACGTTGCCTAATTCGCCTTGAGGCTCACTGTATCGATTGTACATGACCAAGCCGAACTGCCGGCTGCCCTCCATACATCGCCGGAGCATGAGTCGATATCTAGGCTCGAAGATTCGCAGGAATGTGGGTTGGTTTGGAAAGCCGAGTGTGCACACGAAGAGTGGAAATGTCTGGCCGTAGACATCCCGCTCCTCTGCGGCGACTGCTTCGATTCGAGCAGCGATAGCCTCAGGCCATGATCGAGCGAGCATGGTGACCAACGTCTTGTTGCTAGACTGCCCAGCCAGCGAGGGCGCTAGGGAAAGATGGCGACGACATATTGGACAGTGCAGCGTGTGATCGAGTACACGAGTGAGGCAGACTCTGCATAGTGTATGACCACATGATGTGGTGACTGGGTTCAGCATCAGACCGTAGCAAACCTGACATTCAACCTCCTTCTGTGCCGCACCGAGCACTTCGACGATTGCACGAGTATCGAGGGTGTTGATAGCAACGTCGTCCTCGGGAGACCAAGAGAATTTGAGATCCGTCTGATAAGCCAATTGGCCCTGCGCGGCGAGCGTATACGAAGCCAGCATTGTTCCACCGGACATGGCTATATGCAGATGCTCCTGGTTAGATTTGTCTTCAACGTCATGGTGATTGTCCTGTGCGGCCACTTTCTCGACGACAGTTTGCGGCCCCTCTCCAGGCAAGAACGCGAGTTTCGCAACCGCATCTGCGATGCCGTCCATTATCTTCGAGAGAGTAACGTCGACATTGCAATCGCCAATTGTGTGTTCTTGGGCGCATTCCTCGAAAGGACATTGGAAGCCTTCTCGCCTTCCTGGCAGGTCCGGATATGAGATGTTCTCGCGCTCGTATGGCTCGGGGAGGCAGCTCCGGCAGAGAGAGTTCCCACATGGTAAAGTGACGGGATTATTGAATGGAAGTGAACACCGGTGGCACTGCAAAAGGCGCACCAGATCTCTCACCCCGGAATGTCCTCCTAGCACAGCCGAGACGCTCTTCGCCGTGGCTTCGCCATCCTCGCTCATGAAGGCGACCGCTGCCGTTTGATGGCCGAGAGTATGCAGGCGTAGGATCGTAATCGATTCGGAAAACTTCAAGCACAAGGCGCAATCATATGCAGCCGCCTTGCTGGTGTCTTCGATACTGATCCATAAATCCGCAAAAGGAGATTTTTCGAATGGTTGTTCGATTCGATGCTCAATGAGCGTTATTACCAGAGACAAGGTGTGTGGTGGTGATGACGATGAGGTGTTGCGGCGTTGGGTGAACTTTGATGACGTCGTGCTAGTAGAACTCAAGTGTCGCCTTTTGGAAGTCGTCGCTGGCTGACTGTATTATTAATTTGTGCGCAACAACAAAATCGTTTCGCTGGGTGTGATAAGTGAGCTCAGTCGTTTGTTGGGATTGTGTCGTGATGTTGTCGCGATTGCGAATGCTGGACAATGAATATCCAAGTGTAGTGAGACTATGTGTATTCGCCTGTGCAACCAGCACATATGCGCATCATGCGTTTCGGAGTCGGAGGCGAGCTGGCGAGAGTCACAGAATCATAGACCACCTGGGCAGAGACGGGATGAATATCTGCCGAGCGAGGGACCAGACAAAGCCCGTCGGTACCGACAACCACAAAGCGAGCAGTAGCAATTCCGTATCGGTCACTGTGATTGGACATATTGAAGGAGTTGATGGTGGTCAGGTCAAGGTGCGATGCACACACACATGCGCGATGCCGATCGAGACAGAGGGAGCTTGAGATCGACGCTTGCCGGGTCGGGGAGCGCAATCTTGGTTGACGAAATCGCATCGCCCACCAGAAACGTTGGCAATCGCAACGAGCGTACAGGTTTGACCGCCGCCGTGCGAACGTGAGCCCATGGTGACCCACGGTCTCACCTCTCTGGTAGGCATCTGTGGCAATATCCGAATTGGTGGCAGGAAGAAAAGGATGGTCCTCAAAGAATGGATATGGATCGAAGGGAAAGACAAATCGAAAACGATGGTTTCGATCGAATCCAGATTTACCGTCCGGTACCCTTACATGCTCTAGCACCTGCACCTGCACCTGCACAGATGTTCTTCCAAGGTTGGAACAGCCAGAGAGAGCTGTTGCATCAATTCCACCCATCGTCTAGACCCTTTCTGGCTTGACATGTGTTCGGCTAATTAGCCTCTATTCATCCACCTGGTGAAGGCAGTCATTACAATCGCTACCTTCATTATAGCCATCACTCTCGCATTGTCTACTGCGGAACAACAGGTCGTCGAGAAAGGACGTTCGTTAGTATTGACACGAAATGTGCAGGTTTGTGTAGCATTTTTTTTTCGAAGCTGCTCGCCCTTGTAGATATGTTCGGAATCGATAAAACAAACCTCGCGGCCACCTGCCTACTGCCGGAGAACAATTGGTACACAGCAAAGGGACAGTTTTTATTCCGGCCCATCTGATATTACCTCTCCGCATCCAGTTTCTTAACGCTGAAACAAATCACTCTCCGAATCGAATTACTTTAAATTTCACCCATCTATGAATTCAACAACTTGCAATCCTTTACACACATCATTACACTCTCATCTTGAAAGGCGGAAACTTTGGGTCGCCCCGTTTGACGTTTGAACCCCTCTCACCGTGACGTAGCTGTTCTGCAATCCCATGTTATCATCAGTAAGGCTTCGCGGACGACACGTGCCGGTATGCACGAGGCAGTGATTCAAACCGTTGGATCAAAGACGACGACAACGACGACGTCTTTGTTTGTGAGGCAACCAATCTGCCAAGAAAATGACTGCGTTCGCGAACAATGCAAACCCATGCTTCGGCCGTTTCTGCCACTAAATCCGATTGGTATAGCACCTTGGACCTATTATCTTCAAAGTATGTATCATCGTTGAGCACAACACGGATGGAAATATCGGATTGGTTTCCAACAGAGTATGAAATTTGTGCTCCCAAACTCCGTTGCGACTAAACCAATACTTGTCGAGCTGAACCGCACAATGGCTCCTCGCATGCAATTCCTGAACGCCGGCCTCCTTCTAGTGAGTCACAACTTGGCCCGTTCTTGTGGCACCATCAACGGATCGTACGCTGACAGTGAAAGGGTATCGAGTGGCACGCCTGTCGAATGCATGCTGATTCCGCGAATGTCGATGAACTCTGGTCCCAGCTGGTCAACGCTGTTACAACCAATCAGGCGCATGTTCATCTCCATCTCGTCTTTGAGCAGTTGCATAGCTCTGTCAACTCCTGGCAATCCATAGGCCGACATCGCGAAAAGAAACGGACGACCAATGCCCACTCCCTTGGCACCCAAGCACAATGCCTTGATGATGTCGGTGGCACGGCGCACACCACCGTCGATGTAGATTTCGATTTTATCTTGCAGACCTAATCGGCGGAGCTCGGGCATGACTTCAGCGAGGACTTCGATTCCCGAGCGAGCTGTATCTAATTGTCGACCTCCATGGTTCGACAATACAACCCCGTGCACGCCGATCGAGATTGCTCGGATGACATCTTCCACCCTCTGCACGCCCTTAAGGATGATCGGCATCTTTGTGATAGAAAAGAACCACGGGATGTCCTTCCATGAGAGAGACGGGTCGATGAATGAGGAGATGGCACGAGCGGCACCCTGAGAACGATCCACACTGCTGCTGTCTGTGCTCTGTACGTTCGATCCGACATCTGAGAACTTGGATCGCATGTCCTTCTCGCGGCGTCCGAGCTGGGGGGCATCAACGGTGATGAAGAGCCCTTTGCATCCGCGCTTCTCGGCGTGTTGCACAATCTTCTTGGTGATTTCGCGATCCTTGTTGACGTAGAGCTGTAACCATTGGACCTGGTCGCCCTCCTTAGCGTCGACGATCTCGTCGAACGAACATGAAGCTAGGGTCGGGATCATCTGGATGACGTTGTGTTTCTTTGCGCCTCGTGTCAAAACGACCTCGCCTTCAGGATGACCGAGCTTGCCGAGAGCTGTCGCGGTGACGTAAAATGGTATTGAGACTTTCGTGCCTAGCATTGTGGTGGAGAGATCGATTTTCTCAACGTCGTGCAATATCCGTGGGCGAAACCAAATCTTGTGGAAGGCGGAATGATTCTCCCGCATCGTCTAGAAACTATGATCAGTCATGTACTTCCAATGTTTCTCATACGGCGTATGGTACTCACGATCTCATCATCTGCTCCGCTAGAGTAGTATGCCCAGGCAGTCTTCTTCATGACCCTCCTCGCCACAGCTTCAAAGTCTGTCAGATTGTAGCATTGCTCCAGGATCGGCATGCGCGCAATGCGCTGCTGTCTCTCCACCTCAGCGGGATCGTCCTCCTTCTTCTCCTGTTCAACTGTCGACATGTCGACCTGACCGAGGTGCTTGCTTTGGTCTAGGTACTTGTCGAGTGTGTCAGGTGGATGAATTGGAGCATACTCTTCAGTCGCATCCTTTCCCGCATATTTGAGAATGATTTTGGGTCCGCCAGGGTGCTCGGGAAGGACTATAGGTTCGTGGGATTAGCGGTTGTGCTATTCAATACCATTTGAGTTGCGATGTGCAGACATACATTCGGTGACGTCGTACGCTTTGCCGTGAATGATGACCCAACATGATTCGCGGCTGTTGTGCTTTGCAATCTCTTGTCCGGTGAGATTGCCGCCGCGCTTCTCATCGTCGCGGTTCATGATGTCAGGAAATGATGCTTTCACTGCAGTGGCGTATGAGTCTAAGCTTCCCTAGGAAGCTGTACCTTGTAGATGCGCTGTGTGAGACAGATGGCAAACGAGATCAGCTCTGAGCACGCGGCGAATTGAGGTTTATCTTATATGACGACTGATGTCAAATAACTCGCTGCGACTTGATATATTCTTCCGGTCTTGCTATGGCGGATCTTTGGAATATTCCAATCCGCTCGGCACGCACACTTTCGACCATGACGACGGGCATTGATCTTGTACTCACATGGATATTCCGCTCCGCCGAACAAGCCCCGAGCTGTGGAGGCGCTTCGCCATGGGCAGTCTGGACCCCGTAAATATACGGAATCTGTGGAGAAAAGAGACTGAATCGATCGGGGCAGGTCTGGCGATCCAACCAGAGATTAAGGATTAGGCGACGGCCTTGCGCCCTATCAACTCTACGTCTGTCTCGGCGGCTGTTCCTCTCATCAAGTGAACAGCCCAAGGTCGTCGCGCTGGATTCGTGCTTCATCCGCAATTATTCCGCCGCATCATCCGGTCCGAGGAGTCACCCATCACCGCGTACGGATATTGTCCAAGTGCAATGCTAGTTGGTCCTCTTCGTCTCTTCACCACTATCATTCAATAGCCACTCTCCAGTGGCCCGAGCGTACTGTGGCAGGGTCCTTTCGGACTCGAGCTTCTTCAATGTTATCCCGACTCATCTGAGCATAGTTCAAATTCCATTTATGTCTGCTCTCGCGCTAACAGAACATGATCGTGCCGCGGAACCCTCACGATTTCACATTTGCGCCTGCTCAGAAAATGTCGCTGAATTTACAGTGTGCTTGGCGATGCCGAAAATCTGGAGTTGAGGCACATGATGGCAATAACCGAACTGCCTGAGAACAGCTCATCACGTCATCTGGAGAAAGAGACAATTCGAGCCTGACTACTAGACAGCTGTGCAAGACCGTACAGCAAATTATTATTTGCTGCCGTTTGTCAAATGAAGCTGTTGTGATTGATAGGCTGTGACACAACTGAGCTTCATGATGGCGCCATCAATTCATGCTCATATAAACTTGGTGATGGAAACACAGAAATGAAATCCTCACAATCTAGATCCGACTTGACTCTGTACCACCACGATCCATTCTAGATTTCTGTCAAATGCGATTGCAAAATGTCCGCGGGCACTCTTTACACGTTCAAAGGTTCTGGAAACAGCTACAAAGTTCGCTTGTTGGCTGCTCTACTTGACATCGATCTCACCCATCAGGAGCTAGATTTCCTAGGCGATGAGCAACACTCGCCTGAATTTCTGAAGATCAACCCTCGTGGAGAGGTTCCTGTTCTCGTGGACGGCGACAAGACTTTTAACGACTCCAGCTCCATTCTGACCTGGTTGGCAGGCAGATGGGGAAATAGTAAAGGAGCTCAAGGCCCATCTTCGTATTGGTCGAATGATCTCTATGAGCAGGCCCAGATCATAAACTGGGTATGAGATGTCTTGTTGTCTTCCAGGTTTGGAGATCTGATCAGCGTAGCTCTCGTTCGCCAACAGCTGGATCCAGTACGGCGTCTTCACGAATCGCGCAATCCTCAGTTATGCTGGCCCTTACAACGGTTTGGGAGGCAATAAGAATTGGACGCAAGACAAACTCGATGTGTTCCTCGAGGAGGGCGAAATCCGCGGAAACTACTCGCTCAAGGTCCTCGATCAACAACTCGGTACGAGCGAATGGCTCGCGCTGGGACGGCCAACCATTGCGGACATCAGCGTCTTCGTCTACGTAGCTCTCGCACCGATGGGCGACATAAGCCTAGAGCCGTACGCGAACGTTCGCGCTTGGATCGAGCGGATCAAGGGTTTGCCAGGATTCTTTTCGATCGAAGGTCTGGATGAGCCGCTGCTTCACGTCTCCCGATGGAAGTCGGCAGGACGACCTGAACCAAAGAATGTCGGCAAGTAGAACAAATCGCTTGGCCAGCGACAGACGAACAGTCGTCGGTCAAACGCATAGATAATGAATGGGCAATGTATTATCAGTCATCACTACCTGCCGAGGTCGGTAGTGAGACGAGGTACCCGAACACTGCCTTGCTCAATATTGTAGGAAATGGCTCGGGCGACTGATCCCAAGTCGGTTCTGAGTACCTAGGTACCTAGGTATATACGACCGCGCCACAACACAATGGCTACGGCTCCAGGTTTCGAGATAGATCGACTCATTGTAGAGGCAATCAGCACTATCGCTTGGGTTCTCGCTACCTAATTATATTTGAACGTGTTTGGCCGTGGTGATACAAATTTGCACGCAGCTGTGTCCTGCCAGAATGAGACAGCTGCACAAGCTGACTAGTGCGGCTTCATCGCCTGCACGAATATGATTTCGCACAACAGAGAATCACATAAACCAGTCATCGCCAAATTTGGACAATCGATAATTCGTAATAGACTATCCACAATGGACTCAAGCGACGCAAACGCTCCCGCTTCGGACACGCCGGGTATGGTCTCGGACGAAGTCAACCCGTCATCATTCGCTGATCGCAAACATCCGCGATAGCATGGACTGTTGATACGGCCTTGGACAAATTTCCGACCGGACGGCCAGCTGAGCATTCAGAGTCCCCCTTGCCGTATTTTCATCTCCTCGAACGACTGAAGACGACGAAGCGAGCAGGATGGACCAGATTCCCGATCGATAGGTCAGATACGTGAAAGCAGGCCTGAAAGGGCGAGGCCATTAACAGGGAAGGTTCTAGAGTCGAGTCTGTCGCCGATCACAGCTACCGCATGGCGATGATGGCCATGTTTCCACCCGTATCGCTCTCTTCGAAGCTCGACATCTCAAAATGTATCCGCATGGCATTGATTCATGACATTGCCGAGTCGGTCGTGGGTGATATCACGCCTGGCGACGGGGTACCAAAGTCCGAGAAGTCGCGGCGAGAAATAGCCACAGTCGAGCATATCGAGCGCAAAATCCTTGGTAGTGTGCATCGCGATCCGTCGTGGCTGGGTCTTTTGTCGCTCTGGAATGAGTTCGAAGAGGGTGTCTCGCTCGAAAGTCAATTTGTGCAAGATCTCGACAAGATTGAAATGCTGCATCAGATGGTCGAGTATGAGAAGTCGACCCATGGCAGAGCAGATCTCATGGAATTTCGATATGTGGTGACCAAAATCAGATTGCCGGAAATGAAACAGTGGGCAGACGCAGTTGTGCAAGAGAGCAGAGAGTTTCGACAGCAGAGTGGCTTGCCAGAAGATCCCGTTGATAATCAAGCGTGGAAAGATAAGCAGAACCAGTATTATGGTGGCCCTGGAGCACCTAAACCGAACAATTGACAAGCTTGCGAGAGAGGGGGGCGGGGCTCAGAGTTCGGATGATGTTGATAAAAAATTGACAGGCAGGAAAACGAGAATGGTGATTTTTCATACATTCGTTACATCAATCAGGCGCAGATAGTACATCCATCATCACTGCTCGCAGGGCCAATTCTGGTGAATCCATTCACTCAGTACGTTCGTCATGCTCTTGCCCTGGAGTGCCGGCTGCGTGTCGCTAACCTCGCGACTCTCCCCGAGGAACTTCAAGGCAAGCAGAATGTAGTTCTGAATGAACTCATTGTAGACGAGATCCACCTTTTCGGGATGTGCGGCATCGGTCGCCGGATCGAACCCGACATTAGCAGCTATGCAATTTGGCACGCCATAGAATCGTATAGCTTCATGAATGGTATCGTCCCCTTCAGCGCCCTCGTCGTCGACGGTGGTGTAGCCCGGAAGTCCACGTGTATCGGCTGCTCCGTTGCCTAACACAGCCTGTTGCGAGCCCTTTCCAATGAACGCTTCAGAGTGCTTATCAAGACGTTTGGCTGTCTGAGCTAGGCTGGCTGTGCTGGCCGGAATGTAAGATGGAAGCAGGTCGCTTGCGCTGAGACCTTTCGTGTCGGCAAGTGCCAGCAACTCAGTGACCAGGATCGGACCCTTGTTGTTCAGAAGTTTGAGGGCCTTGCTCGCCACGCCATATGGCACATCGCGGACCATTCGGAAGCCGCTCGTGAACGGCGAAACCAAGAAGGTCGTATCGATGGTGAAAGGGCCCTCAAAAATGTCGAAGCGAATGGCGCCACTGTTGGCGATGACGATACTAGGAGAAGTTCCCGAAGCATTGTTGAACGTATCTGGAATGATAAGCTCCTCGAGTAGGGTCAAAATGTTGTCCTTAGATGGGTACAACGCTCGGTTCAGCCAAAAATTTCGTGGGGCGCATCCGAACGCTTGGTCGAGATTCAACGCGCTTCGGCCGGCAGTGATTGATCTGGAGACATTGAGGCCCAGGTCTGTGTCGAAGGTTGACACATTCGTGGCGGAGTGATGTTGGAGGGAATAGAGGTTGTTGTCAATATACAGTCGCTGGTACTTTGGGGCAGACAGTGGTGTGGCCTTTCCTTGTGATACCTTCTTCAGACCCGAGACAGAAAGGAATCCAACAGTCTCCATATACCGTCCGCTTTCGAGCGCAACAGCGTTCTTCTCAAGCTTCCGATAGTCACGCACATGAGTGTGCCCGCCCAAGAAGACGATCGGAATGTCCCATCTTTCCTCCCTGATAGCTTTGTATATGGTGTCGATTTCGGGTCCGTCTCGGACTGGGGCATGAGCAGCAACTAGGAACAGGTCCACATCTTTCTCCCGAATCGCATCTTGAAACCATTGCTCTTTCACGGTGTCCTCAACACTTTGAACGACGGTGTTCTTGGCGTTTCCTTTGAAGTTGAAGATGAATCCGAAAGAAATGATGCGTATGCCTTGGTTCTTGGTGGTGAATTTACGGAAACGGGGCGCTAGAGGTCTCCTCTGACTATCCTTTGCTGTGTAGATATCCAAGTTGCTTGCTACATATGCGTCTTTAAACCCAGGAACAACCTCCTCAAACTCGCGCTCGCTCGTGTTCGCTTTGTACAGTTCGTGGTTCCCGACAGTCATCAAATCGATCGTCTGCTGTTTGATGATCTCATATGTGTATTTGCCCTGTGGATCACTGGCATCGTACAATCCATTCCCTTCTACGCGGTCACCTGTGTCGACCACAAGTAGGTCGCTGCCATCAGCATCTGCTCGCTGACGGAGATGGTGTGCGAATGAGATGTAGTCGCCCCAGTCGGCATCATACTGGGGCTCCTGCTGGTGTCCTCCGTGCCAGCCATGTGTATCCGTTGTATGTAAGAAGTTCAGTTGGCCCCATGGTAGCTCACGTAGAGGTGCAGGGATGGGCGACGGCGCTTGGGGCTGTTTGGCCCATATGGATGGAGCACATGCTAGAGTCAGCAAGAGCGTTGTTCCCGTCGGGACGACCATCGTGGTGGGAGGTGAAACTAAAGACCTTCTGAGCGAGTGTACAATGTGAGAAAGAGGCCTGGGGACATATATCTAGCCCTTGAGGTAGGTATGCCTAGTATATGGTACATATCTGTAGACGCCCGCCGTTGCTATCAGGATGCGCAGCGTGACAACCATGATGGCGGTGCTGGGATGCATCCCGCCTGCACGCGGTACAGGACACGCGCTTCCCCTTGGACCATCCAATACCCGCGGTCATACTGCATTGTACTACAGCTTCCCAATCCTAGAAGGTCTGCTTAGTATCCACTGATTTCCATTCTGCGATATACGTCCTCAAGACTGATTGCACCCGGGAGCGTGATTGTGTGTTGCATGCCCAGGTGGCTGGTGGCTCTTGGGGTTGCTACAGCTGAAGCATCACTCTGAGCAAGCGCACGTCACCCGCAATTGCGCGTCATGCAGGTGGACTGTAATGCATGAGTTGGTGTGTGCGCATTGACAATTCTACTCGTCCCAGAAGCTTTCCGATGCCCGAGCTTTTTCTCGCCAATTGATTTTCATCGCGCATGGTGTCACATGTTCTCGCGTTCATCAGCATTCCACATTCCACATTTCATCTTTTATCCGCCAATAGATATTGAGATCCGTCACGACCACTCGGGTACAACTTCGCAGGAACTCGGACCTTACATCAACGGTATCTGCAGACAATTGGCGGCTCTTCCCAATGGATTCACCCTCGCGCCGAAGCCAGTCGCGTGGCCGTTCACGCACATCAGACGAGAACGACGACAGATATCGCTCAAGGTCACCCGAAGACCGCGCCAATGGCGCATCAGATCGCAGTCGATCTCGTTCGCGGGATCGCAGCATGTCGCGTGGTTCAACGCCTCCGCCAGTCCCCAAAAGCTGCAAAATCGTTATCGAAAAACTTACCAAGAACGTAAATGAGGGTCACCTGCGCGAAATATTTGGCGCATACGGCGAAATCCAGGAACTGGAAATGCCGCTGAATCGCCAATTCATGACTAACAAGGGTATCGCGTATGTTCTTTACAGCAAGTCGATTTATGCCGAGGACGCCATCTCACGGATGCACGAAGCCCATCTGGACGGCGCCATGATCTCGGTCTCTATTGTTATCCCACGTCGAAGATTCGACCGCTCGCCGCCACCGATGCGACCCCGAACGGGAGGCTTCGGTGAACCTCATCGATTGACTGCAGGTGGAAGAGGCCCACCACCACCTGACAGAGGCTACGGACGACCGCCTGCGTCGCGTGGATCCCCGAGCTACGGTGGACGAGGTGGAAGGCGTGATTCGCCTGATAGAGGCCACGGCGGACGTGGTGGAGGATACAGAGGAGATCGCCCAAATGACCGATACAGTTACCGGCCGCGGAGTCGTAGCCCACAAGGAAGACGATCACGAAGTCCACGCGCGGCAAGCCGCAGTACAAGCCGCACTCCGCCAAGGAGGCAGCGGACTCCACCTCGTGCTGGGTCAGGGAATGGCAGGCGGAGAAGGAGCGCCAGTTATTCAGAATACAGTTCCCGAAGCCGGAGTCAGAGCCGTGCACGCGGACGATAGAAACAGAAACGGAGCTCCCTTGCCTTAGAGTACCGGCAACTATCGTTTCTCTGCAGCACAAAATCGAAAGTTTGGAATGTGAGCACGATACCAGTGTGGCCGACATGTTCGATTGAACTTATCATGAACATCCTTGGCTCGCTTTAATCACACAGCTGCCGCAACGAGGTTGGACTGTTTATAGAATGGGGTAGCTTTAAGAGATTACAAGTTCATTCCCTCGCTTCATGGCCAATCTTGAGAAGTTCAACTGACGATGCCTGCTGACAGTGATCTTGGCGGGTCTCACAGACAAGACATTGGTGAGGACGCCAGTAAAATTCGGCATGGCGTGTGAGAGTGTTGGTGCGGCGCATTTCGAGTCAATTCTATCCCTCCTGAAATGCATATACAGTCATTCGGTTCGCTCGAGTCATTCGCTCTGACAAGTCCGTTGTGTATGTGTACCAGACAAATTGTGCCTGATGTGGTTTTGTCTCCCCCGTTCCATTTGAATAAGGTAGATCTAGTATCCAACGCCGATCAAGTAATCGGCGAGCTTCTCCACGACGTTGGCTGCGGCACCGGGTTGTGCACTTTCTCCGTAATGCGATACAATGATGGCTTGCGTCGTCTTGACGATGAGCACGCCTTCCTTTCCCTGCGAAAGCATTAGCCTGCACTTCCGCATTTCTTATGACGCTGCCAACACATTTGTCTATATGTTGTGACGGAGCGTCCCCGTAAACCCCTCGACTACGCACCTTTTTGCCATAGATACTCCGGTCATCCGCCTTGAGTACTACGAATCGCTCGCCAGCGATGTGGATTCCTGAGCTTTGTACTTGCTTGATATCACCCTTGTCTTTGTACGCGCTGACGACCTCCTTCATCTCTGCAGGTGACACCACAAAGCCCGCCGAGGTTGCCCAAACGCTGTCGCCCTCGCTGTTGAAGATGGCAGCTTTGTCGATGCTACCGGTGGCAACAAGGCTGATCGAGGTGTTAGCAGAAGTGATAAAGAGCTGGAGAACAGTGATCTCAGCCAGGTGAGGCTGGGGGCGAGAACCAGCATGGCGAGGCTCGACTGTTTTATGACATGACATGTGCGTACCCAGTGTCAACATATTCTGTGATTATGCCATGTTAGTATGAGGTTTTGTGATAGGACCGCGAAGAGCAGCGTCTCCAGTGTCGCGATGCCTCACCTTGCCAAGACATATTCGCCGCAACGTGTAAATAGATTGTCGAATAAGGTAGCGTTCGGCTAGTTGTAACAAGACTTGCTGTGACGGAGAAAAACAGAAGGAAATGGCTGGAGGTTGTGGTGAGTGAAGAACTGTTGAGAGGACTACCAAGAGGCTCCTAATTAAAGCGACTGACGACTTTCGCAGCCCGATTTTGTGATGTTAGGTACTCATCAATTTGACAGCGCCCCGGGCTAGAAAGATGAATCCTTCCTTTAGTTCGATCAATCGGGTTTCGGAGCAGAACAAAAGTCACTGCGGGGCCGAAAGACGAAGCCCCACCAAAATTATATGACGACCATCTTCGTGTCAACCCTAACGATGCCCGGGTCCAGTTCATGGATTGAACTCGACGACATCCGCTACATGCATTGGAAATGGCTATAAGACAGATACCACATCTTAGTATATCAATACGCACGAGAGATCATGCATGGATTTTGGAGCCTTCGTCGACCTGCTGCGTGCGCACCTCCACATTGTCCAGGATCACACGCTGCTCGATGATCTTCGAGGTGGCAATGACCAGATGTATCCGTCACAAAACAAGACTGCAGGAATTGCACTTACGCCTGCCAACAAACCCAACACCCATGTTGTGGTTCTCCAACCTGCTGCGTTCAAGATGAATCCCGCCAGAAAAGGACCGACCACATCCCCGGCACCCCAGGCAGTGCTGAATAGTGCGTATGCTTCTAAGTACGAGTTCTGTCTTGGTTGAGAGCAACCGAGACTAGAGGCATGCACCTCGTCGGCGGCTTTGGTGATTTCCGCAAACAAAGGCTCCAATGCCAAAGTCGAACAGCTCCCGATGCAGGTAAGCAATGTGCAGATCATGATCTTGTGACCAATAGAATTGTCCTCAACAAGACGAAGGAGTATAAGTGAAGGAGCCATGAACAGAAAGCTGAGGAATGAAAACCATCGCCCTCCGAATCTGTCTGTCAGACGGCCGACGAAGGGGCCGAGCAGCGCTGGGACGGTCAATGGTAAGAAGATGAGACCACCACCCTCGGCGTTCCATCCAAATATTTTGTGCACGACCAGAGGTAAGATAGTCTGAAAACCTGACAATACACCCGCAAGAGCTAGTATTCCCCATGACGCTGCGATCATGCGAGGAACGAAGAGCATTTGCAGGATCACAGGTACAGTACGGCCTTTTGTCCATTCCACTGCCTTGTTGTCGACACCCGCAGCAGCAGCACCCTGATCGGAACCGGCTTCAAGATCGTATTCTTGTACTTGCGATGCTGGAAACTTATCACGCTTCCCTTCTTCCGAAAATTGCTCCTTTATTTCTGCAGGTTTTGAGTGGATGCTCCCGATCCTGGGTGTCACGGTCGTCACATCCAAGGGATTGTTGATAGCCGCACCGAGCCGTTCTTTCATGATAAAGCGAAAGACGACGTCAAGCACCAATACGGCCATGATCAGGGCGTACACAGCGTGATATCCGGACCTTTCAAAAATGCTGCCGCCCACCAAAGGAGCAATCAGACTGCCGGCGTTCAAGGCGATGGCAACCCAGCCAGTGGCCTCCCCGATGTGTGCTGATCCGACAGCATCAGCGAGAGCGGCCATGCCAGTGACCCACACAATTGAACTCCCAAGACCCTGCAAAGTTCGACCTGTAAGCTGCGTAGCGAGATCCCTCCCAAGCCACAAAAGAAGTGTTGCTCCAACCAGAACAGCCAAGCCAATCTGAAATGGCGTTTTGTGGGAAGAAAATCGATATGATAACAATGCCCACGGTACTGCAATCCTCAGCTGCTGCTAAACTGCAAATTTTTAATAAGTGGCGACTCACCAGAGGCCACAGTACAGGCGATGCCGAATACGGCGAACATGACGGCTGTCCAGTATTGTTTCTCTTTGTCTGGCAAGCCGAGCCTGTCGTGTAGAGCAAACGGTATCACGGGAATAATGCTTGAATACAGAAATTGATCTGTGAACACTGCGTATGAAATGACAAACGTGATAAAGGCGGGCGATGACCGAAAGTGCCAATTCATCTTGAGCTGTTCTTGCTACAGAATGTCTGTTGTGAAGAAGTTCCACTATTTAGTTGCGTTCGATCTTGTTCATGGCGACGAAGTCTCTATTATACGACCCATCCGCCCGTATCAATCACAGCTAGATTGACGTTTAGCTGCCCCCGGAAGTTGATCGTGTCATCCGCCTAGTCGTTACTCAGGAGACCAGAAAACTGATGCGCCTCAGCACGGCGAAAGCCGAAAGATGTACAAATTTCGAGCATATTCATTACGTGGGCCAGATCCAGGAATTTTCCGAGTACAAATGAATGAGTACAGCCCTACGATGAATATGACTGAACTGCAAGCAGGAAAGAAAGTATGTAGGGTCGGATGCGCAGGCGGAATCAGAACCCGTTACTTCCATTGATGTGGTTCGATGTTGGCCGCGATCGCACGACCGACGGGTCAAATAAGCCACAAATCGTGCAAGGTCCTGGTTGGCGCGACTTAGCCGAAGACAGATTCCCGGAACGATATGATATGGGAGCATCGAGGTCTCTCCATGAAATAAGGTATGGAATGACATGGAGGATAATACCTAATCCTTTGTTGCGAACTTGTGCACGACAAGTAATAATGTATCGAGCTATCGAGGGGAGTCTGTGTACAAGATGATAATTGCACATGCCCAATTATGCATCCATACCTACCTAGGTACCTAGGTACTTTGGCAAGCTGCGGGCGAACTTTGAATATTGAGCGAAAGCATTTCCCAATCGAACGAGGTGGACAAGTTCGACCCAATGAAGCTTTTCCTCACTCGTAGGAGGACCATTGTGACCTGGAATGTATCATCTGTTGTTATGAAACTTGGGCGTGAGGACATGGACCCCAAGAGTTCCCGCACTGGCCACCAAGCACTAGCCGCAGAATTTGTCTTCGACCTCCATCTACCACAATTTCTTCATTTCAACTTGCTTTCCTCCTTCACTCGGACATCGCCGGAAGTGTCATCGTTATGAGCGGATGCGTCAACACACGCATGTCTCCGTTGCGTTTACGCGACGCAAAATTCTATGATATGGTAAGTCTGCTTTTCTATTCATACAACTGCCCAACATGATGACCATAACTTCAAACGATAACTTCTGATCTCTGTGACGAATCAAAAATTATTCAAGCTCAACAGTCTGATCGCTCTCTTCTCTCACAAGCTGCATGCTCTACTTGAAAGCTATGCTGAACTATGTGCTAACTTGCGACGAATAGGGAATGTTATCATTGTAGAATATCACTTTCGCAATTGTATCTACACGCCCACGGCTTGTAAGCTCTTCACGGTGTCCTTGATAGAGTCGTTGAGTGACCGGTAGGTAAGGCCAAGTACCTCCTTCGACCTCGAATTGTCGAACTTGTACACGCCATCTTTCGGGTAGTCTCCACCAGGAGTGTCCTTCGTCGGCAAGCCCTCCTTGTATTGTGGGTAGTGTTCTGCGACAATTTCTGCAATCTCGCGGTTTGAGAAGTACCCAGCAACAATGAAAAAACGCTTGTTGGCAGCATCCTTCTTCTCAATCGCCAGGACATGTGCCCGCGCTAGGTCACGAACATCGACCCAGAGGAATACACCAGTCTCTGGAATTTCGTCCTTCGCTTTGCCTTGAACGATGTCACGAATGCGTTGATTAGACGTGTTTAAAGAGTCGAGTGAATTAAGGTAGTGAACAATTGGTCCCAACACGAGCGGCGGACAAATGGTTGCGAGGGAAAAGTTCGGGTTCTCTTTCTCAACGAAGTCCCAAGCTGCGCGCTCGGCAAAGGTCTTGCTTGCACGGTAGCCAGTGGACGGGTCTTTGACAGCTTGTTCCTGGGTAACAGGATTCCAGTCGGCCTCGGTGTACGTGTACTCCGGTCTGGGGCCTTTCGTGCCGTCCACGATGGAGGCAAACGAGGAAGTAATGACGACCTGTTTGACCGACGGAGCGTTTTTCTTAATGGACTTCAAAATGCCAGTTGTGCCGAGGACGGCGGGGTCCAAAAGTTCCTTCTGCACGTCCGTCACGTTGAAATGAAATGGTGAAGCAGTGTGAATCACAGCTTCGAACGGTGGCTCCGAGACGACCGCCTTGTCAAATGCGCCTTCTTGAGCAACATCTTCGACGATGGCGAAATCCAGTTTGTCCTTGCCGAATTTCGAGTGAGCCTCTTTGATCTTGTCGGCCTTCTCTTGTGAGCGCACAGTGGTCACGACGGAGTGGCCGTCGTCAAGGAGCTCATCCAGGACATGAGCGGCAATAAAGCCAGACCCACCGCTTAGTAGAACTCGAACCATGATGAAGGGTAAGGTACACAATTGTAGATAAGTTAGAAGGTGCGGCTGGAAAAGTCTCGCAAATGTTTGTTGACGGAACAGTCGTAAGAAGAGGCATGGTCACGGAGCCTTTATGTCTTATGTTTGCCGTCGAACCCGAGGGGTCGTCGACGTAATGATGGAGCTATGGGAGGTATGGATGGTATCACGTCGATTAGAAATGTTTGAAGACCTAATCAACAGCTCGCCTGATGTCATGCATTGCAAGAACATTTAGACCGTACGCGGGTTCAATCAAGAGCCTTAGTCTGTGAACACTAAGTCGCATCAAGCATTTAAAGCCGCCATCACGGTTCTCGCGGTATTAGAAATATTGCAAAGCATAAACGCCGATGACGACAAAAAGAAGCAATCGCATCATTGCGTGTCGGAAGAACTTTCGTAGTGTCGGAGGAACTTCAGAGCGTACATGGACGCCCCCGACGATTGGGGCAAACCTTGGAAATCATAGTAGTCAAATCACGTGGGCGAGTGACTCGTTATGGCCGCTAAACTCCGTGGTCGCGAATGAAATGAGCAACGACCATCCCGCCGGGCTGGGAGCGCGCGCACACAGTCTCGAGGTCATGAGATGAAGCTGACAATTTCTCGCCAGCATAAACAACAGACACGTCATACAGCGTACACAAGTTCTACATCATTTCGCGTGAAACTTCGCCATGGCGGTCAACTTCGCGCCCTATCAAAGCTCACCTCCGGAATCAGAACGCGCGCGGTCACCCCCTTTGCGCTCACCGAATGCCTCGCCGAGACCTCAACGAACACGCCCGCAGCAAAACCTCTCCTCCATAGCAGACCAAGAAGATCCTTGGGCGGCCGCGCGCAATCAGCGCTTACCTTCGCCATCTCAATATGCAGCAGACGATGAAGGGTACACCGATCTGGAGGGCGCGTCTCGAGAGCCCCTCAATGACTATTTCGGTCGGGAAGGTCCTGTCTTTGAAACGAGCTTAGGTTTACCGTTGCGGATCGAAGCATGTCTGGCATATCTTGTTATACCGCCAGCTGGAGGAATTATCCTCTTGCTGTTTGAACACAAAAGTGACTATGTCCGCTATCATGCCTGGCAAAGCTCCTTACTTTTCAGCGCCATCGTCTTGCTGCACATAATCTTCTCATGGTCATCAGTCATTAGCTACATGCTTCTTGTCTGCGATCTAAGTTTGATACTGTTCCTCACTTATGGAGCATACCGCAATGCAGAGACTCTGGACCGTGTTGAGATACCCCTGGTTGGACGATTAGCATCCAGTTTCGTGGACGAAGAATAGACATCTTACGAACTTACTAGCGTTCTGCATCACGCAAAACCGATAAGTTATCACACTTTGTCACCGAATATCATCACATCGACATTCCACTGCGGCAACGACGTGATCGCACGATCGCATCGATCGTTGGAACGCGCCAAACACGACCTATCCTGCACAGCAAATAGACAGGAAGACACCCAACTTCCGAGCACCACGATACTCCGTCGGAACCATCTATCGCCTCAAGAATGGGTAGCCTGGGAACGACAGTTGGTTCGAGTCGTCGACAGAGCCATGTGAAAAACTTCATTTCAGTGACATTTGAAATAAAGCTCGCTGGTAACGATAGACTGTGCATCATCGTCCACACCTCGACCACGAAGCTGAGGTGCCATATGTCAATGCGCGTTCACGTCGGTGCTATTCGCTGATCAATACGTCCGAAGAGAAGTCTATCTGATCCCCTGAAGGTATCATTAGAGTTGTGCCAGAGGCTGACTGGAGATAATTTATCCGAGTCATTGAAACGATTGTATGATATACACGGGCATGGCAATCTTGCACGCCCGCTACATTTTTGCGAATGGGGACTATAGGCGGATGCCGCAGTCTGCGATTCGCGCTGGGCATGGGAGCGGTGGCTATTCGATGCAGACATCGTCTGACTACTTCTGTTCTGTCCTACGATCCAGTAACCTATTGTGTAGTACCTCATACCAAATGGAAAGGGTGATCATCAATTGGGATTCCCCTCACGCGCGTTCGATCTCGGGGGCCGAGTCTTGATTATGTCAACGAATTAGGGCTCCAGCCCTGAAGAGATATCGGCCGCGGAGGTCCGCCAATTGCACCCAGAGACCATTCGACATAATTTTGAGCTATCACTTCTCACCACGCTCTTTCGCGCATCGCAATTCAAAATAGAGACATGTCGCAATACATTGGTCGGGTATGCAGATATCAAAGTGACTATCCGGTGTCATTGGTTGTGCTGATGATGTCCATTCTAGACCCGCCTGGCCTATTCTCGTGCATGGCACCATGTCGACCTTTCAGCAGAGCCGCGCCCTCTGGGTCGTGTTGCTAGTCAAATAGCCATCTGCCTGATGGGAAAGCACAAACCGATTTGGGACCCATCAACGGACTGTGGGGATTACGTCGTCGTGACGGGATGTAACGATTTGTTCGTGACCGGCAACAAGATGCAGCAAAAGAAATACTACAGCCACTCCACACGGCCCGGCAGTCTCAAAACGATCACGATGGAAAAGATGATGGCAAAGTGGGGAGGTGGAGAGATCCTACGGAGAGCAGTGCGCGGCATGCTTCCGAAGAATAGATTAAGAGATGACCGAATGGCGAGGTTGAAATGTGCGTGTTGCGATGCGGTTCGGCGATGCTCCGTTGTACAGGTTATTGACAGTCTCCCAGGTTTCGAGAGCAAAGCACATCCATACAAGCAAAATCTAATAAGGCTGGAGGATACGCAGAGCGCTGTGGAGACAACAGAGGTGAACGAAACTCCATCACATGCGCCACAGGCTGTGTCGACTCAGTGATTGTGTAATGCCCCTCGCGCGCGCCCCCAACAAGTGGAATTGCCTCTCCTACAACAGAGCGATTCAGCATCCTATTTTGATACCTGGTCGGTCATTCCAGGCAACGAATCGAATCTCGACGTGTAACATCATCTTCTCAACAGAACTTCAAGTCCGACAACGTCGGAATTTCCAAATTATTGACGACAAAGCGGCTTCGCTACGATGAAGTGAAAGAAGCGCCATCGCGTGTCACGGTGCTCTGGATCAGACCATTTGGATCGCTCTGTGGAGCATACACTTCCGCGTCCTTGCCAGTGTTCTTGAGGCCGTCAAACCAGCTGAGATCTGCAGTAAGAAGTTAGACCCAATTCCTACACCAGGGCGTAATTTGTCAGGGCACTTACCGATCTCGAAATAGTGTTTGTTTGGTAGGGTGTAGTCCACAGACTGGACTTTTGGCGCAGCTGCTAGGATTTGCTCACTCATCAGATACATGGTATTCTGTACACTAGGGCTGTTCTCCTTGGCGAATGTATCCAAAGTGATGGATCTTGCTTTGTTCCAGGTCTCATTGAAAACGCCTTGATCCCGCTGAATGTCGTCGAGGTTTGCATATTCGTCCCAGACCCATGATGCTTCAACTTCTGTTGACAAGATGCGATCCGTTGTCTCTGGCAAGCGTGTGTATTCGTCGCGATGGAAGCCCCAAAATTGAGAGCCGGTGCTCTTGAGGACAAGGAGGCCTTTGATACCGCTGGTGACTTTGGTGCCCTTCTCTCTTCTCGCAACCACATTGACTGTTCGCGTTTCGTCCCCGTCGCGTAAGAATGAATGCGGGTGAGGCTGGCCATCGACTACAAGTCTAGTCCAGCGATGGACAATCACGCTCACGTGGGCGACAGAGATATGGCTGTACTGCTTCAAGAAGTGGTTCGCGAGGATGCTTGCAAAAAGCTCCGGCGGGTTCACCGGATGCAACTTCGCCATCACGTATACTGTCTGCTTCTGAGTGTCTGTAGCCACAATGTTCTTGTTGTCGGCCTTGGTCCATGACTCGGCAATGTCTCCCTCTAACAACGTGCAGACGGTCATCTCGGTCACATCCTGGGTACCGTCTTCGTTTCGTTGGACCTTGTAGACACGAACATTGTCCTTGCCGTAACGTGCGTAGCTGAGTTGAGGCATTTCGTGAGCGCAATAAAAAGCAATTCGCGATGAGTGGATTGTCCAAACGAGCCCTGGAGACTCCGAGAATATTGATTGATAAAAAGATGAAAGAATGGCGAATTGATTATATAGTGCAGCCGTGCCGATGTTCCGAAGATTACATGTATTGTTATACGCCCTACATGCGAATGCGAAGAGTTTTATCAGCTGAGCATGAGGTTCACATGTCATGGCGTTCCTTATCAGCGATGTGGTTATATCTACAGTGCAAACGCGGGTCGAATCCCACATCTAGAATCACAAGGCCAGGCGCGTGGGCGTATTGATCGGAAGAGTCGAGGCGTTGAGGACTTTACATGCTATGCCCCGTCATGCCGAAGGAAACCGTGCCACAAAACATACATTCCATCCCTGCGAAAATTGCCAATGGTCATTGTTAGCGAGTCAGAATGAAGAGTATGCGCCGCAAATCACGATGAAGATCGGTTTAGGGAAGCGATGATACCCAGCGAGTATGGAAAAACATCCGACAAGGCTGGGACGAGGGGCACGAAGTCGTGCCTGAGGCCCCGCAGTTGTACGTAGACAATTGACGACATTCAGAAACGAACAAGCCGCTTCTGACGGAAATCACCATTCGAAATCACCTTCAAAGCAGGACTTAGCCACAGGTCGGTATATCAATAGCAAGTGACCATCGTTCATATGGCGCCTTGAGGCGATTGGGTCGGCGCGGCTACCTAAGCTGATATCGAATGCATCGCCTCTGAAACATGCCATTTGCGCATTACTGGTGCATCAATGCATCTCAACACGCAAGTGTTGGACCATTTACCACACATGCTGCGGAGCGCAGCTCGGGACATGCCAGAGAGACACAATAGTCTATATGCGGTCGTTGTAGCTCGATGACGAATCCCAATCCTAGAACCAACGCTGCCTTCGCGGCTGCGCAACCTCCTCATGATGGTCTATTTCCGCCAGCACGGCCTCTACGAGATGCTCGCTCCCCATCCAACGCCAGCTTTGTCACTGCCAAAGCCGGGTTATCCTACGGTCGATCCGCAGGCCCCGCTCCTGGTACCTTCACCGCCGACCTTCAATCAATCACTTCGCGGTTAGATGGTGGACGTCCAGATTTCGGAAGCTACGCAGGGTTTGATGATACCTTCAGTGATCAGGCGGCTACAGAGCAGAGGCTCGCCGGATATAGACAAGAGATTGAGAAACAAACACGATTGAAGGCAGGAACCGAAAATCTTCTCGAAGCACTGAGTTCAAAAAATGCCAAAAAGTCGCGGGACCAGCGGATAGCCGCCGAAAGTCAGCTGAACACCTCAAATCGGAAGATCGCGCAGCTGAAGCAAGATCTTGAAGCTGAGATTCAGCGGAGCAAAGATCAGCCTGCAAGTCCTTCCGGGCGGATGTCCAAACTGTTCTCGCCCCATTCTCAACTCACGGCAACAACACCCCAGAGCGATTATGGAGACGGACAGGATCCCGAACTGGAGTCGCCCAGCTACATATTAGCTGAGATTTTGCAGGCCCTGGAGGTCGGAGAAATGCAGCCAGACTATTATGTCGATCAGGCTAATAGCCTAGTGGAGCTATTTCGGCGACACCCAACGTTAAAATACGACCTAGCATGGTCGATATTTGGGCTGAGAATGCAGGTGATGCTTCTGAGCGCTAGTCGTGAAGTCGTAGCTGCCGGTTACAGAGTCATGCGATATGCTATTACGGATAGGAAGTCTCTGCAAACCATTAGGGCTCTGCAGACCGATTGCCTCGTCATTCTATCTCTGGTCAAGGAGAGCAAGGCACGGGTCGAGCGTGAGCAAGCCATAAAATTCATACGCGCTTTCTTAGACGTGAAGGACGGCACAAAGGAAATACATCCTGCTGTCGCGAGGATTGTCGTAGCTGTGGCGGACCATACTGACGACCAATTGCGTAGTATCGCTATCTTGACATTAGCAGAAATGCTACTCAAGGACCCAATGCTTGTCGTCAATGCTGGAGGGGTGAACGTCCTGGCGGAGGCTATGGGAAGCGGAGTCTACCATGCCCCCGAGACTTTGCTCGGCCCACTTTTACATCTCATGGACTTACCCTTGCGAAGAGATATCCTAAGATCCGGGTTCGAATTCAGCTCTGCATTCGCAACCTTTGTGGAGCCGCAATCCCACGCCATGGAGGAGAAGCTGGCATCAAGCTCCAGAGTCATCGTGGGTCTGTTCAGGAGCTGGTCAGGACTTTTCACTCTCTCCCTTCACGACTTCTTGCCTGTACGCTCGATCGTTTCATCGTTATACATTGCCGATATCCGAGTGCGTACCGCCACGCTTGATGTACTCGTTGACATCCTTCGGCTGGAAAAACGATCGTGGTCGACTCCTTTCATAGGTGGCCGACGACTTACTACATTTGCAAGGGTGGCGAACTTGCAGCACGAGCACGATGCAGCACAGAATTCGTCCCCTTCTGACGACACTGACCGTAACAAACGTAATCTCGTGCATCATTTCACGGCAGTCTCTCTTGCGGTATTACTCCGTCAAGGCTTGATGCAAGCCCTACTGCACTCTGAACGGGACTCTCCTACGGATGCAATTCGCCGAAGGACGGGCCTTATCATAGCGGAAGTGCTGAAAAAGGCCAGTGATCTGCTGCCCACATCTTGGAGCGGCGAGCTTCAAACCTTACCTGGACTATTTGATGCGGCTCTCCGGTTCGGTGATCATGATCGGCTGTTAGCACTCGCGACAGTATTTCAGGTCGACAAGGTCAACTTAAAGTTATGGCGCTCGGAGTCAGAGATGAGATCGCCCACCGGAGTGCAGCCCGAGTCTCAAGGTGCACGCTCGCGATCTGCCTCGAAAGCTCAAACAGGAGCAGTCATGGATGAGGTGCAGCTGAAGCAGAAAATGCTTGAAACTGAAGTGCTGAGTACGGTGAACTACGAGAAGTGGGACTGGCCACTCATATTAGAGCTCATCGAAGGGCCTTTGACAAACCCAAAGCACCTTCCCGAAGCTACCGATCGATCTAAGTTCGTGCATCGACTTCTGAAATTCTTGAAGCCTTTCCAATATCGGTTCTCGGAGGCCAAAAACACCAAGGCAAATCAGCGCTACGTACGAATGGCGTGCACCTTGGTCAAGACGCTCTTGCAGACACCAGAGGGCGCAAGTTACCTAGGGAATAGTAAAACAATCCGTCAACTCGCTGAGTGTCTCGCTCAGGTCGATACAGCCTCCGGTATCATGTCAGCAGCCCCAATGTTCTCTCCAGATCGACTGACAGACAGGCTTGTCGGGGGATACTTCGCGATGTTAGGCACAATGTGTGGTGACCCGCGCGGTCTGCAAATCTTGGAGCGATGGAAGATCATCAACATGTTCTATCACATCGTTGACGTGAAACATCGCGATGATTTGATCCGATGCCTACTTACGAACCTTGACTATACCCTTGACAGTCATCCGCGAATCATATTGTCAAAGGCAATGATTGCAGCGTCAAAGCCGATGCGTATCCTTGCCACAAGAATTCTTCGCCAGTACGCCATTGAACCCATCGATCTGACTATTACAGGAGGTGGACCTGCAGAGTGGGCGATCAAATTGCTGGTCAGCCAGCTTTACGATCCCGAGATTGAAGTCTGTGAAGTGGCCATCAAGATATTAGAGGAAGCGTGCGAGCGAGTGGACTCACTCAAATATGTGGTCAAGTGCCGGCCCGCCTTGGATCATCTTGGCGAGATCGGCGCTCCGCTCCTGCTTCGCTTCCTCTCTACGTCTGTCGGATACCACTACCTAGACGGCCTAGACTACATCACGCGAGAGATGGATGACTGGTTTCTAGGTCGCAATGATAGCTACGTGACTGTGGTGGAAGCATCTCTGGCACGCGCGTTGTCTGACGTCCCTGAAAAGCTACAATCCACTCTCGATGATAACATTGGTCCACGCGAGTTAGGTCTCGTGCCGCCGCATTTCTATCGCGAGCTCACACGAACTGCTGAAGGCTGTGAGCTCCTCAAAGCGAAAGGACATTTCGAAGAATTTGCGGCCACAATTCAAGACTTCGCCGACGAACAAGAAGATGCCGAGACCATCTTGAAAGTCAAGGGTTGCCTCTGGGCTGTCGGCAATGTCGGCTCGATGGAACTTGGCGCACCTTTCCTCGAACAAACCGATGTCGTCAAGCACATTGTGCACATTGCGGAAAACTCTCAGGTCATGACACTCCGTGGCACCGCCTTCTTCGTCCTCGGCCTGATCTCCCGCAGTCTGCACGGACAAGAGATTCTCACAGAATACGGCTGGGATGGCACGACCAATCTCATGGGCGAACGGCTGGGCTATGTTCTCCCACTGAACTTCGGGAAGCTATTCTCCTTATCTTCGTTCTCGACGCACGGTCGACCAAACAGCGTCCTTGCCCGCCGGCGGCCGGGACCCATCACCGATCTAGACCCAATTAACACTGAAATCCTCGCCGCCATCACGAAGCTTGGCAACACGGTTCTGATGAACAAGGCCCTCGCCGAGCTTGGCGCACTGCGACACAAGAAAGCCGCCGGTTTCCAGTCACCAGCTCTATTCCGTAAAATCATGGTCCTGCTCGCATCCCATGCGTACCGCATCCCACAATATCGGTTTGTGATAGATCTATTCGACAAAAACGTGCTCCGTAGGATTGTATTGGGCGAAGATGAGTCTGAGTCTTCTGAGGAGGAGGGCTCTGCATCGTCACAGGAGGACGATGACAGTACTTGAAACGAAAGAAGAGTGCTCGCGCACTGATGAAATCTGATGAAATGGCGTTTGGGCAGAGGCAGGGATCGAGACGGATCTGCAGCGATCTGTGTGGCAAACGGAGCTCGGTGCGTTGACTTATGTATCTGAAAATGTACACTTGGGATTCACTTGACGAATTGTACTCCTCTCTGTTCTTTCATCGTCGTACTCGACTTCGTTCGACACCACCGCCGTGCTTCGTAAGTAGCATGCCACCGGTGCTTCAGAGCGGACTGGTGGCAAAGTCTATCGGTCAAAAATCAACATGATCAGAGCACCGGAGATATAGCATTACTCTCTGCGCAAAAGGGCATGAGATGTGAATCTGCTTGAATTGTAGGTTCGTATATCATATTGAATCATTATGGACATGAATGTAAATCAAATGCAGGGACAAAATGGGGAATCTCTGTGAAAATCGTCTGCTCGGCTCCCGTCGCCATTGTGCTGCAAAAAGAGTGTGTAGAACAAGTCATTGAATCGTGTCTATGCCGGGCGTGAAGGCCCCGATACATTCTCGCGCGGCGGGGAGGTCTCTGCGTGCTCCTGATCCGCCTCGCCAATGCGTCGAGTGCGCACGCGAAGAGTATTTCGCAAGCGCCGGCGAATGTTGGATTCCGCTTCTTCATCCTGTGAGGGATGTGTGTCGGTCCTCGGCCCAGCCGGATTACCACGTCGCAGCTCTCGCAGCGCGTTGAGACGATCCTCTCTGCCGGTTCCGAGAAGTATTCGGTGACGAAGGCTAGCCCGCCAATTTCTTTGCCCTTCTTCCGCTGGGTTGAGAGGCGGGGCGAATCCAGCACCATCGCGATCGGGATCGTCAACTTCCAGTTCGTCTCGCTGATCCTTTGGTCGCAAATCGATGCGACACAGCGGACACGTTCCGGAAACGTTAAGCAGCCAAGGATCAATACACGCTGGATGGAATCGATGGTCGCATGGCAGCACGCGCTGGTCTTGGCCCAGCTCGAACTCATCCGTACAGATACTGCAGCCTTGACTCTCCGGTAGTTCAGGCGATTGCTGCGTTACACTAGCCGCTGCTGTCTCCTCTCGTCCGGCAATGTTTAAGCTTGCCTGCTTTCCTCCAATCACGCCCTCTGCAGCAGTCTCGAAGTGCGAAGCTTGACGGTTTGTCTGCGAACTGCCCGATGCTGGCAGCATCTCAGCAGGCCCATGTGTGCCCTCGACCATCTCCACATCAGTCGGTTTCGCATTCTCTTGTCTTTCGCCGACCTTGATGATTGGCAATGTATCCAGCATGGCTTTTGCCAGCCCACGTGCGCGACTTTGACGCGGCCGTCCGGTAACATTGCGCGGGCCGTATCGTTCAGGATTACGATGCGCGCGTATGGCCCCTGTCACGATGATGGCAAGGAAGAGCGCTGTCACGAGTCCGGTAATGGAATACAAAATGATCATGGCGATGTTGGTGTTTGGAGGAATCATCATAGCACCCGAACCGCCGTTGCCATTGGGCGAGGAGTTGCCCGGTATCCGGCTGAGGTCAGCATGTATCACGGCGTTGGGGATCACAGCTGCGAGCAGAGAAGCGGCGTCCCCGGCATTGTCCGTAGTGAAGATGTTTGAGTATGATCCGCTGTAATTGGTGAGATTGCAGCTTGTCGAGGTGATGGAGTACAAGACGACCGCCAGTGCTTGAAAATTTATGGCTTGATCGAATATCATGCTTGGTGGAGCCGAATTGGACGACGCATCGCAGGAGATCAGTGCTATGTATCGCTGATCGAGTTTTGTGTAGTTGCTGACATCGGCCAGAAATGGATAACCTGACAGACCCTGAAACTGCGCTCCAGTCAGTCATGTAATGCTCGACCGGCGGAGGCAAGACGCATTGCTTCATGCATACCTGAATTGTGTCTAGAGGGGTGAGTGGCTGGACAGTAAACTGGCGTGCTGCGCCTGAGAAAGACAATTTGTATGTAAAAGTGTTCGAGAAGCTCGTCGAGTTCGAAGGCACGATGTCAGCGAGGGCAGCGACCACAGTGGCGGCCATGAGGAGCGCATGATTGAATAAATGCATGTTGCGAAACGACAGAATGGTGTCGTTGATGCGGCGAACAGAATGTGGTCGTTGATGCGGATTGTCGCGCAATCCACAGAAGTGATGCCAACTACATCCAAACCGGATCACTCTGTAGCCGCCAAGGATTGAAAACCCAAGCAGATACCGGTATCTCTAGCGGCGACTGATGAGTGCCCAGGCGACTTCAATGTGGGAGGAGTGATGATGGCATGAACAATCGAGTATCAGCGGCTTATCAACCGGGGAAGGACAATCATGACGGTCACTATCATACTAGGTACTTTATACTGTATACTGGAATTATTATTATTAGCCCCTCTCCCCCGACCTCCGGATTTGCACTGCCCGCATGAGAGGAAGAGGCACAGGAGGCTGTCCACCATGGATACGATCAAGCGTCTGGCATATATATGTGCTGTGTTGATGATCATCTGTAGAGTAGCGACCGGTGGTAGAGGCATCCGATAGTGCCACGACAACAGCACAGTACAGTACGACACTTTCCCACAAGGATTTCAGCCTCTGTTGGCATCGTGGCATCCTCCGATAGACCGAGAAATAGCGGTACAGTCCATTCCCACACATGTATCTCTCCCGGATCGTGCTGATCGATGATGCGAGAGCGGGGAAGGAAAGCGCGCTCCAGCCAGCCGGCCCTTCCAGGAACATCAATAAATCATTGCACACCTGCATGCGGCAGCACGTGAGCTTCCATGTAAAGAACTCGACCTGAGAAACCTTGGAAACCTCCAAATGTTCTAGTCGCCCATCATCCACCTGCAGCTGCAGAAATTACGCAATGGTTGTTATGCCTCTCTCAATTACGGTTCGTCTAAAAGAGAGGGATCATGATCATGCTCCATTGTCTTCATCATCAGTATCATCGAATGGATCAAATCATGCACTCGTTATGCTCGAGCGTCACCCTGGTCGATGATCTTGTGCAGATCTCTGTCAATTCGAGCGGGCCAACATTGCGCCTTTCCCAATGCCCTGCAGCACCAGACCAAGATACCTGCATGCGTTAAATCCATGCAAGGTAGCCCACATATCTTGAACTCCAACACTGAGATGCTCCTCGGTCGATCGTCACACCATAGCCAGAGGATTGTGGGCTGGCTTCTCCGCACGAGCACTCCCGCAAATATTGTCTTCACGACTCGACCGTCGATAGTTCGCTTCGAATACACTCATCGCGTTCGAAGCCAAAACTGCCGTCTACCACAGGCCAAAATCCTCGACATCGGCGCGCGTGCTGGGAGGTTTGTGACACTTCTGCCGGACGAGATGTGCCTTGAAGTTGATGCGAGTCATCTATTCGAGAGACGAGACGTCTACTTGGTTCTGCTGAAAGTTTTGCGAAATATAGTTGCTCGTTGCGCACTTCCTTGAAATGTTCCGCTTTCTGTCCATGAAGGAACATATGACATGTAAGGCCTCGTATGGATAATCAGCATCAAGTATCTCGGTTCAGATTTGAATTCTCGCGGTAGAAACGATTTCTTGTGTTCACATTATCTGCCATCAAATCTCCCTCCCGGTCACACGACAGGGACCATGAAACACCGCGCTTTCACGGTCCTTCTCAACGTTGCTTGCGGACTGGTGTTCGGACAGGCAACAGTCTATACCAATGGTGAATCTGGAAATGGCCAGATAAAAGGCAGCGACGACTCGAAACACGCTGCAGTGCGACCTTTTGCCGTCAATCCAAACCGCGATGTACCCCATCACTACCAATTCGAGAATCATTCGTCTCGCAAGGGCGTATCATCGTCCTCCTGGAGTAAGACTGTCACTGTAGCTGTGTCAGCATGTCCCACCGCCACTGTCAACTCAAGTCATACAAGCCCAGGTCCCTACACAAGCAAGACCTGCCGCTCGATAGTGACCTCCACAACCCTGACAACCATCAAACCAATCACCACTGTCACCTACGAGATCAACCATGGCCGGGGCACAATTGACGGAGACCCGTTCACTTCGTATGATCACATCCAACTACGACCGACTACGATATATCCAACGACCCGGTATACCGTTGCTGCCACTTTCACGTCATTGGCTTTCGTCACCCCGAGCACAACCTTGGGTACCTTCCGTACCATCATTGCAACTCCGCCTCCTGACTTTCTGCCAATCTCAAGCACACTTCCGCAAGCATATATTGGTCAGAACTGGAACCGCAAGCGTTCACCACGAAAAGATGTATGCAGTCCTATGACCACCACCATCACCAAAAGCGTGATGTTGCCGACTGCCACGAGCACGGCATACACGACGCTTTCGGGCATCATCTACACGTTCTCCGGGCCGAGCCTCACCTTGGATGAAGTCGCCATTTCAAAATTCGACGCAACTTACACTGGGCCTGTGACCGTTACTGCGACAACACCTCAGATCGTCACGACATCACACCAAACTACGATCACGAAAACAATCACTCTACCCGTACAGACAGTCACTGCCACCACATCCTATGTGTACCCCGCCTGCGAAACCGACACCAACCTCATCAGCGCTGTACAGCGGGGTGCCGATTACTTCGGCATCATTGCTACCGCAGCGGAAGATATCAATCCTGATGGTAGGTATATCAGCAGTGAGGATTGCTGCATTCGCGCGTTTCGGCTTGGGGGAGTCGCGTATTGGCAAAAGACTGTTAATCAGCAATGTCTCGTCTATCGTGTCGCGGCAGACAACAGATGCGTGCAGAGCGGCCATAATGTGACGGTGAATGCCCAACCACTTGGCAATCCTTACAGCGAAGTCGGTGCAATGACTGGCAATGGAGTTTGTGGCCGAGTCACCACCCCAAACTATCAGCCACCGTCAAATGGACCACCCAGATACAAATAGGTGGAAGAATGGGTATCGTAGTACAAGATATTCCAAAAACATAACACTCGCTCAATATTCTAAGCAGCAAAATATATGTGCTTAGGTACAATCCATGGTTGGCTCGGAAATTGCAAAAAGCGAAGTGCTTGCCCGAGCACGGAATTGAACCGTGGATCTTCCCGTGTCATGTCGTACGAGCGGGACGCCTTAGCCACTGGGCCACGCGGGCGTGCTGTCTGAGTGCAGTTCTGCTTGACAGGTTGCTCGACGCCGCACACATGTTGAATATATACCGCACATCGACGCTGCGTCTTCATGGTAATCAGGATCGTGCTCGGAACACCCGTAGTCCTGCAATTGGAAACAGGATGGGAGACAAGCGTGGACAATTGCAGGTAGATCCGGATGCAATGGTCGCGAGCTTCCGAAGTGATCATGAGAATATGGACTGGACTGCAGAAAGGAGATGAATGACAGAGGCCAAGCGAAGGAATCTTCATCATCATCGGGAAGCTTGGACCCGATCAAGTGTTGGGCGTCTATCCAGCCACATCTAATTCTCGAAGAGGCTCGCGGTCTGGACGGACGAGTTTGGTGGACTGCGCATTGCGATCGTCGTCACCAACGCTCTTTTGACCTTCGATGCATTCCCACTTTGGTCGTGACCACAAGGCAGACGTTGTCTCTGATTTCAATAGATTTCAACATTGAAGTCGGCTTCTGATTTGTCAAATCATGCAACAAAGTCGCTATCGATCACTTCCACGTTCGCGGTTTGCGCCACAATTGTCTCACAGTCTATCGTTGAATGTTGCCCATGTCGCGCTCGCGTGCGCCCTCCATTGAACCCAGCCTCGCCGACACCCATCGGAGTCGTGCTCTTCCTGGCCCACCCCGACTTCGTCCAGGCAACAAAAGATTGATTTTGTGTGAAGATGGTGCGTATCTCCGTCCGTTCGCGGAGATGTGGATTACTCACACGTCGTCTATAGGATCCTGGCAAAACTCGGAAAGTGGCTCGCTCAAGGACTCCATAGTCATTCCTAGTAATGTGACGCGGCTGTCTCGTGCTATCAAGGCCGTCAGCAGCGATGGCATCCCTCAAGTCGTGAATTACCATTGGGGCGTAGGTGGTGGCGGAGGACTTGCCGACAAGCTTCTGGGTATCGGTGGAGGAGGTTCGTCATGTCTCAGATTGCTTCTGAAAATGTCCGACCATTGAAATTAGGCTGACTTCTCCAAGGGCTGTCTGAAATCGTCAGAGAGGGTTACAACTATTTGGCAACAAATTGGACGCCAGGCGATGAGATCTTTATCTTTGGATTCTCACGTGGTGCCTTTACAGCGCGCAGCATTGCAGGTCTGGTCGGAGAAATTGGACTTCTTACATCTACCGGACTGCCATATCTAGCCGAGATCTACAAGGACGTCCAGCATCAACATGATGCAAACTACAAACCTAAATATCCAGACCTGCCATTTCCCGACAAGCCGAGCGTCTCGGATCCAGCATACAAATCCGAATTGCGGCGCCGTGGCATGACGGTGCTGAATATACCCATCAAGATCATCGGCGTCTTCGATACAGTGGGCGCGCTGGGCGTGCCCAAAGTTGGCTGGCTCACACGTTTGGGCATTCAATCGGAAACCATGCGAGAGTTACGCTTTTACGATACATCTCTATCAAATTGTATAGAATACGCCTTCCAGGCTCTAGCACTAGACGAGCGGCGATTTGCGTTTCAACCAACGTTGTGGGAGAAATTTCCAGACAATCGAACAGTCTTGCGACAGACATGGTTTCCGGGAGCTCATGCCAATGTCGGCGGCGGGTACGACGAGCAGCAGGTGGCTACGATCACTCTTGCATGGATGATCGCCCAATGTGGCGACATGCTGGACTTTGACCCAGATTACATCCACGATCAATGGGATCTGGTCGAGGAGTACTACGAGAGTCGACAGCAAAAGGTTCGGCCGTGGTCTTTTGGCAAGATCTACGACGGGCTTGAGGGGATTTTCGCGCTGGGCGGTGCCAAGGTCCGTACGCCGGGGCGGTATACGGCAGTCGATCATCGTACTGGACGACCAACGGATGAACCTCTTGCAGACACGTGTGAATATATCCATGCTTCCGCGCGCGCCCGCTTCAAATTGCATGGACCCGGCGTTGGCGATAAAGGCGACTACGAGTGTGCGACCCTGCAGGACTGGAAACTTGTTGTGGAGGCCCCTCCGGAAGGGATTCGACGACCCGTCATCTTCTGGAAGTCTCGTGATCCCCAACCTGGCTTTGCAAAGACTTTGCCCGAAGCGCCGCTATGGCAAGCGGAGTTAGAATTGCTGAAATACGATGCGGAAACAGAGCAGGACGTACTTCGACCCCCACTCTCACGTCAACGCCGCGTTTCAAAGCGTGAGCCCGGGCGTCAAAGAAGCCGGCAAAGGAGCCGGCAAAGAAGCCGCCAGAGAAGTCCTTGAAGTTGAATTGAATTTACGAACAATTCATGAAAGTCGGATTTGCAGCGCTCTGTTTCCATCAAACTTTCATATCAGGCGACGCGTCTTTACGGAACGTAGCCTTGACTCGATGACGAGAAATTCGAAACTGCGATCCCGTTGAAAATAACTTTACACCTATAGCCAACATTGCACCCATCTCTGACGCCTTTCATACGTCGCCCGGCTTGGTGGTATCTTCACGGTACATTAGTGGCTCATCAACGCACTCTCAACAAAGGTCCGGAGCATACTCCTGACCTTTCTGCCAGGGCCCCGATGCGGAAGCCATTCATAGAGTGGACTGCAATCACGCCGTGGCAACGATGCCGCATGGTGTCAGATGAGACACTAACAAATGACAGCGTCTTCAGATCTGGTCCTTGCGGCTTGCGGGACAATGTCGCTTTTCGGGATAACTAACAGACGTGCACCATTTGGTGGCACCTCACGTCGGTGGCCGTTGCAGTTACGTTGCAGTTCAAATCAACAAGGCTGAGTCACAGGACTCACTTCGCTGACTTTGCTTTTCAAATGCATGAAGCTGAGACATCGCCGTCGCCGTGGCTAGACTCTGCTCAGCCGCGAAACACTGTATATTGTGTGTTGTAGCAATATTTGGATTTTTACCTAGGTATTGGAATTGGTTCGTAGCGCATGTAAAATCTGTATTCTCCGTAAAGTCCCGTGTATGGAATACCGAGAATCCAGCGAGCGTCAGTCCGACGATCATTTGGGCTTTGGTTTCCGAATGACAACTATCCCATCTTCTTGGAGCTGCCAGCCTACACCACCTTGAACAAGTTCTTCAAAAGTACCGCCTCCAGACCTTTCAACGAATGACTTGTCTGCACTCATATAGCTGCGTCCGAGACACTTCAATGCATGTAATCGTATCCGTTCTGCGGCGAATTCGACAATGGCACGCTGGTAGCCATCAATGGCACGCATGATGCGCCAGAAACGCACCCAGTCGTCTTGCACCAGAGCATGCAAAGTGCTGTTGACTTTACGATCGCGGAGCTTGAACTTCAGCTTGATCGCATATGCGTCTGCTAGTTCGTACTGTCTGCAAGCAAGATCGAGCACATAGTAGCCTGCAAACTCATCGAGCTCTGGCTGGGAAAGAGCAGTGTGCGGATGAATGTGAAATAAGAGGTAGAGAAGAGCTGGTTGATACGATTCCCACGAGCGCGTCAGGATACTCGCATGTATCACAAAGATGTAAGCCCTCTGCGCGAAACTGTCACGTCTTCTGGATCCTAGAATGCCCTCGCGAAGCTTTCGCATGGCCATCAGTATGGTAGGCAAGTCGCCAGGACGATCGGAATCCTGTACACGTGCAGCGCTGGAGAGACCATCTGAAGGTCCGCTTCCTGAACCTACGGATGACTGGTTCGCAGCCTTTGCAGCACGATCCTGGATATGGAGTGATGCGAATGCCGCTTCGAGCTCACGACCACCGCCGGATGAAGCACAGAATTTCATGTACCGCTCGACGATCTTGCTATAGTAGCTTTCTTGTGTTTCAAAATCATGTAGTCTCCATCTTGAATTAGCTTGGATTCGGTCATCGCCAGAACATTGAGCGTGCACCTAGTCTCCCCCTTGGAAGGCAATCCATAAACCTCCAGCGGGTCGATGACTGCGGGTTTCAGTCTGCTCCATGCCCCTGATGGCCCGCGCCTTGCTGGCCCACGTTGCGAAGACGACATTGCGAATGTTTGCGAAAGGGTCCTTCGGCTAAATCCAACAATTTGGCAAAGTCCTTCGGCGCAGCTCGCTTCCAGGTTTCGGGAATATAGAAGCAGAGCAGGTGCCAGTGACGAGGAAAGAATAATGAACAACCACTTACTACCCCAGACATGTAACAATTCGCCCAAACTTGGGTCACACTGTTGATTAGGGTTGCAATATCACATCAAGCAATCACATGGCATTACACCACATCTCTGGAGGCGAATAATAATTTCCATTGTCTTCACCTAGTAGAAAGGGCCATAGTCTGGCGACAGCATACAATGATCGAAAGGCATTTCTGCTGAAGTAGCAACCAACCCAAAACGGGTTGGACGGGGTACAATGAGGTGTTTGACAGGGGCGCCGCCAATTTTCAACGATGTGCCAATGCTATGACGTAGGCCGTAACGTACACCTTGATCGATCAATGTCGTTAGGAATGCGAGTATCTACGAATGTAATGTTAGGAATGGGCCGAGGTGGTCTTGTTAGATATACAGCCCGACTTCAGAAGTAGACATCCGGTAATAATAATCCAACTAGGATAGCTTCAAGACTGCTGTAAGACTGCCACATGATGCGTGCTCATGCAGGTACAATAGGGGTCCAGGCTACCATCGAAGGATGATCTGAACCTTGAAGTTGAGCGGGGACCACACTTCCCGTCCTTCATCATTTCCAACACTAGCATTGATCAAACTGCCGCCAATGACAGACAACGTGAAGAAACGAGGCCCGGCCATCAAGCCTGAGGATCCACTGCTTGTGCGGACTGAGAAGAAAGTCGAACAGGCTCTGACCCTTCTGTGGAATGATCTGCCAAAATGGATGCAAGACAATCACTACGTGCACAGCGGCTACAGACCTCAGAGCAACTCGTACGCCCGATCTGCGAAGTCGTTAGGCTATTTGCACAATGAGAGTGTCAACATATGGACGCACCTAATCGGAGCCTTGATGGCAGCCATGGCAGCATCGACTTTATTCGTCACGATCCGACCCCGATTTCTGGCTGCAACCACGGAAGACACTATTGTGTTCTCGTGCTTTTTTCTAGGCGCAGTGATTTGCCTGGGCATGTCAGCGACGTATCACACTATCGCAAACCATTCGCCGAGCGTAGCAAAGTTCGGTAACCGGCTAGATTATTTTGGGATCGTTTTCCTCATCTGGGGAAGCTTCATTCCTTCCATCTACTACGGCTACGGAGAGGATCCCAAGTTGATCACGCTGTATTGGACGATGGTGAGATTACGCACATGTGTATGCGCGGTCTGACCTTGTGCTGATCGCTCAAAGATATCAACCATTGGTGCTGCTACCATTATCGTCGTTCTCCACCCCAAGTTCAGGACGTCTGAATGGCGACCATTCCGGGCTCTGATGTTCGTTCTAATGGGGTTGAGTGCGGTTATCCCTGTTATCCATGGGCTTCACCGCTATGGCTATGAGCAGCTAGAGCGGAAGATAGGCCTGTCATGGTTGGTAGGTCAAGGTGCCATGTACGTGCTCGGAGCTGGCATATACGCTGTAAGTCGCTTTCCAACATGTGGAAGCTCGAGCTGCACTGATGAAAAGTATGGACAGGCCCGGGTGCCTGAACGTTGGGCGCCTGGCAAATTCGACATATGGGGCAGTTCACATCAGATCTTTCATGTGCTGGTAGTCTGTGCAGCGGCTGCACATCTCGTGGGACTGCTGAAAGCGTTCGACCATGAACATAATCTGCGTAACGAGTCTCGTCCTGCGCTCAACATGCTCTCGACATCGAAATGGCTACCCCTTTAAAGTCGGGTGGATGCCAAGGGGGCTAATCTGGACTCGTACATCAACCAGGTGGGACGGGTCGTTGCTCTCTGTGTTTAGGTGGGAACTGTAGGTAAGAGCCGCTATACGTCCGCGAGGGATGCAGTTTGATCTCCATTGATACTTACAAAACACTTTTACCAGGGCAGGATCGCAAAGCTTCACGCACGAGATCTCCAAACCGATGCAGATCGGCCAGCGAAACGCATGCAAAGCCAAGCTCATGACCCGCAAGCTGGGGCAAACAAGCCCGGTGCACAGCACGTATTGGAGTGTACTTTCTTGTCCCCTGGTGTAGAAAATTGCTAACAAGGGTACGATGCCACCAAATACATTGTTCCCGATTGCACTCCCTGACATCATTTCATGCACTCTTTGTATAGTCAATAAGCCATCTGAACGAAATCACGAACACGAGAAGCGTGCAGGAGGACTGTAGGACCGTTCCACCGACTAGATTCGTCAGGTGTTGGGCTTGGCGACAGGGTACGAGCAAGCATGCAGCCTGACTTGATCGGGTGATACAAGAATAGCACTGACGCCGATCATGAGGATAGTTTACCATCCACTTTATTAATCCTTTGGAAATGTCCGACGCTACAGGTGTACACACTGGCGCGGTGATGACAGTAAGAATAAACTGGTGCCGCGAGAAGGTGCGGCGCGGACATGCACCTGCAGGTGTAGGTTGGCAACACGCGGCTAGGGCAGGCCCATGATGGGCAGATGATGATTGGATCGGACGGTTCTCCTAGCTAGTGACGTGCGGTGTGGAGGAACCGGAACGCCCTTCGATTTCGTCGCCCGTTGTATGAGCCCGTGTAAAACAACCTGAAACTCTCTCCCAGCACTGTGCGACCCGTGGACGATCCGGATGGAGCAGATGTTTGGTAGTGCGGGTCCATCTCGGGTCAAGGTGCAACCGTGAAGACGGGCAGGTAGGCTGGCAAGCAGATCAACCTGTTGCAAATCGACTCATTCATCGTCTCCTCCTTGGCTAGTCCCTAGCTACAGTACGACGCGTGTTTCTTGTCTGTCGTCCAGCCGTGGAGCATCACATCTGCCACACACTCGTCGTGTTGCGTTGGACACAAGCTCGCTGCTGTCACCTCTAAGCCCATCCAAGCATGATATCGCGTGACTTCTCCTACATTGGATGATTCGGAACTCACATTATCTCTTGTTTCACAAGTCGGAGCTCTCGACCGCATTGACCTCGAGATCTTGATCAGATTGCATTCCTCGCACGACCTTCGGCACGAACGGCATCGCCATTCTTCGCCTCTCGCTCGCAACTACATCATGTATTCATAGCGGCACATGCGCAGGGTGATCACTGCCCACTCACATCCTGCATCATCTAGGATTTCCCTCGGGATTGGCTTTCATGGCAGCTCTTCTGCTTGACAGAAATAGACACCGTAAATTGCATACACTATCGACCACCACGATGCCCCTGGAACAGCCTCGAGGGCGGCCGAAAAATCGACAGGCCATGCCCGAATCTGCCTCACAGGGAACACAGGGTCGTTTCGAAATTCCTCGAGCGGCATCGTATACATACATCGGCAATGCGGCAGATCAATATCTTGTCAATCCTACACCTCTTGTCAATGTCAAGATTCTGGCTTCGAATGGAATTGTCGCTATGGAAGAGGAGGCCGTTGATCATGTGTCCCCGGTCTCATCTGGTTGGAATACTCCGGACGAGAAAGGCGTCCTGAGCATGGCATCACCGAGGCCACGGGATATTGTAGAGAAACTGACGATGGCTCTGGAACCTGGGTCCTTGCGCTCAAGAGAGGGTTCCATGACTCTGTGGGAAGGCGCTGACGCAAGAGTGGTCACACATGGAGATACTGAGCTAGTCGATCCATCTACTGCCTCGAGGAATTCACCCAAGCCGGTTCGACGTCGACCATCACTTGGTCAATCAATATCGAGGCACTTCAATCGACGATCATGGTATCAGTCCCGCCCTTCAACTCCGTCCCGGACGCCTTCGCCCGAAAAGACTGTCCTGGAAGAGTCAACGGTGAGTCCAGCGGCCTCGGCAACGATGGCTGACTCGCGTATGCCGGCTGCAACTCGAAAGAAGTCGAACCTGGGTGAAAGAGCACGGAGTAGACCTGGGATAGAGAATCGGCTGAAGAAGGCTGCGCCAATGAACATAGATCAGCAAGAATCTACAGAAGCATTGCCACGTAGACGAGACATTGCGCAAAGATTGACGAGGCCTGTGTCGGAAATACTGGGATCTACTGCAGACGCAGCTGCGCCTGAAGAAGCTTCGACGGAGTCACGTTGGCTTTCTGGGCTATCCCGCCTGCCCAAGTCATTCTCAACAGATAAATTGCCTGCGTTACGGACAGTTGCCAGTCAGGAGTCGCCCCTTAAAGCCGCGCCGGTGCCGCGAATCTTGAGCCCTGAATCGACGACGAGCAGCACATTTGCAGTCCTCAAAAGAAGGGATGAACTGTGGAGCGTGTTTCGAAATCTAGACGCAGAGTATGCCAGATTTGCAAGCAAGTCGACAGCTCTGAAGGCGAATGTGGTTCGATCCTCGTTGCTGCCATTTCTTAGATCATACGCTAACCATTCATCGAATCGGAATCTGAGGCCAGAGGATCTTGATAGGAGGATCAACATCCTGAACAAATGGTGGACCGGACTTCTGGAGATGCTGCACGGCCAGAACAATCAATCAATTTCAGGGACCGATCGCCCAGTCACATTGGACGCTGTGATGGGTATCATGGATCGACCAGAATGGCGATCGGCGCCATCACCATTCTGTCCAATACATCAGCTTTCCACAGACGATCCTTTGACCAACAGTCGACCAGCGAGCTCGAGTCAGGAAAGCCCATCAGATTTCCTGACTGCGTCAGTGCACCACAATGTCAAAAACATCTTCATTCAAAATTTGACATCTCAAATGGCTTTTGTGGTAGATAAGATGTCTCTTCGCAACGCCTCAGCCAGCCTGGTGGCGTTCTGCGGCAAAGCGATAGCATTTGCTTTCATGTTCGTGCCCGGGCTGGCCGATGTGCTTATCAGATTATGGCAGGTCCCTGTAGACACCCTCGGCCGTGTTCTCAACGAGAACGATGTTAGCAAGTTCGACACAATTGATGATGTGATGTACGAGAATGTGTCGACTCGATTCCCTCCCCCCTTGCACACTCTCGGATTCAGATCACTAGCTACCTACATGCGACAACTGCGCACATCACCTCTTCTACCTCTAGGGACTACTGATATAAACTGGCGGGGAGCTTGGTTAGATCGTTGGACCGGCCGGGAGAGTGATCTCTTCTACGTCTTCGTTAAGCACTTTCATATCCTTTCCTCGGATTTCCTGCCATTGTCCTCTAGCAAGCGGGATCGTATTTGCAGTCCTGGACTGCTAATCGTTCAAGCACAGATGCTAAGAATGTTCGATGCATCGCTCCATCGCATTGCAAGCGCTGCACCACAAGATTTAACAAGCAACTCCCCAACATTTGACGATCTACTTGCCGACCCGGACGCTATTGCATCAACGATCCCCTTCGCACCTGCGAATGCGATCAGAATAATGGCGGAGAACCGGCTGATAATGCTTGTCCGCGATTTCCTTTCCGAGCGAACCTGTGATCATCCGATAGCGAGAGATCTCTTTGCCCGATCCTTCAACGATCTTCTACAAGCGTCAGCCCGTAGGGTATCAATATACGACCATGGCGCATGCTACACACTCCTGGACTTTCTCGAAGAAGCCCTTGTCATAATCGTCCGCTACGAACAAGCTAGAGGAGCATCGGGTACGATCATCAACTCGAACTTTTGGCAGAATGTGTGCAAGAGGATGATTAGCAGCGAGAATACCATGACTGAAATTCGTCTCTACGCATTTCTGTACACCATATGGCCCACAGTGGTTGTGGACCCTGAGCGCCGGAGAGACCTCTGTCTCGGCCTCTTACTCGACGAGCATGTTTTTCAAAGCCGGTTCAACCACTGGTGTCCGATGGTCCGAGCCTATTATATGCGACTGACATGCTGGCGCGTCGGTAGGTATGACGGCGAGTCTGCAAATCCAGATGACATCGAAATTCTTGAGACGCTGCTTAAACGCCTGCGAACAACGTGGTCGTTCTTCCTGCACCTCTACGATGCAGCGCAGGGCGACTGGCGGAAACTACCAGTCACCAGCCCTTCTTATCCCACTCCTGGAAGACGATTGCTGATCATCCGGACGGATGCAGTCTCCTCGCATCATGACCATTTTCAGTCGTTCGACGCCATTGCGACAGCACCGACGCAGCGAGCGCGGCTCAATGGTTGGAAGAGAGTCTCGAGTGCTTCTAACTTCAACGAGCACGAAAAGCGACTTGATTCTGAGCAATCGAGGCCCAATTCGGATACAGACACTTCGCCAGAAGAGGGTTCCTTTGGTGGCTTCATACGCAGAATGATTGGTTCGCGAGCGAGGTCTCAATCACAAGAACCAGCTTCATCGACTGCTAGCAGGCATGAAGCCCTACCATCCGCAGACTTAGACATTTCCATGTCGATGCAAAGTGGCGGCGCTTACCCTTCGATGAAACATGGAGCCGCCACCGAGAAGCCTGCGTCGAGATCGCAGTCAGAGCTCATGAATAGACCACGGACTGAGAGTTACAGCTTCAAATTCTCGCTCGAGTTCGTATCATCGGCCAAGACACCAGCACCGCCTCTACGACTATTTCCTCCGCGATTGCCAGGGCCAGCGCATGAGCTTTTGCTCGCACGCTCCACAGATCCATCAAACCCATCGGCGTCAGCACAATCTCTCTTCACACCCTGTCGTGCCGTCGCGCCAAGCGACCAAGATGTCGCACACGCGCGATATTGCGGACGAGCCCTCGCGGAATGGACGATCGTGGTCGGCGAGTGCCGAAGCTTTTTTGAGCGTCGGAAGACGGAAGGCGTGCCGAGTAATCGACGCGTAGAGACACCTCTGCTGGGCGTCGAGGTCTTCCGACGTCCGACGTAATCACAACTGAGCATATTGCTCGCAACTTCCCCCATACGGGGCCCCGAGCATAGATCTCTTTCGGAATTCCTTCTCCTGCGTTAATGCTTGACCTCTTGCATACGCATTTTGGGATAGCTCTGGCTTGGTTTGAGCAGATTGCTACGAAGCACTTTTTTCATCCTCACGAACCGCATATTCTCTTACTCCTTTGTAATCAGTATGAATAAGGCCAAGGTGGATGGTTCACATTCCCTGTTTGGCGAGAGAACGTAGAATGCGGCCCTGCTCTGTGCGACGCGAGAAATAGGGTAGCCTTGCAGCATTGAAACAACAAGCTCCAACTAATTCACTGTAGTATGTGTGCCATGGTAACTGAAGAATAATACATTGATATCATATGCTTGGCTGACTCGATGTACATAGTGTCAGCTGGTCTGTGCAGTCAACGACGTCGATTGAGAAGTGCTTTTCCGAGCCTCAATCTCTACTGCTTTCTCGGGACGGAATGCCTTTTGAGGGATAAGATAATATCCTTTCTGGTTGGCCACCACCCGCAATCCGGATTCAAGGGTAAAATCGCAGCTATAATGCGTATGGCCAAATCCCCAAAGCACCACAGCCGGATTCGTCCAGCATTCCTCACTACTCAGGTCGGTGACGAAGCCCGAATCGACCTCACTGATAGGATACCTTGGGTTCCTGGCCCGCGGATCTGCGCAGGGGCTGTGATGAGTGAAGATGACAACCTTCCTGCCCGACTGCGCAATCTCGGAGACTTGAGTATTGAGCCAGCGTAGATCCTCCAGATGCGCTTCGACGTGGTCGCCGACGTCCCAATGCAGGATATCGCGGAAGTCCACCAGACGTGACTGGATGGCTGCGGCGTGCTCCGACGGAACGTTGGTGAATAATGTGCAGCCTATGATGGTGATTTCATCTGTCAGGTCGAAGCGAGTCTTTTCGAGAAATACGAACTCTCCGACGCTTGGGTCGTTCGATCGGAGTCGTTGGGCGTTTCTGACGAATTTGTTCATCCTCTCCTTTGCGAAGTCCATACTGATGTGGTAGGGTTCATGATTGCCCAGGAGGAAGAAAACGACGCGATAGCGGAGCAATTGACGGACAAGGAATTGGATCAAATGCTCTGTAGCCACGTGTCCGATGTCTCCTAGCAATGCCAGGTAGGGCGCGGTCTGTGGGAAGTCATACTCGTATGATGGATGGGTTTCGAGATGGAGATCGCTCATGATCTGTATTCTGCAGATGCTATCGGCTACCATGATCGGATCCTGTGCTATTCTTCTCGGTCTTGTCACTCATGGCTGCCTCTTTCACGTACGAGATGCAGCTCGTCTTTGTTGTACGAATGTTTTGCCATTCTGGCAGATTCTAGATAAGGACGACATGCCGACTGTGCCGCTGCCAAGATGTCGTCCAATAAATCGCGCTGCCCGTCGTCCGCAGGTGCAGGCTGTACTTGTCACTTACATCGGAGGGCCACGCGACGTGTCAAGGGTAGCAGATTTCAATGGGGTCCGAAACAATGGAAGCAGCCCTACTGAAGTAGAAATGTCCGCCTCCCGTGGTGAGGGCATCTCGAGATCGCGGATGCTATGTCCGCGCCATGATGCGAATCAGCTATGTTGACAAATGTATTTGATATCCCCTGACTTCTGACTTCCATGGTCGTTCGATGCTACACTGTGCTTGCTCTTGTACTTCAAACGTGATAAGGGTTTTGAGATCCTGGAAGAAGTTCATCACAGTCATACATTCACTCGCGCACGCGCCGCCTGCCGCTGTCTCACCTCATCACACACGTGAGCGGCGATGATCAGGTGAGGGTGATACGTATCGTACATATATCACATTGATGAGAGCAGATCAATGAGTCGTTGTATATTCCGACATCCCTACTTATTTACAAGATCATCAGGCAGTCTGCACGTGTATACGTATATTCCGTGCGGACTGGCCTGCGAAGATATAAATCTTCCTCGACTTCTGACAGATCATTGAGAATGATCGGGTTTCAACACTTCGTGACCAGGGTAAAGAGAGAGGGATAGGGTCCACCATACAGTCATGTCATAGGTATCCATGGTATCCTGGAAATCGTAATAAAGATCATCTGTGCACGGCGCTTCGGCGTCGCGCAGTCGAATTTGTCGTATCTCTGTCTCCCTGTCGGCAATGTCATCTCGTGTGTGTGCCCGATTGTGTGTGGACGAATGGGCAGCAGAACCCACAACAGGGCAGGACAAATTGTATGCGCCCAATACCACACTACTCTGTCCAGCACACACCAAACAATCCCCACCCCGCCGCCGCCTGCACAGACCTCATAGCATCACTATTGTACTGTACGTACGTAGGTTTGTACTGATCGATGTTCGCACCAGCAACCAGCACCACCACTGGTACTAGCAGCAACAATAGCAGTACCAGCCGGAGAAGTGCAGCATGGTAACAGCATTTCTTTGACCTACTGACGATTGTTACCACTACCGCTATTCCTCATTCTTGTTCGTCTACCGTCAGGGTTTTCCTGCTGTCGTGCGCACTCTTCAGGCTGCAGTCTGTATCTTGTCTGCTGCCGAAAGGGCGGCGCTTTCATCACCTCTCCCAATACTGCGCGCTGTCATTGTCGCCGTAAGTTTACACTCCCAACACGACGCCTACAGCATGGAGTACAAGCCTCAGCATAGCGACCTGGATGGGGACATCGCTATGGAGGATCAAGATCCTTTCAACCAAGCCAAGTATCGTCCTGCGGCCTCGTCGAATCCCTCCACTCGCCCACCATCGCAATATCTGTCGACCAACACTCCAGACGAACCAGGTTCACGCGCTGCCTCCCGCTATTCTCCCATGACCACCAGCACACCCAACACGCCATATCACGGTATCTCGAGCCCTCAGCAGCAGCAGCAGCAGATGGGCCACTACACTTCGTACACACCGCAACAGCCCTCGAGGCATTCGCCCAATCGCCAAAACCAATACACTTCACCCACACAGCAACGGTACTATGCCTCGCCGCCCTCCTCTTCTCGTGCGCACACGTCACAGCTACCGCCATTGCAGTCCAGCTTGTCTCCTGCCTCATCCTTCTATCCGCAGTCTGCGACACAACAATTGAATGCTGTTTTTGGCCACGAGAATGATCCTCACAGGGCGGGTCCGCAAGCACCTGCGCCAGAGACGCCCGCCGATGTTGTCCCTCAATTTGTTCGCGTGCATGATATTTCCCATCTGCGGCCGCGAGTCAACGCCCAACCGCCATTCCGCCGCGCAAACCCCGAGGGAGGCTTCATCAGTCCCTTGCAAGCACTCACAACACATCTTCCGGCGACATACCGTATCTGCAACCCGTCATTCCAGTATGAGTCGTCGCGCAACCCACGGCGTGTCTTGACGAAACCCAGCAAGGGTGTTAAAAATGATGGATATGACAACGAGGACAGCGATTACATTCTATATGTCAATGACATCCTGGGATCTGAGGAGACGAATCACAAAAATCGATACTTGATTTTGGATGTGCTTGGACAAGGTACCTTCGGTCAGGTTGTGAAATGTCAGAATCTGAAAACTCAGGAGGTGGTTGCTGTCAAAGTGGTGAAGAACAAGACGGCATACTTTAATCAAAGTATGATGGAAGTATCAGTTCTCGATCTTCTGAATGGTCGAATGGACAAAAATGATGACCATCATATCCTGCGGCTAAAGGATACCTTCATTCATCGGCAGCATTTGTGTTTGGTTTTTGAATTGCTGTCCGTCAATTTGTACGAACTCATCAAGCAGAACCAGTTCCGAGGGTTGAGTACAACATTGGTTCGCGTTTTTGCGCAGCAGCTTCTGAATGGTCTCTGCTTGTTGAGCAAGGCGAAGCTCATTCATTGTGATCTGAAACCAGAGAACATTCTCCTAAAGAAGTAAGTGCGCTGCAGTGCGAATCAAGAGTCCCAGTCTAACAATGGTCACAGTCTCGAGAGCCCGATCATCAAAATCATCGATTTTGGTTCAGCGTGCGATGAGCGACAGACTGTGTACACATATATTCAATCGCGGTTCTATCGGTCACCGGAAGTACTCCTCGGACTACCATACTCCGCTGCAATCGACATGTGGTCACTGGGTTGCATTGTTGTGGAGTTGTTCCTTGGTCTGCCACTATTCCCTGGTTCATCAGAGTACAATCAAGTTTCTAGAATACACGAGATGCTCGGCCTCCCACCGAACTGGATGCTGGAAGTCGGAAAACAATCAGGCGAATTCTTCGAAAAGGTGCACGATGACTTCGGCCGCCGGACGTACAAGCTCAAACCAATGGAGCAATACGCACGAGAGCATGGCAGCAAAGAGCAACCCAGCAAGAAATACTTCCAGCAGACCAAGCTTGATGACATCATACGATCATATCCCATGCCGAGGAAGGGCATGAAGGCCAACGAGATGGAGCGAGGTGAGTAATGATGGGCAATGATGACTAAATGTGGATCGCTGACAATGCGCAGAAATGGCAAACCGGGAAGCATTCATCGATTTTGTACACGGTCTCCTAAATATCAATCCTTTGGAACGATGGTCGCCACAACAAGCTCGCACGCATCCTTTCATTACTCAACAGAAATATACCGGACCATTTCAACCACATACCAGTCTTAAAATGAACAACAGATCACCAGCGCCTGGGGTGCAGCAACAACAACAAGCAGAGGCACTCTCCAAGCAACGCGCACAGGCACAAGCGGTGCAGGTGCAGCAAGTGAACAATGCTGCGTACACCATGCACATGAATCCTGGCGTTCCGAGCTATCCCACAACTCCGCAGATGCCGCAACAGCCTGCAGCATATCAGAACATGTACAGTCCTGCTCACACCGTGGCACCACCACCATACCCATCTGCGCAGCCTGCTACCGCGTATGGCCAGCCGATTCCCATAATCCAGCAGCCTCCACCAGCGCTCAATCCGTATGCTCAACAGCAAAACCAGGCCATGTACAATCAAGCCTCTGCCCGTGGAGCTCGGCAGCGTGCCAGCACTATAGACGGCAATGGTTCGAATGGAATCCCAGCTGCGTTGCAGCGTGTTGTCAGTCATCTGGATCCGAATGCGCCCATTCGCTTGCAGCCCAGCCCGGCATATTACCCACCACCGCAAGAAGGCCAGAGCAGTGCAGACATGGGTAGTATAGGCCGCCGACGGACTAGTCGGGCTGGTGCATCTGGTCAGCCTCGTCATGGTGCCAGCGACTCGCAGAACCGAAATTTCGTCCGGATGCTGGAGGATCGCACACTCGAGGAAGGCTGGAATGGTGCAAGTAGCAACCCCGGTGGTTGGCCAAATGTCTAGAAGTGTGTTTAAGACAGACTTGATGTCTCAATTGTCCAGTCACACTGCCGTACCCCAGATCAACTAACTTTTGGCAAATTCATGTCAAATTGAGCGTCAGATTGGCATCTGCTGACTAACGCCTTGTCAATTGCCATTTCTGAGACCATTCTGACTGGTCTTGCACTCAACATGCATACCTGATGGGCGGTATCGGTTCAAACCACTGCTTCGCACGTCTGCCACGTCGCCACTGGCTAGTGAGACGACAATTCGAAGGTCAATACTGTGGCAGTACTACGACAGGATTGTGGAGGCATCTTTGGATGGCAGCGCTCTTCAGTAGCGAGTCTCAAGCAGTCAGGGCCTCCAAAAGAATTCATATCGGCCACTCATCACTTCCTGCCCTTGCGAAGAAAGCGGCAAGTGCAGATCGTTCACGACGTTTGACGGTCACCACAAGAATTGTGAGGATTCATTTCGCAATCTCCCGTCTCCATCCACAGATGCCATTTATGTCACGTATTAGCCCTTTTGCATCGACGCCCAGCAGAAGGTTTCGAGCAGCATGCTTGAACACGCGCCAAACGCAACCTTGATCAAAGCACAAGTTGAACAACAGGTTTCTCACAACAATTCGTCTTTCGTAGGGAGACAGTCGAGCGTTGTTATTTATGGGATAAGCCAGTGTTGCCCTGGCGTCACAGGAACAGAACGATGCATGTGTTGGGACCTCTGCAGGGACTCTCGCTTTGGGATATGAATATGCAAAATGCAACAAGAACAGTATCCCGGATTTTGGTGCATCGGAGGACGACGCCACATGCATGCATTGAGTTTTAACGAAAGCCGCGCAACAAAGTAGGAGAATACCGAGTCGTCCGCCAGCAAAAGCGGAGTGTCACGTTTCGACTCGATAAAGAATGCGGTCGTCAAATTTACCGGATGCTGTTCTCGGGTTTGCCGAAAGTCTATGTATGATGTACCGTCTCAAATGAAAATCATGATCAAAAGTCTTTTGCGGACCAGGCCTTGCTGTCTCTCATAATCTTCCCAGACGCCTCCCTGCCCCAGTGGCACACTGCGAAATCAAAGGAGCGATTCGAGGCTCAATGCAGATCGATATCTTGTTATGCTGGGTCGAATAATGGACTTTGCTTTGTGCATCTCTGCTAGCTCCGTCAATATATGAGGCAATATTGTGGCGCGGACAAGGCGCAGCACTCGGCCACTTGCTGCGGCATGGGTGTAATGAAATGTGCTGCATAGTCTTGCGAGTATCCTGCGAAGCAGCAATTTCGTCTCGCTAGATTACATCCTTGATGCATGCTCTGTCCCATTTTCGCTGTCTGACAGATTCTATGCCAGCACGGTCCGTTTGTATATTTCATGAAGCGACATCATCGCCAGCAGAGTCTTGATCTTCTGCACTCATCCCTTTTGTGCTATGGATAAGTTGTCGAGTGTGGTGGTCACAGGTTCGACCATAGTGGGTACTGGCAAGATCTCTGTCTTGAGCTCTCGATTCTTCTTCGGTTTCGGTTCAGGTGCTGTCCCAGGGGAAAAGACCCGTCAGCGATCGGTCATCGAGATTGAGTATGCAGAGCGCTGCGATACGTCCTTTATCTGAAACAGTCATGACCAATTTACCTTTCTCGTTTTCTTGTACGTAGAATCTACGCAACAGCATGATGGCTTCCTCGCGGAAAATGCCACCGTACACCGGGTATGGCTTGTCCACGCCAGCATCCGAATGCATGTTCATCACACCGCCGCACCCGCCGAAGCGATCATTGAGACAGCCAAAGTAGACCGTGCGGATTCCGTATTGTCGTAGTGCGGATGCACACATGATGCACGGCTCGACAGTCACGTAGAGGTCGGTCTCTCGGAGGATGGACTGTGGATGTTTGGCCATGATCTCCGCCAGAGCGACGAATTCAGCGTGGCGAGTACCCTGCGATGCGAAGGTATGCTGTCAGCGAATCAAGTCGTTCACTGGAGAGACGCTTGCAGCATTTCGTGGTTTGTGGCTTTTCGGAAAGGTGTGACAAAGTTGAGACTAGGATGCACGTACATTGAGTGACGCGTTTGTGCCATTGATGCCGCGGCCAATGATCTCACCGTTATGCACAAAGACACAGCCGACTGGAGTCTCGTCAGAGGCGAGCGCAAATTCTGCCATCTCTATGGCGTTGCGCATGAATGCTTCATGGTAGCTGCGATTGGGTACCGGGCCAAAGACCATGATTGCTTTGAGACAAAATTTCGTTGCGAAGCAGAATCGCCCTTGCTGGGATTTGACTGGCTGTCTGAAGATGTAGCTTCTCAAATCGTTCTTCTTTGTTCAGCGGAAACCTATCTCACTTGTCGAAGATGAATCTTGAAGTTTGTGGTTGTGACGGGTAAGGATTGTGCTTGAGTTCAAGGATGTTCTCGAGGCGAGTGTCACGGGATGTGACCAACTACGTCTCTGATGAAGGCAGGTACCGCCCGTGGGAGTCGCTGGATGCCGCAAGAGTGGGTGAATGGTGAAAGTGGGAAACCTTGGAAGCTTCCGAGATTGACATCAAGTGAAACAAATATTCTTCCGACGGATTCGCTAGCCTGACTACAACACATCACGATTTTGCAACGTTGACAGTCACAAACTTTTTGGAACACTTCGACGACACCATCACCAATCGATTGGAGCAAAAATGAACATAGTTCACATAGAGACAATTTCATTCGAGCTGTGTCGCTTCAACAATCGCCGCTCAGATATGCAACAAATCCCAGTTGAACGCCTGGCTTTCGCCCGAAAGAGATATGAACAAAGAGATATGAACAGTACAAAACAGTTCGAACATTCCATGCTCCACGAAAGAGAATCCAAAGGGGACCCCCCCCCCGTCCTGCATCGTTACCAAGGAACAGCAAGAGATGGATGTATAATCCTGCGTGCCCGCTTCCCTCGCGATCGCAGAAGATCCAAATAGATGGCTTCGGGAAATTAAAGCACCGATGACGCCGCCCACGCTCAATTGTGTCCGACGAACAAGAAAAAACAAGCAGATGGAAGAAATGATTCCTGAAAAGACATGATGTTGTGAGATGATCGTCAGAATAGAAAAGAAATTCGGAATTGCGTCTGACTTTCGTGAGAAATGATGAAGTCTGCCTTTGCAGCCATTGAGAGGACTGCTGGAGAAAACGGATGCTGGGCTGCCAGAACCTGCGGTGAGAGGTGGCCGCAACCTATAAACCGCTGGTCCATTGACAGTGACAACCGCTTGAGACTACATCGCCGCGGCGCTGTTTGCGCTCGCCGACGGCGATACCAGTACTCTTGTAAGCGGAGTAGGTTGGATCTTGCTCGTCAAGCCAAACCTTGATTGGATCGCCACGGCTAGTCGGTTTCCAATTTGCTTGATGATCCCATAGGACCTGATACTGCTGGCAGTAGGCCTGGAGGGAATCGTCGCTACCGGGCATGCGTCGCTCCTCCAGCTTGATACCGAATGGGTACTTCGCATACTGAGACCAAACGTCACTGGTTGCCTGACGCTTTTGATTGCCTGAATTGTTAACACCACCGCCGGATCTATTGGTAGCTTGGGCGCGATGAGCCGACGCCCATGATGGAAAGTCTCCGTAAGGACCGGTGAATGTTGCAGAAGCTCCTGGGCCGAAGCTGGCAGTCGTGGTGAAGTAGGAAGGCTGGGGATATGAAGCCTGTGTAGTTTGTGTAGTCGAAGGTGATGAAGATACTCCATTCATTAATCCGTTCTTAGATTGCTTTTCAATGTAAATAAAGCCTTCAAGAAGGGTATCATTCCAGACACAGAACCAGGGGAACGATCCGGGAGCAATGGTGTCCTTGTGATTTAGCGTTGGATTAAAGTGCGGCTTGAATTTTCCGAGAGTGGCATTGATGGCGTCCTCGGGAATCACCACAACTTTGTCGTACGTTGCGGCAAAATAATAAGCTGGACCGCTATCCGGCAGGTCATTGTCTTTGACAGCAAGGAATTGTGCGAACGGAGTAAGCATGCTCTGTGCTTGTGCACCGTACACGATGCCCTTGTCATCAGAGGCGTACAGTATGTGAGCGCCGAGGCTGCCATCGACCATTGTCACGTTGATTGCAAGTTCATTGTTGGGTACAATGTTGCAATCCCATGAAATTCGTTCATCTTCTGAGACCAGACATTCCGACTGAACCTCGGCCGGGGTGCTGAGGGTAAGTGCAAAGACGCCAGTAGGAGGAGCACCGGCAGTCGGGGTAGGAATGAGGCTAGCATCATACAGGGACGTCACGACCGTCACCACGGGATAGCCGTTTTGTTTTCTGTAAGCCATTCATCAGTTCGCAGTCTGGCAACGTTTCGTTTGAAATACAAGTACTCACACTGTGGTAGGACCATATGAGGGAGGAGGGTTAGCAAGTTTACTACGTTGACCCGCCAGGTAGCCACCCGCGACACCGCCAACAAGCGCCAAAACGAATAAGACAGCGCCGAGAATTGCCAAAATCCACCAAAGGCGTATTCCGCACACGCGCCTATTCATTCGCTCCTTCCAGTAGCTTTTGCGTGATGTCGACTTCTCCCCATACTCGGACAGTGAGCGGGAAGCATGTGAAGGGAGCAAGGCAAGTTCTGAGGTGGATTGCAAAGGCTCCAGTTCTGACGCATCCGTCATAGATTGAGCTGATGGGGATGGTTGCAGCGCCGCATGCATCAGGGCCATTCCCGGATCAGTGCCATGGACCGGCGCCCGACTGTGCAGTGCTGTTGGCAACAATGGCATCTTCTCCGGACCATCTTCAGGATATCGACTGTAGGGCGGCAATTGCTCTGCATGTCCGTCCGAGCCGATAATATCCTGTTCCTCACCATCCGGCCCTACCTGACGCCGGTATGAATTGCCGACGCCAGCAAATCCCACGGGAACCGGATTTCGTTGCACCAAGTCCATGTCCTCATCATCATCTTCATGGTCATCGTCGTCGGTACCCTGAGGATACAGTGCGTATGGATGCTGAGGTGCCGGTACTGCTGCCGTCGATGTGGCTGTCCTACTACTGGGGCCACCGATTGAATGTGAAAACCTTATGCTGTGTGTTCGTGCAAATACTTCGTCTGGCTCAAATTCAAGCTCGTCTCCGTCCTCGACGTCCTCGGGACTGGAAAAGGGATTTGTGGTGCTTTGAGATTTCCGAATAGAGTTCCTCTGATTTATTGGAGCCGTGGAGGCTGGCGCGTGTTGTACTGTTTCTTCTCCCGCGCCAAAATCGTCGCGTCTCGCTGGTTGTTGAGTCGGCCGAAACCCGTCTGCCACCTCAAATTCTTCCTCATGCTCATCTCCGAACACATTCAATGTAGCCTCCTCATCTCCCAATAGTGACCTCCGATCCATGGCAGGCAACATGCGCGGTGAAGGCCACCGCGGGCCCTCGTCAGGCTCGTACCTTGCGTCAGAAAAGACGTATCCGCTCCGGTAAAGGCTGCCAGTGGTGGTGCGAAACCGTTGATATTCTCTGAATAATGACTAGATGTTGGAGGAGCGAGTGTGGTATGTGTACGAAGTCAAAGCGACGACGAGGTTTGGGGTGCGGTCAGAACGTCGGATGATGAGGAGAAGCGGGCGTGGGAAGGAGCGGCGCGCACTTGCAGCAGTAGGAGGCAGAGGAGTGAGATTCACGGCAACTCCCGTCGCTACAAATCGGGCATGGAGTCCTCCAGTCCAACTCATCACTCGGCTCGTATATGATTGATGAATTCTGTAATCGAAAATGTATAAACCTTTGATGGGTATACGCCAATTATACCAATATACCTACTACGTGAAGCAGTTTCTGGTCGTTACATTGAAAATAATCGTTACGGAATGTATATTCGCCATGTTTTGCGGGTCTCACTGTCTATCCGGACTCCTCGTGGTCTATCAATCTGTCCGCACCATCGCCCAAAATAACACAGCCTAGCACAGGTGAAGCACAACCGCGTCTCGCCTCTCTTCCGTCTTCGTCCTTTGTCAAGTCGCTGGGCAAGTACTGTACTCTGCTCATATACAATCCCGATCTTGGGCGTTCGCCAAATCCCCGTGGGAGCGGGATCAACTGTGCACTCTGAATCAACAAGACACCCAATCTTCGAACAACAAGTACAACGTGGGCGGCTACGGTCTTGCACCGACAGCAGCAGTCGGAAGGGAACCCCTTAGGCTTTAGACGAGCACCTGGGCGCACAGGTTTATTGTCCAGGTGGTCATCACAACGCGCAGGCCAAGACAAACTCAATCATCATTAGCTTTCAATTTCATGCAGTACCTCACGACTGCCCGTTTTTGCAACATATACCTAGGAAGTATCGTATACAATGAGAGCTTCATATCCTTCGCATGAGTCATCCTCAGAAACACCCAGAGTGCCAATATGCCCTGTCATCGTCATTTTCCGCTAACGCGATGGGGTCCCGAGCATCCACGAAAGACAGGGTTGTTTCGATCCTTTGCTGTCAGATCAACCATGACGTCTCTGAAAATTATTCCCGTCTCTTCTACAGAATTTTACTCGTGATATGACATTTTTGGACGAATGGTAGCGGTGGGGAATGATATATGTATGCTCTAAACCCTTGTATCCCATGCAAGGCATGCATACGGCATGCATCCCGATAATACGAATCCCACTGTACGCCACATGTGGCGCACAAGCAAAGGACGATGCTGCTTGCACAAAAAATCCCTGAACGCCTGAGACAGCCATGTGCAGTCCTGAAGCATTATTCACCAGCCGATTGCAGTTGCCTGCCCATTAAACCGGCCATATCCTATCCTATCATATCCTCCCAATGCATGTCTCATGTTCGCATCACATCACAACCTGGGCACAATCATTGCTTGACGGCATACTCGCGACGGAACATGTCGTCGACGTTGGTCAGGTAGTATGTGCCCGGGGTCAGGGTCTCGACATCACCCTCGGGCTTGTAGTTCTTCTTGAGGTGAGCGCGCTCACGCAAGTTGCACTTCTCGTCGTAGACTTCCGGCGCAACGATGTTACGGGCGTTGAGACGGGTGTGGAGGTCCACCTTCCCGGCCATCTCCTCGACGCTGCCCTTGACCTTCAACGAGAACATGGAAGAGGCGAGACCGGAGCCGTACGAGAAGATGGTTACGCGCTTGCCTTGCAGGTCAGCTGACGATACATTGCTGATCAGCGAGACAAGCGAGGAGTAGACCGACGCGCAGTACATGTTACCGCACTGGGTAGGAACCTCGACGGACGGCTGCACGCGCTGAGCGAAGCGCTTTTTCGAAAGAGCGACGAAGGTCTTCTCGATCGTCTTATCCGTGATAGACTGCTCATATGTCAAGCTCTTAATCTCTGCTGGCACGTCCTTGAAGATTGGGTTCTCGGGGTCTGCCAAGTAGTCGTTGTAGAGCAGTCGGGCGTAGCTCTTGGAGACGAGTTTGCAGGTCGGCGAGTGGAAGCACATGTAGTCGAAGCGATCGAGCGCTGTTTCAACCTCGGCGTGTGTGCCATTGGCGTGTCCGTTCAACTGGCTCTTAAGCTTCGCCTCGCGGGCGGTGTATTCCTTGTAGCATTGATCGACGGCCTCGGAGTAGCATCGAATGGAGTACTGACCGTCCACGAGAGGATATTCGCTGGTGAGATCGGCCTTGTAGAAGTCGTAGGCGTGAGTGATGTAGCTGCCGCGGAGACCAGGCTCGAATGCAAGGGGTGCGTCAGGTCCAACTAGCATTGCCACACAGCCAGCGCCACCAGTGGGTCTGGCAGCTCCCTTCTTGTAGAGAGCGATGTCACCAGCCACAACGATTGCATTCCTACCATCCCATGCAGATGACTCCACCCAGTTGATTGCATTGAACAGTGCGTTTGTGCCGCCGTAGCAGGCATTGACGGTGTCAACACCTTCGATGTTGGTGTTACCAGAAGGAGCAAAAAGCTGCATCAAGACGGTCTTGACCGACTTTGACTTATCCAGCAAGGTCTCTGTGCCGACCTCGAGCCGACCAATCGATTTAGGGTCGATGTTGTATTTGCGGAGGAGTGAGGAGACAGTGGTCAATGAGAGGGAGTAGATATCTGTGAATCATGGTCAGCCCACCGCGTCTCTCGGGTTCATTGATCTTCGAACACGCTGCTTACCTTCCCGGTCGTCGCAAAAGCTCATCTTGGTTTGACCCAAGCCAATGGTGTACTTGCCGGCACTGACGCCATCGAACTTCTCGAGCTCGACTTGGTCGACACACTTGACAAGAATGAAGTGTCAGAAGTTTGGTTGCGGCAGCCACGCAGTAGAAACAGAGAGTGCTCACCTGGCTCGGGAAGTAGAGCTCGATGGCCTTGATGCCGATGTCGCGCGGGCGGGCGTCCATTTTGTGATTGAAAGAATTTATGAATCGGGTTAAAATCTAGTCGAGCTCCAACAGCTTCTTCGATTAGAACTTGATCTCGTTTCGAAAGATTGATCCTCCCGCAAGGCGCCGGACTGTTCTGTGCGCACGACAAAAGGTATCGAGACAGGTGCAGAGGAACGTAAATATTGCGGAGACAGAGTTTAAGTAAGGCTCAGTGCACAGATCGTCAGGGAGCTTTGTGAGGGATCAACTCGAAGAATCGCTACCAGGAAGGAAGAAGTTGAGAGAGGAAGACAACAGAAAAGGAAGCAGGGAGGTGAAGAGGCGAGCAGTGTTATTATTACGACTATCAAGATCGCTCCCACCGATTAGACTTGTGCTCAACCTTTTCGAAATCTGGGAAGACGGTGAGAGACGGCCGAATGGCAAGACACGCGATCGCAGCAGCAGGTGCAGCAAATGTCCGCCCAAAGCAGCAAATGGATGGCGTGAAGGTCGTGGTGGTGGTGGTAGCAACAGTTGATTAGCAGCAGTAGTACGTTATTCCGATACAGTAGTAGCAGGGAATGGTGGGGTGCCTTTCTCTAATTGCGCGCGCAAGGGAATGCAATGGTCTGCTCGTCCAAAAAGTCGGCCCATTTTTTTTCTCTCAAAAAGTCCATATCGCACGACGCACGCACATTTCAACGCGCGGGAGACGCGCCGCCGGAGCCCGGAGCAATTCACCCTGCAGGGTCTCATTTTGCTGTCATTGTAACAAATCATTTGAATGGTCGATTCTGGGACTATCGTGCTCCAGGGCTGTGGGTAATTACAATAGAAATTGAGATACATGGGCGATGTAGTCAGATGAAAGTCGTACCATCATTGGACGCCGTTGAGGTCTCGTCGATATCCCCATGTGTGTGCACAGCAGGTGGTCTATTCGCAAAAATCGTATCATGTTCAAAGCCGTCTTCCGTGCGGCGATAATACATCCTTCCGTTGTTATTGTTTACTATTATTATTTACAATGTCGAGCATGTCGATCTCCAAATGTGGGCAGGGGCAGGAGACAGTACCGTAGATACTTTCGATCGCATTACTTGTGGCAAGTAGCACTGCTTTCCAGGCTTCTGATGGTTGTCTATGATATCCGTTGGTCGACTATCGCATCGCGCATTGCTGGGTCGGTGAGGGAAAGGAGGGGCTCATATGCCTTGGGTTATCATTGTTAGCGCGACTGGCCACGGGAATACCAATGCCGCCCTGAAGAACGTGCTCCGTGCACTCACCCACAGAACGCAAGACACGGAGAAAGCGGCCGCCGAGCGTGGCATGGACATGCAAGAGATCAACATGAAACGTTTGGAAATAGGAAGGGAAAATAGACATGCTTTTATGTACCCGCCTGTTGCGCCAAAGATGTCTTCATGTCCAGCCGTAATTATAATCCATCAATGCGACTCCTCGCCCAGAACGCAAGTCGAGATCCATTTCCGTCATGCCGCAGATACCGCATCTCCTTGCGCCTTTTCTACAATCTCAGCTTCTAAATCCGGAATAACAGCCGGCTCCGCCTGCTCAGTGGTCGTTGCTGATGGAGCAGGGACAGGATCCGAGTCAACTTGAAGTTCATCTTCTTCGTCAATCGACCAAACCGTGATGAGGGGCGACAGAGCAAAGCTCGCAGACTTGAGCTCAGTAGTGGCGGTGGGCGCCTTACGACGCACTGGGCCCTTCGCACGACCTTTGCGGGCATCAGCTAAAGGAGCTTTAGCCGTTTCTTCCGCAGCTGCTGTCTCGGCCTCTGACGGCTCTTTGCGCGCCGGTGGTCCTTGCGGTCCCAATTTGAGACGGTTATTGAGGTCGCTGAGGAAATTGGCATTGCCACGGATACCACCAATCTTGTCACCGGATGGCCGGGCCGGCACAGCAGGTTTCGGCTTAGTAGCGGGTGCCTCGTCTTGACGTGTCGGGCGAACAGGTCGAGCAGGAACAGTAGGTCGCGATTTATCGCCGATATTCGCCGAGCCGGAAGCGATGCGATCGTCGAGTGCCTCCGGCGTTACGTCTTGCGCCAACCGGCTGGCTGCTACTGCATCGGATCCTGAGCCAGGTCCCTGCTCCTGCGGCCCACCAGCAGCATCCTCCTCCTGTGGGCCACCTACGGTAGTCTCAAGGTACATGCTGTCAGGCGTATCCTCCCACACGTCGGAGCTGGGGAAGCGCTTGGCACCAGCACGGTCATGTGGCTCACGGGAGCCGGGCCTGAAGCGGGGCTTGATGAATGTCTTATTGTCGCTCAGCATATCGTCGGGGTTCTTTTCGCGACGGCGGGCCTCAGCTTCAGGCGTCTCGAAGGTTGCAGCGGTGGGTGCAGCATCAAGAATTGGCTCTTCCCGTTCTAAGTCTGGTGTTGAAACTTCAGCCGAGTATTGCAGCGAGTCTGGGGTGTCTTCCCACACGTCCCTGCTCGGGAATTGATGCATGTGTGCCAGGTCGGAGCGGCCAGCTGCTTGCGTCTTCTTCGGCCGAGCTTTACCGTCGTCGTCGTCGGGGAACAAAGGATCGTACTCCTCAATTTCCGCCAAGTGCTTATTGTTTTGTTCTTCATGCGAATTGTACCGGTGAAGAACAGCGCCGTGCAGGCTTGATGGACGACTACCGTGTTGTCCACTGTTGCGGCGGTCATCTGCTGCGTGACCTTGGTCACTCTCGTAGTACTCGTCGCCGTTTGCGTCCAAGCGATCCACCGCAGCATGCATGAATGCACTGCTTGGGCGTTTGACGACCTCATCCGCGGCAAGAATGGGCAAGTCACGATCGCTGCCATAGCCACGGTCGATGTGCTCGAGAGCATGCTCTGTGCTACCCACTGATATCCGACTGGATCTTTTTGCACTGCGGGAGACATGGAGAATGTGGTCGTCGCCCGCCTCTGATATCGCTCGCGAAGCCGTGGCATTATTTCCGAGGCCCGGCTGAGTGGGCCCTTGACGAGAATTGTATTCATCAGTAGCGTCCAACACATCATCCATGTCAGGTGTGCCTGCAGCATCGCGGGAGTTTCCTATGACCATGTCAGTATATCACTCACGATTGTTACTCGAAAGGATGCACACCTGAGCCCGGGTTTGTTTGGTCCACCAATTTCTGCAATTGCTCACTAGTGAGCGCAGTGGGTGGCCGAGGCACGTGGAGGTGATATCCCTCCTTAGCGGCCTCTTCCGGGTGCTTCGCCTGCCAATCTCTTTCGAATTTATCTTGACGCTCGTGGTCGTGACGAATACCGTAGCTGTCTGGAGGACCGAACTCTTGTCGGGTGCTTCTCTTTCTGGTGTGGTTGCGAGGCGAGCTACCATCATTGAAAAATCCGATGCCTGGCGCGTGTTGAGTCTGGTTCAGCGAAGGCGATGGGGCCTGGACATCACCGGCATTCTTGTACAGGGGAATCTGGCGACCAATCTCGGGAATTCCATGGTAGTCGCCATGAGCGCTCGGTGGGCGAGAGGTTGTCCTTTCCTGCGGGTGGAGGCTCGCCGTCGAGCGATTGAAGCTCGCTCGGGCTCGTAGTGGGTGTGGCTCGGTCGAGGACGGCCGTCGTCCGCCGGCCGTGTTGCTTGTGGTGCGTGTCAGCGGAACGCTGCCAGCTTCGGCAGCGGCGTGATCCGACGACGACTGTCGGCCAATGCCTGCAGCTGCAGCCGAAGCGGAATCTGTCCGCGTGACAGTCTGGATCTGCCGGGTCGCAGCTGATTGTGATACCGAGGCGGTCGGCTGGTGCATAGGCAGATCGGCTGACACGCTCTTAGTCTGTCCGTCAGCCTCAAGACCTTTCTGCGCCTCTAGGGCATCCGCGGGCAATTGATCGTAGCTCGAGTATTCTGAGCCTTCTTGGCCAATACTTGGCAGAGCCACACTGGGTGGGCGACGCGGGACATCGGCCTCTGCGCGAGCAGGGCTCGGGGGCGGTCTGCTGACAGCGCCTGGTAGAATGTTGAAAGGCGAGCGTGAATAGGCTTCACGATCAGGCGAGGGGTCGACTTTGCGGACCGGGCGAGGAGGGATTACTGGGGTCTCATCGTGGGCTGCTGCTGCACTCGCCTGAGTGCGCTGCGGCCGAGGTGGAATATTTGGAGTAGACATTGTCGCTTGAACGGATTGTGAATTCTATAGCTGGTGTCAGTTCAGGCTCGCTAGAATCCAACGAAGGTCTATGCAAGCAGCTGCAGCTTATATGCTAAGCAAGGATTTGCCGATTGCTGGTTGTTGAAGATAAGGACAAAGCCATTGCTTTTGGGATGATGACTTCGCGGGCCCGGGTGTGCAGCTCAACATTCTCGAACCAGAGTCCTGACCATGCTTGTGGCAGATACGGGATTCGCTAGGCGATCGTGCAGCAGCCCTTATCAGACACCGCCAGATCTCGTCCTCAATGGCCTTACTGCTGCTGCAACGAGCCGAGCTTTTGGGTGCATCACAGCCGGATAACATGGTCATGCTTACAATTTCAAAGCTTAGCACAGCAATTTAACTCCGCTTGATTCAATGGGTGTAAGAAGAACGAGACGGGCCAGTGCGAGGTAGACTCAAAGCCTGGTGGTGACGTTGACAGGTCAAGCGATTGAATTCCTATAAGAGTCGAATGGTGGAGTCGCAGCCATGAATGAAGACACGATTTTCAACGAGGAGGAAAACCAGGCATCGAGGGGAAGAAGAGAGTCGAAAGTGGTGAAAAGACTGTCGGGCGGACGCAATACAGTATTTGAGGGCCGTGAGGGCCTGTCAGGCGTATCAGGGCACACTCTGCTTTTGCGTCACACACCACACCTGCAGGTCACGATTGTGGGAATCGGGGGCCGGCTCCCTGCTTTGGGAAAGGCACGACTACCATACACTACCCACCGAGACATTCACATCCATTACAGTATATTTCTGTCTGCGCCCGGCTTACGATACACTGCCTCGTTGATGTGCATGTTGAATTATTCCCATTATCACGTAGAGGCCAACTTGGCGCAGAGTGGTAACAATTGAGAGGTTCTGTGGGCATTGACTTGTCCCTGTGGTCATGGTCGGGAAGCGCGGGTTCGCGACTGCCCAGGTAGGCAAGCTGTTGCGATTTCTGTCCAGTGCCTGACCTCATTGACGGCTGAGAAACCCTGCCATGTACAGTTTAGGGCCATGATCCGTAGACAGCCACGACAGCATTTGTGCAGCCCACGGAATGCGAAGACATGGTACAGTACTGGTGGGTACGCGGCCAAGGAGGAATGGATGGAAATCTTACAGCACTACGTACGATACGATACGATGCCATTCCGAGCATGACTTATTATCATTTGCATTGATGTTGAAATCGGATTCGTTGCTGTGGAGTCTTGTACGCATCGAGATGGATGAAGAATATTCCAGCCCGAGTCGCCAGCAGAGGATAATTCTTCTCAAATCGCTGCCGGAATCCTTAAGCCCCCGCCGTCTGTTTCGACGATCCAATCGCCGCCCCGCGCGAGCCCCAAGCAGTGAGCCATTTTCCCCTCCGCCACATCGAGATCGAGGAGGTCTCTCTCGCTACAGCATACTCTCCAGTGTGTCCTTCATCGTCGTTGTATTTGCCGCGGCCGCAACGGTGTGCTGGCATCGAATTTTTCTATCCCTTGACGGACGTGAAGTCTTAAAATCCCGCAAAGCGCGTAACGCAGGGGTTTCCAACCAACAGCTGCACTGGCAGCACACACAGAGAAACGTTGCCACGGTCTCAGATCTGACTGGACGTTTTTCTGGCCTTTTTGAGTCCAAAAAGGACTTTGTTTGAAAGGCGGTCTGGCGAACGGCTCAGAGTGGCTCGTCGTCGTCGGGGTAGCACAAGCGGCAACGGGCTCCCACAACCTCGCCTGCGGACGCCTCGATTTTGCATTGAGGATTCTAGCTCGAAAAGCTCCACGTGTGTCTTGTTACCTGTTTTAAGCCATCATGGGAGGTGATCGTCGTGAGTTTGATTTATTATTGCGGAATGCGCAGCCAAACCAATGGTCCCAATACTCTGTCGGGCATGCGCAAACAGGTACAATGTATGGGTCTAGCCCAACAGGATTTGTTTCGTTTGTGCAGTAGTGAGCGCCCGCCACAGGTCATGTGGAAATGTCTTGTGAGGCCCGGGGAGCTCAGAAGTGACCTGTGTGTCCACCTGGGCAGGCTCGTTTCGATGCACCCCAGGCCTCACCACCTGATCACACTTTCGTGAATGTTGATATTGCAGGCTTCCATTGCGAGTATTCCTATGTTGATTGCGTGCGACAGCCTGCGGTGTACTGTACTAACCATTTAATAACTTGCTACTAAATTCAAGGGACTCAAGAACCACTTTCTGGTCCAACTGAAACCTCAATTCGCTCTACAGTCTGGCGTGCCTGCAGACAACCGATGGAAGAGATTTTATAGGCGATTGTATGAGATTCTGATGATCTTAGATCATTCGAATGTCATACCTTGAGGCCATCCCATCGTGGCGCTAAATTTATTCATTGAATTGATGCTGCAATCACGGTTCCATTTCGACATCCAAAATTGAAAGATCTTCAGGCACGCCAGTATTGTGGGGCACAATGGGTGTTGAGACTGGGGAAGCGTGATCGCGTCTATAGTATCCTGTTCCGATGATGAGGCGATCATCCGCCATAGCAAACCTTGGAAATCAGCAAAGCTGCATCTGCCGCGAGTCATGTTTCCCTCTCACCAGTCGGGTGTTTTCAGCCTTATCCATGATTAGAAGCTCATGATGTCCGATGTATGATGCATAGAATGCATCGATGACTGGACATCGCATACTAACGTCGCTCGGTGACGACAAACACAAGCATTGGCTCACGACCACCCCGCCAGCTACCGAGCGAGGTGCAGTCCTTCATGGATCTCATTTACGCTGACGAAGATGCCCATCCACACATGACGAAGGCGGCGGCAGATTCCCCGACATCAAGCAGGTATCTCCACACTTTTTGCCTTCGGAGCTCGTCACGATGTGTCAAAGCCGATAGCCCGCGGCCTTGCATTGCTTGTCGATTGGCAGCAAAATCGTCTAATACTACGGTGCCCACGACATACTCTCGCTCTTATTACGTGTAATGATCGATTATCGTTTAGACACGATCGTCATGACCATGCGATGCCATCGCAACTACCTTAGTGATATCGGCCATGCCTCGCCAGCTCTGCGGCTAAACCCGATGTTCACACATTATCGAACGATTAAAACGTCAAGCTGCATGTCAAGCTACCGCAATAAAGTCTCATGATCGATTCCATTGATTGGGACGAGAATACTGACATCCTATGGGTCAAATTTCGATGCGCTGGCTTCACTGTGGGAGCACCCACGCGGCATGCTCATGATCCCATCGACATCGTCTTGAGAAAATGCCAAGTCGTTCTAGGATCATGACGTGGCCGTGACCAGGATCCCGCGTTCGTACTGCAATAGCCTGAACAGCGTTACAGTCGTCCCAATGCTTCCCAAAATCTAGATAGAGTACTTCCAGCCGTTTCCATGAGAAAAGGTGCCACGAGATCAAGTTCAGTAGAGAGATCCGTTCCAAGATCTTTGTATTGATTCACGGCCACCACTATCGAGGACTCAGTAGGTCAAACTCATTTCAGTTGTCATTATTATTAAGGCTACCAGCCTAGGTAATTATGAAGAAATAAATGCAGACTGCTCAAGCCGCAAAAGGCGAGTCGCGTCCACAAGGCAAATTCACTCGCCAGCGAGTGCAAAAATGACCATTACCCAATTTGGTATGGTTCCCAAAATTCGTCAACAAAGAACACCAACTCAGTGTCACATGTCACGTGCTCGTCTGGTTGTGTTCCATTCTTATGCCCTCTTGTCTCCCAGCCAGCCTGTGAGGCGATTTGCAATATCTTGAGCATATTCTCCGATTTCCTGGCCGACCTTCTTGCCTGTATCTCCTTTATTGTAGTACCACGCCGCGGTGTAGTATATTTGAGCGTCTTTGGCTCCTTGTTTCGTGGCCTTGGTGATGAGTCCAGTGAGACCGTCACCCTTGGTTGTCCCTTGTACGCCGTCCCGCAGCATACCGAGGATGGTTTCTGTCGTTCCGCCACGTCAGCGGCAAGCACGATTTCATTTACGATGATATGAATGAACAAGTATTGCAGTCCGTCGACGGCAGAGCAATGTCAAACGCCTCCTTCGGAGGTGGCGGTCGACACCCGAGGCGGCATGGGCAAGCTGAGATGAACTTACTGTTTGGGCAAGGTTTTACGACGCCACACTTTTGGTTGTACTCATCTGCAACCTCGCAGTTACAAGTGTTCCGGCCACTGCGAAGTACGGTAAATGTCAGTATATTGAGTCTACGATCACAACATGCTTGATGGTCTCAAACTCAGAAAAGCCAACATACCCATGATCCTGCATAAGGCCCGGGTTGAAGATCTCGACGTCGCCCGGAGCCTTTGTGGTCTGAACCCGTACGCATGCGGTTGACTCTTGGAGAATTTCTGCCAGGATGAAGCGATGGTCCACCTTGGACTCTTTGGCAACTTGTTGAATCGCATTGAAAATGCCCGCAATCTCCTTTTCGGTGTTGAGCGCCACGTTGTGCTCCTTGCAACCGTTGTAAAGATTTTTCTTGTTGGATGTCCACCTACATTACTTGTCAGTTGGCGCGATGGACTGGCAGCTCTCGACAAGCGACATATTCATCGACTCACATGTACTCGAACGAAACCCATTGGGACTTCTTCGGCCATCCATGCTCGATGGAGCCATCACCCTTGTAGGCGACCCACTTGTTCTTTCCTTTGCTCACGCCATCGTTTTTGCTCGCAGCCGTGACTGCAGCAGGCCCCGAGATGGATGCTTGAAACGAAGCGACCGCACTGCCGGCCAGTCCGGCAATGAGGATGCCACCGAACCACATACTGAAAACGGCTTTAGGTCGGATGTATGAAGCGAGATTGACGGAGTTGTTTCGAAGTTATAGAAGTCACTATGTTATGCAGAACATGAAGGATCCTGTCCGTGAAGGTGGCTGTCACAATTTATACATCTCATTCGGACATCAGGAGCACCACGAAATGCTGAAGTAGAGCACCTTCGTGCCTCTGACATTGTTACCGCTGGTGGAGATGCTCCACGTCATGAAACACATACGGATACAAGTCCTCGTAAGCGACAAGTCAGGGATGTGGCTGTACTATCGCGGCAATAGGAACGAATGCGCTTCTGGACTCATCCTGCATATCAGGCGAAAGCGACATAGTCACTTGGCGGTAATACAATGCAAAGTGTCCAGAGTATCATTTGCCTCGCTAGGATGTTTGGCCAAGAAAGATGGACACCTGCACGGCGCATCAGTACTTGCAATAAATGGGCAACAATTCGCATTCAACCAGAAACGGGCGCCTGATGCTTCAAAATACTAACTTGATGCCTTTGCGGCGTCGTGAAGCTGATACAGGCCTGCTGGCGCACGCGCCGCACTGAGCATGTTGCTTGGCGACGGCTTCAGATCATTCATACAGATGTCCTCTGCTCTAGTAAACAAACCATCAATATGTATTCACATAGATACATATTTATTTGTGTGACCAATACGTCAATGCATCTTTGATATCGTGAGGCTAGAGTAGCCCGCGCAGCACGACACGCTTCTGCGGCTCTTAGGGGTGAGCTTGTGGGCACATGTGTGTAGTCCTTCGGATAATACCACGTAAGGGATGTTTCAGTGCAAACGCGGGATACATGATCTGATGACACGAACATCAATCGGTCGCATGCTATAGATTGCCGTCACTTGCTGGCACGCGATGCGCTGAAGCAGCGTCAAGCCAAAGCACAGCACAGGCATGCCGCTTTGACGCGACTGGCTTTACAGCGCCTGCTTCACTTAGGAATACGATGGGTGCGCGAAGGGCTATGGTATAGTACATGAGATGCTTGCTCGACAGACTGAGGCTTGCTGTCGATCTCGTTCACAGGCACTATCTAAAATCTCATCTAAATGTACAAAGACCACAAGGCAGCCTCAAAGTCACTAGAGTCCAATGCTCGTGATTGGAAAGTCATGCAGATCTACCAATGCCACATGCACTTGTAATTGAGGATCCTCGCCCCCAACCGATCGTGTTCGAGCGGCGAGATCCAGCTGTCATTCGTCGTGCGCAGTTTTCCAAACACGCTACCTCCTTTCCACACCAGAACGGCTGGGTCCAATTCACGCGGCGGCGGCACGACCAGGATCTCCTTGGGGTACTGTGGCATGGCTGCACGCAGTCGTGTCTCCAAGTACGCACCGAGGTCTGGAGTCTTCGAAGCTCCGCCAATGAGCATGATACTGCCTAGGAAATCGCGACGTCGCCGTTCGTCAGTGCCACTTGCAAGGTCGATGGAGGTCAAAATAGCCTGCTCGAGTGGCATGATGGGAACAGTACGGTCCACACCCTCGGTATCGAGCTGTGGATCTGCGATCTCATTTACGGTTATGTCACCGATGGTCAAGTCGCCGCCCATCGGAGTTCCCACTTCAGGCGGTGGCGAACCAGCGACCGACGATCGCGGTGTGTTCTCGATATCTCCATTGAGGCGCGCGGGAATACCGAGCGGGCGTTGTTTGAGTGGCGTCGGAGCCATGGGCGTAGGCACATAACGAACTGGTTTGGCTGGCTCCGCCATCACTGCTGATGGTATGTTCTTCTCAACGTAGGATATAACGGCAAGCTGAGCCTCTGACATCGGATCATTTGGGCGACCATCGTAGAGATCCAGCGAGCGAGGAATCAATTTTCGGCGGCCGTCAAGCTTTTTGGAATTGTCAAATATTGCTGGTCGGAAATAACCCTGCTGGATGTCAGCGCATGAGTCGATCGAGAACTCTGTTCACTTACCAGAGGCGCTAGCATTCCCTCATCATAGATTTTGAACTGGTATTTCCTAGTATCCTCACCGGCAGCGCGCACGTGGAAGCTGTGTGTCTGAACAACGATGTTCTCGTCGCTCATCGTAGTAAATTGTTCCTTGAGCTCCTCAGCAAGGAGGAAATCATGGCGCCTCATGAAATTGAGGTCGCTGTAATTGAGACGATCGTGCAACATCATCCTTATGAACGTCTCAGTGACATCATAGCCACCGTATTTCATGTTGATACGTGATTCCTCGATGCACATGCCATCTTCAACACAGCAGATGCTCGTCTTCTGTGCACCCAGGTCCACTATGCAGCCCGCTCCAAAGCCCGCACCGAAAGTTGCAGCAAGCGATTCTTGCAGGAAGCACACCCTCGAGAATCCGAAATCTCGAAGTAGCTCAGCTAGAATATCGGCGACGATGACTTTCTCGTATAGATCAGGGATCACGAAGACGCAGGAGTATTGATGCCAATCTTTCTTGGGCAGGGCTTGAAGCTCATTCAGTATGCTGTGCTCCAGGATGAGGAAAAAATCAGATATGAGTACTCTGCGACTATTGTAATCGCTTTCGTTGAGCCATCCATGTCGAACTGGCCAATGCAACTTGTAGCGAGGTTTCGAGTTCTGTGGGATCCTCAACGCAGCAGCACCAACGAAGTATTCTGGTGCTTGTCTTGTGTCGGCTGGAATCTCTGTCCACTCCACACGCAGTGGATCATTATGCTCAGAGATCTTCTCGGGAGGGTTTGTCGAGTTCCACTTTGTGACCAGCTCTCTAGAATTTGGAAGGACTCGTCGCCTGTTTTGTCGTCTGTATACTTTGAACTCTGCGGCCATGCTAGCGTACTCTTTCGTGAACTTGCGACAGTAGTCAGCTATGTTCAAAGAATACATTGCGGGTGAACAAACCTCTTCTCCAAACCACTCCTCAGATGGAGTGTCGTCATCGAGTTTCAATCTCTTTGGGCAGGGCTCGGAATCTTCGGCCTCGGACCTTGCTGCTTTTCTTGCCACAACCATCGGTACAGTCTTGGGCAAAGCATCCGTGGCGAAGCCTATGCGTAAGTTCTGACTGCCGATGTGGATGATGATGGTTTTGGATCCAAAATTCTCGTTACCAGCATCATCCATTGGAACGTCTTCCTCAAGGTCCGGCTCGGGTTCTGCGTATGCGCCTTCTTGGCCATCTTGTGCCCGAGCCCGGTCTCGATCCACGGCGGCTTTCTTGCGCTGGTCCAGGCGTTCTTCCTGTTGTAGGCGCAATGCCAGAATTTGATCGTCGCGCTTCAGGAACTCACTACGTAGTCGCGGGTCATTATGTGAGACTGTCAAGAGTGCTATCATAAGCGCAACATGGTCGGCGCTGTGACTTGACACGGGCGCAATTGCAACGTCATCGTGTGATCCATAGCATTATCACGCCTGGCAACTGCTGCATGATGAATCGCTACATTGCGAAGTTCTTCACGCTCGAAGATATGGACCATTGGATGAACAGCTTGTTGGCAGCAAATCGACCCATTGGAGAATAGCAACGCCACCATTGCCTTCATAACATAGAAATCGTCCTGGACTTATGAAAGAGTGACGAGACGTACGTGTAGTAATTCTTCTGGTTGATCATCTGAGCCAGAGGCCAGCTTGCAAAGTCCATATTATTATCGGTGCGTTGCAAGCCTACGATATTTGAGTCAATAATCAGATCTTTCAGCGCATCAGAGCAGGACGTTTTGGCCATGTTGCTGCCATTCACTCACCCTCCTCCCTGAGCAGGACGGCGCCAGATTTCTTTCCCACCATATTGACGAGACCCGACTATCAACAACTCCGAATGGTTCTGAAGATAAATTGTTATTTGCTGTTCGCACTACTGCTGAACAAATATCTGACGTTTCAGCAAGGTGACGTGTGCGGTTAAGGTCTTGCGATGTTGGCGTCGAAGAGGTGAGGCGCCTACAGACCGACGTGTCCAGCTTTCCCGAAAGTGACAGCCTTGGATCGCCTTTCACTATTTCGTCGTCGGCGTTAGACCAGAGGGTAATAATTCAATACAAGGGCCCAAAATAATAGCGTTGACAACTCCAGGCCCGGAGCGCTGTGTGCATTTGATACTTATCGCTCTCCGTAGAGATCGATCGACTGCATTGCATAATTTGTACTGTACTGTAGCCCAGCCAACCAGGCTCCCCCGCTGTCGCGACCGCCGCCCCACCATTTGTCGACGACACACTCCACCAAGGCATGCAATTTGACTACACTTCATCAGTAGCTGTTCATCAAAGCAAATCGCGCTTGCATACGATACGTTCCAGTTGAGTCTGTGGAAAACGAGAAATAGATCGCGCATACTACCACGACGACGACATGGCAGGTGAGCATATAGCAACAGCTACACAATCATGTCCTGAGCTAATCAATACTTGCAGACTTCCAGGCCATCGCGAGTAAGTTCGACCAAAATACTCAAATTTCTGATCGAAATCAAGGAAGTGGCTCACGATCCAACCTTTGTCACAGAGCAATTCGTCGACTTCTACTACCAAACTTTTGACCAAGCTCGGCCCGAACTTGCTCCTCTCTACGTGCGCAAGCGATCTCAGACAAAGGAGCGAAAACCTGGTCTAATAGACTTCTTCTAGCGAGATGAGTCAATGCTCACATTCGAAAATTCCCCTACACAAGGCAGTGCAGGCATCATCGAGAAACTCGTCGTACGTCTCGTCGTCACAATGTCCGGCAACAATGCGGAGACTGACAATCTTGTTGCAGGGCTTGCCGTTCCAGAAAGTCGAGCATCGAGTGGACACACTCGACGCGCAACCGAGCAATCCAAATGGTGGAATCTTGGTGATCGTCACCGGCGCCCTTCTGGTACGTAAACGAATCGCTGATGGAAGGCAGTAGTCCTCGGAGACTGACCAAGTGATCCCAGGTGGAGGAGGAGAAGCGACCAATGTCATATGTGCAGACCTTCCAGCTCCTGCCAAGCGACGGCAGCTACTACATTTTCAATGACGTTTTCCGATTGGTTTACGCAGCACAGTGAGCTCGTCTGCTCGCGAGAACCATTTACATTGATGCGTGACACCACGGATTCGGTAGCCAACGATATCAACATCACTGCTTTTGCTACTACAACTAAGTTCGCAATGTCCCTTTTTCGCTCACAGTATCGACGGTCTATGGCAGTCCCTATCGAATGGAAGCCACGACTTTCGCCAGCGTGATATGCGCATAGGGCGAGCATTGAATTGAACTAGACAGTTGCTCGATTTATTCTGTAGTGATGCCTAACAATTGGATCGCAGCGGCGCTGATTTCTTCGAGATGAAGTGCATTCAAACAAACCCTCGAATCGGATAATGCCTTTCTGAGGGCCTGCCTGCCTTCCTTGCATGTGCTGTTAATGCGCTTGGTGGCTGTAAATCTGCGGCGATCTTGCGGAACACGAGCGTTGGTCGTGTAAATTCGTATTCAACTTCTCAATAACACGGACTGGCGAACATTTATGATATTTGCATTTGCAGGAACCTAATCACACTGACATGATGCGGCCCAGCACCTTTCGATGACGGCACCGTAGAAAATGATTGGAAGAACTCGTGGCGCCGTGTTGAATGCGGCACATGAACCCTGATACGCCGGTTCAAAGCTCCTGGGCTGGATGTTATTTCCGTCCCAGGGTTAGCTAAGCCACAGCCGTCGCACGCACCCTGCATCCATGGGGGCAGTCGCGGCGGCCAGCTGTTGTCGCAAGCTCTTCGGGCACAGACAGGCAATCACTTTCTTCGAGCCAAAGTACCACGGCAACCTGGGACCTTCTCGTATAATCCTATGCAAACATTATCTGCTGACGAAATCAATCCCCAAACGCATTCTACATTTCCTCATCCGAGATCTGTTACGGCATCGCTATTCTCGCGCAATCAAAAGGAGCGACCCGACGGATTTGCGACAGAAACGTAAACAGGACTATAAACACCTACGCTTCTGGGACCCCAGTCTCGTTTCGGTGAAACAGCAACCAGATCGCGAAAACATTTCCCGCTGTTTCGCGACGCTACCTCGCGACATCCTTCAAAATGACGTTAATGGAAGAGTTCAAGTCCAGGAACTTCAGTAAGTCATCATGGTGTTACGAGCACAATCTCAACTACGCTGACCAACTCGCTTCTAGGTATCTACGGACAATGGTATGCACAGTCTCGATTCCGTCACTGAATCAAATTACGACCGAAAGTGCTCACAATCTCTAGGACGGGTGTAGTCTGCATTCTGTTGTGCTTTGCGCTGGGCATCGCGAACATCTTCAGCTTCAGCTTGGTGATCATCTTCAGCGTGATCTGCTTGTCAGTCATCCATTCCATGCCATCAATGGATGCAACATGGTCCTGACCCGAGCTAACGATTGACGACAGAGTCTGCGCTTTCATCATTCTGTTCATCGAGATCCCACTACTCCTCCGCATCTGCCCTACCTCACCAGCCTTTGACAACTTCATCCGCAAGTTCGCGACGAATTACACACGCGCCGCCATTTATCTTGTCATGTCTATTATCCAATGGCTGTCACTGACTCTCGGAAAGACATCGCTCGTCGCCGCTGCCGTCCTCCTCCTCATCGCCGCCATCTTCTACGCTCTCGCGGGCATCAAGGGTCAGCAATTCCAGAGCAGCAAAACATTGGGTGGACAAGGAGTGGCTCAGATGATCGTATAGAAAGAGGACTCGTCCCATCACGATTTATTGTATCTTCAAAGGACAGTATATGGAGAAGGCAGCTTGGGGGGCCGTTCTGGCTCACTTGCTACCATAAGCGGACATCCCAACTTGAGAGAGAACAGATGGCTTGTGCCTGCAGTGGTCTCATGGTGTACCAATATGTTTAGGCTAATCACGCGATGCACGGATCATGAATGTAATGTTGCAATTTGCTTTTCGCTATGGTTCATAGAACACTTGACTGTCATCGGCTTTTCCACCACTTAGGCTCGCAAAATGCATCCTCTAGGTTCTTGGTTTTCCATAATGTTCAGTAAATCATTACGCAAATTTACTGTTTTGCAACTCGCGATGAGTTCCAGATGAACTTGAAAGCCGCGCTGCGGTAGTGTCTTGCTTGAAGCCTCATGAGAATGATGCAGATCATTTCGCGAGAAGTGTGATCGATTGCTCCAAGGTATACTGCTTCCACCGACCTACACTTACTCGCCCATGAGCTACGACCAGAACATCCAGCGCTTGGAAGAATTCAAAGATTGACGGTACCTAGGCAAGTAGAAGATGAAGATCGTCGCCCATTAGGGTTCGGACATAACGGAATTAAATATACTCGAAAAATAGGTTGCTGTGGTCGCGAGTGAAGGGTATGTAAACCACCTCGAGATTACCTATCATCACAGAGACAATGACTTCACGTCGCCAAAGTAGCCATGACGAGCGCGATGGTCGCAAGCGCTCGCATTCACCTCGTCGCAACCCGCGAGATGACACCGTGAAGCGACGGCGGTCAAGGTCACCCAGGCACGAATCGCATCGCCATCGCCGCGAGCGTGACGTCGAGCCCGAACAAAGACCATTGCCATACAACAGGAAGCCGATTGACAAGCGTGATTTCAAACAATTCGAAGCTCTATTTGCGAGCTATCTGGATGTGCAAAAACAGCTAGACATCGACGAGGTGTCCGCCGACGAGGTCAGGGGTAGATTCAAGAGTTTCCTTGGCAAGTGGAACCGCCGAGAGCTCTCAGACGGGTGGTATGATCCTGATGTACAGGTGAGAGCTCAAGAGAGGTTTGCATCGCGACCGCCTGCCGCGGCGCCAAAGCCCGCAGACGTCCGCGCCATTGAGACCAGACAACCAACAGAACGGGAAGACGGAGCGAGACAGGATGAGAATGATGATGAAGAGGACAGCGATGGTTATGGTCCCACATTACCCGCGAGCCGGCGAGCGCAAGGCGTTGCCGTGCCAAGTATGCAAGACCTCCAGAACCGACGCGAGCTGGAAAGAGAGGATCGGGAAAACTTTGCAGCGGACATGAAATACGAGCGGAAGCAGGACCGTAAACTACAGAAAGAGTGTATTGAAGAGCTTGCGCCTCGCGCTGCGCCTGGCACGCGCGAAAGACAGCTGGAGAAGAAGCGCGAGAAGAGCGCGGTGACGCGGGAATTCGCAGATGCGAAGGCGCCGGGCGGCGTGGAAGAGGTCAACGATGCCGACTTGTTGGGTGACGATGGCGGGGACTCCTACAAGGCGCAGTTGAAGGTCCAGTCGAAGCGTAAGAACGAACGTGAGATTCGAAAGGAGGAGATCTTGCGTGCGAGGGCAGCCGAGCGGGAGGAGAGATTGTCCGAACATCGGCAGAAAGAGGCAAAGACTATGGAGATGCTGCGAGGTCTGGCCAAGCAGAGATATGGATGAAAATAAATATGAATCACAGGAAATGGCTCATCATTGAACGCGCAGAATATGATAAGAATTCAATGATATAAAAGGCCGTTAAAGAACAGTGAGAAGGGAATCAGGTCTGTCTGCGACCTCAGAAGCGATCCTTCTCATCGCGGCGCGCGCCACTCATCAGTCGGCCACGTCGTCGGCGCATGCTGTCACTGCGCCCCGGCCCGGCGGAATCGAGACTCGTGCCGATACCAGAATCGAAGAAATCATCCTCTTCCTCATCCTCGTCGTCAGCCTCAGTAGCGCGAGCCATGGAGTCCGGGATGACGAGCGGCTCGTCGACCTCTTCGCGTTTCACGGTAATCACGTCTGACGGATCTTTAGATGCCGAGCTGGCATAGTGGAGTGGTTGCTGCGCGCTGAGCGTCGGGAACGTACGCTCAGTGTCGGATAACAACGGTTGCTTGGCATCCTCATCATCTTCTTCCTCCTTGATGGCATCGATGGCATTGTCTACTCCTTGCGAATTCTCGTTGCCCTGCTGCGCTAGCTGCACGGAAATGGCGGCCCATGCGATACCGGCAAAGGTCAGTTCTGTGATCCAGAAAAGGCCAATGAAAAGGATGGCCGAGATAATCCGGTGGTTGTACAAGAGCCAACGCAGGCCCTTGAACCGGGCGCGGAAGTGAACTTTGGCTGAATAGATCTGTAAACGATGGGTGCTTTGAATTTCCAAGCGCAATGTCGAAGGAATGTTCGCCCGACCTCGGGGAAATGAGACTGATTCGTAAATGGGAACATCCAGGGTTCCAGACTCGGAGCGAAGACCCAACAGGTACCAGTGCAGCTGTGTAGCTTTGTAGAGGAATTCCACGACTGGTGAACGATATGGCAGAATTGCATGCCGCCGTGATGATGCCAACAAGGACGAGGAGCCACCCTTGCCGGGAGTGATGTCCGCACGTAGTGCTTCTGCTATGTTGCCATTGCTTCCCGGCACACTATTATCAGCCCCAGGTCCGTACATGTTGACTTCCAGCATGAAATTTCCGGTGACGATGTTTGTGGGGGTGCGCGGCATTGTGAGCTCGATGCGAACGTCGTATGCCTGAGCGCTGACCAGATCCGGCGCGAGGCTCACACTGCCGTAAGGGTATGGGTGTGGGTTCCGAGTGCTGCCCAAAGCAAGTCCATTGCCTACGGTGGAATAGACATTGTCGAATTGAAGGTGGATCGCCCGTTCGAAGCCAATGCGCGGCACATAGGCGTAGTAGAAGAGGGCGTATGCGACAACTGCAGCACCAAATAGAAAGATGCTCGTCAAGGCGAAGAGGAAGGTAGCGAGATATGCTCGGCGAGCTGGCCGTGAGAAGAACGTCCGACAAGGTAAAAGTACAAGATCCTACAACATCACTAGTCAGACAGATTGAATAAAACGTTGTTGGTATGTAATGAGATCCCGCGCACCAGCAAGACAAAAAGAAGTCCCTTCCGCTCCTCATCTTCATTGGCCGCGATGGTGCGCTGCGCGGTGATCGGCATGATGATTTCGTACGTGCTATCGTCGGATCGTGGTCATGGTCTTGTGTTGGTGGAAGAAGATGGAGGGAAATGCGGTCAATGAGCGCCTGATGAAAAAGAACGAGCTTGTCCAGGTCGGCAGCAGTATCATACAGTGTGTGGTGGTTGAGGTACAGCAGTACAATACTTGCAGAAACGCGCCAGGGCAAGCTTTCGAGCATCATCATCGCGCAGCAATCCACTGATGACGAGCGGGGATCGACGCCAAGCCTTGACATGTGAAAGTGTTGGCTGGTGAGAAACTCCTCTACACATCCCAGCCAGCACGTCACAGCACTCCACACGCGAGGTTCGCCAAAAGCGTTGATAATACCGTGAAGCAAGCTTGGAACTTCGGTCGCATTGATTGTAGTCGATCGGAGATTTGACCAATGTTGAATGGCGTTATCAGGTCAGCTTCGCACAAATTTACTTCCAGCTCTTGCCGGTCCAGCAATTTCCACGATAGGGCTAAATTGGACGTGAGCGGCACGCGAGCATCACGAACATGGGCGGGAGAAATTGCACGTGAAGTTGGAAGCCAAAGACGGTTCTCCATCACGCCAGGCTGTCCTGCGCAAACTAGTTAGGGGTGAAAGTAGTAGTATACATCCACAGCTGTCCAGCCGCGCGGTCGAGAAAATGTATGTCATCCCGACAATTGTTTTCTTATTCATCATCGATTTTTTTGGTGGCAGGTCATGCTCTCTTCCCATATAGTTGTCATGTTTCCAGTCTGGGTTTCGGTGCAGAAAAGAAAAGGGGAAAACGACGCTCGCTTGCTTGCATGCCAGGTGCAAATGATCAGAAGGGCAAAACAATCTTGTTGGCAGAGGGGAAAATACACAAGAGAAACAAAAGGAAGCATAGCGGGCGGCTGTGGCAGGCCAGCCCCGGCCATAGAGCGAAACCAAGCACACTCAGACGCGCTATCCTGCAGGAAATTTGCAGGAAAGCAGCACAATGAGATGCAAAGTCTACTGTCCTTGGACCGTGGACGCGACCAAACGCAAACAATTCATTCTTGACTTCGGAAAGACGCGGAAAACAATCGAGTGGTCCAGACAACTGATTCAATTGTGCCAGCTTTGCGGGTCTTGTTCTCAAAGTCATATGAGCCTCACAGACTGTACTTTCAATCCGAAGTATGCGAAATCGACATTGCTCGAGTGTATGCAGTCTGTAACTCGGCAAACGCGCCTGGGGGAGGGCACCAGTATCATTCTTTCCAGGTTTGCGCCCAAAGAAGAGTGTCCCTAATGCCCGCCGTTCCCGTTTGACAATTTGTAAGAAGCAAAAGCATAAATCCCAAACATGAACCAAATAGCATCTTGAATCAAAGGTCAGAGTCGCAGAGATGTCAATGAGGAGAGATCAGCAGAAATTGGCTTGAACAGAGTTGCAGAATCGATTGGAGAGCGCATCCGAGATGGCTGATGTGCATCGAGGCGCATGTGTGCTTCACTTGTAGGATCGAGGAGTTCGGTCGGAACTAGAGCGATCGAACAGAGATAAATGTCAGCAAGTAAAGTTCACTTACACGTTCAGCTGCCCGAAAGCTGCGGATTACAAGCAAGACAAACGAGATGTATAATCAGAAAGAAGAGACTTGCCCTTTCTCCGAGAGATCCTCAATGTGATTACACATGGCGACAAAGACATCAAAGAACAGCTGCGTGCCGCCTCGCTCCATTTCCATTTGCAGAGTGCCGCTACGTTTGAAGGTGCGGCGCCCACGGATGATAAGAGCGAGGTAGTGCGCGCGGAGGCGTGAATCGCTGGGCGGCGTGTGACTGTACGCAAAGCGCGCACTGCGCAGAACCGTCGCGCAGTCCAATCCTTGCACCAGACCTTGTTTGCGCAAAGCGAGGCGCTGCAGATCGGGCAGCTGCAGACGGAGAGCCGCACAGTATATAACGGTATCCCGGAGGATATAGTCACCCACGCCGTGGTGGTAAATTGTCGATGCGGCGGGCTCGTAGGCAGATTGCCGTCCGGGAGGGTGTCTCATCGAAGCAGCAATATCCTGACGTGAGGCTGAGGACGAGGAAGATGCTTCGTACTCGGCATCATCCTCGAGGTACCACGTATCACGCTTGACGTCGCGCATGAGTCGGGGTGCATACTCATGCTTGTAGAGAAACTCGAGGATAGCAGCGAAAACAACTGGCTCGTCTTCGGGCAAGTCTATGCTGCGCTCCCCCGATGGCTCGAAGAACTGTGCGCGGCAGAGGTCTGCGAGCACCGGAGAGCGGGCCAGCACATGCTCGTGCGCGGCGAACAAACGCCGATCCGGCCCAACGGTGATGGTCACGATTGCCGAGTTAAGGCTCGGCGAACACGAGCCGATCGACGGAGACGTGTCCGGGCTTGCATTGGCGAGATGCTCGCGCAGACGTTGCTTGGCATCGTCGCGGAACGACCGTTTTGAAACCTTCTGCACCTTGCCCGACCGCTCCCGCGATGAAGCGGCGAACGAGCGTTTAAACATGATGGTGACAGCGGGCTTGTAGTTTGACTGTGATCGTGTGGTTGGACGGATGTTTCGAAGCGAGCTGAGTGAGCGGAGAGCGATAAACGAATGTTTCGAGTAGGCGGAAGGTGAGATATTGAGGTGGGCGGATTTTAGAGGATCGACACGCGTTGCATGGAAGTCCAAAGGTGGACTTGGTTGTTGACTGCAGCGGTGCCGAGAAAAGAAAGAAGGCTGCGAAGCAGCGGGCGGGCATGTGGGTTTATATATTGACGGCACGCGATCCTCCTGCAGCCACAGCCAGCCGTTGCCCTGGTGTTGTATTCGCCAGCATCATAGTACACAGCACACGACTGGTGGGGTCGCGCCAACAATCACCGAGGATCTACGAACTGAAGGGCAACAACACTTGGTCGTTATGAACAGAGTTAAGACAAGACTTTGGTATTACAATGGAGAACTCCTCTCTCATATTGGTGGTATGGGAAAGCATAATAGCGCTCGGGTTCGCTGCAAATGATTCTGAAGAATTGAACAATTGGCGAGCCGCTCCTGCAGGGTCAAAGATAAGGTGATGATTGCCTAATTGCAGCCACTTCCAGCTCCTCCAACGCCTCTCGTCGACACCGGAACACACTTGACATGCTCATTGCTCCCGTAATGAATGTTCTTTAATATGGCTGTAATCGCACTACTTTTCGAATTGCCACGTCTCTATGACTGCAATTTATCGGCTGTGTTGCAAGCCCACGCAGAAGCGAGACTGTAGAACATTGAAAATCGCCAAGGTTTTGACCAGTGAGGAGAGTACGAATTTCACCAATGTCAACATACAAACCTAGTTGGCTTTGTGAGTCGTAAATCGATCGGATCAAAAGCCGTCAACGATCGGTCGCGATACCTGCCACGGAAAGGGGCTTTCTAGACTCGATATATAGCACGCCCGAGTATCCAAGGATCCATGGATTGCATCGCCACACCTTTCGTCAGCAGGTGTCCTGAGATCCACACTGGACGAGGAAATCAAGGAAATCCGCCCTGTTGCGCCCTCTCGCTGCCTGGCGGGGAACCAGTCATAATCGATAAGATTGGCGGCCGGGGTTCAATTCGGTACTATTAATAGTCATTGGGGACCGCCTGACAGCAATTAATTGCGAGAGTCCAAGGTTGCCCTGTCGATACAATCATCATTCTCCAATATCACTCATCACTCGAGGACACTACAAATCTGGCAGGCTTGTCCTCAAAATTAGGTGCTTGTCCAACACTCATCGAAACGCGCACATTCGCTTGAAGACTTGGAGGCGGTAGCTTTCTCACAATTGTGCGCATTTGAACATTATTCCCCGCCCAAGCGCGCTCTACTTGTGTTGCGAAAGGTGACATACCAGTCCTCACGAGCATGGCGAATAAGCGCATCATGAAGGTAGACTTGCTGCCACATCGTACTAGGACTGTGATTTTACTATCAATACTGACCAGCTAATAACAGGAATTCGCAGGCATCAGCGCCGACCCCCCGCCAGGATGCGTTGTCAAACTGGCGCAAGAGGGTGACCTCCATCTATGGGACGTCTACATGGATGGTCCAGCAGACTCACCATACAAGGTTTGTCCGCCCATTTCCCTATTCCTTGAATCGATCAGCAGCACAATTGTCAGATTGTCCTGTCCAAGCTCACAAAGTATTCTTCAAGAGTGGTAAATTCCACATCCAAGTCACGATCCCAAAGGAATACCCTTTCAAACCACCCACTCTATCTTTCCGAACTAAAATCTACCACCCCAACGTCAGTAACGACGATCGAGGCGCGATGTGTCTGGGCATGCTGAAGGCTGAGGAGTGGAAGCCGCCGAACAAGATCTCGGATGTCCTACGACTCGTCGCAACTGTGTTGGCAGCGCCGCAACCCGATGATGCTGTCGAAGCGAGCATTGCAGATCTTTTCAAGAATCAGCCTGCCGAATTTGACCGGATTGCGCGGGATTGGACAACAAAGTTCGCGCGTAGCTGAGACCCTGAACACACAAAAATGGTAGCGCATGAAAGGGACAAGCGGACGTGGCAATCGAATGGACGGCGACAAGGTCCAAAACCGTGGGCTGTGAAACGAGCAATGAGGGGGCTACATGCTATTGCATCGTGACGGTGAATTCATGCATGCAAAGGAACATCGGTCGATTTGACCTGCAAGATTAGCTCGAGGAGCACTGGGAAGACAAAAAGAGGCATCAGAGCTTGATTCAAGGGGAGGCGAAGCAGACGATGCCATAGCTAGCAGGGCTGCCTTTTTTGCATTGCTTGCATCTTGAGCGCTTGAATTGATACATCAATTTTGGAGCACTTGGACGGACACTGGAACAGCAGCGGCCGAAATCATGGATGGGATGATGGCTGTCCCTTCATCCCGAGAGCTGAGCCGCGGAATGCATTGATATGAGAGCATCGACTCCATGAATGCATAGACGATAGCAGCGCGAATGTGAAGATTGACGAGCCTTGATTTATCACTCGGATGGCGAACCCGAGGAAGTCTCCCACCCAGCGGTCCCGGCTGGCTCAAGTAGTGGTCTCGGGTATGAGATCCGAACCCTGATGTGCCCAGGGTTGTTGCGTGTTTCAACGTCCATGGGGCAACACCTTGCATGATCTGAACATGGCCCACATGTTGGAACGTACTAGGTATATAAAGTGCTGGACATCTCCCTGTGCACAAGAAGCCAGCCTTGCTAATGTAATCCCTGGCCATGCCCATCCATCGGCGCGTGATGCGGCGTGGGCGGGCCTGATCAAAGTCCTGCAAGCCCCGTGCTTGCGAACAGGGATTAGTCAAATTGGACGACGGCTTCACGAAGACGAGCCGGTACGGCATTTTACTCGCCAGTCAGGGTTGCCACGCTCAATTATTACTCTACCTCATTTGCGTTCCCTTTCGTGCACAGCAGCGTTCATGAGTTTGGTAGCCGCGTCGATCGCTCATCCCGGCAGTGCTATGACGGCCACACCGGCATGTTCCCCGGTGCTTCAAACAATTGATCCACAGAATCACGAAACACATCACTTCTCTCGAATCACTCGTGTGATTCATTCATATGTGGTGTCTGCCTGCATGTACAGAAGTCGGTTTAGAAAGGATCGAGACGGGGCACTTCGATGACTAATCCGACACTCGGTTTCATAGACGATATTTCCCTACCTCCAGAAGGCTCGTAACTTCGATCCTCCCTCTATCGATAGTAAGACGAGCCTCAAATGTAGAAGAAATGACCTACAATATGTGCTCATAAGAAGAATAATAAACCAGATGAATGGAAGGGCCCCATGAAAACATCCTACATATGCCTGGCGGCTACCCCCGAGTTTCCGCCGCCTCTAGGGCTGACCGCTGCACGCGGTGGGCGCGGCGTGATCTTTTATTTTCAGATGGGGCCAAATAGAGTTCGGAGACGAAACACATCCCACTTTTTTGTGGAGCTCCTCCGGCGGTAGTAGTAGTGGACGGGGCTTCAGGATCGGATCATATTTCAAGTTCGCTGTCTGTGAAAAAAATACGGCGTGTGCTGTAATAATAAATCGCAATGATGGGGACTATGTTCAGGAGGACACGCCGTAATCGTATTGCCCGTGTTGGTGTATCTTTTATATGGATGAGGCGTTCTGCGGCACACTCTTCCGTGCGCACAATTACTTCGACTCTCAGGACGGAACGACCGGTTCGCCGCAAGTGCTGACGGGTTGACCCTGGCCTGGTCTCATGTTTGATGATGGATTGTACATGGTGACGCATTTGTTGATATTGTCATGCCGTGGAATAGCAGTGAACCCATGAAGCACCCATCTTACACATCGGAAAGCTCGACAAGGCAGTGCTATTCAAATCGGCGAGCAAATATGCCAGAGCATTGGTAATAAGTCTGAATTGCTGCCGTCTGTGGTGAAAAGAAAGGTCAAACTCGAGCATTTCCATCACAAAACCACCTCTCGTCCAAATCCGTCGCGTCACGTCACGCGGGTGCCCTTCCGCTGAATGAAAGAGACGCACAATCCCCGTTGCAACCAACCATCTATCCAACATAGTCCTGACCGTGACAGTCCTGCCAATCTTAAACACTGCAGCGCTGTCTACCCGCATCACCTCTTTCTTGGTCGCAAGGTCCTGACGCTCAGTCTGTCCTGCACTCGAAAGTGCCACTCTCATCATAATACCAGCTCCTGGGTCATTTTCATGATTGACGCCAGCCGATTGTCAGTTGCAACAACATGATCCGCTGGAAGTGCTGGACGCATCAGCAGAGACATCACGTCCATACCCAACGGTAGCATAATCCAGCCATCTTCGGCCTCCTCCGACCACTTGGAGTACTGTATCTCACTTCCGAGTGTTAGGACCCGAGTGTCACAGTCGGGCAGAACGAATAATCGACATACTCTTCCTTTGGTCACATCGCTGTCCACAGACTCTGCCCACACGTTTAGCTTCCATGCAATTGGTCGTTGTTCAACAGGATCGCGTTCACCATTCTTCTTGTTCGCCTGCATGGGATCCTGACCAGCAACGCATCATCGCGGAGGCGATCAAAGAAGCTATGGACACATCACAATTGATGAAGCCTCGCTCACGGTCGCGGCCTCGACCGACAATTGATTCCCCTCAGGACATTCCCACGCCTGAAGCCCATTTACCACTCCGCAAAGCATCTGCTCAACGGCTGCAGACACGAAAAGGCGGCGTTCCACGACCTCTATTCGCACCATCTGGTATTCGACCAAGCCCGGTACAGCCTCTGCCCTACATAGACAATGTCACAGCAAGCTCAGAGCATGCGTTTGCCGGACGAGATGTCCGCCGTCCTTTCAAGCCGCCATTAGGAGGGTTCCAGGAACAGCAGTATGCTGCCCATAATTCCTATGCTGCTCAGCGGAGTCCGAGCTTGCAAGAAGTCGAAAGCAGACCACCTTCATCACCGCTTTTACCTAATCCGCCATCTCCTCATCTGCTGAATGGAAAGAGTCTGAGAAATTCAAAATCATTGGGAGAGGGTTTGAGAGGAATACGAGCGCACATGCCTTATGGTACGAGTCTGGTAGATTCCAATAAATACGACGTATCGCAACCGCTACCTACGCCGCCAGGCTTCCACGGCGATGGTCCCCGTGAGTCCTATAGGTCTGCTCTCACGAGCCACTCGAGCTTTGCCCTGACTAGCAGCGTCAACACGGAACGTAGCAGCCTGACCGGGAATAGCTCTCACAGCGACTTCGTCAAAATCCAGCAGGAGGATTGGCAGGATGCGACGGATATCGAAATGAGCGTTGAAGATGCCATTGGGATGTACGAGGATGGGTTCGACAGCGCGATCAAACAGAGCTTTGACATACAATCTGTCCGCTCCGCCACTCGCGCGAGGAACAGTCTAGACGTGAGGTCGATAAGTTCTGATCGACCTAGTTCACAGCCACACTCGCAGCAGCACACTCAGCGGGCGCCAGTCAGTCATCGTCGGAGTCAGAGTGCTAGCATGCTCTTGGGCATTGCTAAGCAGAATCGTCCCGGAGCGAGTTCACCGTCCAGCCTTGCGCCTCCGGATCGTTTTATGACAAGCTCTCGTGCCTCGGGCAAGACTGTATCACCTACGGCAGCATCTTCCTTGCCAGATCCACTCAAGCCAGTTCCAAGAGACCGCTATGGCTTTAAGAAGGCCTCGCATTATGTCACAGTAGATCAGTACGATGCATGGGACATTGGCTACAGCGAACATATATCGCGGCGATCCAAAAAGTGGCATGCATTGATGCGCTCCTACGGTCTTACGACAGACCCTCCGTTTCGCTTTCCCCCCAAAAGCGATAAGATCAAGCGCTACGTACGGAAGGGCATCCCGCCAGAGTTTCGAGGTGCAGCATGGTTTTGGTATGCTGGTGGACCAAGTTTCCTCGCAAGAGAAAAGGGTCTCTATCAGAACTTGATTGACAAGGTCAATAATGGTCATCTGGGCGACACGGATCGCGAGCACATTGAACGAGACCTCAATCGCACATTTCCTGACAACATCCGTTTCAAGCCGGACCCGGTAGCAAGCCCTCAGTTAGATTCACCGAACAGCAGCAGTAATGGTGATGCATCGTCTTCGAGAGACACCGGTGGCTCCTTGAATGGCGCAAACACTATCAGAAGGGTGAACGGAGTGTCCACCATGGACGCTGAACCAGAAACGCCGATTGTGCAAGCTCTCCGTCGTGTGCTCCAAGCATTCGCAGTCCACAACCCGAGCATTGGCTATTGTCAATCCCTCAATTTCATCGCAGGCCTTTTACTGCTCTTCCTCGACGCTGATGAAGAAAAGGCATTCGTCCTGCTCAGCATCATCACATCACAGCACCTTCCCGGAACTCACGGCGTTGCTCTCGAGGGCGCCAATGTAGATATCGCAGTGCTTATGAGCTGCCTCAAGGACAGTCTTCCCGGCGTCTGGACACGGCTCGACGACCAAGGCGGCAGCAGCAACCCTGCAGCCGACCTCCGCCTCCCCACCATCAGCCTCGCCACGACAGCATGGTTCATGTCGCTCTTCGTCGGCACGCTGCCCATCGAAGCCGTCCTACGAATCTGGGATTGTCTTTTCTTCGAAGGCAGCAAGACCCTCTTCCGCGTCGCCTTAGCCATCTTCAAGACTGCCGAGCATGCCATCCTCGGCGTCTCGGACCCGATGGAAATCTTCCAGCTCGTCCAGGCCGTACCCCGCGGGCTCTTGGACGTCAATGCGCTCTTGGAGTTGTGCTTCCGTCGTCGCGGCGGCGGCTTCGCCGGTGTTAGCCAAGGCCTCATCGAGAGCCGTCGAGAAGAACGGAGGAAATTGGTTAAAGAAGGTGCGCGCCATGCGGCGGATGGTTCAAGTGGAAATGCCGATGACGACTGTATTGAAGTCGAGGGTCGTCTACGACGTTTCACGAGACGCGTCCGGAGCAGGACTGCGAAATGAACATGGCGAGAATAACGCGCAGGAATTGACGGCATGATTCACGGCTATCCCTATGTTGATAGGAGTGGTGAATACACTCTGGTATCTCTCTTTTATTTTATTTCGGCGAGTAGAGTAGGTGTGAGGGTATCGCGGGAGTTTCCCCCCTGAAAGGGTGAGTGGGTCCTGGGGTTTAGCTTGTGGGCTTTCCATAGTAGGCGCATCATAATGAGGAGCATGTAATGAACAACACGGAATCTGTTAGATGACAAGAAATAAAGATGCACTCGAAACAAAACAAAAGGTCAATGACAACGCGGCAGCCCGACTCAGAGCTGGCTCTGGACGTAAACCATGTGTTTGAAGGCATTGGCATCACATTCGCTAGAAGCAAAACTATTCTGGATTTTGCTGGCGATAGGTAAGGTTTCAATACCGAAACATTGAATAAACTACACATAGGAAACTTAGGGCACTGATCGATATTTCTGTTTCGCTTCCATCTCAAAGCTCCTTCTTCTGCTGTGCGGACTCCTTCTCGTTCGGCTGCGATTGAGTGATGTAAGCCTGACCAACTTTTGCGGTCTCGCGCCAACCCTGCTGGCGAGACCAGAATTTTTTCTCAGGCGTGGATGTGCTGAGAGTGCTCTGGCGCTGTTCCTCCTCGAGAGACTCGCGTGTGATGGTGACATCCTTCTCATCGTCAACTTCCGAGAAGGTCGGAGCACGTGCCAGCTTGCCGAGACTCTGGCTGAGAAACTGCTCGCGCACGAGGTAGCGGGCGCGGCGCTCCTTTTGTCGACCGGGCGAGTCGATTTTGGAGATGGCGTAGCGGACCACTTTGTGGGAGACGAGGTAAATCTGCTCGCTCAAGAAGATCGAGAGGAGCAGACCCCAGCCTTTGATTGTGTATGGACTGCCATCCGGTCCGACACCATCGTTGGAGAACATGTAGGTGAGAGCTCCCATGGTCAAGCTTCCGAGCCAGGTTAGAAACTCCAGAGCATCAAGCCATGGCCCGATGGAGTCTGCCCGAGCTGGTGTTGGTCGTTGCATCTCCAAGCAGATTTTGAAAGCATCTGCACGAAGCTCAAACCAATTGTTGACCAAGAAGCTCACAGGTACGAGCGGCCAAACCACGCTGAATAAGCTGAGATAGCCGAATTGGATGATCATCTCGCGAAGGTCGCTTTGAACGTCGTATGTGGTGAGCTCAGCTTCACTACGGACTCGAGCGAGGAATTCGCGCTCCTCGGGAACATCGTTCGCTGAGGCTGATGGCTCGGTTTTGGAACCCGACCTTTTGCGAGATGCAGTCAGTTCACGGAACTTCACAGTACCTTGGCGCTTAAAGTACGGCACAACGACTTCCGTGGCGAAGTTGACAATCGAGGCTGTCACAGCAAAGTAGATGACTTGTTTTCGTAACCGATCGGGATTGATGTCGTACAAATCCAGGCTTTTCTCGAGCGGAACTTTACCATCTGTGTATGATCGTGCGACGACATTGGCGACATCGAGGTGAGGTATGAGGAGTTTGCCGAATGGGACGTAGACGAACGCGGTCAGAATGAGGCCCAGATAAGAAGTGATGAAGTTCATCACGAATAGCTTTGCCGTCAGGGCGCTCTCGTATCGAGATGCCGTCTCGTAATTCTCGTAGTCATTCAGTCGTGTCGCCAAACCGGTCATAGCATTAGTAAGGAAAGGCATGCATGTTGTCAATATGATTACAGGAAGGTATGTTAGTACGGATTTTCCAGGGCCATCGTAGACCTCTCCGATAAAAATCTCGATGACGAAGCAGAGGATGATGAGACTTCCCAACACAGCGATAGCGCATATGGCGAATGGCAGCTGTAGAGCTTGTCGTTGTAGGCGTTGCCACGCTGGGAAAGTTTTCTGTTTCTCACCCGTGGCGACATCTTCGATTTCATGAGATGCTTCGAATTCGTCGCGTTTGCTTTCGATATTGCTAACGCCGCGAACACCCCATCGCAATGCCAGATCGCGTTCACGATGCTTCCACCATTCCACAAAGATGACGCACCAGGAGCATGCGAGCACAGCGAAGATCGGACTGAATGAGTCGAGCAGGAGCCAAGCCAGGAATCCACCGACACCAGGATAGATCAGAAAATTGAAATAAGTTTGCTCGAATGCGAAGTAGTATGCGACTTTCTCGCCAAATTTGTTGCGAATCTCGTCAAGGTCTTCGATATTCAGTTGCCAGTTGGTGGACCACTTCTGAAGCCAGTGCTTGTTGTAGACATGATCGTGAAGCGCAAAGATGCTTTCCACCTGAGGCCATCGTTTGGTCTTGGGGCGAATGCCAGCACCGCCGTCCTTTTCGTCGTTCGTAATCAATTGGTATATGATCAGAAGTCGCTCTGCATCCGTCAGTGGATCTTCATTGAGTGATGCTTCGACATCTTGAGCTGGTTCAGTCAAGCGAACACCGTGGATCCAGTCCCGCACTCGACTTCGGTAGACTTCACCGTAGACGTGTTCGAGGCTGGCGATTTTGATGAAAACCATTAGAGTGTGGTCTTCGCCCTGACGGACTTCTGTGGCCAGACCGACTCGAGCCAACTTGTGTACAAGCTGCTCAAATGTCTTAGCAGACTCTTCCTTTTCTGCCCACATTGTCAGCAAAGCTCTTTAGAATATGAAGTGCGGATGACAGACCTGTAGCTGAGAAGCGAAATATGAGGACGTATTCCACGCCCATGTTGTTATTGGCAGCATGAGTCTTAGCCATGTTGGGCGGGAGAACTGCCTCACTGAAGCTACGTGGAATAGTTGAACGGGATTTGAGCTCTGCTGGCGAAGTGCCGGCCGCTCCTTGATTCGACATTCGGGCGGTGATATCGAAGCAGAGGAATCTTATATAATCAGTATGAGGGTCGGCCACACGAGAGGATGGGCGAGGAAATATCGCCGCGTAGGTTGCTGTGAGTATAGGTAGTCACGGTAGTGATGTACGGAATCGATCAAGTTTGGACTTGGTGGTCCATGTATGATTGCGTACTCGTACCACGACGACAAAATTGACCAGAAGAAATGCCACACCCACAAGACAAAGTAATTCCAAGAGATGTGTTTCTCCAACGGGCTATGGACACGAACAGGGAAGTGTGCGTAATAGCAGGATATTCCTTCTCCGCCCAGGCGAGCAAGTGTGCGGCAGCAGTATGATGGCACTTTCAAGCTGCGTAAGCTGTGGCTGCCGCATGTGCATTGCTGACGTCACCCCCAATCAAACCCTGCCAAAATAACGGTTGATCAAGCAGAAGCTTGTTTCGCTTCAGCAAGGACAATACCTGTGGACATTTTGTTTAATAACAATGGTTGGCCGACACATAATCATCCCTGGACACTCCTTTTTGCAAACGAAGGGTATCATCATTATGAATCATGGTTATTCATGCAAGATGAGCTCAAAATCTCAGCGTTCATCGCCTGTTGCCGCGCCTTGGTATCATCCCGAAATTCTAATCCCGATTTTCTTACTCAATCTCACCCGCCGAGACATCCTTCATTAATGCATGTGCATCTTGTGCTTCTGCCCGTGGCTTCTCTCCGAGCCCACTGCCCTCACCTGCCAATGCCGCGAACCGCTCTTGCCAAAGCGCCCATCTGTCTTTGTGGAAACCAGGCGCGCCTGTCCATAGCTCACCACCCTTGCCAGGCGCACCGCCGGTTGAGGACGTCGCCGGGAACTGGTCATCGCGGTTATAAAGTTCCACACCAGCGTGGTCCAGCCACGATGCTGCCGCGGGCACAAATAGCTCGAGTTGGTTCTTGTCCGCCTGCGGGTTTTCGAGTGCCTCGCGGAAGGTCACGAGAGCAAACCATGAGAGATCAAACACCGGTTCCTCTGTGGCCAACAACTGAGCTGTGAATGCGTTGAGGTTGGTGAATTCGGAAACCTTCTGTTGTCGCACTTCGTCGGTATCGTTTGGTTCGATGCCGACATTCCATGAATCACGAATTTGCCAGCCGAACATGGGCAGGTCGCGCCAGAGTTGCTTGTCGTGAAGTTTGATGCTTTCGCCAGAGGCGGACTTGGCATCGTCGAGCCTGGAGAGATGTACCAAGATGTCTATCAGTGTCGCATGGCTGGCGGATGACTGCTGGGCTTTCTCTACAACCAATACCCAGAGCTCATAAACCTCGTCCTCAACAGAGCCATCAGCTAGTGACAGGGATGCCAGTAGATCTGCAGCCTCTTGAGTGGTGATCTTGCGATCAATGGCATCTTGCAATGCACGAGCTTGAGGTGATTGCCAATTATCTGTGGAAGCCATGGCTTTGGAAGGCTGTTGTGGAATGATTCTGGGATCAAGTAGAGAGCGGTGTCGGAAACCCACCTCAGTGATATATACATGGTAGCCGTCGAGCTACCATCGCCGAGTCGGAAACCATCGACCCAATAGTGGCTGTCCGTCACTTTCTTGCAAAAGCATGTGCTATTGATTGGGCATATCGTTGGAAGCTCCGGTCCAAACACCGAATACCCCGCCACGGCTTGCCACGCCCATGCCTATGCCCGCCCATGTGCAGCGTGCAGCCATCAAATGCAGCACGTTCGCTCACAATCCCAAACCATGATGTCAAGACCACTGTGAATAAGACTGAATTACAAATCTGAACATTGTATGAACATGGCATCCGAAAATCGTGTCGCCTTAGTGACAGGAGCGAATAAGGGGATTGGCCTCGCCATTGGTACCAAAATGCCCCCTGACACAGAGAAATAGCACGTGGCTGACAGGTCCCATCCCAGTGAGGAACTTGGCTTTGCGGTATGCCGCATCGTCCAAAGATGATGTATCGACTATAATCTACCTCACAGCTCGCTCAGAAGAACGTGGCGCTGAGGCCGTCAAAGCGCTCTCCGATGACCGACGACTCAAGGAAGCTAAAGCCCTGCAACAAGATGGAGGTAGCGTAAGCATAAGTTTCCACGCGCTCGATATCAGCAATAGTAAAAGTATCGACGCCGTACGGGATTACCTGGCCAAGCAGCACCCCGAAGGTCTAGATGTGGTCATCAACAATGCTGGCATCGCACTCCAAGGATTTGATTCCCAAGTCGTTCAGCAGACACTACAGACCAATTATTATGGCACCTTGGAAGCCAGCCAGAAACTTTTGCCCCTGATGAAGCAAACCGGCCGCTTGGTCAACGTGTCGAGTATCCTCAGTGCAGTGGACAGGTACTCCCCTGAATTACGTGACGCTTTTCATGCTGCCTCGAAAACATCAGTCGACGCTGTATCCTCGCTGATGGCCCAATTCCAAACCGCAGTCGACAAAGGCGAGCAAAGCAAGTCTGGCTTCCCATCTTCAGCTTACGGCGTAAGTAAGGCAGGCGTGACCGCTGTCACTAAAGTCCTGGCGATGTTGGAAGCACAGCGGGGCTCGGGAGTCTTGGTAAATGCTTGTTGCCCTGGCTATGTCAAAACGGATATGACTCGTGGCGGAGGTATGATTACTCCTGACGAGGGCGCCCAGACTCCAGTCCTACTTGCTCTTGGCGATATCGGTACCACCTCGGGTGAATTCTGGAAAGATGAAAAGGCGAAGGCATGGTGAGAATGATGCAGGTCGGCTCACAGATGTACGTGTGAATGCAGGATGTTACAACATCGAGAAATGAAGAGAAATCTCGTTTCATTGAATAAGTAGCTTCCTTCCAAGATTTCACGAGTAATAATCAAGGCCCAGGTGGTACGTAGGTACAGTGAGTATTGATACGAAAAGGGAGTCGCGAACCTTGTTCAGCTATCCCCGCTCGACGGGATGCTTGTTCAAAGCTTCATAAAGCTGTAGCGTGGAGCTGATCACGAAAGCCATCGCTCCTGTAACTCATGGTCAGCTGAATCTTGAATTCATCATACGGTGGATAACGCTCACCCCAAAAGGTCGCACAATTGGCCTGATATTGGGCCCAGTACACTGGGATATAACCGAAGCACGAGCCAATGAAGAACCCAAACCCCCCAATAAGATTGAAGATTCCAATCCACCATCCAAGAATATGGTAAGCCGGCTGCCACCAATGTCGTTGTGTCTCGAGGGTGAACAGCAACCCAGATATGACCATGCCTATACCACCGAGCACCTCGGAAGTCCAGTAAAAGAGCTCGAGCTGTTGGAAAGACAAATGATTGAAAATTCCAGGTAGTCCCATTATTCTAGAGATGAGATATATCATCGATCCTGTTGCTGCGAATAAACAGGCCAAAAATCCGACGTCGCGGAAATAATGTGTTCGCAGGTCGTATGTGCTTGGGATCCACACCCACTTATTGCCTTGCTTCACATCTGCGTCAAAATGACCTTTGGTGTCCGCGGGATGCCCTTTTGAAAGCCAGTTCCGAAGAAGGCCGTGTTTTCGGAGGTCCATCGAGGGCAGGAGTAGACTGATGAAGCCACTCTCGGTCTGTCGATCGATCAGCTGAACAACTTCCCATCCAAAAGAAGCAGAGCGGTTCTCGTTGACGGCCTCTATCATAAGAAGTACGGAGCTGACGACGCCTAAGGAACAACCAATGCATGCAGTTATGCCACCGTACTAAAGAGTCTCGTCCTTGAATGTTCTGGCGGGTCGTGCGAAGGGCAGAAACACGAAACAGGAATTGGCCAGCCAGACCAGGCTGGCAACCGCGGTGATGAAAGCTGTCAGCCAGCTCACGTCGGACAGTGGAAACGTCGTGAACATTCTGAAAGTCCCGCGTAGGACTTCGCGTGTCGTGTCCGTGAATGGCGGTGGTATCACGGCAGCATTCTTGTCATCCGAGGAAGGCTTGACAACAATTGCGTGTCTGTTGGGGCCAACGTTAAATTCTTGATCGAATATTCATGAGTTTGTGCACATACCGATTCTTGCGACTATTCCTGCTCGTCCATTTGAATTGTACGATGGAACCCCCCGACACTGCGACACCCTTCTGAATTGGAACAATATCTGTAAGCAAAGCGAGCTCAGGCTTGACGTGCTTCTCCGTGGCCGGAATCGATGTAACCACTTGCAGACTTGAATCGCTGCTCTTCTGCACCTCGACTGGTAGGATTTTGACCTTTGACTCTGGTATCCCGGCGTAGACGTGGTCGAAGCGTGCTTGAGTTGGATTCAGGAACTTGATCGGGCCTTGAACTTTGGTGAGTTGAAGTGTTGGGTCTTGCTTCAGCGATGCTTGTTCCGATCTGAATACTGTGCTGCGGGCCATTGCAAAAAGTGAAAAACCGTGTAGCGATAAATGTGGTTTGCGGTCACCTTGAGATTCAGCAGGCCAACAGACAGGTCACGTTGCAGCTTTTAAAGTGGCGGGAAAAATGATCCGGGATTTCCTTCCTAAGATGTGGCTCGATTTAGTTGTCTGGTCAGGCACGGCTTTGAAGACGACCCTGCCTGATGTTTTGAACAACACTTCCAAGACGTCCCTGCCTGATAGTTCGAACAACACTTCCGAGACAATTTATCAGTGTGATTGATAGAATAGCAGATGTACCCCGGGTTATGATCTGGACATCCATCACTCGTGTAAGCTTGCTGTTAATAAGGTACGCGATCAGCCTCAAGATTGGCTACTGTATGTGTCTTGCTAGATTTATATTGCTTTATTTTTGCCTGCTATCGGCGCCCCAAATCAATGTCTAATACGTTGACCATTTTGGCTTCCTTTGGGGTTGTTGACTCGACACCAAAGAATGGGGCTACACCAACACGAACAACCTCTCGGAACATATCGGAGATCAAGTCTTGGAGCTCAGGTCCCGTCTGCGCGAAGTCAGGGAAGGCATTCACCTCGAGAAGCCAAGTAGTGCCGTCCGCATCGACAAGAAAGTCGAGACCGAAGATTTCAAATGCATTGGGGAGTGCTTGAAAATGGATACCCATGCTCCTCGCCGCAGCCTCAAAGAGCTCACCGGTTATCAAAGAGATCTCATTGAACACTCGATCACGCCAGTCGGTTCCCTCTAGTTGAGGGAGGCTTTCAGGCAGGGACCAGAATGCATGGACGCTGCCCTCACGTCTTCCACTCTGTAGACACGTGTTCGTCAAGTGGCTTGAAAGATCCTCGTTGGGTGAAGCCTCAGACTGAGGTGCTACGTAAGGGTCTGCAGCGAACAACGCGAGCATATCCTTATAGACATAGACTTTCAATGCACCGACAACGAGAACATATGTGCGGATGTGAAACTTTCGATTGGCGGATGCATGTGGTTGCGGCAACAACAAGGGAGGATCAACATAAGGCTGGGCGATGAAATGCCGCAGCTGTGATGTGACAATGTCGTTATGGGCCCTCTCGTCAGCTCCCCCATCAGTGGGGTGGGTGCGGCCAGCAGTAGGATGTCCATCTCCGTCCGTCGAGGTCTCGTCATCCGCTTCGTCATCGTCATCGGAAGGAGGATCCCATTCGGTGAAGATGTCTGTGAGCTCTTCTTCAGAGCTGAATATGCGAATGCCTTGACCACGCTCGCTCATTCCCGGCTTCAGGATCCACCACTCTTTCCTGTCACCCTCAGGTAGCGAGTCATTTCGCTCCCAGCTCTCTTTGAGCTCATACGCCTCGAGCAAAGCATCATCGAGAAACTCAGCATAGTCAACTTCAAACTCCACACTGGGCTTCACGTGAGCCTTGAGCAGCGTATCTGGCTTCTTTGTTGACCAGTGGGAGATGGTTGTCGACAAGTAATGCTTCCGAATGAGGGCCTTGCGAATGACATAGCTGTTGGCCAGACAGGTGTTTGGAGCACTCATCAGATGCTCGAAATCTATACTTTCATATTGCCGCCACTGTAGAAAATGATTGGTTGGTTCCGGTAAATCACTGACATCGCGGATGAGGCGGAGACGATCCGAAGGGAGCTCAGCCTGCAAAGCCGAAAGGAGCAAAGGTTGGACATATGTATCTTCATACTCCACGAGAGCGTAGATGGGCTCTGTCATTGTGCATATGTGGTCTTTCAGTCCCGAACGTATTTGCCTTACCATGGAAACAAACCTTATTCCTGACAGCGCAATCCGTGTGAAATTTCGAATGTGGAATCATCTCTGCCAGGTGCGACAGTGACTTATTAGGGTTATTTGGTCTTGGTGAGACATTTGAACTCCGTCTTAACTTCACGGTCTGGAAGTCATGCGTCGTCGAATCTGATTGTTGTTATTGTCTGGAACGAAATGCGAGGTGACCACGATCGATGCGACAAGCCTGTCGACCAGCTGTGCGCCGCCATCACTGAATCTGTACGGTTCCATGCAACCAGTCCGTTGCCCGCTGTACATGCGCAGAATATATTGCGGACCTGCAGACCGCAAATTAGACGCACAACCGTTGTCAGGATGCACACATGAAGCCACGCCGTTGGTCAAGATATGTTGCCTAACCAATACTTAAAATTGCCGCACAAAAGACTCGAAACAGTGCGAGTCTTTGCATTTAGGAAGAAATGTCGGAGGACGTAGCTTACCGGCTACGAGGTCGGGTCGTTTACCAGGCGCCGTTCCGTTGCAGACTGCGATGCATGCCACTGTTGGTCGGGACTCGGCAGTTGGAAATCAGCACCTTGGCGTAGCCATGCGGGATACTGCCGTACTATCGCCTGGTGACGTCGTATCAGACATTGCAGCATTGGCGATGAGGACTTACAAGCAGAAACACGCCAGGATGGCATGCTCGGTGATCTTGCTATGTCCGTATCATCGTACTCACGACGACTTCACGGCGCCAGCATTCGTATCAGCAGTCAATGATATTGAACAGATCTCGCGCCAGAATCTTGCCATGATGTAGAGTAAGCAGGCCTGGCCATGGCGATTCGCAAAGTGAGAAGGCCGGCGGGCCGATATAGACGTTGAAGCATTCGCAAACCCGGGTTGCTCCACCAGATTGTTCCGAGAATCCGTCGAAGGGGTTGGCAATTCCTCGCCTGCATGCACAGTGTCCACGTTGCGATAACTATCTGCAGAAACAGGAGACGATTATGATGATCGAATGGTATAAGTATGCTCATCTTCGCCCTCCAGAGAAGGTATCTAGCATCAGCATCATCATCCATCTCATTCAACAAACAACCACACAAACCAAACCTCCCAACACTCTCAGCTTCAGCTCTATCCTCCAACGACCTTCCTCATCAAACAACCAAATCAATCAACATGCAGTTCTCCACCATCTTCACCATCATTGCCAGCGCTGTCGCTGTTTCTGCCATGCCTGCCATTGGAAATGCCCCCGGCAACATCGGCAGCTGCAACTCGCAGACCACCATTGCGTGCTGCAACGGCGAGAACAGCAGCGGCCTTCTCGGTAACATCCTCGGTGGCAACTGTGTTCTTCCCAACCTTCTATCACGTAAGTCGGATCCGCCCTCGTGGCTTCTGGACCGATCAACTGACGATGTCTTACCAACAGTCGGCGCCGCCTGCCCAGCAAGCAACACCTTCTGCTGCCCCACAACTCAGAATGTAAGTTATTGGAGCCATGCGGCTGAAGCAAGCTACAAGCCGAAGCTGACACGACTTCCAGGGCGAGCTCAACATCAACCTCTCCTGCATTCCCATCACTCTGTAGATGGCGGGATTGACTGGATGAGCATACAAGCCACGATGCTGCGATGAAATGACAACGAGCACACAGTGGCCGATAGATGCTACCAACATGATCAATCTGATGAGCAAACAGGGGGCGCGATGCTACCACTTGGGACAGGAGTAATGAGCAAACAGGGGTAAGATAGCTACTGCCACTGGGAAGAGCAACGATCTTGTTGTTCTCCAGGATTTTGAAAGGCGTGACTTTTATATGTTGATCGCTATAGTTGTACAATTAGCTGATCCGAACTCAATTCAATTCGATTCTTTTTTATCTTCTCTGAAAAGCGTGCGATCCTATACCCATAAGCTTTGTGGTGATGAATATTTGTTGATATTTGCCTTGCAGAACACATCTGTTGGTGCCAAAAAGGACCTGCGGACACAAACAGCTTTGGCACCCGGGCCTGCCGCTGCCGCGTGCGACACGCGTCGAGGACCTCCCACTCGTCCGATTAACCAAGTGGTCAGGTTCCAAATTCATAGTTGTCATAATTTCTCATTGCAGCCGCCAACATGTCTCGTGATGGACCTGCATCGCGTTGTGCAATGACTACTTTCATCCATCTTCGAAGACGGCGTGTAGAGCGCAGCCCTTTTTAATGAGGGATATCGGCTACGTTCATGGACAAGAAACGCACGTACAAAGAATAACACTTTGTCCTTCGACAATTGACTTGTTCTATGCTTTCGCAGCTTGTAACCTCATATTTTGAGTTGCATAATGCAAGATGACAGTCGCGACACCCTTTTTCCACTCGAAAAAAGACCGCATGATTACGTGGTGGCAGTGCAGCATTCTCCACCCATCGCCAACGCGTTCGATACAGCTTGCGGGAGGCTGTGCCGAGCATCGTCAATGCTAGTGACTATGATGAAACATATATTGTCTCTGCATTGATATTATCCTCCACTAACACTACATTCTGTCGTTCGAGATCTAATGTCAGAAGAAGAACCACAACAGGGGGCCTTTGAAGACGACGATGTAGACGACGACTCCGACGCAGATGGCGTGGACGGCGACTTTAAGGTCGATGACATGCACGATGACTCTGACGATGATGTCTTTCTTTTCGAGGCTGCGGCAAGCGACCCTATCTGGTCCAAACAACAACCACTCCAGTATCTGCTAGGAAGATCTAGGAAAAACGGCCGGACATCGGCCAAGGCGGTCTACGGCGAACCGCTGACCTTAGAGCGGGATGCAGAAGGCCCTCGCATTCGTCTGCTTCGTATCCGACCAGGTGCGAGGGGTGAGCCGATCTATGGCGACCTCCTCGTACGGCCATTATTCGAAGGACAGATACACTACGTCGCATTGTCATACGCTTGGGGAAAGCAGGTGGCATCTCGAACAATCTACCTAGGACCTGAAGAATTGGAATTTCACCTGTCTCCCCACTTGCACGCCGCTCTTGACCATTTGCGACACCACAAGGAGTACACCTACGTTTGGGTCGATGCGATATGTATTAATCAAGAGAACGATCTCGAGCGTAGTGCACAAATCCAGATCATGGCGCAAATCTATCATCAAGCAAACGAAGTCCGCGTCTGGCTTGGTGTAGACGGTTTCGCAAATGTCGCGGACAATGACGATGACTTGATGTGGGCCTTGTGCCAACGCGAGAGCCCGTGGTGGAGACGCTTATGGGTTGTGCAAGAGTGTGCTTATTCTAAGAAGTGTCCGGTCGTTATGTTCGGCCAGAAGCAAAGCTCACTCCAAGATCTAGTTGAGCGCTGGACCAATGTTGTACAGCGGCAGCAAGGGAATGGTCACTCGTATCAGCTGAGTACACTACAGTATAATCTAGTCTTTGTGGAACAGCTGTATGCCGCCTGGATCGAGCAAAGTATGACGGGACGCTTGCCGCTCCTTATTCGCCTACGCCAGACTGCGCGGCACCAATACTCTGTCGCCCACGACCGAAATTTTGCAATTTTGAGTCTCGTAAATGAGGAGGAGGTGAAGAAGATAAAGCCTGACTACCGCCAACCGTATTCATCTTTGAGATCGACCGTGGGAGTATTGCTTCAGCGCTCCGTGGGATGGAACGCCGATAGAGACAAATATCTACTAGCAAACCCAAAGGACTCCAGAACCATCAACGAGGAATTCCGTCAAGCGTCACACAATGGAGATTGTCCTACGATACTACATTTTATGGTCAGCGAAACCATGATGGATACACAACGTGGGCTACGGGCAGCAGTCCTGCAAGGTCATCTTGACGTAGTACGTCTTCTGCTCGAGCGCGGCGCCCGCATACATGCAGACCGTTCCTCCGATCACGACACCGCTCTCTTCGGGGCATGTACAAACGGACACGTTGCCATAGTGAAGCTGCTGATCGAGCGTGGCGCCCTCGCTGATGTGCCGGGGAGCAGACTCAGCACCGCTCTCTCGGCAGCACTTGCGAACGATCACATCGACGTAGCGAAGCTACTACTCGAGCACGGTGTTGATGCTGATGGTACCGAACTCAATGTGGCATCAGCGCGCGGTCGCATTGACTTGGCAGAGCTACTGCTCAACAATGGCGCCGACGTCAATGCGTACGGCAACGGCTACGGTACTGAGGGTTTCACGAACGGCACCGCACTTCATGTGGCATCAGCTCGCGGCTTTTACGATTTAGCAGGGCTGCTGCTTGAGCGCGGTGCCAATGCCAACGCAAATATCAGGGTTAGCGCGCCTGGCTATGAGCGCGGGTTGACACCACTGTGGCACGCCGCGTCGAACGGCGACATTGCCACGATGAGGCTGCTGCACGCGAGGGGCGGCGTTCTTCCCGATTCATACGGCCCGAATGACGACGGCAAATATACCACCAGTGCGCAGGGCAGAATGCTGCTGTTGAAGAAAGCCGCACGAAACAATCAAGCCTCTGTTCTTGAGCTGCTACTCACAGAAGAGGGCATAGAGGAGCCGTTGGCAGTCGCTTTGAAGTACGGCTCTACCTCCGTTGTCGAGCTTTTGCTCACGAAGCTAGGTATCGATGGTAATATGCTGCAATATGCTGCTGGAAATGACCGCTCGGAAAGGCCATGCCGCCGCCATCGAGCTCCTACGGAATTAAAAGGGCATCGATATCGGTATCTGGGAATTCAACCGTATCATCTTGCTGTTGTCGAGTCAACAAATCTCCACAAGATCAGCACCGAGGAGCGCGGGGTTGATAGAAAGGCAGTTGAAGCATCGATATCCTTGGGTGTTTCGAGGTCTATGGGAGTCGCTAGTTCGATGGCGATCAAAACGTCTGATACTGCAGAGGCGGAACTTGGTCCCATTCTACTGACTGAAAATCGTCACGGCAAACCGATCATCGCAAGGACGCCTCCAGGAGTCGTAACGGTGAATGAAATACTCTTGTAAATCCGTTTTCGCGACGCTCTTGGCTCTCTAGGTCACGCTCAAAGTTGTCAAGCATATTGGAGGGAATGCAATCCACGTGTAATCACAAGATCAGACGCAATTGGATCGGCTTCACTCGATCTCAGCCATTCCATGACGCAAGTGGAGTCTCAAACGCGCAACCCCAAAGAATAGACGCGCATCCTGCTAATGGCAAAGCTGCCGCTCCCGCCTATCACCGCCCGCCCGTAAAGCCGCCTCCGTAAGCCGATTCCAAATGTCCCCAACGCATGGACAGCCGCACGATGCGTGCCGGTTAGCACTATACCCAAAGTAGCTACCATCCACGAGGAACGCCAGGGACCACACTCGAAATTCCGCCTCCTCCGCCGGCGAAGACGAGGAGGACAGTATGCTCATTGGTACTCTCATCCACGGCACTACTGGGTGCGCAGCGGGAGCCATTTTTCTTGGCCGTCATAAACTCCACTCTCGTGAGGTGAAGAGGCGCTCGAGGACGAGCTTATTGTGCCGGATCCCGACCGGGCGGCCAGGGATTGTTGGCCTGAATGTCGATCTTTCTTGCGATGATTGATATACGGAAGTGTCGCCTCCCAAGAATTGGGGGCCAAATCCAAGTAGTCTACTCGAAGTCATTGAAACTGCCCTTGACGGACTGGAAACGTCGTCACCACGGAGGATCACCAATCTCTCACCAGCGAACTTTCCAACTTTTAGTCAATTGCAACATACATACATAGAATTGGCAATTCGACCAGTCGACTATTGCTTGTACAACCAAATGAGCATACTCTGATAGTCTGCAGTCTGCCACGGCAAATTCAACCCGGCGTTCATATACGTCGCACCGGAGTAAGTTGCATTATCCACACTGTTCGAGTATCGCGCGCGGGCATCGAGGCCCTGGAATCGCAGTGGTGGCGGCGCAGGCTTCACAGTCGCCTGCTGTTGGAAGGCCAGAGCGAAGGACTGCGTGCCATTCTGCGACACGAATTGCACAGCCGGCCAGTTCGAGTTGTCAGGCAACGCGAGTCGATAGAAAGAGCCCGAGATTACAATAGGGTTGACTTTTGCTGCTTCGGTCATGATCTTGGGAATCCCTGCTTTCTCTTCGTCGCTTAATTCATTGGGATTCAGCTCGAAACCGAAGGAGCCGCACATCATGGCGACATGTGCACGGTATTCGATGGAGATGTTGCGCTTGGTGATGCCATTTGGCACAGCTGATACATGGCAGCCCATGGCTGAGGGCGGGTACGCCAGCGATGTACCCATTTGGATCGTCAAGCGATTGGAGGCATCGGTGTTATCTGATGTCCAGGATTGGGGCCAATAGTGGAGGAGGCCTGCATCGAATCGACCGCCACCGCTTGCACAGCCCTCCCAGAGGACGTTGGGGAACGTGGTGGTGAGGTTATCAATGACCCGGTAGAGACCGAGCATGTAGGTGTAATCTGCTGACGGAGAAGGCATCTCGTGGATGCCACGGTTGTTGTCTGTAGCATGGCTCGTCAGCTTCACACTAACGATTGGGCTTGGGATCAACACGTTGACTTACCCCACTTCACATATTGAATGTTAGCAGAGCGGAGAAGATTCGTCACGAATCCAATAATGTAATCCTGCACTTCCGGCAGGCCAAGATTGAGCACGAGTTGATTCCGAGTCAGAGTCCTGTAGTGATTCCCAGCAGCCATAACCCACTCCGGATGTTCATTGTACAGCGTCGAGCGCGGGTTCACCATCTCGGGCTCCACCCAAATGCCAAATTGCATTTTCTCATTCGAGTTCAAAACAGTGTAATTGTCGACCTGCGAGACATACGGTCCAAGACCATCGGGGAATTTCTCCGGGTTGGGCGTCCAGTCTCCAAGACCAAGCGAGTCGTTGTTGCGAGGGTACTTGTCACCGAACCAGCCATCATCATTGACGAAGAGCTTGACACCCAGATCACGAGCTTCGCCTGCAAGTCTGACCAGAGCAGTCTCGTTGATATCGAAGCCTAGTCCTTCCCAAGAATTCAGCAGGATTGGGCGAGTTTGCCAAGTTTGACTTGCACGCGACAGGTGATTTTTGTACAAATCGTGGAACGACCGCGACATGCCGCCCAGGCCTTGCGAGGAATAGACGGCGACGGCTTCGGGGGCCGTGAAGGTTTCGCCTGGCTTGACGTGAATGCTGCTATGTAGGGGGTTCATTCCCAGGAGGACTCGGACGAAGCCATGTGAGAAACGCTCGGCAGTCGCAGCAAAGCTGCCAGTGAAAACGAGGTTGAAGCCCCATGCTTCACCTGTAGTCTCGGTCGTGCTGGGTGGCATCAACGCGAAGAAGGGGTTGTGCACGTGAGAAGAGTAACCCTCTGTGCTCCGGAAGCTATGAAGTGTGTGTTAGATCAAGACGGAACAGTACCGCGACTAGAATTTACCCTACCTGGTCTCGCCAAAGTCCACGTTGCGAATCACGCGGTTCATCTCATGCGCCCAATCTCCCTGCAGCTCGAGCATCTGAAGATCAAGATTGGGCAAGTCCACGCTGAAGCTCGCTGCTCGTTCAATGACAATCTCTCCTGTACCATTGTTGGCGATCTGAAAGCTCCTCGCGATGGCATTGTACTTGGGAAAGATCGAATAAGACAGCGCCGCCGAGACATCGGAGTAATTGTCGTACAGATTGACGATCAGGGTAGTCACATCGCTGGCGTTACCATAGGTCGCAGGTAAGCCTGGAAGCGAAGGTTTGCCTTCCACGATGCGATGCGATCGATAAGTGAATGCGGAGACAGTGTCGCCTGTGGAATGCAGGATGTGGATGGCCGGGAGGCGGAAATCGCTGCGACCAATGTCGGGAAACTCCCGGCGAGTATTGGTAAAGCCGTCCGACCATCCGCCTTGGAATAATGTCGACGGCTGCAAGAAGCCTTCGGAGGGACCGCCGAAGTGGTCAGATACCAAATCTCCGGTGGTATTGTCCACGTGAAAGAGATAGGAGACATCGTCACCCGTCAGGGTGAATTTCGTCCCTGTCGCGGTGATGGCTGCAAGTCATCTGTCAGCCGGTTGCGCTCGTTCGTTCGTATCGTTACCATCATGATATCTGAGCGGCCCATGATGTGCGAAATGATCAATGTCTCGACCGACCAGACCATGTCCAAATCTTCCCCAGACAGTGTGAAGAAGTGTGGGGGAGCACCCTAATTCGGAGATCGTTGTCCCCAATGACGCACTCATCACGTGCAAAAGCAACTCACCTTGATCAGCCCACACTGTTCTCACCACCGCGCAAAGCAGCGCAAGACCTCGAGGGAGAGAAAGAGTGAAAGAGACCATCTCGAATACTCTCCAAACAAAAAGCGATCGCGGGGAGTCTGGTGCGCGAATGGATCAATGAGTCCACTGTCCGCCAGCAGATCCTTTTATATAGCCCTCATCTTGAGACTGTTGCCAATGCCAATGCCTACGGCTGGCTACACCATCCTCGCATCTGCGGGCACGCACCGGAGCATTGGGAAACTGCGGGGTCGGGATGTGGAGTCGCACAAATAAAGTGATTGACATCGAGTCCTGTGCTATGTGTGTGCATCCGTCTGCGGAGCGATGGGCGAACAATGTAACGATGAAGACGCATCGCAATAGTCTTCGTTAGTCATTCCCGACCATTACTTCCCTCCACCCGGATAGATCGCCTTCGAGATCTCCACCGCAGAGCAAGCAGCCAAGAGAGATCGACGGAGGCAATCGGTCCGTCTATTGCCCATGGACGAACAGGACCTTGCTCACGGCAGTAGGCGGCGAACGCTGCTCCGATGCGGAAATGGTTGTGCGGGCAATCCATCGGAAGACCCGTGGTGTCTGTACACTCTCTCAGGATCCCAGGTTCTAGCGTGACATACGGACGTGCATTGCGCCAATCGTTCTACATTGAATGGATGCACGAGTTGACTGTACAGCCTGTCAAGGTTGGGTGCTACTTCCCAGGTGGAGACACAGCATGTCCGATGTGTTGCAAAGAATTAAGTTTTCCAATATTCAGATAATTACACAAAATTGATCATGTGCATATGTATGTACAGGCCTTGTCGAGCGGGCCACAATTATCTAAAGCTGTGGAGCACCACTAGCACTTCTCTTCGATTGCGCAGGATCGAAGTTCTCGCGGGCGGTGACGAACGTCTCCAACGGTGGCCGCTCGCTGAGGAAGGATGATCCATTCGAGCTTTCGAAGCCCAAGTTTGCAAGACGTGGAGCCGATGAGGTTGAGGATTTCGCTGTGATCGGGCGTTTGCCGCTGCTCTGTTCACTCATCGAGATATCCTTCGGCGGTGGAGTTGGGGGAACGTCGCTGTCTGAGGTCAGGCGACGGGCACTGACCATCGAAGGAGGGATCACCATGTGTGTGCTGGATGTTGCATCCGGGGCCTTGGTGTCGTTGCCGGGGGGTTTGCTCGACGAGGATCGGATCGGCAGGGAGTAGGAAGGGTGGGGTTTGAGGGATTCTCGCCGGGCGGGAATCGTCGTGTTGGTGTACAAGTCAGCCTCTGAGCCGTCGTCCTGGGCATCATAAGAGCCATTCCTCAATCTGAAAGGCGCGCTCGATGCTGCGGTAGCTGTAACAGAGGCCACAGACCCTTGCCTGTCAGAACGCGCGTCTTGTACCGGGTTCCGCAGTTTGAATGGTGCAGATTTTGCCGACTCGTCCTCACGTTCAGCAGGGATCTTAGCGGTTGGGGGGACGCCTCTAGACGAGGACCCCGGAAACGCAGCGATTGGCATGCCATCTGCTCCGAGATTACCCAAGCGGGAATCTCGCGACTCATATTTGCTGCGAGTAGTAGCTTTCAGCAGCGTGGAGTCGTTCATAGGGCTGACCGCCTCGCGCGACCTTGGACTTCCATTCAGTGATTCCTCGTGGAAGATGCTGGTCCGTCGTTCAGACATAGGCGAGGGGAATGCCGCTTCGGGCTCAAGCGAGACGAGCGCTGGTATCAGGGACTCGGGCGCGAAAGCTGAAGTAGCTGACGCAACGGTATCTTCCTGCGACTCCATGCTGGCTTCCACGCCAGTCGGTAGCTCGATCGCAGCAGGACCACCGCCAGCAGGTAGCTCGGAGCGCCCCATGTGATCAGCGCTGTCGAGAGTCATGGTGGAGGGGTTCGGTGAATCAGAGCCATCGGGTTTGCGCAACTTGAATGGGTATGCCACAAAGTTGTTGTGTGGCCGTGAACTGCTTGGATTGATATAAGTGTTTTCGCTGCCGGGAACCAGGACGGCTTCCTTGTTGGTGTCGGACATATTCGGTACTCTCGACGATGACTCGGCGAGAGTGCTTACAGGGATCGGTGCAGCGATGCTGTTGGGTCTTTCTGCACGCCCCGACCCTGATGCAGCCGATGACTTCCTGCTTAAATTCCAGGATGCACCAAATCCGCTGCCCTTCGGTTGAGGATTTCGCGAGCTGCTTGGCGAGTCTGCCTGGCCGGCGTCTGAGACAACGGTGTGCGGACCACGAGACGGCGGTATTTCTTGTTCTCGATTCGACGCTGCATTTGATATCTTCGACGCCGCCGACGTTCGGCGGGCTTTTCTCAAAGAGGTAGCATCGTTGTCGTGTCCAGGGACAGCCAAGTTTGTCCGAGACACGCCACCGTTGAGCGTTCGCAAATCACTCCGGTCATCTGAGCCACCGTTTGCCAAACGAGTCGCTTCTGCAGCCCGCTCCTCGACAAACTTTTGCTCCCTGTCGAGGGTGTCTTCATCGTGAGAGCTACCCCAACCACTCCACAAGGCGAGACCCCAGCCTTTCTTGTCCTTCTTCTTCTCCTCTGGGCCGGTGCCCCGCTTTCTTCGACGGTAGAGAGCCGTCAATGGTGGCTCTTCTCCTTCCTCGATAGGATCGTAGCCTAGCGCGGCTTCCTTTTCGCGTTTCTTTTGCACCTTCTTATACTCCTTCTCAAACTTCTTGTCCATTTCGGCGCGCTTAGCCAGCCACTTGCGCACAGGACCTGGCTTGATGGCACCAATCGTAGCGGGGTCTAGATGAAGACTGGCGATCTCGGATTGATGTGGCAGCGGGAAGATGAGACCGTGTCGGTTCACTCGTTGCCTGATCATGTTATCTTCAAATGGTGGTAGCTCATCTCCAGCCCTGCCTACAGCCCCGATCGACTCTAGCACTAATTGAGTCGATGTGACGCCATCGTCGCCGATACTGCCAAAAGTCCCGACTCTAACATTCCTCTTGCTTGCATTACTATTAGTGGACTGAGTACTGATTACTGAGATAGCGTCATCATCGGGAATGTCGATACTTTTGTTTTGGGCGTGTGCCAATGCCCAGGCGCCGAATTGAGCAACAGAACGGTACATGTGCTTAGCTGGTCGTGTGAATGACAGAGTATGCGGGACGTGACACAAATCCTCCCACACTTGAAGCTGGACGTTTGTTGGAGGATATCGCTTGAGTGTCATACGACGGGGATCGTAATCATCAAGGATGGCATCGCAAGGAGGATAGTTCTTTGGGTCTGCGGCCTTATGCGCGAGATAAATTTGCTCGTCTCGCAATATCTCACCGCCGCCGACTTGAATCAGCAGAGGCGGGAGACCACCTAAAGATGGCTGCTGCACCGGTGAGACCAGAGGATGAGCGAGAAGCTCATTTTTGGCGTACATCTGGATTTGTTCCGTGATCAACACCTTCTTGCCATCGATCTCGATTTCGATCTTGTCCCCGAGGCCCGGAGTCATGTTCCGGTTCATAGGGGCTGGCGTCTTCTTCTTTTTGGACATCATCGACGCATTTTCTGAGTCGATGGAGCCGTGGATCGGACTGCGAAGGTCCAGATCGTTGGCTGCTGGAAGCTCCACCACGTCAAACGCTTGCTCGATGGGCTGGGTGAATTTCCTCTGCATTGGCTCGGTGGGTGGCGGTGGCCATGCCAGAGAGGGCTTGTGGTGGAACCCTGCGGGCGGGATATAGTCAAGGAGTCCTTCACCGGCGACAGATGGAAAAGAGTGGGTCAAGTCGACCCACGGTGACAACAACATGGCACCAGCAGGAAGGGGCAGCCCTTGATCACGTAGGGTAACGAGCATGGAGATGACCATTCCGCCACCGGCAGAGTCGCCAGCGAACAAGATCTGGTTTGGCGGAAAGTGCTCGAGCAGATAGAAGTAGGTTGCGATGCAGTCATGGAGACCACACGGGAAAGGGAACTGTGGCGACAAACGGTATCGAGGAGCGAGAACTCGGGTTTTGAGCTTACGCGCGTGACGCTGCATCTGGTAGCGATGCTCGTCGACCGATCCAAAATAGTAGGCGCCTCCGTGGACGTAAAGTATCACACGATCGCACTTCAATCCGGCGCGTTTGCGTTCATTGAAATCCTTCTTCATCTCAATCCACTCCGCGTGTAAGGGTGTTTCTGGTCTCCTCCATTGCCACCACTTTTCTCCTCCTACCAATCGTACTCCCAGGCTTCCCAGCTGTGAGCGAAGGACTTTTGCAGATCGATCCAAGAATTGAGGTGGAATTTCGCACGACTGAATGCGACACCATGTCGGTGCTGGCACCCATTGGGCAGTGAAACCTTGAATGTCCTCGATAGTGTGAAGGGATGCATATTCGAGGAATCTCCGGATCAGGCGCAGACCTTCATGATAGGAGATGTGTGCAGTGGGTTTCTGACGGAGAGGACCGCGATTGAAGTAATGCGACAAGTATGTTTCTATGACAGATGGTGTGACCGCGGTCGCGACCGAGAAAGTATTGAAAGGCATCTCTGATACCGAAGCGGGCTTGTCCTACTCTGAAGGTGAGGCCTGAATGATCGCTGCTTCGTCCTCGCACAGTCAACTCCTGTGGGAACCAGACAGCAACGGTGTGGTGAATGCGGCGAGACGGGGCCAATAGAACTAGAACATCATCATGCGAATGCTAAATTTCAGCCATATGATGTCAAGATGTAGAGTGGAAAAGTTCGAATGGCGGCGTCGGCAGAAGGGTCTTTCGGCGGAGCGGGTACCACGGTGCGAAACGGCGATGATGTCGAAGACGGAGGACGGAAAAATGCGAACGGCGAGGAAATCACGCCGTAAATTCGACCAGGGGTGCTGCGCGTATGAGGCACATGCGAGATCGCGAAATGTTCACGGGTGTTGTAGAGTAGGAGAACGGCAACGACGATCACCAACGATGACGGAAAGAATTATGAGGTGAGGCGGAACCAAATAAGTGTCTGGGGGGGGGGGGGGAAGTCGGTCCAATGGGCTCCGAGTGATGCGGGAGGGAAGATGAAACACGCAAAAGGAGTTCGGGACCTTAGGGCTGCATGCCCCATGCAGCGTGACGAAAGCTCCTGAAAATGATACTGGTACCCGTGGACACCTGGGCAGTACCTAGGTAACAAGAATAACAATGATGGACGATGCTGCGCTGGGATGGGAGGAGCGTATCATCCCACTTATTATGCTCGTTCCTTCGTTCTTTCACCGTCTATCATCTCCACTGTGCTTTCAGGTCCGCATCACACCCTGGATTATTTATTGCTGTAGCACTCGGCTTCATGCAGGCAGGTGGTCACTGGATGTCGCTGCGATGTTTGAGGACGGTGCTCGAGTGCACACGCGTCAACGACTGTCACCGACAATGTGCGGTATGTTCCGACCAGGGATCTATCACCAGCAACAGATAGATAGGCACATGCAGATTCTGTAACGCTCGGTCGTTTCCAAGCTGAGCTTCCCTCGCGATTCGGGAAGGAGAAGACATAACATCCGCTCGTGCATGATTTGGTGCAATCCATGGATGTATAAAATATTGTCATGATGGATCACTGTCTACCTAGGTGTTCACACTTTCCGTCAGGACTCCCACCGTACAGTACGTTTGGCGGACAATATGCATCTTGAAACACGGCTCTGGCACCGACGACTGTTCTTACCGACCGGGAGAAATAGTCGGTGATCATCCTCCCGACTACTGCACGAGCAGGTGAGAGCAAGGCTCGGCAACGCAATCCTTGTCTCCCCAAAAGAAATCTCGCTCCAGTCCCCCGACCGTTGGATAGTTCATTACGCACATCCGCGACGGCGCACTGAGCATCCCTGTGTCCGAGAGCACATGGATATCTGTGGCAGGCGATAGAACTTGGGATTTATGCAGGTGTGGTCTCGGTACGTACAGTGGTCCAGACAAGAGACGGCCATCTTCAGTCACTGCGAGAAATGAATGACCCAGAAAACCTACCGGAATTTCCTACCTACCTAGGTAAATAAGTCGAGTGTTCTGGGGGGGAGAGCACAGCGAGAGGGCAATCATGCACGGGCGGCGATGCTAAGCACAGCATCGGGGCATAGTAATGATACTGTACAGGGACGCGTTATCCAACGTTGTGCATGCACAATTTTTTCGAGAAGCTTATCGATAACGCCGACCGCCAGCCCACCAGATCAATTAATTTTCATTCCGAACAATCACCAGACTGCATCGCATCACCACCACCTCACTGTACTTTTCACGTCTGTATCCCTGAGCGACATCCAAAGAAATGGAAGTCCAGGTCTCCACTCCACAGGCATCGCCTGAACAGCTCCAAGCTGCTCTGGACCACAGTATCTGGTATCTGCTCTCCCTATGGCCGGCGCTGAACGTCGCCTGCGCCAGCGGCTGGGGCGGGCCCGACTCAGCGGACAAGAAGGACTGGTTCGCGGGCGCCATTTCCGACCTATTGACTGAGCGCCCAGAAACGGACGCCGAGGATCTTGAGTGTTTCCTGTTGCAGATCATGCAGGACGAGTTCGACTGCAACGTCGAGGACGAGACGGAGTGCGAGGTGGCGGGCAACATCATGCTGGTGCGGAAACGGTTGATGGATGAGCGTACGCTACTTGCGAGTCGCGAGATCGAGGAGCGATGGAAGCGGAGGGGGGCCATGAAGACCAATGTGCGGGTGGAGGAGGTCAATCAGGACATTGATGATGATGGAGAGGGTTCGAACGGACTTGATGATGATGACGATGTTGATATGGACGCGCCACAACTTGTGCCTTCTATACAGCCAAAGGCCATCAAGGAGAAGACTGAGCCTGAGATAGATGAGGACGGCTTTGAGAAGGTTGTCTCACGAAAGAAGCGATGAAAAGTTCGCCTTGGCTGAAACAAGTCACATCGCACGGCGAATCACGATTTCAATAAATTTGGCGAGGCAAGCGGATCGCTCATCTTTGATACCCGAATCTATCTTCTACATGACAACTTCCACTGTACGTGGTTTCTTCGAATACAGACCCACCACAGCCTGGAACATATCCCTAACCGGAGGGAGTGCGAGGCCAGAGCTAACATCGAAGATGGACGCAAGCTGCTCAGGTCGCACGACTGGACGGTCGTCTCCGCCATTGTCAATATCCATCGCGATATCGTCAGCATCGGCCGCATCAACCATGTCGACATCGTCGCTAGGCAATCCATTCGCGGTCAACGCAAAGGTCATACCCGCCATGATTTGAGCATCAGCCTCAGGAAGCACAAGATCCTCTTGCACTGCATCGGCCGCAGCAAGCTCTCTACCGCGGGCCGAAAATGACGGTTCAAGGGTACGAATAGAGCCATTCGCGAATAGAAATGTGAAGCCTCTAGCAGCCTGGCCGGCCAAGACAGCCACCGGTGCAAGTGACAGCTGAGCCTCGTATAAACGGTCGGCCACTTTAGGCGTGAAGACCCGTGCGACGTGGGTCTCCTCTTCGCCTCGCCCTGGCAGGAGCTCTGTTGTGACAACGCAGAAGTTATTACTGGCATGGTCAACCGCCAAGATAGGGTTGTCGAGACTCTGTTGGGAGGCGGAAAATGAGATGGTCCAGCGGTAGGAATCATCGACCAGGTTCCATACTCTCAGCGTGCTCTTGGAGAGCGCGACAAAGTATCGATCAATAAAGGCCAGATCCACGAGTTCGGCATCTGGCAGTGTTAATCGTGATTTTGTCTCTACGACGGCCCCGGAATCGGGTGAGATGAAATGCACCAGCGGGCTAGCGTCGGTCTCGTGATAGACAGGAGCACAGGCGATCAATGACCCATCGGGGGAATATGCCAGGCATGCATTCTTCAGTTTGATATCTTGACTTGTCGCAAGTGATGTATCTGTAGGAGTATCGCTTCGAGTCTCGGATTCAATCAGACATGGTAACTGAGTGGTCCGTCTGCATGACCATTCGAATTGATCCAATCCCCGCTCGTCTTGCAGTGGTTGACCATATCGAAGTTGTGCTTTCGGTCGCCACATCTTGACACAATTGTCTTCACCTACTGTGACAAAACCGGGCGCAGAGGGATCTGCGACCAACTTCAAAACGCGGCCAGCCCCTGCACTTAACAGAGCACCCGCTGCACGAGCATGCGGCGTATCAGAGCGGGTGTTCAGCATCCAGATGCCTTGAACGTTATCCCACTGCCAGAATTTGAGATGAACCTCTCTTCGCAAATCCAGATGATTTTGTGCGTCATTCTTTAAGATGGAACCCGCTCCTTGTAGTAGAGTCTCGGCGGAGACATGTTTCAAGTCCGAAGCTGGTGGTGTCCATTCGTCGACTGTCGCGAGCCAGTTCCCATCGTGGCTGATGGCAATGTAAGAAACATCCGGCGGCACAATCGGTTTGCCTTCAGGGCTCTCGTTGAAGTCCGTCACGTTGTTGCGAGTCAAAGCTTGACGGCTGATATGCCTGCCATTGTGGAGGTCAAAAGTCTGCAGGAACGGACGGCTCGTTACATCCCCTCCGAATTTTTGTGATGTCGCTGATGGTACTGTAAGGAGCAGTTGACGGTGCTTATGGGGGTGCAAGAGAGCTGCAGCCCTTGAATAGCCATTTTCGCCAGTTGTGGGCTTTGTCCGCCTTTGAATAGCAAGTTGTAGGCCAGGGAAGTGAGCCACGGCTTTGAGCTCGCTGGTGTTCAGCACCATGATTGAATTGTCGGCCATTTGCAAAGCGTAATTCGCTCCGTTCGGGCTGATCACTATTCGCTCGATGCCAGAAGTGAGATGAGGCAGGAATTGCTTCTTTCCGGTAGTGAGTTGCCACAGTACCAGAACTGTTTCTTGACCGCCGCTCACCAAATAATTACCGTCTCTCGAGAATTTGACGGCTGAGACGGGCAGTCGGTGCCAATGAAGTATCTGTGGAGCAGGGGGCTCTGCTTTGGCAGACGAGGTGAACATCACCGATAAATTCGGGTACAGATGGATCTGTCCTTCGGCATTTCCGATTGCGACGGCTAGCTCGGGTCTGCGAGTCTGTTGGTCTTTCGGTTCGGCTTGCGTCGACACAAGTCTGGAAGTCGCACATGTAATGGATACTTCAATGGGTATTTCGAGCCAAGTAAATTGTCCACTTTCAGTGTTTGTTGACGTCGTTCCTTTGCGCGTCCCAATCACCATAGTCGATGGACCCCAAGCGAATATGTATATCGAGGATTCGTGGACTTCAATGCCCGTCAAAGCACGAGGCGTCTTGAACAGAGGTTTCTCTCCGCGAACAATCACACTCCGGTCCATAGAGCTGTGCAAGTACCAGCTGTGAGAGTCTTTTGGTTTCACAATTGCTTGGACTGGCTTCGAAAAGTTCCGTCCCGGCGTTTGCGTTTTGTCTAGGAAGTTCCAGTGAACGATCGTCTTGTCGTCATAAGCGACATCAACGACATCGCCTTCAACAGAGAAACAGGTGATGTAGCGTCCTTCGCGCGCGACATGCGTGCGGATCACAAGAGAGCTGTCTAGCGACAGAAGCTGTATTTCGCTATCGCTGGCAACGAGCAGGCAGGCCTTTCCACGTTCATCGCGGACGAACACTGAATCATGTTTTAAGAGTCTCCCTGCTGTTGGGGCGGAAAATGACCATGGATACTTTGCGCTGGTAGTGCCGACAAGCACATCGGATTCCTGAGGTCTCTTATTCTTCTTTTTCGCCTTCTTCCCGTCAGAACTTAGTGCGATCAGTCCATTTGCACGTATAGCGACTGCGGATTCCTGTCCTGAGTCCGACCCTGGATGTGCAGACTTTGAATCTGCCTCGCTACCCCCGACAATTTTCCCTTCTGAGCCCGCAGCTTTCGCAAGTTTTCGTTCCCGACGGCTCAAGCCATCAGTACGGGCGTTCTTGCTCGCCAGCTGTCCGCCAGCTTCGGCGTGAGCTGCAGCATTTACAGGCTTTGCATTTGGTGAGGGTTGAGTGTGTGCATCGTTTAAATGTTTGGGTCGTTTGTTTGGACTCTTTGTATCCTTCCCTTCAGGTTCTAACTTGCGCTTGGAATTAGGTGTTTTGACCATCTTGCAAAGCGTGTGCGCGAGACTGGCGATGCTGCGTTGACGTCTGCGATTGGACTTTTTTTCTCTGGAGAACCTTGAAAGTTCACCTCCGAGACTTTCGGATTCTGCCCCGCTCACCGCCTTCTTGTTTTCCAGTCCGGACGGCACGTGACATCAATTTTCTCAACTCTCGCGATTCTATTGCCGAAGATTGTCACAACAACAATACCGCTACTGCCCAAGATGATTATTCCGATCCGTTGCTTTTCTTGCGGCAAGGTAAGTCTCTCCGCTAAGCAGAGCTCGGAAAGCTCAGCACTAATACTGTGAATCTCAAAGGTCATTGCCGACCTCTACGAAAAGTACATCGAATTGATCGGAACGGTCAGAGAAGATGGCGAAACTATGTCTGATGGGTAGGTTGTGCGGAACTCCCGGGCCATGAACAGGCAGTGTGGACGGTGCGCTAAACGTCTCTATTTCAGAGATGCCATGGACACCATTGGATTGAACAGATATTGCTGTCGGCGCATGATGCTCACGCACGTCGATCTCATTGAAAAGTTGTTGAGGTAAGGCCATATGAAGGATATTCGCGCATATTCACCAGCTCAATAGCGCGTAGATACAACCCATCGGAGCGTCACATCATCAAAGACGCGAACTCAGGGCGAGGTTGAAGTCAGTAGACATTTCTGGACACGACAAGAGAACAACAGGATCGAAGAGTACGATGTGTGAGAGACAAAATATCTGCGCTACATTCGTCAGAAATCGCTGCACAATTAAGCGGTTGGAGACCATTGAAACGTTCAACCGCAGGTCAGATGGTCCGCTTCAGCTGCGACCCTGACGGTGTTTACGCGGCAGTAGCAGCCAAAACATCACAGAGCAGGGGACCATGATGCGGCTATGTGCTCAGGTGGCTAGTGGAATGACACTCAGGTCTGGTGTGCACCTCTTGCAAAAGAGTTCCAAAAGCTTTGGGACTCGGTGACACCCGGGGCATAGTATCATGTGGCCAGGGTGGGAAAGACGCAGACGACTCGCGGATAACATACCCCAGATTTGGTAATCACAACCATAAACTAGTTGACGGGCTTATCACAGATCATGAATATTATGGGAAACGAAAGAATTCTTTCAATTTAATGCTGCAACCACAAAACGATCCCATCACCATCCATTGGATGAACGGGGAGCACATTCCTTGGAACCCGTTGTCATCTCGGCGACCTCCAAGGAGATTGGCGTGGCGTGAGTCGCAGTAAAGGAAGCACATACATCATCCCACAACGTTGCCTTCTCCGCAAAGCCCACCTTGATCGCGTTTTTTCCCTCCTGGATGAGAGCGCGCCAATACGCCCTCACGGCGTCGCAGTTGTCCATGCACTCACACCATTGTTCAATCATGTCCTTTCCCGAGCCCAAACAATCGCCAATCTCTCGTAAAGGCTTGTCTCCGAGATCTTTGTTCTTGTGATCATCACTGTTGTTCTTATGATCATCCTCTTTCATGTGATCATCATTCTTGTGCTTGCAACCACGGTGCTTGCGGGATTTGTCGGTGGCTGAGTTGTCCTTGCAGTCGGGATCGTCCTGAAGTGTAGATGGAACTGTCGAGTTTGTGGCGGTGGTGTCGTTCAAGAAGTTTCCATTCTCGTCTAGTTTTCCAACAAGCTTGGGGAGGATATAATGGTTATCGGCTGGCTGCGACAGGTCGTCCCGGGCTTTGTGTAGAGGGACAGCGACGCCTGGTGGGACACTGGTAGTCGTTGTGATTCTGGAAACCGCGTCGCCCGGGGGTGCAATGGCGGCAGCATCACCGAGAATGGCCACAGTGGCGAGTACAGCGAAAATTGATTGGTGCATAGTGGATTGAGATGCTGATTGAATTTGACTGTCAGAGGAGTACTCTTTGAGTGACGAACGCAACGGAAAAATGGAGAATTGACTGCTTGAATGTGATTAAAGAGGAGAAGATCAGGAACTGGGAATCACTTTGTTATAAAAGCCTTGGAAGCCTCTCGGTGTAGAAGCAGTCGTGTCCGAAGCGCGACTACTACCAGCGACAAGAATGATCCTGCTTCCCGCACAGTGGTCCGTTCTGACCAGATGTGCAGGAGCGTGAAGCACCAGAGATGGCGAAGAAATTCATGAATGGTAGGTGCAACCAGAGACACGGAAGGTGGTGATATGCCGGAACATTCCCCACAGGCTGTGATACGAGATCGTGGTCAGATGCAGAAACAGTGGCGGATGTCGCTATTGTTCTATATCTATAAGTCCATACTCCGAGAAACCGAGCAAGTATGCATTGAAATTCTGGGCACAGAACACAACCAGTAACGCCGTGGTTCCGTCGATTTGATGCTAATGTCGGTCGAGAGAAATTGCTTGAGCCGTGCCTGAGCTAGGTAGCGATTCATGGGTCATGGGTCACAATGCGTCGCCCAAATTGAGCAGGCATTGCAGTCGAATAGCAATTCAAAAACTGTTCGCTCGTTACAGACACCCCACGTTCGAGAAGATTTCTCATTAAGCTCAAAGTGCAGATTTCAAGGTATCGTGGCTCCAAAGAGGACAAGACCCAACGAATGTTGACGTTGAATGTGAGACTGACGACTTGGGTCGTACGATAGTGTGGTCAGCACGATCAACCATGGTAAGATCTTGTGGCTCAAGAGAGACGATCGGGAGCGACCCTGATTGTTTTGTGAAAGACCAGCTGGGTCGCAATGACGAGAAGTTCTGTGACAAATGGGTGAAGCAGAGTATGCTATACGCGCCGCATCTGCCGGGGGTCGTGTTCATAGGAGTGCATGGTCGAATTTGCTCGGCAGCAATCATGGCTTCACACCGTCCGCCGATCAGACATCACGCGTACAATGCTGCCAGGTCCGGCCATTTCGACAAGCTTGGCGGATGTCAGCAATTTACAGGGCTGCGTGAAAAAGAGGATGGCTAACCTTCTCATGCCAGCTGAGGAGGACGCTCATCGCTTGACCACCACCCTCCGCGCCGCCAAAACTTCTACCACCCGCCTGGGAGAATCCTCCAGCTGATGCGGTCGCGCTCTTTGCGGCACTCCCAGCAGGGGGACCTTGAGCCATGCCTTTGTACAAATATTTCATAAGAGTATCGCAAACTTCTGAGCCCCCTTCGGATTGATATATCCGTTGAAGAATTGGTGTCATTTCAGCTTGTCGTATCGACTGCAAGATTTCGATCACCAATTGGAGATGTATGGCCTGGGCATCCAAATCTTAGCACAGGTATCAATCTGCTGACAGGGACCGACCTACCTTTCCTGCATCGTCGGCGCCATATGATGGGTTTTCCAAAGCTCCTCGCAATGCTCCTTCCGCATCACCTCCGCGTAGTAATTGTCGCACTTGTCCAGCCAATGTCTGCACATCTGCCGTCGCAATAGGTTGGACCGCCGGCGTCAAGCTGGTAAGATCGAAGTTTGAGGATGATTCGGGATCTAGCGCATCGACGTCGATAGTTCGCCAGTTGATTTGCGCCATTTTTGAGAGCTGAAAAGGTCGTTGGTGAAAATCACGTTTTGTGACAGCTCTTTGGAACAGGTTGACGTCGAACATGGGTGGGGCTGGGCGCGTCATGTTCATGGAGGAGTTGGTGGTATCCATAGCCCTCAATGGCTCTCCTGTCGCATGCCGTAGAAGTTGTTATCGTCGACAGTAAGGCCTTCCGTACATACAAGTCGAGGGGTCTAGCGCCGTCGCGACCAGGGCCGACAAATGAAGACCGAGGACGCGCCATGCGGTCAATACTGTTCAGCACTTATGCAGCATCGTTTTGCGCACGCCCCAAAGTCATGAAGAACCGCGTCTCCCGACGTGCAGATGAAAACATTTTCACAAACGCGCCACTCCTACATATGCGATCATAAAACGGGATGGACGTTGAGACAGCCGCGTCGGGTTCGACCCTTGGCTTTTCCGACCTGAGCGCAATGGAGAATGAAACAGATGATCTAGGGAGAAGGATCTTGCAACACCAACGCTATTCTACGGGTCAACAATTTGAGAACCATGTACAGCCGTTCTCGCGAGCTCGACCTCGAAAGACAGAACCACTTAAAATCGAAACTATCGTGCAGACCGTGAAGGATGAGCATCGCCATAGGCGGACAGCCAGCGATGGAAGCGCAGCTGCGAATTTATCCCTGAATGTCCCTAAGGAATGGGGTCGAAGAGCTAGACGGAGGCCCGACTGGTTGCGTAGCTATGAGTCGGACGATACGCCAACAAGCATAGCAAAGTTGGACGACGACGCTATTCTGCCACGTAGGACAGCATTTACCGGAGACGAAAGCCCGATCCTGCAAAGGTCAGCCACGAGGGAGAGAATCGTTCAATCCGTTGAACAACAGAGTCCATCTTTTCAGCGCGTTCGCGGTTCTACTTCGCCTTGGTCCCTGAAACACATGAATACCACATTACGATCCGGCTTGGATATGGACGAAGAAGAGCTGGGATTCGCCGACAACTCGATTCTCACATCTACTCCAGCTGGAAACTTGCGCGATTACAAGCAAAATGCTCTGACTCGACATGAGATTATGGTATTGGAGCAAAGAGGCGTGACTCGCAAGACACTCGATCAAATATCTGAGCGTTCACACGACCTTGGTGGTTCTAGGTTTCCAACATCTACTGGTGATCAGATCGCGAAACCGACTCGCAGACGAAGAAGCGGTGCCAGCAACAAAGAGAACGAGGATTTCGGTCATGGCGAGGACACAGATAGCAAATCTCAACGGTCTTCCGGATCATCGGCTCATGCTCCCGAGCCACAAAATACACGATCTTACTCCCACGCTCGCCAGGACTCAATAGCCCTGCTAAGAAAGCTCGCTCGGGTGACTAGCTTATCGCCGAGTCCCGCCAAACCCATGCCCGCCAACGACACTGAGGACGTTGCACTAACGAGAGATTCTACTGGGGACACAGCACATGTTTCAGCACAACGTCTGAGAGGGACCAGAGTTTTGTCCATCAAGAGTGAACCTGAAAGTATGAACGCGAACAGCGACACTTCGACAGCAGGCCCGACTGGCAGCGGTGGTGATTTACTCGAGACTGGCGAACCTGCTGTGACTTCGTCTAAGAGTAATCGATCTCAAGCGAAGTCAGCCCTGGAAGATGTTTTGCGAGAGGCTCAAGAACAGAAGAACATCCATCTGGGAGAAAGCACAATAGCCTCATTAGAGGACATCGTGCATCCCAATGAGGATCCTTCAGATCTGAAGACAAGCCCCAACGACTTTGATGGCGTTCATCCGACAGTCGATCGACTTAAAAATGTGGCATCAGCGAAGAATGTGCGCCTGGAGGAAGACCTGGCACTGCAGAAATTGAATCAAAGCCTACGAACAACGAGGACGAACATCAAAGATGCTAGCAAGGGTCTCCGACGCATTGAGAATAAGATTGAAGCTGCGCAGTGGGAACCGCCCATTGTGCTCTCTACTGCCACAAAGCCGTTGCGTCACCAGCTTGGCGACGCTACTTGTCAACACTGCGGCGGCCGTCAAAACTCCGCCTGGCACACGTTGTGGAACGAGTTTCGGAGCAACTTTTACACCTGGGATTCTAAGCGCCAGAGCCCCCTTCGTTTGACATGGCTTGGACTCGCTTGTCTACTCTGGACGATATGGTACCTCACAGAGACCACACTCTGCGCATATTACTGCCACCAAGCCTACGCCGTTGAGATGGTAGGCTACGGTGTCGACCCTGACGCTCCCGACTATCCTTTCGTGATACCTACACTATTATTTCGTCCCTTCAAGCCAATTTGGCATCCTGTCTTGCAATACCTAGCGTGGAGTTTCGGAGTTTTATTGAATTTGCTTTTTGGCGATGGGTTTAGCGTTGGCGTAGTGCCGAATGTCCCTAGGCGGGAGCCGAAGAGGCGATTTGGTCAACGTGCGATGAGCACAGGGGCATCATTCCCGGTTTTTGCAAAAGCTGTCGATGGCAACGCTGGTTGGTTATCTGCCGCGGCAACTGCTACATCATCTGCGGTCCGACACGTTGCGGAGAGCACTTTCCGCGCGGCAAGTGATGCAGGCAGCATGTGGGAGGATGCATTCCATTCTACTCCTTGAAATATGTAAATTGAAGCTGGGTCGACTGAATACTGAAATGATCATGTGAATTGCCGCAAGGCAAAGTTCTCAAGTTGTCTCTAAGATTGTAGTCTGATGCCTCGTCAAACCATGATGTTCACGCAGTCATATGAAATATAACATCGTAGTACTGATAATCGTCGATTGAAGGTGACAGTAGCACCTAATAGAACGCAACCATTTGTGAAGCTTTACAAGCTGAACTGCGATAATGAACGACGGCCGAGCAACGAATTCAGTGGTGGTTGTTGTGCCGTTGTCAGCTCTCGACGCAAAACGTACGATGCGGAAGTCGTTTGTAAACATCGCAACTGACGGTGCACACGCCACTGCAGCTTGTTCGATGGACATCCGCCTCTCCGACACCACTTTTCGATTAATAATTACATGCGATCTGCATTCACTACATTCGGATACACAGCAGCGATTCCCAAATCCTGCGCCAAATATTCAAGAGCATCGCCGCAAGGAACAACGGATCTCATCATACTGCTCTGACCGATCTCAGCCAAAATGGGCGGTGCCCTGTCCATCTTCACCCGGCTTCTCTGGTCCAAGAAGGAGATCCGCATACTGATCCTCGGTCTCGACAACGCCGGCAAGACCACCCTCCTCTATCGGCTCAAGATCGGCGAGGTCGTCACCACCATCCCCACGGTCGGCTTCAACGTGGAAAGCGTCACATACAAAACCCTCAACTTCAACGTTTGGGATCTCGGCGGTCAGACATCGATCCGGCCTTACTGGCGGTGCTACTACGCCAACACCGCCGCGGTCGTCTTTGTCATCGACAGTACAGATGTGGACCGATTACATACCGCGCAGGAGGAGCTGCGCGCGATGCTGGATGAGGAAGAGCTGAGGGATGCGGCGCTTTTAGTCTTCGCAAACAAGCAGGATCAGCCGGGAGCCAAGGGCGCAGGAGAGATCAGTGAGGCGCTGAAGCTGGCGGAGCTCAAGGATCGGAACTGGAGCATCATGGCATGCAGCGCTATTGATGGACGGGGCGTGAATGAGGGAATGGATTGGCTCGTGGTAAGTTGGCACTGCACAGGGAATTGCTCATCCCTTGAAGGTGGACGCTTGCTGATGTTCTTTCTACCTACAGCAAACGGTCGGAGACAGCGCATAAATCGCGGTGGCATGGGATTGGCTCATCTCGTGGTGTTCACACAAGTGATTTGTCGCATGGCGCATCGGCGTAAATTTGGGAGGCCTGTTCTGATGACCTTCAGACTTGGCTAACTTGCTATTTTGATACTTCAATTACTAATTCCATATCGATGAGACGCTCATCAGCGAATGCTGCGAGTCGCGCTGCTCAGTGACAAGCTGACAATAAATGTCACGATCTGTGCTCACCTCGCACGATCTATTCAAACGCCGTCGACACGAACATCGCCAATCCGATTTTTCAATGCCACACTTCTATCAGATTTGCTTCCGATCAGCAGCACGGCATATTATGGGTCTATTGCGGTGACTTCCTACCCGACGGCACGCACCCTAAATCGACAACCGCTGCTGCTCGATCTTGCAAACCAAGAATGTGGGTGTTAATTATGCGATTCGAGAATCTCTCCCTTCTATTCTACTCGTACTCATCATACTCGTCGTCATAATTATGAGTGTTGTCCACAATTCCGAATTCATCTTCCTCGAAGTTGCCGCTTGCTTGCAACGCCGTGCGGTAGTCCGCCTCTTCTGGATCCTCGTCTTCAACGTCCTCGTCCTCGTCATTAGCATTATTCCATGCACCATCGTCCTGATCGTCTGCATCGTCCGCGGGTGCTTCAGATATCTGGTCGTCATCGCGCTGCTCGGGACCATCGTCGTCGCGACTCCTATTTCGATCGTGAGGCGGATCGGCTTCCTTGCCGTGACCGGCACCTTCGGATGTTTCACGGCCAGCTCTCGGATCAAAATCATTGGTTGGCGAGGCATCGCCACTTCCGGCGTCGCGACTCGGCGTCTGTGAGGTTCGCCCGTAAATTCTCTGGAGGGCCGAAAAGTCGACGTGTTGACTCTTCTGTGGCGCACGTCTGTCCAACATTGCTTTCGCTGCGTCGGCGGGCGATTCGATAGGTGTATCGTGGTCTGCGAGAACACTGCGGTCGCCAATCTTACTGCGTTTTTTCTTCGCAGCAGCGCTACGCTTGCCTTTGTTCGGCACGCCCGTGGCGTTCGCCACGCTTTGTAGCATTTCTCTCTCGGCCTGCTTCCGTAGCCAATCTTCGTTATGAGTTACCCAAATGCGCTCCTTTGTCATGATCTCATGTGGATTTAGCAAGCAATTTTCAACTTCGATGTCATCCTTAAATTCTTCCTCGAGCTCGGCAGCTGTCACCTCTTCACCGCGAGGAGCATCGCCCATTGAAAAGCCCTGCTCTTCGCGGCGTTGTTGTGCTTTTGCCGCGTCAAGTCTTTGTTGCTCTGCCGCCACGACTTTGGCACGATTGGCCTCTGCTTCAATTCGTTCTTGTTCCTTGATACTGATGACTTCATTCTGTGCGTCCTCGACCTGCCCATCTTCAAGCATTTGGTTGATCTGCTCCTCTAGGTAGTTTTCATCGGCCAATTCTTCTTCTGAGAGTTCTACCACTAACGGGGCTTTCGGTTCCTGTTTTGCATTCTTCCTGGGACGGCCGCGAGTCTTCTTCGTGGGCACAACACCTGCCAAATCATCGCCAAGTAGCTCGGGATCGATGGGTAGCGCGGGTATCGCAAATCCTTCAGCGTCAAAACGCGGCTCCTGGTCAGGGTAAGTCCTAGCACCACTCCTTGATGCAGCGTTCGCGGGAGCTGACGGCGATTTCCTTGTCCTCTTAGATCGATCGTCTGCGGAAGTATTGTTGTCATCTGCTGCGTCACTGTTGTCGTGTAGACGTTTCCTATTTGGCGCATCGGAAGCCGCCACATCATTGGTCATAGCCGTTGTCATTTGTGCCATGGGTGGTGCGTACGAATCTTGCGAGTCGACGTTAGTGCTCTCAGCGCCGGATAGTTGGGTGGGCGGTGGCGTTGCCAGCCCGACGGACGAAAATCGCGAAGATACATCGCTTTCATCATCCGCAATGCTGATTACGGAATGCTGTCGGGCCTGTGACTGTTGAATATGCGCCTCGCGTGCTGCGCGGCGCTTCTGCTGCTTCTGCCCCCGAGCTTCTGCTTCGAGTAGCGAGGGAGGGTCATGTTGGAACAGCATGCGGTTACCGAACTCTCGGAATTGCTCGACTGTGAGCGCCGCACTTTTTGTTCGACGGAACTCTTCAACCCGCTTGGCAATAGTGCCGTCTGCAACCTTGGACACATAGACCACCTCGCGCACGCTTCTTTGGAAGTTGTTCATGCGCGCAGCTAAGATGATGCATGCCCCACAAAGTCCTGCTGGATGGCGTCCAGAAACAATCCAATCGCGATTCATGCGCTTCATGATGCGCAGAGCATCGTAGCCGACCTGATTGGTCTTATCTCCGAACTGTAACTTTTGGCAATATTTCTTGATTAAAGGCTCCATCTCGATAAAGTGCTGATAGCCCACTGGCTTGCCTTCGAGGAACAATTTCTCGCACAAGTCCTTGTAAACCTCCCCGAGTCGGAACACATTGATGCGAAGTATTTCTGCCATGTCCATGAGCAAAACATCGTTCTCCTTTTGTCGACGACATGCAGCCCACATGCACGCAGCAGCCACTTCATCGGTCCTACGGCCAGCCATGAAATTGTTGAGGGCAGCAAGTGACCATACGCTCGCTGCCTGCTGGGTGATGTTGTCTGGAACTTTCAAAGGAGCAGCCAGGCTAGCGAGAGCGCGACGGCCAGCATTCTCGATCTCTACCATCGAGTTCCTTTCGCCGCCACCAATCCGGCGATATGCACCGGCGCCTAGGGTCTTTGAAAATCGGGCATTCTCACCCACCAGACCTCCCTGCACGGTTGATCGCCCACCTGCCTGGTCTTCGAAGGTGACCTCAGCGGTAATGTTGACATTCTGTAATTCGGTAAAACAATTCTTGCAAATCTTGATGCCATCTTCATCCTGAGGGTCAGGATTGTCACAGCAATCGTGGACAGGCGCAGTGCCGCCGGGCTTCGATTTGCGAGGTCGACGCTGGACTTTCGGCGGCAAGCCGTGAACTCCACCAATCCTCACGGAAGGCGGCTTGACGATCGGCGGCATATGGGAACCGACTGAGCCGGGTGCCGGCTCCAATTGAGCGTCTGGCTGGAGGAGTTGTCTGGTTGTGCGTGTTTGATACTGTCAAACCGGTTGCTGGTTCTGCCGTTGCAACGCAGTCACTCGACTGTCGCGGGCGTGGGCAGAATTTTGCTGGTCACCCGCCGAGTTGGCTGAGCGGGAGAAGCGCGGTTGCTGCCGCTTCAATCCCATCCTCGTTCCTTCCCCAAAATCACCAAGTTCGAATCCGGCATGCGGCACTTACTGCCATTGATGAAGAGGCAAGAACCATCTAACGCGGGGAACCCCAACGCGGTCCATACCCCAACGCGGTCCAAGGCATCAAAGAGCATAGCATTCAACAATTGATTGCTCTACCAATTATTGTTGAAATACCTTCAAATTGAAAAACATGGTAGATCAATACTAACTCTTATGATACACAGGTTCTTGCGTTATGGTCTGGACGGCCACACTTGCTACACTTTCTAATACGCTTCACGGGCCTCGGCATCTCCTCCTGGATTTGTGCTTCTACCTCCTCTTGTTCAACAACGTACTGCATTTCAGGAAAGGACAAGG